GGAGGGGTACAGATGGAGCTGAAGCTTCAGGCCAGTATGTACAATGGGAAATCCGCTCGGGGGTGCGTAGAACGATCCGCCAAGTGCCTCCGAGGGCTACCATAGGCGCGAAAAACCAATAGGGTCTTATACCAGTTGGCTCGAAAATATTGCTAATTTCTGCCCACAGAAATTGCGCTTCTACAGCCTCCATGGAAGGATGGCCGAGTGGTCTAAGGCGCTGTGTTTAGGTCTCTCTTTGAACTTGAAACCGCAGTGGGAAACCGCGTGGGTTCGAATCCCACTCCTTTCAACTCTTTTTTTTGGATTTTGTGATGTTGGTTTCGCACATTGATACTTTTTGGTTGATTATTCAACTGTCAGGTGCATTCGGATTACAAGTACGGAGTAGAAAGATCTATCAATGCACAACTCTGCGGGTCAAGTGGTTAATGGGTTCGCAGGCGCGCACGCCCCTGATGTGTGAGGGGATAGCATTTAGGCTGGGATCAGTGCAATGATGACTCTTCTAAAGGATCATGCTATGTTCTATATGATTCAAATAAAGTGACTCCCTACGTGTTGTGGTTGTACCGTTCTTCTTCTATGAAACAGGTATTAAGGAATTGAACCTGTTTAAACAACGAGTGGTGGTGATACGGCCGACGTCCAACCCCAGCCACACCTGCCCAGGCTAGTGCTGGGACTTGCATCACCCAAAGCTTCACCTTGCCATCACCATACGCTCCGAATTCGATATTCCATCCGGTCCTCCTCTACACGACTCCGCGAACACTCTCTGTTCCTCACACTTGCTGTACTTCTTACTGTGTCTCGCTACACCTTCGAAATGTCCTCAAGCCGTCTCTTCCGATTCAATGTGCCCAAGCCGTCCTGGCTGAACAGCGCCAACACCCGAACCGCAGGCGTCTATCTTGCGGGCGCACTTGTACGTGGCTGCCTTTGCACGGCAACAATCCCTTTCTTTCCTTTTTACTTTCTGCTGTGTTTTTGTGGGGGAGGAATGTCTCACGGCTAACATGATGACGCTGCTCCTGCTCTAGTTCTCGTTGGGATTCTTCTTCTTCATCGATGCGAGCGTATTTTCGAAATCCCCCCTCAACGGATCGCACGTCCACATCAACTTTGTCGACTGGATCCCCTTCATCTGCTCGGCGCTGGGGATGCTGGTTATTAATAGCATTGAGAAATCTCGCCTGAGCGCCGACAGCTTCTCGTATAGTGGGAACGGGGTGGCATGGAAGGCGCGCACCGTGCTATTCCTCGGGTTCGCCCTGATGGCCGGCGGCCTCGCGGGAAGCGTCACGGTCATGGTGCTCAAGTACCTGTTCAACGATTACGCCCTGACGACGGTCTACATGGGCGTTGCGAACGTCGTGGCAAACGCTCTGGTTATGCTCAGCAGTGTGGTGTTGTGGGTCAGTCAGAACATGGAGGACGATTATACCTACAACTTGCAGCTGTAGATGGGCAGACGGAGCGAGACTGCGTGCGGAAAGGAGAGCAAAAAAAGAGTCCAATGGGAAACCTCTACATTAATACTCACAATGTTCAATGGAATGAATGTTAGGCAAGGCGAGCGTAAGGGACGGTAAGGCGCACAAGTGTTGCAGCGATCAAAGGCACAAGCATCAGCGCATAGGTTCACTTCTCATTTCCGGAATTGCGGGAAATCATGAATGATACAGTATTGTTATCAAGTCGTAATTAGTCTGGCGTGTGATGCCATGCCTTGTAGTTGTACGTCAAAGCTGCCATCTTGCCTAGCCTTGCGTTGTCTTTTAAGATCTCTAAGCTAGTCTTCATGTCCTCGTGATCGTGTCGACGTGGCAAGGAGTGCCTCTTAAGAAGGCATCCTCCAGTACGAGTACGGCGTAGAGTCTCTTCCGCGGAGCGCTGGGTAAACTCTTCCCATGGCCTCGTACGCGAATTTGGGGGGCCCAAATCTTCATGTTCATGGGAACGGCGTCGTTCCGAGGATGCTGATAGTAGTCGTTTTCATATCGTGGGACGTGCCGTCAACATCGCCATGGTGGCGACATAGAAGATGTAGCTACTCGCATGTCCCCTGAGCCATTCAAACATTGGGCCAATGCCTATTCATCCGGCAACTTCCTTTTCTGCATCTAGCTTTTTCCCGTGCCTTCAATCCCTCTCTCTCAATTTTGCCATGATGGCGTCAATGACGTCCATATCTGATGCCGATACGTGATCTGGGCCGACAAATTCTTTGGGTAGCCGCTTGACGGCCTCGTTCATTGCGGGCTGGTAGTTTCTCACGCCCGAACTGAGAGCGTAAACTGCTTTCCGCCGGACCGACTTGTCGGAGTCGTCCAGCGCTAGTTGACATAGTTTGTCAATTCCGTTCAGAGCGAGGAGACGTTCTTGCGCCTTGACGTTGTTTTGCACCGCCGTCCCTAGACACCAGGCAGCCATGCGCCGCGAGTCCGCCACTTCGCTGTCCAGTTGGGATAACAGAGGCGTCCAGAGGCCCAGTGGTTCCATGTTGTTTGCGTTGTCGATGCCCTCGACCAATTGCTCGAAATTGTCAAATGCCGTCATTTTGGCGTCGTGCGTGACCTCGGGATCGGACGAGACAATGATGGACATGGCTTCTTTCATCAGGTCGGCGTCGCTGGGGCCGCCCATGAGAGCCCGGAGAGCATCGGCTGATAGACCTTTGGGCTCTCTTGTCGGCTGATCTGTGGTGGCACGACCTGCATCCGAGTTCTCGATACCCCATGCCAAAAGCGAGTTTAAGCCCGGATCCATTTCTGCGGTGGGTTATGTGTGTCGACTTTGGCCGTTGAAAGATGAATCGAAGTCTAACGTGTATTTGCAGAATATTAACGTACAGTACTCGTAGGGTATTGACTTCCGAGTGTGAGAATTGACGTCAACCGTTGTCCGTATAAAAACGATTTTCCACGCTTCGTCGCTTTGTATGGGCGCTGCGGGAATGATCTCGAAGTCTCTGAGATGAAGTCATTTTGCGTCAGCGAATCAAAGAGAAGCTTAGCTAATCGAGGCCGGATCCAATTTAGTTTCTCATGGACGCCGCTTTTAGGCCACTTGTCGGTGGCTGAGCGTGGGCTGTGGCCTGTGTGCTTCGCGTACCCCGCCTCCGTGGCTGGGAAGCCGTATTTCCCATCAAAGGCTCTCAAGAGGCATCAACATTTTGCAAGCCTAATCGAACACGCTCTGACGCCGGCTCAACGACTATGTGGGCTTGTCGGCCCAACAATTATACTCCGTTATCCGCGTTCTGGACTCACTGCCCCCTTTTTCTCCAGTACAACGGTGTGGGCAAGGAATCCGGCTGCATCATGTAATCGAGAGGGATCTTCAAGGCCGCAGTCAGATCAAAGGATGGCGGGGCCAAAAATAGACGGAATGTGATGGGATTTTGTATCTGTGCCTCGTAATCATCTCAGCCGCAAGGCTCCGAGTACATAGTACGGGTCTTTTCTGGAGTGATGTGCGTATTCGCTATTACAGGCGAGCACTGGACAATCACAGCTGCCTGGGATATGGATACGTGGTCAGTACGGATACTCGTACTCTCAAGAAGGTTGGCGGCACGCAAAACACCCAGCATTGCGTGGCCTATGCCGCCACCCCGTGGAGCATAGAACGACTCCCTTAACAACAACAGCCTATCATTGAGTTTCTGAAACATAACTGCCTGTGCCCTCTCTGCTACAGGAATCGCACGGTTGTTTCGGGGGGGCAGGCAGTTCGTGTCGGCCGATAGAGTTGATCCAAGCTCACAGGTATATCTTCTTGTACGAGTATGTAGCATGCAGGGGAGAAAATACTCCGTTCTGGATATCAAACTAGTTCCAGATAAGCAGCCTCTCGCAGCCCCGACGGTCTGATGTGCGACTAAAACCAACTAAGTGCAAAGTGGTGCTTTCCTGTCGGCGCAGCAGCAATCGAGCTTCGGTCACTCACCAGCAGCGGTCAGATCAGCTTGTGTCTTGGCGCCTGCCCACTCACTGGCCACCGCCTCCTCTCCTCCTACCGCTTGCTGTTCAAATCCATCCTATCTTACCTTCCTGACATTCCATTCCCAGCTTTGTCCTTGTCCTCACTCTCCAACATCTTCTGCTCGTTACTCCCGGAGGTTCAATCTGCCTTCGTTGTCTCGAGTTGTCGCAAACCTCTCGCTCAATCGCTCCTCATCTTATCGTCACTCGGTTCTAACATAAACCATCACAATGGAGGGTAAGCTTGCTCCTCTTCCACCTCAACTGGCGGCACACGCATTTCAACGATGCTGAACATGTACTGATTCATCTTTCTCCCTACAGAAGAAGTTGCCGCTCTCGTCATTGACAATGGGTAAGCTCCTACCTCCCTGGCCATCGAAAGCGTGTGCCTGCGCCCTGTGCCGCCTGGTCCAAATATCGTCCATGCAGCTCGCGGCATTATCGGAAAAGAATGGCAACTTCAATCTCGCAAGAACTGGGCTGACAAAGTGTTTCCAGCTCTGGTATGTGCAAAGCTGGCTTTGCTGGTGATGATGCGCCACGAGCAGTTTTCCGTAAGTGCCCCGCATTGATATACAGCACGTGGAATCAGGCCTAACAATTTCGACAGCATCCATTGTCGGTCGACCTCGTCACCATGGTATCATGATTGGTATGGGCCAAAAAGACTCCTACGTCGGTGATGAGGCCCAATCCAAGCGTGGTATCCTCACCCTAAGATATCCTATTGAACACGGTGTGGTTACAAACTGGGATGATATGGAAAAGATCTGGCATCACACTTTCTACAACGAGTTGCGTGTCGCTCCAGAGGAGCACCCGGTTCTGTTGACCGAAGCCCCCATCAACCCCAAATCCAACCGAGAGAAGATGACCCAGATCGTCTTCGAGACATTCAACGCGCCTGCTTTCTACGTCTCCATTCAAGCTGTTCTGTCCCTCTACGCCTCCGGTCGTACTACCGGTATCGTGCTCGACTCCGGTGATGGTGTCACCCACGTGGTCCCCATCTACGAAGGTTTCGCTCTTCCTCACGCCATCTCTCGTGTCGATATGGCTGGTCGTGATTTGACCGACTACCTGATGAAGATTCTGGCAGAGCGAGGCTACACTTTCTCCACCACCGCTGAGCGAGAAATCGTCCGAGACATCAAGGAGAAGCTGTGCTACGTTGCGCTCGATTTCGAGCAGGAGATTCAAACCGCCTCTCAAAGCTCTAGCTTGGAGAAGTCGTATGAACTTCCTGACGGTCAAGTCATCACCATTGGCAACGAGCGATTCCGAGCTCCTGAAGCTCTCTTCCAGCCAAGCGTTCTTGGTCTTGAATCTGGTGGTATCCACGTCACCACTTTCAACTCCATCATGAAGTGTGATGTTGATGTCCGTAAAGATCTTTATGGCAACATCGTCATGGTGAGTACTCTTAATTATGAGCCTGAGTGTATATTCGTACTAATTCTATGTAGTCTGGTGGTACTACCATGTACCCTGGTATCTCCGACCGTATGCAGAAGGAAATCACTGCTCTCGCTCCATCCTCCATGAAGGTCAAGATCATTGCACCTCCCGAGCGTAAATACTCCGTCTGGATCGGTGGTTCTATCCTGGCATCTCTTTCCACCTTCCAACAGATGTGGATCTCCAAGCAGGAGTATGACGAGAGTGGTCCTTCTATCGTTCACCGCAAGTGCTTTTAAACGTCTCGCAAGCACATTGGAATGTTAGTTTCTCCAGATGACACGCAGCAACCTTTTCAAGACAGTAGTGCACGAAGTCAAGATTTTGATGAGACCAATGGCATGCGGAGCATAGAAATGTGGTGATCGATCAGTTGATGGAAGGCTTGCAAAACAAAAAGTATTTGTGGAACTAGCACGGAAGCCGGGCGCGTCTCATACATTGAATGGGGAATACGGATACATTGGGACATGTATTGAGAGCAACGTCACGCCTTCAATGAGTAGCACCATTCCAATAGTGTCTAGACTGCAATGCTAACCGTTGGTGTTTCAAACTCCGCAACCCAAAATCCGAAAGCTCGTGGTGCGCCTTGGTAGATCCTAGCGCATTCAATCCCCATGTATGTACAGTTCCAGCGTCTTCCATAATATATGGAATAGTCATGACCAGTTCTATACTGTCTTGAGACTTGCTCGGTAACTTGGAACGTCCCCGGAAACTTCCCTTATCGTAGCACCGTCCTCGGCAGGTTCGAGGACCTTCCACTCACAGTTGATGCCTTCGTCCTTGAAATGCTGTACAATGACGCCTGCAATGGCATCGAAATTCTCCGTAGCAAGAGCCAGGATGGTGGGCCCAGCTCCCGATAGACATATTCCTAGCAGGCCTTTGTGTGAGCTAGGAGACATTGACGACAGTATAGCGGGCAGGGCAGGGATCAACGTCTTGCGATAAGGCTGGTGAATCTTGTCTTGCATTGCACTGTAAATGAGATCGGGGTTCGGCGGCGAGTCGGAAAGGACGGTCGTCAGAAGTGCCAGTCTTTGAAGATTGAAGATCTATAGTTCATATTCTCACGTGTTTAGCAATGGGAAAGGCTTCTCCAGGGGGTTTCCCACGGAGTCTTGTGGGACGAAATGAACAGGGACGTGGATGGGAGGTGGAGGTATGTGCATCTCTACATTTGCTTGTGCGTTAAGGCGGAATATGTACTCACCATGTCCTGCCGCGTGTACGACTTGGGTAGAACCTCTCTTGCCTTGGCGGTGCTCACCTCGAAATCCGGGATGATGGCTAGAGCCTTGATCTCCTTGGCCCAGTTGAAGCGGCGGTAGTGGCCGATGTTCTCGGGCGGGACGGGCGGCGTGAGACCAGTGTCGACACCGCCTGCGGGCTCAGGCAGGACTTCTGACAGCGGGACTTCCTTGCGCGCCATGTCGACCGGGTCCAGCTCGTTGAGGTACGTGCCGACGAAGCCGCCGTACAGTGCAGCGGCGACATTGTCCGGGTGGCGTTCGACCATGAGGCAGAAGTCGAGGAGGCGCGGCCGGGACAGGTTGAGCTTGCCGACGACGTTTCCTAGCAGGACTCCCGCGACCACGGCGGCGCCGGACGAGCCTAGACCCCGGCCCAGTGGGATCGGGTTCTGGATGTGTACGTGCGTCTGGGCCGGGAACGCACGCTGGTCGTGGCACCGAAGAACGTACAGCGCCGTCCGTGTCAGGAGGTTGTTGGCCGGGTTGAGGTCGATGTCCTCGGCCCCCACACCCGTGTAGGTCACTGTGCAGTTGAGAGGGTTGGAAGCGTCGACTGGCGACGTTTCGTCGACACTAACCCGCAGCTCAAGGTACATCGACAAGGCGAGGCCGATGACATCGAAGCCCGGGCCTGGAGAGGTAGTGAGTTAGGACCGAGCGATAACAACAGTATTGGTGTTGTGGTCGCGGCCAAGAGTGTAGATGCAGATGGTAAATGGAGATCATCTCAAGACTTACCAATGTTGGCCGACGAGCATGGGACCTCTGGGTACGCCGTTAGACAGGTTGTTCCTGGGAATCTTGTTTCACTGGTCGTGGGAAGGAAAATGACTGACTTATCAGATGCATGATAGTATGAGGGAGGCCCAGCTCAACAAGTAGGGCTACCCGCTCAGAGGTCTTGAGGACGATGGCAAAGCCTGGTATGCTCTTGTCTCCGTCTGTATTGTGAGGAGATGGTACTAGGAGCTTCAGGCACAGAGTCTGTCAACGAGGTTCTCTGCCCGCTGTCGCCTTTTTATTGTTGTAAATCCATTGCGCGCGAGATCGGTCTGTATGAGTCGAAAAACAAATGCTGGGGTGAGTGGCCGTCCAGCCAATCAGAGCCCGGACGAATTTTTCGTCTCCCTTTATCGATAAGGATTTCGGGGGAGAATTTTCCTCGCTTGGCGTCGCTGCTACGACGACCGATTCTTTCTACCTCGAGACACGCTGAAGGACGAGAGTCTCTGGGTGTTTTCAGTTACATGTAGTCTAGAGCTGTCTGTTCTTGCTCAGGCAGATACCCTCTTGTCGTTGTCTTGGCTGGTAAGTTGCCTTGCGTGTCGCTTGCTGCGTTTTTGTTTGGTGTCTTGAAAGATTAGCAAGCCCAGTCCCCAGGACTTGATCAAGGTGTGGAACAGGGATTGAGGAGCTGCTCAGATATTGATTCACTAGTAGCTGTGCTATAGGGCTCCTGAGTTCTGGGGCCTATTTGTTTGGCACGTCGAATTTGCACTAACCTAACTCCCATTCTCCAGGTCAAAAGCGCGGCAAACATGACGGCAGAAAGACTTCGTATACTCGTCATTGGTTCCGGCGGGCGAGAACACGCCCTTGCCTGGAGACTAGCCAAGTCGCCCTCGGTTGACATCGTCCACGTTGCGCCGGGCAATGGGGGCACGGAATTCGACAAGGTCGCCAATGTCAACATCGCAGCGGATAATTTCACCGACTTGGTCGATCACGCACAGAAGCATGGGCTCAACCTCGTGGTCGTTGGTCCCGAGGCACCCCTAGTTGCGGGTGTCGAAGGCTTCTTCCGAAAGAAAGGTATCCGGTGTTTCGGCCCTAGCAAGGCCGCTGCCAGAATGGAGGGTTCCAAGGCATTTTCCAAAGATTTCATGCAACGCCACGGTATCCCAACAGCTGCGTTCCGAAATTTCAGCGATTACGAATCAGCTCGCAAATACCTCGACTCTGTCAACCACAGTGTCGTCATCAAAGCAGATGGCCTGGCAGCAGGAAAAGGAGTCATTATTCCCACGACTAAAGAAGAGGCACATGAAGCTTTGCGTAAGATTATGGTTGAGCACGAGTTTGGATCTGCTGGCTCTCAAGTGGTCATTGAGGAGTTTTTGGAAGGCGAGGAACTTAGTGTGCTGACTTTCAGTGATGGCTACACGATCAGATCACTCCCACCGGCCCAGGATCATAAACGGGCACTAGATGGAGATCAAGGCCCAAATACTGGAGGCATGGGCTGCTATGCGCCAACCAGAGTCGCTTCCAAAGAGCTGATCGCTCAAATCGACCTTGAAATTGTACAGCCTACCATCGACTGTATGCGTCGGGAGGGCATGCCATTCGTTGGTTTTCTCTTCACTGGTCTTATGATTACCAAAAACGGACCCAAAGTACTGGAGTACAACGTCAGAGGAGGTGACCCTGAAATCCAGACTCTGCTGCCTCTTCTGAGCGACGACACCGACCTTGCCAAAGTCATGCTCGCCTGCACAGAGCACTGGTTAGATGGTGTCGATCTAAAGATTGACGCCAAGTTCAGCGCGACAGTCGTCGCGTGTGCGGAGGGATATCCTGGAAAGTATGCAAAAAATCGACAAATTAGCATCCAGAAAGTGCCCGAGGATACGTTCGTATTCCACGCCGGTACCAATATGGACGGAAAACATGTGATCTCTACCGGAGGTCGAGTGATAGCTTCGACAGCAACGGCAGCCACGTTGGAAGATGCAGTGGCGAAAGCGTACAAGGGTATGAGTTGTATCAAGTTCCAGGGGATGCACTTCAGAAAGGATATCGCACACCGTGCTTTCGCGAGAAAGGAGCAGGAAAATGGAGCCGGAAGTGAAGCTTTAACGTATGCTTCCGCTGGCGTTTCAATTGACGCAGGCAACAACCTGGTTGCGAGAATCAAACCGGCGGTCAAGTCGACATCTCGTCCTGGTGCTAATGCAATCATTGGTGGTTTCGGTGGAGCTTTCGACCTTGCAAGAGCTGGCTACAGCGACAAATCACCAATGCTCATCGGAGCTATCGACGGTGTCGGTACCAAGCTCAAAATTGCACATGCCACAAATATCCATGACACTGTGGGTATTGACCTCGTTGCTATGAACGTGAATGATTTGGTCGTGCAAGGAGCTGAACCCCTTATGTTCCTGGATTGCTACACATGCAGTATCTTGGATGTCGACATCGCAAGCAGCTTCATCAAAGGTGTTTGTGATGGTTGTAAGACTGCCAACTGTGCCTTGGTAGGAGGTGAAACAGCTGAGATGCCTGGACTTCTGAGCGGCACCGAGTACGATGCTGTTGGCGCGGCAATCGGTGCTCTCGACACCGCGGCCGGGAAACGGCTTTTGCCTGACACGGAAAGCATGGTCGAGGGCGATGTACTCCTTGGCCTGGCCTCGGACGGTCTCCACTCCAATGGGTTCTCCCTGGTACGCCGCGTCGTCGAGAAAATGCGCTTGAACTTCTCGGACCAGGCACCATGGATGCCGGACCAGACTGTTGGCCGATCTCTGCTAACACCAACCCGGATCTATGTCAAGCCGCTGCTTCAAGCGGTCAAGCGAGATCTTATCAAGGGCATGTCGCACATCACAGGCGGCGGTCTCACCGAGAATGTTCCTCGAATGCTGCCAGATCATCTTTCTGCCAAGATCGACGTATCATCGTGGGCTCGACCCGCGGTCTTTGAGTGGCTCCAGCGCTCTGGCAACATCAGCAATACGGAAATGGCACGAACATTCAATAATGGTATCGGTATGGTTCTCGTCGTATCCGATGTTGCCTCGGGTGAGGTCAAGAAGATCCTGGAAGCTGAAGGAGAAACGGTCTTCAAGCTCGGCAAGTTGGTGAGCAGGGATGGTCAAGAAGGTTGCATCTTGAGTCATCTGGACAGTTGGTCAACCTAAAGGATGCATTTTCTCACTCTTGAGAGCAAAATCTTCTTTGAGAAAAACTTAGTGAGAAGGCCCTCGGAGCGGTTTTCCATTCCAAATGCCTGCAGCAATATAGTGAGCCTCTTATCTTGCGAACAAACCTCCATTTGTCTGCGAGCGCTTGGACTTCAGTCATATGTTACGGGATTCCTGCTGCAACGACCAATGTTCTGCCTCCAATCTACGCATATTGACATATCCTGAGACGCACCCACGAGCCGTCGACCGGAGTGCTGACTTGCTCTTATCCCCAAGCTCTTGGCTACCGAGCTCCAAGCGGCGAGCAACAAACACGACGAATATTCTTGGGTTTATTTCCCAGTGAATGCAAGCCAGATATCGACCTTCAAAGCATCTCTGTTGGCCTTCTTCGTCGTTAATCTGCAGACTTAAGAACCAGCGACTGACGTTGCAGTGATACTGCAAAGTAGCGTTACGAAGCTTCCTACCTCCTGGCATTCTTTCAGCTGTGGCAATTATGTTATCTGAACTATCGTTTTTGGTTCTATGAAAGCGTTTGGTTTGGGGGCTTACCAAGCTGTTGGTTTAGCGTTGCACCACACAACCCATCAGAGGGAGCAGCATACCTCGGGATCTACTCTTTTCAAAGATGGAATTTCCGTCAAACCTGGCAGAAAAGTGCAAACTCTGTCATCAAAGCTACACCAAACGGAAGGAGGCAGACCCCCTGAATATGAATCCCGGGGTCCGCTATAACCAGCATGCGACAACATATGTGTTGGAGCCGATTATCTGAGACATCTTGTCACTGATGTGATAGGAGCGTACTGAGTCATCAAAAGGACTTCTTTCCCATCTCTTGTTGGCTGCACCCTTGATGGCAGAGCATGTTAGGCCGAAATCGAGCTGACCGGACCTTGACGCAACCAAGGAGGCTCTGGGGGAAATTTGCTGATCGTACAGTCACTGATTGAGTCGGATTGCTAGACCTTCATGGGTCGAAGTTGTTAGGTTCATGGAGGAGCATGGTGTTTCATGTCTTTTCAGTAGATCACAGATCGGTCGTCTAGTTTGGCGTCGCTTACAATCTCTTACGTTGTAGCCACCGTAGATGCTAAAGTCCTTTGTTATTGTACTTCTCATGCGGCTCTCAGTCCGAATCGCACTAGATAAGGAGGGACCTTTGACGTTATGCGGTGAATGTTGGACATCGAAGCTTCTTGCTTCAGACTTGTCCTCGCTCCCGGCATTACCTCGGCTGATGTTTTGTGAAAAAGTTGCCCTTGCCAACTCCAGTTCGCCTTTTGCCCTTGAGCATGATTGTACAATTGATGTTCCTCGATAAAATTTATCTCAGTGCTCGGAGGTATTTTCAGCCAGGCTCAGACACCTAGTACTCCCCTGAATTGCCACGGTCTTCGTTTTCGTTCCCCGCGATCCCACGATATTCATATGCTACCCCTTCCCGTCCGACAGCATGCGGGCGCAAAATATCGGAACCACCGCAGGATACATGCGATAGCTCTCGCCGGAACCCCTGTGCTATCAGACGTCGCGTCTCCGTTTCACTCTCCTGTTCGTTCGCGATGGGTAGGCCGCGCCTCCATTGGTCGCAGTCGTCACCAAAGCCGGTCTCTCACTGTGTCCAGACCATGGTTAGAAGCACATAAGCCAGCGCCGAAGACGCGAGCAACGCACGATGCCGTGGTTCTCTCGTCCAGTGCACTTCTGAGAGCTGCAAAATATCGAACATTAGCGACTCTACTACAAAAACGCGGCAGGACACTGGTTCCGCAGGGCGCGTCTATATCGGATGTCTCCTTCGAAGATGTATTGAATGTCGTGGAGGCTGAAGAGAGCATTGGCTCGAATCATTCTAAAGTAGCAAAGCGGCTCCGTGAAGTCTTCCCAGGACGATCACTTGAAGAAGTCATGGGCGAGTTAGAACTTCTAGAGGACGGACAACTGCGAAAATCGTCGGCTGGGCAGAAGCTTGCGTTTGATGAACGAACAAAGAACACACTGATAAACTTGGGCCTGGTGGATGAGGGTAGGAACGACCGAACTCAGCAACCCGCCGACCATGATTCTACAGCCGTACCCGCCCCTAGCAAGAAACCCCTCTCCGTCAGGGCGCCTACGGCACAGCCAACAATACGACGATTAGCGGGAGCTGGGAGAGTTCGACCGTTTCTCTCCAGCAGGACCTCCTCAAAAGTATCGGACTCGAAATCTGAGCCACGCCAGGAGACTGAATTGTTCGAGAATCAACAAGAGATCGATCTCGAAGGGTTCGATTTCAAGCCTCTGGATGTGGAAAGATCACAGGTACCACAGTTAAGCCACGACCTGTCTCGGGTGTTGTTCAATCCCGGAGTTTATCAACTGCAAGATCCTAGATCAAGAGTCTGGAATTTTGATCCTTACCTGGGGAAGTTAATGCCGGTGTCCGAGTTTAATTATGACGCTTTGAACCAGTACATCACCTCCTCTCAGGATCAAACTCTCCGCGACGTGGCTCTGCAGCACGACAAGCGCTACATCGGCTCTACATCGAGCATGTCTGGCGTTTTGGCTCACTTCCACTTTCTTCTCTCGAGGTGGCGCGAATTGACGCTGGACCATCTTTCCCGCGGGTTTCGAGATGATGGATATCAGTTCACCAAAATACAGCGCGGGCCCTCGGCTATTTTCCTCAAATACAAAGACGGAGTATATGCAGTCGACGCAGATAAAGAATACGATTCTGCAAATATTCTCATGAGCTTGGGCCGGTCGATGGAAAAGCTTTTGACCAACGACAAGGACGTGTTCGAGACATACAGAAAGACGCGTGGCGAGGACGAGGCTAACCAGGCTCAGCCTTCAGAACCTGAAGCCTATCACTACAGCGAATTAGGCTCCTTCCTGATCAGGTCGCAACTTGACGCGTACGACCCAAGGCTGCCGGGTACGGGCATGTTTGATCTGAAGACGCGCGCAGTAGCCGCCGTCCGAATGATGGTACGAAAGCACGAACAGGGCGTTGGTTATCAGATCAAACAAAGATTCGGAACATGGGAGTCCTATGAACGAGAGTACTATGACATGATGCGGTCTGCGTTTCTCAAATACTCCCTTCAGGTGCGCATGGGAAGGATGGACGGCATTTTCGTCGCTTATCACAATACGGAACGTCTCTTCGGGTTCCAATATATTCCGCTCTCAGAAATGGACCTTGCTTTGCATGGGCAGACTGATGCGACGCTAGGTGACCGCGAGTTCCGCCACAGTATTAAGCTACTCACCGAGATTTTCAATGCAGCAACCGAGCGCTTCCCGGAGCAATCGTTACGATTTCACTTTGAAACACGGGAGGCCACCCAGGCGCACGCTCCTTACATGTATATCTTTGCTGAGCCTGTGACTGATGAGGAGATTGTCGACATCCAAAACTCGAATCGCGAAGAAATCGAAGCCTTTGAACAACGCATATTCAACCCGGAGAAGTTCCAGAAGGAGCGTAACACAAAAGAGGAGGATTTGGAGGCCGAGGACAATGACTTGGAGACCGCTGTGGACAACACTTCACAAGCAACTTCTGCTGAAGCAGTAACGCCTGGAACACCAAATCGTCAGTCGAATGCAGCTGATGTCGACTTCCTGGAGAGTCTGATGGGCGTGGATCTACCTGCCGTGAAAACGCCAGTGCCAGAGAAGCCAGCTCCGTCATCAAAGGTAGATGTAACCGCCGACAAACCTTTACTAGGGTGGAAACTCAACATTACAAACTTGGTGAACAAACTCCCGGTTGACCGTCCACAGGACTTGAAGCCGAGCGACAGCTGGAGTGTTCGATATAGCTTGACCCCTATGAAGGATGCATCCAGCCGCCGAAACTACGTCCTGTGCAAGAACCGGCGGAAGTCGGTGTTGCAGGCTCCCCAAGACGAAGACACCTCTGTCCAGTATTACATCCAGCGATTGGTGTCGATGAGCAAGGAGGGGGCTAAGTGGCGTCGAAAACTGGATGAGTTTGACGCTCAACGGGAAAAGATTGTGCTCTACGGCGATCGAATCTCTGGTGAGAAGCCAGAGTGAACGATGCAATGACAGATTGTGTATAAATGTAGAATATGGGTTGTTTCACCCTTGGGTCCTGAAATGACTCCTGTACCATCAAAACGAGGAAGATGTGTTTGGTACGTAGAGATTCAGGAGCGTCTTACGTTGTCCTTCTGCCTGCTCTCCGTATTTCAGGACACGTATAGCACAATGGCGTTGGACAAGGTGTATCTGGGGGGCCAAAAGGCGTCCAAGACATCGAGAGAAACATGTTTCATTAGCGGCATCTAGAGGTCACGTAGTGCAAAATCGCAAGCTGATATTGTGTCTTACTTCGTGGTGATATCCAATTTGTCAAAGGATCTATTTGGGCCAGGGGGTTTGGTGTGGTGGCTTAAGTCCCTTAGGTATAGAAGGAGTTATTTTAGGTGTCTTCATCAAGAGCGACGGTCTTGTAGGATACTGATCATGTTGTACAAGCTAAAGCCTAAGACTCTCGGAGAGCCCATTCAATATCCGACCCACGACAATCAGGCTCTCGTCAAGACATCACTCGGCAATCGTTGATCCGAGATGGCGAGGATGAAACCCGAGTCAAAAATGGTGCCGGGGTTTACGGGGCGAGTGGTGAGCCTGTTGAGCCTATTAATTCGATCTCTTGGGCACCAGGAACGGAAAAGTCTTAAGGAAGACACAGCCGGTGTCACCTAACTAACTACCTGTAGGTAGTGGCCTGGCTCGCTAGGCGAGTGCAGGGACCGAGAGAGCCTACGATATGGAGGACGTGTGGTAGGCTGGTGAGGGTCACTAGGCATACGTTGTCGTACGCCTAGGGAGCCCTCCGGTGCTGAGTACCAGCCTCGTTAGAAGGTACTACTAAGGCTATTAGCCTCCCTAGCCGGAAGCTACCTAAATACCTTAACTCAGTTCTGGTCGATTTTGGGCCTCTTGCATCATCATCATAGCATTAGCATCCGCAGCCCTGCATGCTAGGTAACCCACGTTTCAAGGCGTGGGATACATCATGTATGAAAGAGAACTCTATATCCAGCTTCCTTCTTTTGACCTTTGTACAAAGTCCAGGTCGCGTTTGTGCGAGGAGATCAATCTCATCAATCTACTTTTTCCTTCCCTTTATATGTTTTCTTATTCTTTCACTTCTTCCCCTTGGCCAAGCCGAATATCTCTACCCATCCCTCCTGGTTCCGCACCGTCACCGCAGCCCCCACGAGCGTTGCCTGTATATTGTCCCTCCAAGAATCACTAGATCTTAGACTCGACGTACGTTCCCCGGCTGTTACCGCTGCTGCGATCTTCTGGAGCATTCACCTCGACCAGGTCGCATGCCTGTGATTGTCGTATGACCAGGAAGCGCCCGGAGCTGAAGCTCGGTCTGATCGAGGCTTTCTGCGGAAGCTTAAGAGACGGAACTACTACCCGCTGGCGGTTGGGCACATCCGAGATCTAGAGGTGGTGAAAATGGTGCTCTCCTGATTTACACGAGCGCTTTGAGTACGTGAAGGTCCCCCAAGGACTCAAATGAGGATTCTGGTCGGATAGTCGTCAGATATCAAGCCACCCAACATGGCGGACAAACGACGCAGGAAGAGCCTCAGCATATTCAAGCAAAAGACGGATCATGGAATGCCACCTTTATACATCTCACCCAGCGCTGCAGAGAAAAAGTCTGCAGACTATCCGCCGAGTCCTGTTGAGTCGGAGCATTCAAGTCCCAAGGCTCGACCTAGGACCCTACAGAAAAACCGTAATTCGGTCTTCGGCTCTTTACGATCGCTACACTCACTCGACGAGTCAGAGAAGGCCTTTCTGACAAGATCCGACTCTAAGGCGTCTTCTCTCCATGATGAAGTCGAGATTCAGATAAAGGGACTGTTAGGTGAGAAGGTTCTGCAATATGGTGAAGTGCAGGCTGCTGGCACAAATGTTTTTCGGAAGAAGATACAGTTCATGGTGCTCACCGAGTCACACTTGATACGCTTCCGCAGTCAAGCTAAAGCCATTGAAATGTTTCCGACCATTTCCAATAGCCTGAACAGAGGTCATAATCGGCGATCATCCTCTGTGGGTTCCACACCAGAGCTTCAAATGTCAGCGTATACAGATATTACTTCTGGCGTGCCCCTGAACCAGGTTATTGCTATATACAGTACGGATGATGGCCGTCCTTTTCTCACAGTGGAAGTTGCATACCTTGATGAGCGGACAAGAAGAGCGTCTATGATGCAGCTCCAGGTCAACGATCTCCGAGAAGCTAATCTATGGGTTTCGGCAATCCGTTCTGCCACTCTTCAGGCCGCTCCGCCGTTGTCGAAACAAGTTCAAGATACGACATTGGAGCATCTGGCCCGTGCCATCGAGCGTGAACGGGATTATGATCCCGATCATTTTCATGTTTTCAAGGTGGTCCAACGCTCGTTCAACAGGTCCGTAGGCCGAGCCTCTGCTGAGGATTTGACCAGGCTTGGTTCTGCAATCTCGTATCTGGTTCTGGGGCTCCATAAAGTCCACCTCGTGCCGCTGTATCGGTCTTCGACGAGATCCTCAAGCGCGTCTCTGAACGAAGTGGATAACGTAACCTCGTTCGCTATCGTGAACCTGGCTATGGTATCAGTGCAGGCGCATGAAGATGCCTTTCAGCTACTGTTCAAACCACCAACAGGGCAACCAAACAATCTTCGTCTGGCGTCAAGCGCTGCAGGGGAGATCGCACTTCGCTTACGATTCGCCTCCGAATACCTTCGACCGCAATGGCTCAGGCAGCCGTTCCTATTTGAGATTCCAGCCGATCTTGATGATCAATTAGATCCCCCTAATTTTCCTAACGAAGATCACGATTGCTTCGACCGTACACTGATTGCGTATTGCGCCGGGTATGATGTTAACACGTCCCGAATTTGTTATTCTGTGGACTACGACTGTGAAGATGCGCCTCGTTTTCAGCTCTTGGCTCCATCGACAGGCACCTCTTATTCGGCGCTCGAGTTGCTAGCGGTGCTTCGAGCGCTGCGATACAATGAGTCCTTCTCGTCGATCTCCTTCACCCATATCGACCTCGACCCTCTTCGAAATTTGTACGACACTTTTGGGGGGGACTTGGACAGTCTTTTCACCCGATCCGGGAATCCCACCAATTTGGCAGGTCATCAAGACCTCCCCGTGATTTGTCAAGAGGTACGAGCTCTAGCTCTAAAGAGCCGGCGCCTAAGACGGTTGGACTTTTCCTATACCATGCCACCTAGGCCGATCGCAGATCATGAGCCACTTCCGGAGTGTTTCATCATGGAAGCACTTGCCCCGTTGTGCAAACGATCACTCACCAACGTCGACTGGATAGTGCTCACGGGAGTACGCCTTACCGAAACAGACCTAAACTTTTTGGTCGACGCTGCAATAGAGAGGCGGTGCCATTTCCGTGCGCTGGAGATTGGTGAGTGCGGCCTATCTGTTCACGATATCGACGTGCTTCTATCTGCGTTGGCCGTGCAAGAGAGCACAATGGAAGTCATTGATATCTCGGGGGCGCAAGGCCGTTTCAGCCCCGAAGTATTTCAGCGTGAAATTGGTGCATTCAGTCATATTCGACGTTTGAACCTCACCCGGGTGCAGAAAACGGCAGGACCTGAGCCTCTGGTGGCCCCCGAAGCTCTATACGCCTGGAAATTGGAAGGCCTCTATCTATCACAGACAACGCTGAACGAGCAGACGGTGGACTCGATCTCGACCTATCTTGCCACTCCTAAATCAGACATTTTACGTGAGTTGCACATTAACCAGTGTGGTCTGACTGGACGGGACCTGGCCACATTCTTTCGATCGATGACAAGGGACGATAATCAGCCACGCATCATGCATGTGAGTGCCAATGAGAACCGTTTAGAGACGGGAAGTACTGTCCTGTTCAAGACAATTGCTCAAAGTTATGGACCTTCGTCCTTGAGTATGAGAATGATGGACTTTGAGAAAGAGAGTCATTTTCGAGAACTCGTCAGGGCTCTGACTATCAACGCGTCTCTACGAAGCCTCGACATATCACGCGCTTCGCTGCCGTACGATGCTAGCGTGGAGACCTGTGAGGCGCTGAAGGAGATGTTCGCCAGGAATGAAACTTTGGAAGAACTTGATATCAGTGGTGAACATGCTCATCTGGATGCGACGAGATTTGGCATTGGACTGAACATTGCTTTAAGGGGATTGGCCACAAATAAAACACTCAAGGTGCTACGAATCGAGTATCAAAGCTTGGGCTTGCAAGGTGCAAATACTTTGGCTGAAGTTCTGCAGAGGAATGACACCCTCGTGGAGATCCATTGTGAACATAACGACATCAATTTGCAGAGTTTCACCTCGCTTGTCAATGCGATGGAACACAACCACACCTTGCTCTACATGTCGTCCATGGACAGTGATCGGGCCAAATCCATTGCCAATGTTCGACGAGAGATTGACACGATGGAACGCGCAGACAGCCCCAGACAAGCCAAATCTTCGGGCACGCTTAAGAAGACACTCGCCGGATTTGGCGGCAAGACTCATCGGCACGGCCACCGTCACAGCAGTTCTCAGTCATCAAATACATCCTTTTCTGAGCAGGATGTCGCGGCAGCCATGGCTACGCTGGAAGAAAAATGGAATGTCCAGGTCGGCCGACTCCAGAAGTACTTGTTCCGTAATTATTGTCGTTCACAGGGAATCCCCTGGGAGGACGAAGCAGCGGGCGAGCACAGCCATCAAACCTCAGGTGTGGTAGGAGATTCAATGGCCCAGATATTGCAAAGTGTGCACTTGGACCAAACGCCTACCAAAGATAATCCATTCACCCAAGACTATTTCCATGAAAGATTTGGAGAACACAATCGCTCCATCTTTCAGCTTCCCGAGGACTGAAGGGTAGGGGAGAATAGGTTAGGCGTGAGCAGCGACCTGTATTTTTTTCCTATCATTGGACATTTTATGATACCCATGTCTTTCTTTAGAGAACCATGACCACCTTGCATTTGACTCTTGCTTTTTTGGGAGAGGACGAGCATGGCATGCGTCCCGCGATGACTACAGGTAATGCATGGAATCGGGCGTTTGGAATATGCTCATAGCTGAATTCATCATGTACCCCATCTACCTTCCTACACACACAGAATTGTGACGATTGCTAGATATCTGTATTATGATCAGCCCGTAAGGGGTCTAGTGAGCCTCAGCCTCAGCCTCAGCCTTTGAGAGGCCACCGTCTGCCGTAGGGCCCTTTAAGTAAGATGCTTATATTTAGGTACAGTAGGTACATCGGATTTTGCCCCGTGTAAGTGTGTCCACGAGAGGGCGCCATGTATTGAACGAGTACTTGTTCAGTATAGAATTTAAGGTCTATCATGCTTGCGTCCGCGGTCCAGCAGCAGTTCACGCGGATCGGACAAGCTTGAACAAATAGATACAGACCAACCTGAGACAACAGGTGACAGGACTATTACTCGTACAGGCCATACGCCACCGACGACTAAGCAGGGCCATGTTTGGTTTTTTTTTCTTTTCAGGCAACTCATCGAGCATCTACGGAGCTATGTATGAAGCAAGGCCCTCATGCAGGGTGACGGAGAAGAGGAGGGATTTTGCTTTGAACGATCCGTCAGCTTTCTTCCGTCAGCCTCTGCAGTTAGGCCAGCCAGCTGGGGAATTTCTTGCCATTCGACACACATGTGCCTGAAGTCATGCATCGGAAGGGTTTGAATGCTGTGTTGAGTGATTAAAAAAAAATTCAAACTTCCAGTACGCGTACTCTACCTCGGTAACGACGTGTTCGTAGAGTCTTCCGAGTAATCCGTATCTGTCACTTGGCTGCAATGTATGGTTGGCCACCTCAGCGTATGACGGGTATCATGACAACAACTGGTGTCGGGTTGTTTGATGCCCACCTGAAGGCCCGTTGCGAATACGTGTATCCGGAGTGTTAATCAGCACAATGACCGTATGGAACCTTACCTAGATGAGTTGCAATTTGCGAAGGAAAGCTGTTGAAGAAGCATTCTAGGCAAAACGTGGGCCAGTCAGGTATACTCTGGGCAGCTTGCTAGGTACGGAGTAGGTAATAGGTACTCGGACACTGCAGCACAGATCAACCGCGTGGGAAAAATTAGAGTGAATAACACGAGAGAATGCGTATTGTGCAAATTCTCTCCGCTTGACCTGGGTCGCAAGGACTTCCACATGCAGAATAATGGCTCACTAGTCAGTTAGGCATCCCTTAGACACCGAAGGCGTCCTGGCTTGGTAATTAGAGTACGGAGGCGTGCTCCATTTGATGTTGCAGACGCTAGTAACTAGTTTACTTGGCATACTAGGATTATGCAAGGGTCTAGAGATCATTGAATCGCCTCACCAAAATTGTATGGTGAAACCTGAGAATAGGTCCTGCAATGCATCACTTGCGTAGCACTCTCACACCTTTTGCATTGACCTTGTTGTTGACACCTAGAGCCTTGCAAGGCTGAGTTCTTGTATAGACAATCATGGTGTTGATGATTTTACTTGCCTCTATGCCTGCGGGCTCCGCATGATGCTCCGATAATGTTCTGTTGATCAACTCAATGATCTCCTGTCCATCTTTCATATGGGCTCTCCCATAGAAATCATGGAAGCCTGTTTATCCTCAGCATAGTCATCCACATTATAGAGATCCTCCTCTTCCTGATTGACTGCATCTTCGTAGTCCTCCTCTTTTTCCTTCTCATTAATCCAGCAATGCTTGTAAATCTCTCCAATCTTGCGGCGACCTTTATAGGATCTCTTGATTTCACGCCTCTCTAGATATTTATTGCCTCCCTTAAGTTCTATCACCTTCTTAATATTGTGAGGAATATCTTCAATCTATTTTTAAATCTGTGATTGCGGTAATGCTTTCCAAGCATTATTCCACCTCTTACTGAGTTCTTTTTTGCCTCGCGCTGATTCATGAAAGCTTGTTCTCTTCTTTATCCATGGCTAGGCCTTCTTGATAGCGTTGAGATCGGGAGAATTTTTAGGCCAAAGAAGTCGCTTGATGTTGGCGAGTGAATAGACAGTAGAGATAAAGTGTTAAGTATAAGGTGAGGTATTATCTTTCTGAACTATAGCTTCAGGGCCTAGTTGCTTTATAAATAAAATTATCTTTACTTGAATAATCTCCTAATAAATATAAGTAATAATTATCTTGTTAAAGCCTTACTTACTTTATAATATCGATATTAATCAATACCTCCTTTCGATGCCTCTCTTATAAGTTTACCTTGTTTCTTTATAAAACGCTATTAAGGCTTCTTTTCTAGCCAATTTCGCAGGCCTAGTTATAAGAGACTTAATTCCAACTTCTAGACTAACTTTATCTTAGGCTCTCTTATTTTATTCAACTCATTGATCTCCTTTTATACGGCCTCCTTCTCTTTTACGGTCTCTATCTTTCAGATATAATAAGGACCTTTCTCATAATATAAAAAGCAACCTCAAAACATAAACTCTGAGAAGCCTTTCCAATAATTCTAAACAGATAACTTTTTAAAGGCCTTATCCGCGCTTCACTAAATATATTAAGAGTCTCGGCGGCAAAGAACAACACTTGTTTCATCACTCTATATCACCTTTTTCCAATCCTCAAGTGTCCAATATTGATGGGCTAAACAGAATTCGAGACGCGCTCTTTGTTGGAGCTTGTTAAGGCCAGGCTTCCTGGTGAGTTTTATATTTGACAATCCATTTTTATGTAGAATGCGATTTATAGAGGTAACACTAACACCATACTTATAGGCGAGAACCTCAGTTGATTTTTCATGACTGACTCTATCTTGACGAATATTGGTGATTATATCACTCTCGACAGTCTCCTTAATCTCCTTCGGTCTTCCCGCCTTATATCCATCCTCAATGAAGTGATCCAGAATGCGTGGATCTTCCTGCGGGTTGAAACCTCTCTCCTTTGCCTTCCGCATAATATTGTAGACAGTTCTTTCTATCATCCTGAGTCAAGAGGCAATATTACTAGGCTTATATCTAAGTGAAGAGAGAGTAAGTGCCTGAGCGCGTTAAGCAAGAGAATATCGAGTTCCATGGTCGTTCGATGCTTTTGTTTCAGGGAGAGGCCGAATCGCAGGAGAAACTTTTCGTCTAGGCCGCTGAGATTCTCTCTCTTTAGCGGTCCCTGCGGCCAGATTAGAAAGCGAAGAAGGCATGGTGATAAACGCTAACCTTTCAATAGGCTTGAACAGCATGAGGCCTCATTGATATCCATATCGCGACGCTCAACAATATGCGAGGATTGCGCTTGTTGAGAAGCCTTCAACTCAACAACTAAAAGACTCCAATCATGAGAACAATATATGTGATATATGGTGTGATAATGCAGTCAACCGATGAAATCAATGCATCAAACTGGTAAGGCTTGAAAGATATCCCATACAAATTGCTAGGGAATGTTTACACCGCCTACATAGTCTAGGTCAATGGCGCATTTAGCGTCTGCGCTAATATTTAGCGTCTGCAACATCAAATGGAGCACGCCTCCGTATGTAAGTAACTGTAGGTGCTACAGTATTTCCCGAAAACGCCCTCCCTTGCTCTGATGGACAGACAACTTGAAATTTCGTCAACACTTGAAGATGCGAAGGAATAAGTGTTAAGTTAAGTGGTGTCTGGCCAGGTTTGGCGCAACTTTGTGCTGAACATTGGCTGGGACGTTTAGCATGAGGTTGCGCCTTATTGGGCTAAGACGCTGCTAGTCATTCCTTAGCGCACTGTATTTGGTGTATTGTAATTTCTCCCAACGCGCGAGGAGCAGTGTATTACGGGCTGCTCCGTACCGTTATCCGTACGGTGCGTATTGCATAATGGCCATTCATTGCACTGCCACAATCTAAACTGTTCTTGGTCCTCTCTCTGCAAGTTTTCAATCCAACCTCATCAAGTCTCATTTTACTTACTCTCCCTGCGCTAACAACTTTGACCCTCATTTGTATACCCGACGTTCCTTTGACCTCACTCTCTCTTACTTTGGTACTTGTTTCATTTTTCCTTGGAGGTGTCAAAATACTCCGTACAAACCAAAACCAACTGCTGGATTCTTTCCTTTGGTACCAGTAGAACGACCCTCCACGTCCTCGATACTCCTCATCTCATCCGCCACAAGCCCCCAAAACGATGACATCCACCCTGCTCTCTCCTTAATTTCCCTCGCCATCACCGAAGACCTACGTCGCGGTACTCGACCTCTCTTGATTCGGAGTGTGTATCACACGCCTTTCTTCCCCAAAAACGCAGGGCACATCAACGAAGAATCGAACACCCAAACCTTTACACTCCTTCTCTGGCGCGCGCACAACGGGGTACTCTGCCCGCATCTCTCTCTTCCACGATGCGTCGCAGTGTTGTTATCTTCCTCCTAACCACGATCGTCGTCGTCACATTACTCCTACACTCTGTATCGACACTACTGTCATTACTCATTGAAGATGCTTCTCGCGATGCCATCCACCGCACCGACATCCCCGCGCCCAACTCGACCCTCATCGACAACAGACCGCAACTGATCCCCAAGATCATTCATCAGACGTATAAGAATGAATCAATCCCGTCGCGCTGGCTGTCCGCTCAACAGTCATGTATCAAACTCCACCCCGACTACGAGTATATCCTGTGGACCGACGACAAATCCTATGACTTTATCGCCAAGGAATACCCCTGGTTTCTCAGCACCTTTACAAGCTACAAACACAACATCCAGCGCGCCGATGCCATTCGATATTTCGTTCTCGCCCACTACGGCGGCGTGTACATCGACCTCGACGATGGGTGTGAGCGACGTCTGGACCCTTTACTGAGCTACACTGCCTTTGTGCGCAGGACCGTACCGACGGGCATCTCCAACGACGTTATGGGCTCTATTCCCCAGCACCCCTTCTTTCTCCGGGTCATGGAGAGTCTGCCGGGCGCAAACCGGAGCTGGGTCCTGCCGTACATCACCATCATGGCGAGCACAGGTCCGCTGTTCCTCAGCGTGATTTGGAAGAAGTGGATGGGTGAGCATGCCCATCTGGACCCGGAAACGTGGATTGGGAGGGTGCGCGTCATCATGCCCAGCGAGTACAGCAACCGTCCGTGGAGCTTCTTTAAGATTTACAAGGGAAACAGTTGGCATGGGAACGACGCGCGGTTCATCTTCTGGATGGGCAAGAACTGGATGCTACTCACGGCGCTTGGATTCTTGCTTGCGGGCGTCCTGGGGTTGTTGATCTGGTGGGTCTATTCTAGGCTAATCATCATGGGGTCCAGACGCCGCGCTGCCGGAGGCAGTCCTCGAGTGAGTCCGTTCAGGACCGCTGGTGTCGTGCCCAGGGTGCCCTTGTGGAAGGTCTGGAGTGGCAAGTCGCAAAGTTATGAGTTGGTCGAGCAGCATGATGCATGAGAGCACATCTACACACCTCGGGGCCCAACAACTTGGGGGATTCTGGGTCTCGCTCCTATCCCATGCCCCTATTGTGAGGCTGTATGTGTGGGTGTGGATGTGGATGTGGATGTGCTTATAGGCTTGTGCGTCTGTTTTTGAGCGATGGCGTTCTGGCGGGGACTAATAAAGAATTCCCCTTAATGACTATTTGTGGTTTCCTCATGCCGTTTCCAAGAGGGGTGATCGTTCACCTCGACCGGTTTCGGTGTGTATCACAAAGTATGAACTACGAAAGAACGGGAAGAGCACCTGTACGTGCGTGAAAGCAGGTTGTTCGCTGTCGTTTGTTCTGCCCTGGCTGGCTGGCTGGCTGGCTGGCTGGCAAGCAAGAAAGAACCCGGCAATCCCCTTTGGAGTTTGTTTCGATGTGTGGTAAACACATGGAGATCAAAATATTCGAAGCCTCGACCCGGCGGTCTTGGCCACCCCTGTCTCTTTTCATTTTTCAGGGTGGTCGGTACCAGGGTGCGTGGTGCACGCATAACTCTATATAAAACCTACCTCTTTTAATAAGACACGTTATTCACTTTTTGTCGGTACTGGCAACTTTACGGCCTTCTTGACTTCTTGTACAATCTATATAGTGTCTATGAAATTTTTCGCTTCGTACATGTCTCGTTCAGTGCCCATTGCAATGCCGGGACGAAGCGAAGACCGGTCCTTATCCAGAGTCCAGGTCGAATCGTTGCTCTTTCATGAAGGGCACTCGCAGCGCCCCGTGTTCATTCTATTTTCTTTTTCCCCCGTTCGCCTCCACAATTTCAGATAGATAGGTACGTGGGTAGGTAGGTAGGTAGGTAGGTACCAGGGTAACGCATCGTGACCACTGGCGCAGAGTTCGGGGGTATGTGCTCGCAGTCGTACTCGAGGTCGTTGCTCATAGCGACCGACTATCGATATCCCATGCGTCGGAGCACTGGATCGAAGCCGGAACCCCCTACCCGGATCTCGGACCTTGAATCTGTGGATCGCCGTCGTACCAACTCACCAGCTAGCTACCCATATCTCGCACCTTGAATCTCCGGATCGAACCAGGTAGGCTGAATGCCGTAGTTGATGACTGTACTCTTGAGTTTCGTGTAGCTTTCAAAGGCGTCCTGGCCGTTCTCCTTGCCGACGCCGCTCTCCTTGAAGCCGCCCCAGGGCGACGACGGGTCGTTGAGATGGTGGCCGTTGACCCACACGATGCCGGCGTCGATCCTGCTCGCGACGCGATGGGCTTGGGCAAAGTCGCTCGTCCACACCGAGGCGCCCAGGGCAAAGGCGGTGTCGGTGTTAGCGATGCGCACGACGTCGTCCTCGGACGCACACTTGATGACGGCGATGACGGGGCCGAAGACCTCGTTGCAGGCCAGGTCGGTGCCCGGGGAGGTCTCGACGACGGTCGGCTCGAAGAAGAAGCCCTTCCCGTCGACGGTGGTCGGGTTCCCGCCGCACAGCACCCTGCCCGTTCCGTCGCGCCGGGCGCGCTCGACGAAATCGGCGCACCGCGCCACCGACGCCCGCGAGATGACGGCGCCGATCTGCGTGCTCGGGTCCTGCGGGCTGCCGACCTTGAGGGCCTTGACGCGCGAGACCAGCAGCTCCACGAACGCGTCGTACATGTCCCGGTGCACCAGGAGCCTGCTGCCCGTGACGCACGTCTGGCCGCTGGCGATGAAACTGGCAAACAGCGCCGCCTTGACCGCGTCGTCGACCGCGAGGCTGGGGAACAGGCACACGGGTGCTTTGCCGCCGAGCTCCGCCGTCATGGGCACCATGTTCAGCGCCGCGACCGGCGCGATCGCCCTGTACGTCGCGATGCCGCCCGTCAGGTCGATCTTGGAGAGGTGCGGGCTCTCGCACAGGTACTTCCCCGTGTCGCGGCCGTAGCCGCTGATGATCTGGAGCGTGCCGTCGGGCAGCCCGGCCTCTTGGAACAGGGGCCCCATCTTGAGAACGGACAGCGGCGCGAGCTCCGACGGCTTGACGATGACCACGTTGCCCGCGGCCAGGGCGGCCGCGATCTTCTTCATCGCGATCAGCAGCGGGTGGTTCCACGGCGTGATCTGCGCCACGACCCCCAGCGGCATGCGCGTGAGCGTGTTGATCACCGGCCCCTTGAACGGCGTCACTCGCCCTTCGTACACGCGCGCCAGGGACGCAAAGTACTCCAGCCACTCTGGCACGCGCGCAAGTTGGGCCCGCATCTCGCGGATCGGACGCCCCGTCTGCTGCGTTTCGAGCTCGACGAATTCCGGGATGCGTGCGCGGAGCAGGCTGGCTGCTTTCGACAGCACGGCGTAGCGGTCTGAGGCATCGGCTCGCGCCCAGGGTCCCTGGGTGAAGGCCTGGTTGGACTGTTCGACTATGGCCTTGACCGTGTCCTGTGTGGTTGCGTCAATGGTAGCGAGGGGTTCTTCGGTCGCTGGGTTCAACACTGTGATACGTTCTGCCGATGCTGTAGCATGTGCGCCGTTGACCCAGTTGGATACATGAGGAATGTTTGACATCTTGGTGACTGGCTTTCTCTCTTCTGTCGTCCCGTTAGGCCGGTCGCTTCAATTTGCTTTTTTTTTTGAGGGGCTTATTTCATAGCCACCTTAGCCAGCAGAACGGCTATCAGAGCTTTGAAGTTCAAGACAGTTTGCGTCAAGATGTACAGCAACGAGAGTCACGATGAGACAGAGGGGGAGGGATGGTATTTCACCAGTAGGATCTGGGCAAACCTGGGAATCGGCTCGGGGTACGGCAATTAAGCGGAAGTTTCAGCTCGCTGACAGTTATATCTGGCTCTGTTTTGGTGTGGATATACAGTACGAGAAACTACGGGCGTGGGTATGAGGGCTTTGGTCGTGGTCGGGATGGAGATGAGATAAGATAAGAAAGGAGGCAACCAGTCCCCCCTGACTCAACGTCACCACTCACTCATTCTCTCCGCTTGGATCTCGTAAGGTGAAAACATCGAGGTCTCCGCAGTACGAGTACAGTATGATAATTCTGTACTCATGCCACTCATAAAACCATCTCTGTCTACAGAGTGGAGCCTGAGGACCCTAGGCTTTTTTCTCTTTTCTACACAGTACCAGCGGCTCGGTCATAGCGCACGTGAGAACCTGCTCTACTGGGCTGCTTTGATACTTCCATCAGCTTGACGAACTGTACTCGTAACTGTTCCGATCCGATCCTTTCTCAACCTCATCTGACTTGTCTGTTTAACTTCCAATCCACAATGCCACCTCCATCGAACATCAAAGGTGTCGTCCCGCCTGACCATCTTACCTCCGTGGCCGCAGGCGGCTTCGCAGCGGGTGTTCTGCGCTTCGGCACAATCTCGATGCTCTCACACTTCCTCTTGCTTCGGCATCCGGTCTACCGAGGCCTTACCATCCAGTTCAAGGTCTACTTGCAACTCAGCGCAATTATCCTCGGAGGCTGCATCTTTGCAGAGAAAAGGGTGTCGGAATACAATGATGCAGTGAGGAACAGGAACCGCGCTCTAGAACGCAGTAGGCGAGTCTGGACCGAAGAGCAAGAGTTTAAGGAGAGACTCTCGAGGCGAGAAGCTCCTGAGAAGTGAAAAAACATAATATCATGGTTAGTGGGTAGTCTCCCGGGACTATTTGCCATGCCCGCATTCCCTGCCTGGTCCAGCGAACATATGGGAGAAGTTACTTACTTCCATCCACATGGGGACCAAGGAAGGCTGTGACCGAGCACCCATCACAGCAAGCGAGCGATGGAAAATGTTTGTGGGCAACCCATATTAGAAAGAAACCAACGTCACGATCTACCCCTTCAAAAACTGCTAGACTGCAACACCAAATCGATTCGAGCGTCACGCAGAAAGAATGACGCAGATACTTCTCTTTCAGACTATGAACCAAATTTCTGCCAGAGGGTCTATGATGGGATCATCACAGTCGATGGAACGGGTCTGCTCACCACATCTCCGATTCCTCAGGGGTAAAACAGGCGACGAAACAAAGAAGGGTCTCATTTTAACCTCACAAACCTTTTGTCTTGGAAGGCCAGGAAGACCATGTATATCAACAATGTACAAAATGACTGGACCTCGGCCGCATTGCTGGCGACAAACCAAAAGGACATTGAGTGAATGAAACGAGTGCAAGACCGTATATGAAGACAATTCAATGTGAATTATTAACACAACATCCAAACGAGCCCCTTTACTCACTCCTCAGAAAAACACATCTATCAACAATCTATTCAACAAGACAGAAAGTTTGAGAGGGTCGAAGCCCGGTCATCGCGGCCGGCCCGAACTTCATAGTAGTTATCCTGACTATGACTATTAGTATCAGCTAGCCAGACCTTGAGGTTCTAATGATACAAAAAAGAGCTATGGAAACCGCCGAAGACTCACAGTTCAATTCACTGAACAGCTGGTTTCCAAGCAGACACCCAACCTCCAAAACCACTTGAGCCACAGGGTCGCAACTCAACGTGGTAAGTCCTACTAGTGGCCATCACGGCGTGCTTGGGTTGAGGGAGATTCATTGAATTAGATACATGTACTCCGTACCTAGGGTATCAATTGCCTGTTTCAGTGCGGATACTTGGTAGGGTATTCGCTGAACCCTGAAGTGTGTAGTATACTGTACCTACCTACCTAGACGTACTTACTGCACAAGAAAATGACTCCAGGTAGATGGTTCATTTATTGTATACTCCATACTAGGTATTCGTACCTCGGTAGGTACGGATACCTCTTTCTGTACTTGTGTCTCACGTAGATTTCGTACTCCATAGTTTCGCGATAAGATAAGAATTTTCTCGACGGTAAAACTTCGCAGTTACAGCCTTTGGAGTAACGAGTCGATGCATTATTTTCCAGCGGGCTACCTACCAACGACAATTTCGCTCCGGCGCTCCGAAAAAGTTGATACTCTATACAGCCACGACCGAAAAAATTTCGCATTGCTAAATTTGTCATCTCCCTATCTTCCGGTGAAAAAGAGATTCAAGGTCTTTCTCCAGCGGCGTGGTCACAATGGCTCCTAAACCACCTACATCTTCCTCCTCCCACAAAGCCCCTAAAGCGCGCAAATCGGCGACGGCAGGCCCGTCAGCGTCCAAGTCCTCCAGTAAAGACGGCAGACGGCCGCCGCCAAAGCAAGTCAAGTCGAAGCCCGGTTCGCACTCCAACGGCGGGGCGGCGAACGCAAAAACCTCGAAAAGGCGAGCGCGCACCTACACGGACAAGGAACTCGGGCTGCCGGCGTTGAACATGATCACGCCGGTCGGGGTGCAGAAGCCGCGCGGCAAGAAGAAGGGCAAGATCTTCGTCGACGACAAGGAGAGCATGATGACCATCCTCGCCATGGTGAATGCCGAAAAGGAAGGCCAGATCGAGAGCAAGATGATCAAGGCCAGACAGATGGAAGAGATCCGCGAGGCCAGACGGAAAGAAATGGAGAAGAAAAAGGAACAGAAGCAGCAGGCCCTGGAAGAAGTGAAGAAGGGTTTGAAGAAGGGAAAGAAGGCCAGGGAGACCAAGAGTGGTGGGGACGCGTCAGAGGAGCGTGGGAAGCAGTCGGACGTCAAGGAGAAGAAAAAGAAGAGAGTCTCGTTTGCATGAAAAAGTGAAAAAGAGAAAAACAAAACTGTCCAGGACATCTCATTGTCTTCTAATGAAGTCTATGCGCGACAAAAAATCTATGGTTATATGGGGATGTGCATCTTGCGCCGCATGGGCTCGAAGACAGGCACGAGAGGGTGGCGGTTATTCCGAGAGATTTGTCCCTCGACTTGTGCATCATCAGCATCGGTCCTGGATATGGCATCGAGGTCAATGTCTCGCGCCATGGTTTGGAAGAATGCTGTGGTCTATGGTTACCCCCATTCTGTCAGTCTCACTTTCAACAGTCGTTCAGGGTGGAAACTTACGACCCTTGCAAACCACCTCTTGCCTCCGAGTTCGAACCAGCCTAGGTGGCCACCGGTGCTTGTTGTACACAATACACCATATGGTGTTGTTTGGACCTCTTGTCGAGGCAGAGCCTCACTCGCAGTCACCTGTGCTATCAGAGGGAGGAACAAGCTTTATTGGGGTTCCGACTTACTGGATCATCTTCCGCATGAATCGCGAGAAAGGGAATTCGAATGGCGAGCAGGGAATCTACCGAGGATGCATCACGATAATAAGCTCCTTCTGTTGGGTAACCCCAAGTAGGACCTTGAACATGTCTGATGGTTTCTTAGTAGGCTGCTCATCTTGAGCCTGGCTTGAGACATACCGGTCAAACTCATGAAGATATTTGATCTTGCGGACAGCATCGACGTCTATCTTGGGATTTGTGGATATCTGGTCGATATGACTGCAAGAAAGGATTTGTGAGAAGGGTTAAAAGAAGGAGAACCGTTGTTCCGGGGAGTCTTACGTCTCGAAAAGTCGCTTCATGCTGCTTCCCATCGTGGCGGAGTATGCGTTCCGGTTGAACCACGTCCGTTGCAAGGCAAGACTGCCCGCGTGCAGGTCCCACGGGTTGGAAATGATAACAGCAGCCTGCAAAGGACAGTTGCTGCCTTCCTCTCCAAGGTACTGTAAGCGTTAGTCTTGATACTGAGCGAGACCGGCCATAGGTACTCTGTCCATACATTTGTGAGAATGTTCGCTCCGAGCGAGAATCCAATGCCAAAGAGCGGACGATTGGGAAAAGTCTTTCTCAACCACTTCACGGTCTGTCTCACGTCCCACGTAGCTCTCGCATTGTACATGACGCTAGATGTTACCTTCGTCATAGCACATCCTCTGGAAATAACCACACATGCCTCCCATCCACCTTCTCCAAGAAGGGGAGCTACAACATGCCGGAGATAGAGCTCGTGAGATCCGCCACTCAAGCCGTGAAGCATCACAAGCATTGGGCGATTGTCAAGTGAGCTGATGCCGTTGAATTCCTGTTCTGTGAAATAGGTCGTTCTTGGGGGCAACGTCGGGTCGTGGGCGTCGTTGGGCTTGGTAGCAAAATCAACAGCAAACTGTCCAGTGTATGTAGACTCTTCATTCTCAAAGATCCATCGCTTGTAGTATATGGGAACGGATTGCCGTGACATAACCGTCCATATGGTCTGAAGATGGCCATTGAAGAGGAATGGATTCAGTTGACAGGGTCGAACGGCAGATTTGCACAGGCTTGCGAGCGACGTAGTTCTGCCATCCTTCGTCTTGATTGCTAGGGACTTTGCTGAATGCCAGTATCGAATTCTAGCCATGCCAACAACCTTGCCTGGTGATGTAACAATAGTAACAAAGAGAGCGACGGCGCAAACGGAGACGAAAATTGGACGCCCTTGGGCGAAAATGACTGCGTCCGCCAGCAGGGAACTCATCATGTTTCTAGTTAGCACGGAGCAGCCCTAGCACACTCATCGTGAACGTTATGTCAGTTTGCTCTGCCTCTGAAAATCTCACAGATGAAGGCTATTTGGTCAATACCGCCTGTGCTGAAGGCTGTGGCGTCTGTGCCGAGGAACGCCGAATGATGGGGCTCATTAAGATCCTTCGGGCATCGTGTTCAACACCCAATCGGTTCGTGCGACTTTGGTCTTCTAGATCGGCCTAGTGACGGACGAAACGCGTTCTTTTAACATCACATTACTCCTGTCCCATCATTGTAGAAAATATCAGTTCAACATCAGTCTCGCCTTAAAATCTACAGCAGTAAATCCGACTTGATGAGAATGGCAACAATGGACTTGCACCATGGATTGATATCGTCAGAGGTTTCAGACGCTGGGTGGCGGCGGCTTTTCGCATGAAAGAGATCCAGAGGCATTTCCATACGCGTTTGTTTGCGTGTGGCACTCCTGGATCAAGTCATATTCCTGTGCCAGACAAACGAGAGTCTGGACATAGAGTGTTGGACGCGAAGTAGTGTAAAAGCATTGCGAGCAGGAAGCAGAGAGGGAGGTTCACCGCCCCGAGGCCGCCGTCGCCATGGATCACAACTTTCAATTCAATGCGATGTACACCAATTTCCCTCATCCGCAAGAGCAGCAGCCGCCATCTCAGTCTGTTCTACAATCTCAACACCAGTTTCAGAATCAGAATCGACATTTCCCTTCCCATGTACAGACTCAACCGCATCACACTCCACAGTTTCGACCACAGCCGCGTCCTCCGCCTCAGCCGTACAATCTGCCTCAATCATATCCTCCTCAACCAATTCCCCAGAATTACCCTCAGTACTACTACAACCACGACCAGCCGTACCAGTCGCCGATCCTTCAATATCAGCAGCCTCCATTCTACCAGGCTCCTACCCCGTCCGCGCCTCCATCGCAACCCCGTGTCGAGGTTGTTGTGCCAACTCAGCGATCGCCGCCGCCCCAGGCGATGCCATCACCTCAGCAGTTTCAACAGCAAAGACATCAGTTCTATCCGCAACCTCCAACGCAGAATCAAATACGCAGTCCCGTTCGATCTTTTCAGCAGACTCCTAAACAACAACAGCAGCAGCAGCAGCAGCAGCAGCAACAACAAAGCCCCCAACAGCAACCTCTTCGACATCAGCAGGAATCTCAACAACAGCCTCAAACATACCCTCCACAACACCCTCGCTCGGCTTCGCAAACACAGTCAAACACAGTTGTTCAAATTCCAGCCTCAAACGTTAGGCATGAGCAAGCTCTGCCACTGCAGAAGCCACCGGCAACTCGAGTAACAGAGCCTGAGCTGTTAATTAAGCAAGAATTAGCACCACCTACAATGAAAACCGACTTACCTTACAATAGGCCAAACCCGCCAACCACGATAGATCCGCAAATGCTTCAGAAGCCTGCCCAGCCAAAGCCGCCTAAAGTACTCCAAGCTGTCGAGACTAATACAAAGCCTAAGCAGGTTTCCGGCAGACCGGCAGACCATGAACGAAAACCTCCCAAACCCGACGAACCTGAACCCGACTATCCATCCTTATTGTGTGTTCTCGCGGATGACTACGTTGATGCCGCGCGCAAGCTACCGACCCCAGATGATGAGTACTACACATTCATAGCAACCGCCATTGGCTGTCTCGAATCTGTTCTCAACAACTTCAAACTCCCACCTTTGAAAGAAGCACAAGTTTCAATTCGATATGCGCAAATTCTCTACGAAGAAACCGAAAACTATGATGAAGCTGAGACCACTTTGACTAAAGCTATCGAAATCTGCGAAAGACACAAATTCGTCGACTTGAAATATGAAACACAGTTGCTCCTATGCAAAGTCCTCTATGAGTCCAGACCGAAGGCTGCGTTACGAGAGATGCAGAGAATGATTGATGATATCGAGGCATATCGCCACACAGTGTGGCTCTACATTTTCCGTTTCCAGCATGCAATGTTTTCATTGGCATCGGCCGCGCCAGGAGAAGTCCACAACGCCACCGTCCAGCTTGAAAAAATCACCAACCTCGCAAAGCAAAACTCGGATAGTGCCGTTCTTGCCTTTGCTGCCGTATTGGAAGCACTCCTGCATCTTTCCAGCTCCAGCCACGAAGCTGTTACTGCCACTCAGACAGCTCTAGCAAAGGCTAGAGCGCTGCAGTTAAATCCGGACGTTGAGCGAAACCCGCAGCTTACTATTCTCATGGAATTTCTGGACCTTGCTTGCAGTGTTCAGGAATCCAACATTACACAGATCGAAAGCAAGCGTAAAATCATGCAAAATGTACTGTATGAATCCATTGGCGACCCCAACTGGCGTGATGACGGCTTCATCTACATTCCCGTCTCCAAGCGAGCGATGGCAGGTGTTCAAATTCAAGGCACTGGGCATGTTATTGAACGAGGTGGCAAGTTCTTTTTGACCTTCTCATGGCTGAGCAAACTACAAGTCGAAGTATTGGGTTACCTCTTCAGCGCTGACAGTACAGCGTACAAGAGTGGAACGGATGGAGGTAAAGCCGACAAATTCGCCATAGAAGGCCTCTCAGTGGTTCAAAAATGGGGGCGGCCAAAGCTCTCTGCAGGATATCAGCAGTCCCAGAGGGCATATCTCTTCCAGGAGTTGGTGGAAGCCCAGTATTTGTTGCTTATCTGCTTCATGCGTTGTGCCAGAGGTCTCTGGCAAGAGGCGGATGGCATGCTGGTCAGGATTGAGGCCATCGCGACAGAAGTTGGAAACAACTTCCCATTGAATATGAAGTCGGCCCTTGTCTATTTGCGAGGGGCTGTCTTACAGGGGACAGGAAACACCACACAAGCACTCGACATTTACCAGTCTCCAACCTTGAACTTCGAACAGAAACATACCGCACCACCGACAAAGCGAGATATCGACGATGAGATTTCCACCTCGTACCACGCCGACTCTGACGTTACTCGCAATTTCTGCATCCTGGCAGCTATGAACAGTGCCTTTATTCTTCGCGATCCGAATCATCCACAGCATAATCGACTGTCTTATCTGGTTAATAGCCTAAATTCTGCAGTACAACAATGTGGAAACAAGTACATCCAAGCGCATTATTCGCTCTTGGTCTCGTTTCTCGCAAACACAACTCTCACCGCGAAGCAATATCTCAAAGGTGCTATGGAAGCTGCAAAGGCCATTGGGAGTACGCAGACCACCGCGCTTGCCCTCATCTACATGCAGGAGAAGCTGTTCAAGAGCACTGTGGATGAGCAGGCCCTCAAGTGTGCTAGAGCAGCCAGCCACCAGGTCCGGAGATGGGGTGACCCTCTGTGGATGCATGTCGTGGCTGGTCTCGAGGCCGAGGCACTGGAGGTCAATGGGTACATGGCTGACGCCCAGCAGCGAAGAGCCGATGCTGATGCAGGTTGGGATAAGTTGCCGAAGAGAATCAAAGGCTGATTTTGCGGATATTCAGGTGTGATATCTGCAAAGATGGAGGGATCTTGAGAGCAACGTTAGCGAGCTTTGTGGAAATGATACATTGTGAAAAGTGGTTGTAAGCACTGGTATTAGCAGTTGTCTTTTTGAAAGTGTACCACTAGTGGATTCGAACATCATCCAGTATTCTCTAATGAAGAGCGCTGTGCCCTGTTCTTTTCTATTCGCGTTTCAACCTCATCTTCAGCATCGTGTAATCTCGAGCTGAAGGCTAGAATAGACCCAGTCATTCGTCAGTCATAAAAAGTACCAACCAGTCGTGAGGAGCGTTCAGGAAACTACCCTCTGCTTTGGCCCAGATGGTAGGGTTCGGCGCAGCTCTCCAACACTTGCAATCATCGAAAAAGCGCAGCACCAATTACTAGTGCTTTGCTTCCCTTTGCACAGATCCATTCCATCTTTCTATCTGCTATTTCGGAGACAACATCCGGACTGCGTGGAAGCAGCAGGCGGCAGCAAGACCTGTTCACGGCGGCAGACTCTCCGGGGTCGGCGGGGCTTGTTCCACGTTGTTTTTGTTCTTCTCTTTGCGGTTGCCCTTGAATTTGGGGCTCATCTTCTTCTTCTTTTTTCTTTTTTCCGCGAGCGGGGCATCATTGTGGACATTATTGGAAGCGGCATTCGAGGCACCATTGTCGATCGAAGGTATCGTTTGAGTCTGTGGAGAAGACTCGAGTTGGCGGTCAATTTCCTTCTCTAGCACATCGAGAAGATTTTCGCCCAGGCCAACGCCCCCGCCGGCACCACCACCATCAGCCAGCTCATCTTCGCTTGCGAGTGTGACGGTGCGAGACAGACTGCTCGGCGTAGGCGTGCTTCCTCCCGGGCCAGCGCCATAACCGACACTTGGGGCAGGAGATGTGCCTCCTACACTGGGTGGGGCTGGCGTCGCCTCAGGCTGCTCGATTCTCTGCTGCGTCTTCTGGTCGATGGTCTCGTCGACAACGCCGGGAGCTTGTCGTTGGCCCGTCTGCCATTGCCGGATGAGACGGGAGACGTCGACTTGGTATTTGAGTTCTTCGAGTTTCAGTTCGAGAGATTCGAGAATCGCTTGCTCATTCAGCTGCCAGTCGCGCAAGGCGGCGCCGCCCTCCCTTGGCGCGTTGTTCTCAAACTCAGGTACTTGTAGAAGATTGTTGGGTTGGGCCAGCCCTTTCAAATGGCTGTCGTCGACGAGGACGGTGTTGCCCTGGTTCCATTTACATCCCTTCTCGGCCTTGCTTTGAATCGCGCTATCTGACCAGATCTTGTCGAGTTTCTTGTACACTTGAACTTTGTTGTAGTATTGATGTTCGGTCAGGCCTAGTTTGTCTCTGGCCCAGACGGCGGCCATCTGTTGGCGCTGCACGGGATGCATGAAGTTTTTGACCATGGCTGTAGTGTTCTCTGGTCTGGCGGAGGAATACACCATGACAACGTGGTTGGCGAATAAGTAGTCAAGCAATCGGGTAACGCCTGGTCGGATTTTGAACTTTGTCGGGTCTGCTCTGCGGTTCGGTCGCACGAGTAAAGTACCGTTCAGATCTAGGATCACGAGTAGTTTTTGTGCGTTTTGTCTGAGTGCCGGCGGAAGTGCGGCCGTTTTCTTATAGTCTGACGTAGGCTTCGGAACAGGCACTGGCTCAACTCCACGAGGGATTGTGCTGCGGCTGCGTCCACTCCGGACCTGACGGAGTGGTAAGTCTGTAAATCTGCCGTGAGGAACGGGGGCGTCTGGAATCTCGATTGATGGTAGAGGGACATCTTGACTGGAAGTACTGTAAGCAGCGACTTGTTGAGGTTGTGTTGATCGTAATGTGTAGCGGTGGGACGCCGCCAGTGGCACGTTGTCCTGACGTTGCTGGACTATCCCCCCGCCCTGGGTGCTGGTCCGCGTCCTATATGATTTGTCAACTCGATATGTAGGATATCGAGCGTAACTGTGAACTGACCTTAACGGTGCGCTTGGATCGGCTGTACCAGTGTTGCTATGCCGCAACGGAAAGTTTGCAGAAGAGTTCGCGCTCATGTTTGGAGAGTAACTCCCTTGCATGTAGTCACTTGGTACGCGTGGTGGCATCCATCGATGGTTGCTAGAGGTCTGAAGATTTGCCGTATCGTTCCTGTAAGATCTCCACGAGTCCACTATTTCATAAATGTTAAGCCCATCCCTAACTAAAGTATCACTGTATTCACCTTGCCGAGCTTGCTCATGTCCAGGTGGGTTGTACTGACGGAAATCCGTATGGGGAGGCTGATTTGGATCACCGTAATGTGGTCGATATCGAAATGCGCCGCGAGACATGATTACTGAGGAGGTCCTCCGTGACGCAGGAGTCGGAGTGCAAGAGAAGAAGTGCTGATGTTGCCACTGCAAGATATAAATGTTAGTAATTGGAAGATGACAGTTGAACGTGGCTTTGGTGAGGCAGACTTTTGGAAGTGGTCGGCAGTAAAGGCCAGAGCTTTGTCTGACAAGGAGCGCCTCCAGAGTTAAACCACACGCGTTGTGTTACGGGTACTCTCCTCGTTGAGCGCAACAATGATTGTTAAGGTCAAGGAAATGTTGTAGTGAAGTAAAATCTAGAGTGAACTTTCGCAGGCAAAAATCGATGGGATCTGCGATGCCTAGTCAGCCTACAGTTCCATATGTTCTCGCACGCTAAACTTAAGTCTAGTCTTTAGTGCCGAATACGTCACTTGCTGGTTCCAAAGAAAAAAAGTTCCCGCCTGTGTGCTCATCCTCTCTACTATTTCCACTCTTATACAAACATGAGTCCAGCCCTTCTGGACCGACCGGTTCAACTACGGCATGATGATGACGTTGAAGGCGATCTCGACGATGAGGATGCTTCTATCCAGGACCACAGCGAGGAAGACCAGTCCGTGGTCAGCGCTTCTGCCACGAGCGGATCAGAATCTATCGACGAGGTATTTCACGTACTTGACGGGCCATTTTGAAGGGTGTTGACAGCATATAGGAGAATGAGTCGGAGTCGGAGCCCGAAGAAGGACTCGCGCTGAACGACATCAGCTTTGGGGCGTTGGCTAAAGCCCAAGAAACCTTCAACCAACGGCACCGGAAAAGGAAGTTTGAGGAGGCTGCCGAAGACGCAACGCCTGGGACAAGAAAGAATGAAGAGGACAGCTTTGATACACGAAAAAGATCCAAAGAAGCCCGAATCGACGCACCAAAACGATCTTCCAAACATGCGCCCGTGATTGAATCTGCCAGGAAGCCAGTGTCGCGGAAAAGAACGATTTTCGAGCCTCCTGCAGCACAGAAGTTCCGAGATCCCCGGTTTGATCCTACAGTCATGTCGGCGAACAGAGACAGGAATGCTACTGAAAAGGCGAACAAGAATTATGCTTTCTTGACGCAGTATCAAGCAGCAGAGATATTGGATTTAAAGACACAGATCAAGAAGGCCAAAGACGCAAATGTTGTAGCCGAGCTTAAACGAAAAGTCATGTCTTTGGAATCCAAGGTGCGCAACGCCGAGATGCGACAGAAAGACGAAGATATCAAGAGAAGGCATAACCAGCAGGAGAAAGAAGCTCTTCGTACGGGACAGAAAGCCAAACCGTACTACTTGAAAGAAGCCGATGTTAGAAAAATAGCTAAAGAAGAGCGTCTGCAAAGCCTGGGCAAACGGGCTAGAGACAAAGCCGAGAAGAGAAGACAAAAACGTGAAAAGGGCAAAGATGCAAGGGATATGCCACGATTTAGGCGTGAAGGATGATAAACTTCTGCAATCTGCCACTCAGCCTCTCCGACAAAGCAGCCAGATGCCCCCGCGGCTTTGACGAGATATGTTCCTATAAGGTCTCCCCGAGATCTATCTTTGACCGATACAGGTTCACTTATATATGTTACGACTCCATCTCCATGTCAACAACCAACTTGCCACCTACACCACGATGGTAATCCTCCACGAGCTCATTCAGCTTCTCCAGAGGATATGTCCTGATCTTTGCTCGGACGCCGTACTTGGCGGCAAAGTCCACCATCGCCTGCAGTTGGTGATTACGCCCCGTTAACACACCGACGAGCTTGATATGTCTAAAGACCAAGTCTCCGGGCTTGAAATGCCAACCATCTTTAGGGAAGCTTACGCACACACATGTCCCATGGCTCTTTATGACACCCATGCCGAAGTCAAACGCGGCCTGCGACTCCGGTAGAATCACACTAGAATCGCAGCCTTTTTGACTTTCGAGCCCCGAGGAGGCGGTTCCGAAAATGCGACTTTTCGCACTCTCCACATTCTCCTTCAACACATCGACGGGGATAACGTTTTTGCCATCCTCGCCAAGTTCTTTGATGACGCCGTCCAACATGGCCATCGCTGGAGTTGTGTCTACGGCGACCACCTTCCAGCCGAGTTTCGCAGCAAATTGCACGCCCAAGTGTCCCAAGCCGCCACCAGCTCCGAGAATTGCAACGACCTTGTCTCCCTTGCCCCTGTCGCCTCCTTCCATGTTCAGTCCCGCGGCTGCCAGGGCGTTCCACACCGTGACGCCTGCACACATGAGCGGAGCGATGTCCACGGCTTTCATGGCTCCGCCACTCGGCACCCGCGCGACTTGCCTCACGTCCACCAAGCAATAATCTTGGAAGCCTCCGTCTCTCGTCAGTCCCAGGTTGCTGGCCTTTGGACACCAGACTCCATACCCCGGTAGATCACCACCATTGTCCACGCACTCTTCGCAGGATCCGCACGGGCCGAACGCACGGCCTGGCACCCCGACCAGATCGCCCCGTGATATCCCCTTGACTTGCGCCACGGACTGGGCCTCGTCACCAAACGCCTCGACGATACCCGCAAACTCATGAGATCCTACACGGGGAAGACCCTGTTGCATGGCGCCCGCGGTGAAGACGGCATCTGTATGGCAGTACGACGCGGCCGTGACGCGCACAAGCATCTCGTGGCCCTTTGGAGGTGCAGGGCGCGCAAAGTCCGTTTTGAGGACGTAGGGCTTGTTGAAGGCTTCGAGGACCTGTGCCCGCATTGTGCTTGTGCCTGTGCCTGTGCCTGCGCTTGTGGTTGTCGTCGTAGTGTTCGACATGGTCCTGATACTTGTACTCAGATCCCGAGCCTGCGCGGTGCGGTGTTGGTGTTGGCGTTGGTACCGGTGTCGCACAATGTGAATCCCTGGCTCTATAGAGCGGTGTTCTCGTAGACACCACGCACCTCGTGTTCGAACCGGCCTCCAGAGCGTGCGCCTCCCCTCGGCAGCAAGCAGAGTAGTGAAGAGAGCTATGGTTTGTTGACTTGTTTCCCGTTCCGTACCTGAGGTTTGCTAGAAGATATATCAATCAGAGCAACATGAAGAACGAGACCAAAACTCAAGATAAAAACTTTCGATCCAATAACCGCAAGAAATTCCAAGTGGACCACATCCTGGTCAAATAACCCGTTGGCTGTCGCGACGATGGTGGAGTGCGGGTTGGAATTTGGAGAACCCCAATCCTCTCTCCCCCATCCCCCGGGGGCCCACTTTTCGAGAACTACGCCGCCTACGCAGCCTTGCATTTGTTTCTCCAACTTGGCTATGACTTTAGGTCATGTAGGTATTAAAACTAGGTAGAAATCGGGGGGGGGGGGGGGGGGGCGGCAAAGCAGATACCCGAAAAGGTCACCCAAGCGTACGGAGTTGCCTGAGGTAGACACCCAGGTACGGGTAGGTAGGTAGGTACCTGTGACGCGTTGTTACATGATAGGACTACTACTTGCCTACGTTTCTAGCCATACTCGCCGCACGCGTAGCATGCATGCGTCGAGGAGGATCGGCTGGGAAGCTGTCGGGCAGGTAGGTAGGTAAGAGGTACGTAGATGGTTTGGAGGAAAGTGTATATTGTACGTATCCTTCTGCTGCTCGCATGAGTAACAACCCACCTAGCTACCTAGCTACCTCGGGGGCACCTTGGTGTATCTATACCGTCTTTGTCGTAAAGAGCAGTCTGTACCTGTACGCGACCGCACCGGTCAACAACATCTCCGAATCTGACGCTGCTCTTACCGTTGAACTCGTCTGCAAAGTCATATACGAAACGTTGACGTCCTAAAACTTGCGGATAACCGTTCGCAAGGCCATCAATCCGTCAAGGTACATTACACTTCGAAAGGGTAACAAAAATGGGGAAAAAATTATGAACGAAGCATCTGAAGCGAATCAATGCTTTTTGGGCATTTTCTTTCTGCAGTCCTACAAGTTACCCTGACCTGACAGAGTAGTCTTTATCACCTTGAAAGGGAAGCGTACTCATAAACCATCATCCAGCAAAAGAGTCCTACCAATAAAATGCCGCAAGTCGTGGTGCCGTATCCCAAAGCCGTCGGTGGACAATTCAACCAGAGCCCGAATTCCCCCATGCAAGCCTCCTCCATCAGTCGTTGCTAATCATCTGTGAGTATTATATAATAGTCCCAGTCCAGCCAGTCCTTTTGTCATTACATGATAATGTCCGTCCAAAGAGATTCATCCCACGTAGCAGAGTATTCAGATCCTCAAAACTTTAGTGGAGAGATTTCGTGCCCCAAGGAAACGGATACCTCCCGCAAACGGCCATCCGTCTCATTACGCCCTGAAGCGCCGTCGCAACGAAGGTATCGAATATAAACAGAAGTGCGAAGTCGTGGCATCTATTCAAGAGTGGAACAGATCCCATGCTCGAGCGCATAAGCTTAAGAACTCTTCCTTCTTTGCTTTTTGAGTGGCAGGGCTGTCTCTACCTTCTCCGAAGGGACCACTATGGCGAAGGCGTTCTCGTCCGGAACCGAGAGGTGGGCTGCTACCTTCTTCATATTCCATACGGGTCCTTCGTCGTCCCGAAAGGCTGTTAGGTAAAAACTTTTGAGGAGTCGAACTATCCTTCACAGCAGGATGAGGTGAGGGAGGAGTGGGGGGTTGATGACCGCCATAATGGACAAGTCGTGGCAAAAGCTCCTCCCGTCCGCCAGTCATCTCGTGAACAGCCTCTTCCGCCGATCGATACTCTCGAGGTCGATCAAAGTGTGGACCTGTTCCCTGCGACATGGGATGAGCAGTCTGCGGCGGGAAACCTGGCGAAGGGAGAGGAGGTCCATGGCCGTGAGAGGGGGTCGAGTTTGCATGTAGAAAGGACGGTCGGCCAGGACCCGGGTTGAGCTCACTGGCTCCAAACACGTCGGCAATGGGAGGAAGTCGGTTATTTGTTTGGATTGCAGGTACATGATGGATGTGAGTTTGTGATGAGTTGGCAATGTGGTCATTGATTTGTCTAGATGGTGGTGCCTCGTGTCTGCCGGTAAAGGTTTGATTTAGGGGCGCGGATTGAATGACACGTTCGTTGGCAAAGCGTTCGGCTGCAGGGGGCACAATCGATAAACCAGGTGGGGGCCTTTTCTTAGAAGAAGCTGCAGGTGTCTTGGAAGTGGTTGCCGTTGCTGGCTCGCTCGTCTTTCCGGTATCTGGCCCATCTCCCCGTGCAGATTTGAGAAGTCGTGCTTGAATTATGGAGCGTTGCTGGTCCCTGACAGACATACTACGCTCCAGCTGTTCGCGCATTGCCGGGTCTTGGGTTTGGAAGCCGGGGGACAAGCAGGCGAGGCCGACATCCTGCACTACCAACCCGTCTCTCGCTGTCAGTGGCGTAGCTGATGGCCGAGAGTTCACATTTGCAAGTAAGGCGCCAGTTGTATTCAGGTCCAACTTTTTAGGCCTGTGACGAGTTGTCTGAAGGGAGGGGGATGAAGGAGGTTCCTTCTTTACAATGATCTTGGGGTGGTCGGAACTCCGAAGTCTGTGTGAACGTCAGTAAGCGGTATTTCTAGTTCAGTTATGAAAGACTCACGATCTTGGAGATCTCTTCCCATCTGATGGCGTTCTCTCGTTGGCATTCGCGGGTATGGCCACCTCTGAAGGCATGCCCGAGTCCGAGTTCCTGTCTCTGGGTGTGACACTCGTAGAGGGCGCCAGTGGTGGATAGCTTCTCGGGCTCAGATTACGGTCGAGTGAAGGCATCGGAGCAACCGCAGCTGAAGCCACTACGGTCGACATGGCTCAATAATGTTTAGGTGGTAGCAAGGACAGTGTCGAGGCTCGCCGTCTTCCAAGGAATATTCTGCAAAGCCCAGCCGATGTCCAACTCTTTGTTCCTTGTCAATCACAACCTAATATTCGATGGTGCACCGTGGTGTTTGTCAATTGGGTAAACAGCAAACTAAACGAGTGGTTTCGCAGAAATACAGCGCGAGAGGTAGGACAGCGATTCGATCGCTGAGCCAGCACGACCTCTGGTGGAAAGCGGGTGGCTTGAGGGCGACAAAAGCCAGAGCACTCCGGTCAAGGCGTATTGGGGTGGAAAGGGAACGGGACGAGAGAGCAACGAGCGGCTAGGACGTTCTTTGAGAAACACGGCCCTGTGAGGTTTCGAATGATGAGGGAGGGAGGAAAGGGAAAAAAGCGGGTGCGGGAAGGAGGGCAAGAAACGAGGCAAGCTAAGACAAGTGGACTTTTGGATGGAACAGACACGACAGGGTGAACCGGGAGGCATGAATCAGAGATGTCGAAGCAGAAGAGGTGTGGCACAGACTAGGCGAGTGGTGCACTGGTGCCCGTGTTGCAGGGGATCGATCTGCCCCAGGCCCTTAGCCAGCATACACCTCTTGCAGTCATTAGAGAGGAGCTGAGGCTTCCGTTAACCCCCTTGAGCCTAGCGGCCTGGCGGGAGAGTTTCAGGGATGCAGGCAGTACAATAGAAACCCAAGCAGCGCCCAGCAGTCAGATTCTAGGGTGCCCTTTTCAACCCCCGGCAGACGGAGTAGGCTGCCCCTTCTTACTTGGACTGCTCCCCCCAACTGACACAAAAAGGCTACCGATCCGGCAATCTATCGCCAATTATTCCACGCATCCTGGAGCTTTTCGTTTCGACTTTTGTGTTTTAGTTGGCCATGGCTCAGATGCCCGCACCAGCCATGCCTCACCGACGGACAAGTAGCCTGATCAATACTCATATCGCCGAGTTTGGGATTATTATTGCGACCGCTCGTCGCGTCTATCGTCTCATGGCCGCCACCCCCCGGCGCAATCGCTTCGACACAGTTCGGCTGGACCCGTTCGCCAGTTCTTTTTGCGTGCACGGTGCGGCAAACAGTGTTTCAAGTTCCCAGCTGCTGGCGTCTGTGCCCTAACGCATGACCCAGGACCGTGCACCTCGCTGTTCGTCGCGACTCCTCGCCCCGCGGCCTTAACGACGCGTTGGAACTCGTCTGTGGCGAACTTCTAGCCTCGTGTCACGGCTCGTTTTCGATAGAATCCTGCTTCTCTCTTTTTTTTTGAATGCAGCAGAACAGAAGGAGTCCTAGTTGGCTGACCCGCATGTGCGGATTGTTACGCACCAGGCTCTAGTAATAGCCTGTCACACGTTGCAGCCAGACGGGAATGTGTGCCCGAGTATTGGAGCGTCTAGGAGAGACCTGCATGTCGCAGCCGCCCCAAAGCGGCACCGAGAGGCGAGCTCATTGGGTCTGGAAAGCCTTCCTCCCCCTCCCACCAGTGCAAGCGAAGGTCACTCAACGCTGCCAGCCTTTCAGATTAAAACCGGTACCGTCTGCGCCAGGCGAATCTGGTAGTTAGTAATTAGACTAGGTTAGCCCTGGACACCCGAGGCCCAATGTCGTATTCCTCACTTGCAGCACACTATCATCTGTAGGCGCGGCCAAACAGTTTAAATGCTGAGGAAAGTCTCCTGCAAGGCCGGAGTCATGTCTGGAAAGAGGCTGGCTGACGGTACACTACAGTGCACCCCAGAGAATTGCCTTATGATTTGCTGAAACAAGCCACAAGCCGCTCGGCGTCGATCGCGTTGTAACGGTTGCCGGATTTGTCAGGCTTGAAAGCCTGACGCACTGGATCAATCTGCACGTCTGCTGATCGAAGCGATGGCAGATTGTAGAAACGGCTGACGGCAATGATCCGTACTAACAAAGGCAGGCAATGATCATCGATCTTCCAAACAGCTGCAATCTATTGTACGGGGTGTACCACATCCCTGCTTTGTTCATCATTGTTTGGACGTAAAATTTGGGTTCCCTGATTGGACATGAATCTTTGATGGGGAGATGATCAAATACTCCGTATGCCTGCAATGGTTGTTCCTCTGTCCAGTCAGACAAGGAATCCTCGTCCTCATGTACACATCTGATTCCGCTGGCGGTCTCACTTATCGCTAGTTTCATCTCGGTGTTTTCTAGCGGAGTTGAGCCACGAGGGATGACAACAGATGTCGATGCGATGGGCGAATGATGCCGGTTCTTGAAACGCTCACTTGTACGCTAGCGCCTTAAGGTCCTAGTAGCGTTGCTTGACCCCTGTATGGATGATCGCTGGGCCTCAAGTGTCGCAATCAACAACTTATCGAGGACTGTGTACAGTATGCACTCCGTACTCGGGAAAGACGCACTAAACAACAAATGGTCTTGTCCTGGTCTCGTATCTGTAGACGAACACCTCCGAGATGATGATACAAAAACAGCTGGAAAGTCTTTTCTCCCTAAGTTGTTGCGTACATCAGTAGAGCGTGTCCTCTCATGCAGCATACATCACGCTGGGTAGCATACGAGGCAATGCTGGACTCATCATGTCGAAAGGTGGTGTTAACCCTGTAGACTTTCAGCATATAATTCGGGCATTGCCTCGTACATGGGGATGGTTTGAGTTTCTGTCCAGTCCAGTGGCAGAGGTAAAAGCCAACTTTTGTCTTAAGAGTGGTCTGAATCAAGTGTTTACAGTTCGAGAAGGGCAAGATTTGCTTGGTATTTAGGCTAGGTATTTGATTTTCGTGCGTCCTTTTCCGTCAGTGCACTGCCGCTGTTTTCAGGCTGTCTGTATGAACACTTGTATAATCTACCATGACGGTTGACGGCGGCTGATCTCTCCAGCACAGAGGATGAGTCTGAGCGCAGGGATTCATGAGGGTCGACGCAGAGAGTTTGAAGCCTTATGGCACAACCATAAGCCTAGCCGTGTCAGACATGTTTGTTCTAGCCACGGTGTATAGAACATTCCTCAACATGAGCTGTCAGACAAAACACCTTTTCTTCTTCGACAGCCTCGCAGACTTTCCGCATCTTGGCGCTAGACTAACGACTTTCCGGGCATGGTTGGAGATTTTTCACGATGATTGCATCTCTCTCAACATTGAACCAGGTTCGAGAAGTACAACAGTAAAATTAGCGGTCATCATGTCGAGTAACGGTGACGTATCAATGGTGGATGAGGACGAAGAACTCACGCACGCCGATGATTTGACTTTGGGTGGTCTGCCGAAGCTGGTCATTGTACGTTTGGCAAAAATCTGTCTCCATCTTCTGAAGGGCATCTTTCTGATATCATCTTACGACATCTAGCTTCCGGGCGCCTCTACTCATGCTGCTTCATTCCAAATTGAAAAGGAAGATCACACACTAGGCAATGCCTTACGGTATTTTGTCAATAAAAAGTAATGCGGCCTTGTGCTTATAACCGTGTCCCCGTGACCAGTACTGACATTCTTTCCAGTCCTGATGTTGAATTTTGCGGATACACCATCCCCCATCCCTCCGAGACAAAGATGAATATTCGCATTCAGACTTGGGGTAAGTCAAGACGTCCTCGACAGCGATCGACGCTAGCAGATTGTCTAATTCAAATGCAGAGGATACCCGGACGACAGCGGTTGATGCCCTGCGAAAAGGACTCGTTGACATGATGGACGCTTGCGATGTGATTTCCGAAAAGTTCACCCAAGCACGAGACGAATTTGATGCAAAGAAAGCCTAATGGCTTATTGATCTTGGTCATGCATTGCGACGGCGCTGGAAGGGCTTTTTCTGTTTAGCTATGTACAGTTATCGCTACCACGACTTCTAGTTTCGTCCCTGTGAACATTTGTTAGGCCGTTTGCGCGATGACTTGCGGTAACGAGACATACCTCGAGGAATCCAGACATAAAGTTCTTTGGTAACCTGGCGTTTTCATCTTCTTCCGTTCTGAAGTACTTCATGATATGCGAATTCTGTTTCCAGAAGTTCAGTGTTTCCTGCAAGTAATTCCGCGTCAGCCTCCTGCCCACATCGCCGGATTGTCCAACGAACCTGGAACTCGGCCTGACTCTGTTGGATCAGGACATCCACCGCCTGTAGATGATTGACGTATCTGTGTTTCTCAAACTCTTGTCTGACTTTCGTCCGGATCTTGGAGACAGGCATGTTTAGGGAGTACATTGACTGGATCTCAGGGCTCTTTTTTCTCTTCATCAGCAGCGCTCTCCGTCGTATGTCAAGGGGGAATCAGCATACAGCTCTGAGCCATTCGCGGTATGATCTGAGAACTCGTCGTTGCGCATCTGCCCAGTTAATGGCTACGCAAAGGTCAGCGCGTCTGCGAACATGATGTGGAGAGATTTGACGAACACGACCTCGACCGTTGGGCCAGATATGTAGGGTTAATCGTCATGTTGATGTATTGCACACTCACATGGGAGCGTTCTCAAGAATGCTGGTCGGCAACAGAGGCAGTCCGCTGGATTGATGTTAAGGTCCAGCTTCGACCTCGGCGAACCTGCTTCATTTGTTGCCCAATCACCACCAGGCATTTCGTAAGTGGAGTTCAAGTTAAAATACCTTTCAAAGTCCTTCGATGACATCTGATGGAAGAAACCATAGTCACCAGCAACAGCACCTTAACGCGGTACCAGAGAAGGAAGTAATGGGTTCTATCGAGAGAGCCATACCACCCACAATGTCCAGACGCACACATACGCTCAACCGCATAACCAACGAGACTAAGATCCAAGTCTCTCTTTCGCTTGACGGAGGTCCCCTACCTGCCTTTCAACCGTCGGAACACTTCCCTCCGTCAATACCTACAGCACAAAAGCAAGCACATCCTGATGTACTCTTCCCTCTGCCATCGTCCCATCATGCAACACAAATCACGGCAACCCAGCAGATTGCCATCTCGACTGGAATTGGATTCCTGGATCACATGCTCCACGCACTAGCAAAGCATGCTGGCTGGTCATTAGCAGTCCGCGCATCAGGCGATCTCATCATCGATGACCACCACACTGCCGAGGATGTCTTTTTGGCAATTGGATCGGCCTTCAATGGTGCCTTGGGCAAGAGAACCTCCCTAGTGCGTTTTGGTCGAGGAGATGCGCCTCTTGACGAAGCTCTTTCGTGGGCCGTAATCGATCTGTCAAACCGACCCTACAGCGTGATCGATTTTGGTTTTACCAGAGAAAAGATCGGTGACCTCAGCACTGAAATGATCACCCACGGTCTCGAAAGTTTCGCCCAGGCTGCCAGTGTCACGCTACACATCAAGTGTGTCTATGGCCACAACAACCATCACAGGGCAGAGAGCGCCTTCAAGGCTCTTGCTGTAGCATGCAGGCAGGCATGCGAGAGAAGAGCAGAAGGTACTGTTGGTAGTGGAGATGTGACAAGTACGAAAGGCGTGCTTGGATCTAGTGTCAATGAATAGGAAAATTTAGATTGTAACACAAGGCGTCCTCGAACCTTCCTTTCATTCCCCAAGTGAAGCTTCCAATTGTTACAGGATACAGGGTCTGTCGCATTGACGACAAAAAAGAACGCTCGCAACAGCAACAGCCACCCAATACCAGTTCTGAACGACCTAATGACGTTTAACCTTTTGATATGCCATGAGTCTCTGCGATGGAGAGTAAGCGCACCCAGAACCGCGCCAGAACTTCGTTTTGACGCCAAAACACCACAACACCACGCTTAAAGTCCATAACCGTCGTAACAAAGATGTGGCAAACCAACCATACTCAACCAAGCCCTCCCCACGCGCCTCGTATTCTCCTAGCTAGCTGAATATCTTTCTGCATGATGGTGACCCTTTTTGCGTGGATGGCGCACAAATTGGTATCTTCGAAAAGGTGTACGAGAAAAGCCTCGCTGGCTTCTTGTAGTGCCTGTATTGCTTGGCTCTGCCATCTTAGTTCTTGAGCCGCTCGAACGGGCAAGAGATCGATTGCAATTTCGCGCACGAGACGCGCAAAGGGGAGCTTGAGGATTAAAAGGTCTGTCGACTGCTGATATCGTCTGATTTCACGAAGAGCGATCGTTCCTGGTTTATATCGATGTGGTCTCCTAGTAGGAACTGGATCGCCGGCTACCTTTGAAATCAGCTCAGTCCCATGGACGTCCGATAAAGAAGAAATCTTACGTTGCGCGCGAGGCCGACCGGTACTTGCTCTGGGTTTGGGCCGAGAACTTTGCCCTTTCCGGGGAGTCATGCGTTCGGATGGGCGTCTCACATGTTTGGTTTGCGCCATGGTGCCGATAGAGATTCTGAGTTCCCCAGAATGAGAGCCGACGGGGAAGGGCGTAGGGAAATAGCCAACGCAAGTTGCTCCTGGAGTCGAAAGCGAGTCGGTGGGTTTCGTGGGGAGTGCCAGTCGATGAGGGAGGGGTCTTGGAGGGATTAACCAGCACCGGGGGATCGGGCACAGTATGAGTAACTTGGCTCAAGAATGGTCGAGTCCGCTTCTCCTGGAGAGGGGAAATTCAGAGAGTGATCTGTCAGACTGCAATGCAGTCCTGTCGCGTCTCGTAGGCTGGAGTTGTTCAGAAAGTGGTCGTCGACTTCGATGTCGCGTCGCAGTGATGCGATGCGCGTCCTTGACCAAAAAGTGCCTTCGTGCCACAGGCAATTGGATTGGTGGCTGACAAAGACCCAAGATGGCGACGGAGCCTTGCGCGGAGCATGCATACCTAACGACATCATTCGACAGTCTGCGCTTCAGACACCTCATTCTTCAGACAATCCCGCATACAAAAAGGCCACCTACCAACTGCCCGCACTCACCTTCGCCTTCGCTGTCGCCACTACATGAACCTATCATTCCCTATCCTGTCGCCGATTCCTCCTCCAGATAAATATCACAATGACTACTCAGATCTTCGCTCGCCGATCCTGACACAGTCCGTCTTGTCTCCTATCTACACAATTGTCCAGAGTCCCGAATTCCTCTCAGACTTCTCGCGAACTATCCTCCCGGTTTTTCAGCTCATACCTTGGATCATGGCAGCAATATTAGGCGGCGGAGAGGATGCTCTAGGCCAGCTGGGGCAGTTCCCTTTAGAACAGTGGTTCTTCGAGATGCCGCCCTGCACCCGATACTGGACAACAGCCACAGTCATAACATCAGTTCTCCTGCAATGCAAGGTCATCACGCCGTTTCAGCTCTTCTACTCATGGCGTGCAGTATATCATAAGTCTCAGGTAAGGGTCATTTCCCACCCACAGAATACCGCGATTTCAGTCCTGATACATTGATCCAGTACTGGCGACTGATTACAACGTTCATTTACTTTGGCCCCCCGTCCCTCGATCTTGCCTTTCACGTCTTCTTCCTCCAGCGGTATTCGCGGCTTTTGGAACAAGGCTCGGGCCCCTCGCCGGCCGTCTTTTCGTGGCTTCTGCTCTATGCATGCGCATCACTACTCGCGCTCAGCTCACTCACCACCTCAATCCCGTTCCTGGGCTCCGCGCTGTCGAGCACACTAGTGTACATCTGGTCTCGGCGGAACCCGGATACGCGACTCAGCTTCCTGGGAGTGCTTGTGTTCACGGCACCCTATCTACCTTGGGTGTTGATGGGCTTCCACATGTTCATGCATGGTAGTATCCCCAAAGATGAAATCTTGGGTGTCGTTGTTGGCCACGTCTATTATTTTCTTGCCGACGTCTGGCCTGGTCTACATGAAGGACAGAGACCAATGGACCCTCCAGAATTCTGGGTTCGATTATGGGAAGGGCGGCGGGCGGAAACTGGAGAGCGAAACATCGATGGAGATGTAGCTGCCGCTGCTGCGCGACCTGGAGAGGTACGGTGATTGAGCATTTGTGAAAAAGTAGCATAAAATAAGATCGAAATTCACACTACATTGAATCAGCAGCCAGGGGGGAATCTATGTTCTAGGTTCGCTCTCATCAAATTAGTCAGACTTAACTTCTGTGAATTAATCTGGATGGAGTATGAACAGCAAGGCTGATCGAAGGACGGTGATGCCTCGTATGCGTAGAAGCTCATTGCGTGTCCGATTCGAGTCCTATCGGACCATATCAGGGAAAATCTCAGGTTATCAACGATGCCATGGCCCGAAGTGATTAAGGCTAAGGTGTGAATGAGAGGCCTTGCTCCTATATCCTTTGAGTGCCCTCAACTTCCCTTATGATGGTTGTCGGCTGTAACGACAGTACATAGATTTTGACAGTTGAGGCTGTCAGAATCCATTAGCTCGGTTCTGATACACCCAAAGCCGCGGTCAAATATTGCTGCATATCTTGTTTGACGTGTACAAAGCATGTACTACCTACAGCAGTACGTTGCGCACAGGTTGCTGCCAAGCAAGACCCGGACGAGGCGGTCAATCTGACACTCTTCGTTGATTTGAGATCTGCTCGGCACATGATTGACTTCCGAAACCCGGGGACACATCGTATAACATGAGTGGTCCGGTACCCTTATAGGGTAACGTGCTTTCGAAGCTCTGCGTAAAGGGCTTCTCCTCGATACACAGGGTGCGGAAGGGAAGACTAGGCCAGCCGTATCTAGGTGGGCAAGAGAGCTCGAATCGATGGAAATGAGAAAATGCATAGACGCGCCCGCGATAGGAGATTGGATTGTTGGTCGGGAAGGGTCTTTGGGCGTTCTTTGGGGTTTGAAGTAATCGATGTTTCGCCAAAGCTGTAGAGTTAGTACTTGTCATCGAAGTCTCCTGCCGAAATCCGTCCTCGAATCTGTTTCTACACGGAGCGGTGGGTATGTCGAAGTGACAAGTCTAGTCTTCAGGCTCGCCTTGTTGTTTCTCCAGCTGTTCTTCCCTTTCTCGGCGTCTCTTTTCCTGTCTGGCCATCGGATGCTCACCGTCTTCTGCGATTTCGCCAGCCTTCAACCCTAAAGCTCTTCGTAGCCTTTCGCTCTCTCGTTCTTTCGCTTCGGCCAATTCGTGTACTTGATAGCTTTTGAGGCCTTTACCATCCACTCTCCGACCGCCTGAACGATTGCCGACCTTGTTACGCTCCATCTCTGCTGTCAACTTTTGGCGCAACTTGTCGCATTCTTCGTCAATCTTGTCTTCGTCAACTTCATCATCTTCCAGCTTCTCTCGCAGTTCGAGGACTTTGACCTCGATATCCCGCAGCCTGTCGTGGTTCAGAATCTCCTGATCCGGTTTGCGAGCCTTGGGGCCACGGGCGGCCTCGAGGCTGTAGGGTGCACCTACACCTGCGTCCCGGGGTTTCAGGAGGGAGAGATTTCGCTGAACATAGCCTGAGGTCCCCGACCCACGGGGAGTGGATAGGCCAACGTTGGATGACATGTCGAGAAGCCTTGCAGCTTAGACTTTTAAGAAGAAGAGAACAATTGAGGAACGAGATGATCCTAGAAGGTGAGGGTGATTTATTACGAGAAAGTTGGGAAGGAGGGCAATGATTAGATAAGATGGAATTCAATCACGTGCCAATATTTCATAATACCTCTCGTAGCTCCAGGTCATAATATGAGAGGACCTGTTGCAGTCGAAGCTCCTCATGTCGCTCATGTCGCCGAGAGAAAAGGCAGGCGGTACCGATTTTCAGAAACCCGAGCTTGATATTCAGTCAGGCCTGAATGCCGGCGCCAGCATGTCTTGTTTGGCACTCAAGACAGCCGGGGAAAAAAAGAATACCGATACTACATTCATCAGAAGCCAGAGCTTCGAGAATTGCCTCAGAGAGCGCCCGTACATGAGTTAGACGCGAACTTGAATTCTGCAAGGGACTGGACGCTGTCTACACGGGTTCTGGCTGGCTAGGCCTGATCTCTGCTCACTCCAAACGCGGTCGTCAACAAGCACACACCGGCAGATCAAACGCAAACATCCACGACGCCTTTCTCCCTGCTGGAGCTTTCTCGAAGCGTCCCTCGCGAGCACTGCCCTTCGTCACAGTCCCACAGACCAGATTTAACCTTTTGCTTACTGTCTCATTGTCTCGAAACTCGAATGGCCGAGCGCACTACGTACATTACCCTAATCTCCAGAGACAACTTAGATCACAAGAGTCTAGCTAAACTTGACTATCGGGCATCGGCTAGATTGACTCTGGAGGCAGACTGAGCAGTACCTGCATCCTAGTCGCCCCTCCCGGCTGACACGCCATCATGCTGCATGCCCAGCTGCTGAATACCTTTTCCCGCGAGAAGATCTCCCGGACCCTAGACAGGCTCTAAAGAATGCCCATAGCCGGGCCCGCTATAACCAGACCTGGCAGAAGCTGATCTGTTATTGGAATCGCATCATGGACGACCATGTGTTGCCCGAACCGCCCTTTAAGCCCACCGAGGGCAAGCAGACCGCCCGGGACATCAATGACTCTAATGGAATAGAAGCGGATGATGATAAGGTGTCTCACCACTACCAACAGGCGTTGGAGGAACAGATTCTTGCTTCCTGCCTTGAGTTTATCCAACAGCCCATTCATCCTCAAACGTTTCCTTCCATTCTGGTATCCTTTTCGGCAATTCTCCTGTGATAACGCGGCACAAAGCACTAAATTATTATTCATAAACTAAACCCAATAATACCTTCCAAGCTCATCTACAGTTGTCAGATCTGGACCCTCGCGCTGTCGATCTTGGAACACCGGTATTTGTTCTTGTATCACCCCGTATATCGATCTCGGCCTTACCGGACACCGCGATCGGTGGCCGCTCAATAACACACAGGGACTGGTGGCGGAGCTGGTAGAGAATCGGGCTTTACGGATTTCGGATCCGGATGACCGAGATCCCGCCAGCCCAGGGCCAGCGGGATCGAGACGGCCAGATCATTTACCTTTTAGGACGTCAGCCTCTACTTACAGGTGCTGGCGCCAGTCACTGAATAGGAATGGGACGAGACTCCCCCAAAACGAGCTCGGGCTTGGGACGTTAAAGAGTATGTATCTCCCCTGCGGCCAACATGCTGCATTTGTGTCTTGGCATAGTTCTTTGTAAAAGCATGCGTGCCTAGGACAGCCTAAAAAGGATTTCGTAAAGACTTCCAGGTGAAGGTCTTAACTAAGATTCATAACTCTGGTTTTCGCGAAAATCTTCAGACTAACAAGATATATCTGCTCTTTGATAGCTCCTGAGGGATTTACAAAATTTATATTAATTCATTTATCCCTGAGGTTGTGAGTTGGTTGTCTCTGAAAGTGTCACTTTGTAGTCAATCCCCCATACAATTTCATGTCAGAACCAAAACGCAGCATGTTGGCCACGGGGAAGATAATACACTATGGGGTATAAAATAATGATCAAAATATACAAATAATGAAAGTGGAACAACATCTCCCCAAAAAACTCAAAAGGAACTCGCTGTCAAATTTACCTCTGAATTGACCTCTGAATTGGTGTTCCGCTACCCCAATTCTGCTTAGCTCCTACGACCGAATTGCTGGATACTTGAACTCTAGCTAATGGTAGCTCCAGGGGAAGCTTTTGTCTTTGGACGTGATTCGGAGTGGAAGAATTATCACCAAGTTACGCGTCGTTGGATGTCAATCTCCGACTATCCCGTGATCGGGATTCATGATCGTGGTACTTGAGTAGTTTCGACAAACTAGTATAAAAGCAGGAGATTCCTTTGTGACCGTCTGGACGATAAAAATACAGCAAGAGTAACGCCAAAAACATCATAACCTCAGGCAGAAATTCCATGCTATCAAAATGACAGAATACTTAGCAAGACCATTTTTCATTTTGTCTGCCACACTGGTGTTGTCACTGTCTGTAGTGGGTCAGGCCACAGTCTACTCGATACCAAACGATGTATATCAAGGAGCCATACAGATGCAGGAGAACTCAGGTCTTTATCCTCTTGATGGGCCAAAGCTAACTCCGTGGCCAAATGCGACCTCATATGATTGGTATGTCTATGGTTCTGCATTGGAAGACCTTGTGGGCCATCATACACTAACAGTGTTTAGGTGGTACTTTGATGTCGTTTCGACATCTAACAATGCGTCATTTGTGTCCACTTTCTTTCTCAATCGTGGCGCCTTTCGTGGAGTTAATGAAACAGCACCGAATGTGGTCGATGCATCGGTTACATTTCCAAATGGTACTGCGGTAGATACCACTACGTTTGTCGATCTAAACGAGAACGTTACTGTCACAACACTTGGAAATGGTTCTTCTGGAGATTGGACAGGCACTGGAGCTAATTGGAACGGCTCACCCGACTTGAAATCATATACCATAAACTACAATTCCTCGGCCATCAAAGGAAGCATCGTTCTCACCTCGGTAAATCCAACCAACGGATATCCATACAAGGAGTTCGGGATTGCTGACCATACATTAACTAGGTTTCTCCAGCGCATTATCCTTGCAACAAGGCTGAGCCATTCTCAGACGAATTGCTTTGCCCAAATGTTGGATGGGCTAATTCTATTCCGGATTCGAATGCCGTTGTTGACCTGACTGTCAATGGAGAAAGATTGGCGTTTACCGGCTACGGGTACCACGACAAGAACTGGGGTGACATCAACTTCGCCGAAGCTATAAAGTCGTGGTATTGGGGCCATGGCCGATTGGGTCCCTACTCGATCGTATGGTTTGATGCTCTGGGCACGGATGGCACAGAATACGTGTCGTCTTGGGTCACCGACGACGGCACGATCATTGCTGGCAACTGCACTTCGGGATCGTTACGGGTGCGGCCTTTTGGCACCAACGCTACCTACCCGCCGGACCCGACTTCCCCGCTGCCCGACGGCTATTCGATATCTTACGATCTTGGAGCGAAAGGCACGCTGGATGTAAATTTCACCAGAGAGCTGCACTTTTTTTCCACGCCCACATACAATCGATTCCTCGGCAACCTGGAGGGAGGCATCACTGGTGAGCAAAACTTCACCGGTCAGGCGCTGTGTGAGCAGTTTGCATTCTAGACAGATACCCCTGAAGGAACGAACTGGGACTGGTGTAAAGGAGCCTGCTGAGAGCGAGCTGATCAATATGGTAAAATAAACTTCAACTTGATAACTGATTCCTAGAACTTTAAATTGAGGAAGGCCGGTCGTACTTATAACCACATAAAGGCTGCCTCCCATGATCGACTTGGGAAAGCATATCCTATCCAAAGTTCCCTACATCACAAATGGGTACGAGCAATCAACCTTTCTTGCCAAGTTAGTAGTTACTGGTTGCTCTCAACAAAAACGGCACCTCCATCTGGTTAGCGCCTATTCTAGGCACCCCTAAATTTGCCGTCCATGCCTATAATGTGTCTAGTCCTTATCCATTAACTAGCACCGCGGAGGCATAATAGCACCTCAGGTTTCAGCTACTGCAAAGCAAAGCCGTCTAGAGAATTTACACTGTTGGAGTGCTTCATAGCGAAGAATGAACTAAAGATATATCCTCTTAAAAGTTGGTACACAGAGAAAAGCCACAGCGGGGAGAGAAGAGGGTGATTCAAGGGGAGGGAGTGATAAAGAGGGAATCCTTAAGTTTTTAGGTGGTTGTGCCCAATATCAAGAGGGCTTATGGGTACTGAGGCTTATAGTATTGTACTTGTAGGCGCTCTTTACCTATAAAGGGGGCAACTGTTCTTGATCAGGAAGGTAACCCGAGTGTTGTGTGTGTTATCTCGATTTCTATTCTACTTGTAAGGGATACAACGATTACAAGCACATCCCTCCTCACACTTCATCTGCTCCTCAGACAGCAATGTTCCCGCTGCGTCGATGCTGAATCGAGCTTCCCGATGAATCACCATCTCTGTCCTCCCAAATGCCTCCTCCTTGACAAGTTCCTAGCATCCTGGAGGCTGGAGCATTGAGTTTGTATAGAGCCCAAACTCTCTATTCCTACCAGCCTTTTTTGTCAACCGTTTGGACGTTTTCTCTTGTGTCCTCTCGTCTATTGTTCGTTAATTCGCGTCTGCTCATACGTTCCTCACAGATGCGTTTCGTGATGATGTCTGGTGAATGAAGTCAAGTCATTGACAAAGGTATCGGTAGCCACTGCTGTATTACCTCTTTCCCCCTCTGTAGGCCTGCATCACAGACTCGGCCTTGCAGCATTATCAAACCATGTGCGGTACGCCCTCAATCTCTTGCCATCCTCTCATCTCTTATGACTGGGTGGGTGAAAGCCGCTGCCACCATGTGGAGGTTTTGTGTCCTTATACACAGCTGCAAGATTACCCGGCCACGGTAATGTGTCCGGCTCCTCCACCGCTGTACGCTCGGCCGTCCACCCTGGCTGGCTTCGTGATGCAAAGTGCATACCAGCATGTTGTGGTTGTTGTGTCGTCTGCATTTGTGCTTGCCCGGTGTGTCCTCTCAGAGCAGCCGTGCTCTGAAAACCCATTGGCGCCATCTGACTGTACACTGGAGATTGCAAATTCACCATTGCAACGTTGCCGCCCATGAGGATAGAAGGATCAAGAGGAACATTAGGAGATGTTTGGAATCTCTGACTGATGACTGAAGGGACCCCACCGGTTTGATGCTCGTCCCCCATCCCTTGGGACATCGAGCCCATTTCGTCCGAATCCGACGCTCCATCGGCTCCATCGACTCCGTCCCTCTCATCCAAAATGTCGACCCCGTCCACCATATCGTTTTGACCTAGGGGTGAAAGCGGCCCATGATCGGATGATTCTCTGGGACGGCGCGTTGCGAGCCCGGGTGGTACGTCTGGAGGTCGATATGATGGCTGCCCTAGCGTATTGATGCCGTCCAACACAGACTCTGACTGGCTTTTGATAGGCCCTACACGTTCTACAGCCGGAGGATCGAGACCTAGACCACGGAGAATCGCATCGGTAGAGACGCGGCCGCTGCTCTCATCGGGGATGACACCAGGAAATCCACGACCCTCTCTGCATGCCCAATAGAGCCTCTGCAAAGCCTCGTCCATAACATCATGCATACCCCAGTACCTGGTCATGAACGTGGTAAGCAGACAGCCAATATCGCCATTGAGGCAAACAAGATCCAAACATTCGCAATGCATTTTCAACAAACTTACCAGTCCCTTGCTTCTCTTCGTCTCCGGGCGCTATATTCGCAAGTACTATCGCTTGCGACACAACCAGCGCAAGGGACGTTGCCATCGCACTGAAAAATGGTCAGCGGACTGGAAATCCGGGAGTACTGAGGGGGGATTTGGACACGGCGCAATCCAGCCCACCTTCGACTTTTTGATTTTACAACGATCGCAAGCCCTTCCAATCCGAACTCGGGCTCTTGACTGCTCAGAGCTCTCAGCTTTCGGTGGTAACCGGTTATCCTGTCGCTCCTTTCGATTTGGCATCCCGAACCTCACTCCCTCCCACCCCAATAATCTCCCACCCTGGGCGCGGGCTCTTAATAGGACAAGGACAAGTTCACGTCCGGCTCAGCCTCTGTTAGCAATCTGGACTTTGCAAAATAGCCAGCTTGAGAGAATTGCAAACGGTGAGTTGGAGCTGATCCCTTGAAATCGCGACTATCACCCTGAGACTTGGTGGTACCTTTTCATGCCTCAACGAAGCGGTAGCCCCCGGTGTGTCCGGCACGTTAAGGAGATTATCTGCATTGAGCTCGCGTGCTATGTTTTGATCCGCACAAAACCCCCGGCGTGCAAAGCTGTCAGGCTGGCGTCAACGAGATATCGAATTTTTCCCCAAACCCGATCGAGAGAAGATCAAGCTGCTGTCGAATGGTTAAATCAAGAACTTGGCAACTTGAGAACCGCTCTGCCATCGACAAGGCCAAAAAGGCAGAATGGAGATCTGGGCCGTTCGAGTGCGCTATCCAGAAATGTGTGCACTAACGGAAAAGGCTAAGTGGGCTTCTGAAATGCCAGCAGCACCACGTATGCGGATCCAAAGGTGGCGGCGGTATTACTGCCTTGCTTGTCGAGATTCACCCTTCGAACTTCCCAACACGGGCTTTTGCCAGGGCTTGTACGAAGACTGCAGGGTCTGTTTTAGAGACGCCGTGCCTATGACTTCAGTGCGAACACTCAGAATCCGCTGGTATCCAGGCGCGTTACTGCGACGTAACATACACTGCTAAAATCATGAAGCGAGTTCTCGGATATGTGACAATCCCCACTGACAGGTACTGCCGTGAAAGACCCCAATCCATGATATTACATTATAAAATCTTGTTTCGCTGCCAGTGTTGACAGGCTCCAGCTCGTGGCCTGCTCTTCGCTGTCAATACAATACCTCAGCAGTGTCACGGACTGGAAATCTTCAGCCCCATCCCGCCCACTTTGAAGTCCTGGTGATGGCAAATTTCTCCAAGGCTCTACAGTTGCCCACTTCTATGCGCGGCTGTTACCGATCATTTTTACCAATGAGGGACAGTCTATGGTCCTGGAGACCTGCCAGCACCGACATTCAAGACTTTCAGAAACTGGCCCTTCCACCTCTGTTGAGCTCCCACGCGCCCCAGAAGATGCGGTGGAGGTTGGGCCGGATCTTCCATCCGGGCTGGACTGGTAACTTTGTCGCGTTTGGCCTAGAGGACAGGCAGTATGACTCCGACCAAACCAATGAAAAGGCTCGGCCGATGGTTCGCCAAAACTTACCAGTTCTTCCAGAACGACCGAACGGTAAATGGAACTCCGCGGATCGTCACTGGTCACTGACCGAGGGGTAACCTATCAATATATCATTGTCTGTACAGGAGTCCTACTCGAACATCACATGCCTCTTGGACTCCCTTCTACAAACCTGACCCGGCAAACCTTCGGGGTTGCTAATTGTCTTGCCAGATCGAGCATAGTAGTGCCCTTGACGGGCATGACCAGCACATACGGGTGCCTATCAAACCGACAGAAGACACGGACTCATGGGATGCGTTGGGCCCATGACAGTCTGTCCCAAGGCTTCTATCGCAACGACGCGATATCTATCTCCAGCGGTTACCTAGTGTCGTGCGTGCGATGGAGTACTCAGAGACCGGAGGTTTCATCCGAGCCCAAACAGCAGTCAAGTCTGACAGAGGAGCCCATGAGTGCACCCCAAAAGTTACAGTCAGTACAAATGCTTCTGGCAAGTGCTGAACTTGAGTGGGGCTGAAGGACCCAAATTGCCCCCCCGTCAATACCAATACACGTACTTGTACGAGTATTGCATAACTACAGTATATTCCAGACGAAGACGGAAGCGCACCACACTTTTCAACCTGTTTCGAGCCGTGGCTTTCAGTATCTCTGTTCGGCTGCTCAGAGCCAGCCATAATATCTCACGGATTCGCAAAGCTGAAGGGCAACCCTCAGAAAACACCCCCGGTCTGATCTCGTTCAAGACCTCCTCACTCGGTTGTGGACGCTGGAGACAAATGCCATTCGATGCCTAGGTTTGTTCTGTCGTTCGCGGACCGTCGACCGATCCGTCGAGTACTTTGATGCTCAGCTGCTCGTGGGCTGCGGGGAGGTGCACCTGTGCCCGTCCAAGGCAGTGAAATCGAGTAGTACAGGAGGAGTGGCCTCCTTGATCGGTACGAGCTCGGCCGCGGCAGATGCGTGCACGAATTCTCGAGTCCCCGCCATCAAACACCGAATTCCATCCTAAGCGTGTCGACCGCTCGATTCGCCCGCGAGCAAAGCCCAAGGCCTAGAGAGATCTCACGACTCGCTTCGTTAAACCACCTACATTGACACAGATAGAGCAGACACGAATCACGATGGGAACCTTGCCGTATCTTCTAACCATCACGTCACAGAGATCGACCCGCCGCAGGAAATTCAAGCCAGCGCTCATCATGCATTGCAACGCTCTCGACGTGCATAACTAGAAAATAAATACACCGACGACATGCACGCACATACACAACGCGTTCTTTTTCAAACATATCGAACAAAGTGTCTGCTATCTTTCCTGGACGGCTCGGCCCTCCCTTTCCCAACCTCGATCTCCGAACTACGAATCCCACATGACCTCGCCCAGTGCGAGCAGGATCTCCTGCTGGCCCTTCCTGGCCTTGATGCTCTCTTCTCTATCCTCTCCTCTAAGTTTGGCACTACAAATCAATTCCACCAGCGTACGCAATTCATCATACGTATACCCGATATCCCTGCTCTGGGCCTTGCAATCTCGAACATACTGCAGCACGGCCTCTGGCCCTTGTAGGAAGAGATTGAAATATTGAGATGACAAAGTCAATAGGCCCGAAATATCGTCGTCATCGCCTTCGCCTTCGGCGTCCGTGGTGCGCATCTCTGTCGAAATGCCTAGACCCGCGGCCAAGCTCGTGTCATCGGCGACTGCAGATCGGCCGGTGGCGCCCTTTGCAGGAGTCAAGGAAGTACTGGCGAGAATGGCCCTGAGATTCTGCTGAATGACCATGGCGTCGATGCGCACCTTCTCTGCGCCGTTCGTGTTCATGACGCCGATTGCGTCGGCGGCGATGACGATGTAACGATCCACAAGTCGAGCAAGACCGGTCAGGATGAAACTCCGTTCGCGAGAGCCGAGAAACGTTGCGATGTTCGAGTCGAAGGCAATCAGGTCATTGTTAAGCTCGAGAATCAGGGGAGATGCCGAGGCCGGTGGCGCAGCCAGGACATAAGGATACAGTCCAGAATCGAGCGGCGGGAGCGTCGTTGAGTCGCGGTTCAAAGGCTCACCAGGCGATGCCCCAGACCCGTTGTTGGTCGCAGCGGCCTCTGGACTAGGCCCACGGAACGTGCGTGAGAGTTGGTGTATAATGCCGCAACGTATATCGATGTGCAAGGTCAGCAGACTGGTTTGGGCGAGAGCGCTGAACGAAGACACGGTATTGTCGAAGGGAATGACTGTTTCCGAGCCGAGCGGTAGAAACACGGGGGCTTTCGCTCCAGGGTGATTTGGTGATTTGCCGCCGAGAGACCGAAGACCTGTGATCAGAGTCCACCTTCGAGCATTCTTGGACTGCGAGCCTGTCCGCGTGTGGCTGGGATGGCTGCTCTCGACGTGGCGGATCTGTTTCAGAGCCGCGGAGAGCCACTGCATGGAGTTGTACAGGAGAGAGAGCTGGTGCACAGATTTCGGATCAGAGATGATGTCGTAGGTTGACAGCGGATGTTGTTTCGTCGCAGACACCAGGGCTTGAACTTCTTTCTTGACGAGGGCGGATCGGGACGTCGCGCCGCCGGACTGCTCGTGCGCAAGCAATTCGATCGCGGCGTCGCGCACCTCTCCTGAGTCCGCGAATGCAGCGGCTGCCTTTAGTGCAAGAGTATTGACGTTCTGGTTCGCGGCAGACGGTACAACTCTGCTGACCAGAGCCTTGTAGTACCCAAAGCACTTGTCGTAGTACGTGACGAGTTGGTCGATGATGAGCTGTGTGAACATTTGATCCTGAGGGATCGAGCTTAGCATGCCTGAGAATGCGCGGATCATACTCATAAAGGAGACGGTGCCTTTGAAAATGGGGTGGGTCGAATGTTTCGACCACTGCGAATCTTCCGAGAAGGCTTCCAGGTCGATCATGCATTGCGTACAGAGCTCCGTGACAGCCTCTTCGAGTTGCGGGTGGAAAACGTTGATCAGGAAATCGTCGAGGAAGGACGTAAGGGTACTCATGGGGATGTGGGCGGTCGTGGGGACGACGTCCTTGAGACGTTGGAGGAAAGTCAATGACGGCGGGAGCAGGACGGTCATGTTGAACACGCCTGGCTCGATCAGCAATTTGTGTCCAGCGGCCGAACTGTCCCGGCCACTTCGTTCGGTGATCACGTCCAACCCATCCCTGGCGCGAGACTTGCTCACCAATCCTGGCACGGAACTCTTGAGGATCTCGTTCAACTCGTCCTCTTCGGCTTTCATGCCTTCGGACTTGAGGTCCATCTCGGACAGCTTGAACATCCTTTTGCTCTTGTCGCGCGTCGGGCGAGCAAAGATGTCTGTGCTCGTCGTCGTGGTGAGACCGGAGCGTAGAGTCATCCCGCCGTCAGTAGCAAGGTAGTCATGCAAAAGAGAGCGCATCTCCATCTGGTAGAGCTTCCACAGCTCCTTGAAGCCGCCGGTGTACTTCTCTGGTTTGGGCAACTTCTCTCGCGCGGCGATCCCGGTAATGATCTCGTGAAGCACTCGGTGGCTCTCGGCGATGGCCTCGAATTTCGAGTACAGCGTCCACAGATAGTCGGAGAGGATCTGAGCCCGGCCGTCGTGGACCTGCAGAGACATGACTTTCCGACCGTCCTTGTTCACTTGTCCTCTGAGGTGGGTTGGGTATTTGGCGTCAATGTCGTGGTTCGTCTTTTCAACTACCTTGTACAGCTCCACCGGCATCCTCTGCTCGATTCGTGACACAGCTTCCCCGAGCTGACCTAACTTGTGTAGAGATTCGAGGATCATGTGGATGTAGTAGAAGGTGTCGGCCTCTGGGTTCTTCGAGGCGTCTTCGATCATGGGCGTCGTGAAGTCGGCGCTGTTAAGGTAGTGGTTGAAGGGTCGGTCCCAGGCGTTGACACTACCAATGAGGTTGTCCTTGGATTCTCTATCTTCGCCGTTGGCCTTCTTCCCCTTCCACCTGTCTTTGCAGTAAGGGCTTCGTAAGTAGAGATGGTCATGCAGTTCTTCGACCAGGATATCTACTAGGGTGCTTTCCTGGTTGATAAAGTAGCTTCGTAGGTCGGTGATTGCTCCGATGCCATCAAGTTCGCTTTTGGTGATGGCTTTGAGGCTGTCCATTAAGAGATCGACGGCGCCCAGGAATTTCTTCTCGCTGATCTTCTCCTCCAGTTTGCCTGGGACGGTCTTGAGGGATTCGATGTTGCTCAAGATGACCAGCATGTGGTCCAGCTCCCCGGACTGCTCGGCCAACCCTCGCAATTCTGGTCTGGTCGTCAACATGCCGCCCTTGACGTTCATCAGGCCTGCCCTGAGCTGCCTTACTCGACTCTGGCTGTCCCGGATCGCGGATTGGATCTTGTGGTATGTACCGACGGCACTGTTGAAGTCGGCGTAGTGCTCGTTCACCACTGACTTGAGACATTTCTGCAAATCTACATGCGTGTTTGAGAAATCTTCCTCCTTATCTTTGAGGCCTAATGAGCTCGGATCCATCAGCTTGAGGGCAATCTTGACTGGGACGCATTCGTCGCCTTCCATGTCTTTCCAATTTGACTGAATGTGTCGCAAGATCTCATCCATGCTCTTCTGTGGCCTACGTGGGGAATATTGTCTGTTCGCATTTGCGGGAAGAGGGTAGGGTTGGTTACTATAGCCGTTTGTCTGGCTCGGTGCGTTCAGGCTGGTCATCGAAGGCTTCTTGGACATCGTAGGTGGCATCGTCGGAGGTGGAGGCATAGGAGACCGGACCTCTCTGTTCTCGCGGAATCTTGGGTCATTGTTCGCCCTGTCTCTTTCTCGAGTCGGTGGCCTCTGTGGCCTCTGCTCGTATGCTTGAGGATCCCTGTCTCGTCCATACCCAGGGTCATTTCTTGGAGGCGCGTCTTCCGAGTATCTCGGACGTGGTAGACCTCCGTAGCCTCCTCCTCCTCCCCCTCCTCCAGATGATCCTCCATAACCTCCCCCGCCGCTTCCGCCTCCTGGAGCTACTCTACTCGGGAGCCCCTGGGCAGGAGTGTCTCGCTCCGCACGTTGTTCATAAGGGTTGGACCGACGTCGCCGTTCTTGCGATCCGAAACTGTTCACGGAGGCGGAGGAGGAGTTGTTCTGCGGATTTAAATAGGGGTCCGCATAGCGGCCTGAGGAGACAGAATGGGATACATTGGTAGGAGCGTACGGGTTGGTGCCGTTGGTTGGGCCTCCGTAACCGTTCAGCGCGTAGGGATTATTGCTCATTGTCTATACGAGCTCTGCGGATAAAACAACAAGATTCGGATGGTAAGCATGGCGTAGCAACCATTCGCGAAAATGGAGATCGGAGTGCTGAGGAAAACTGTGATTGAAGCGCAGAGGTTGACGTTTCTTAAGGAGGATCAGTCTGTGTTTGGGAACCAGCAGACGACATTCGGAGATGATGTGCAGACGATTCTTGTGGAGCCTTCCGCGCCGGCACTTACTAAGTACATAGCTACAGCATTGTGGGTGCTGAGTAGGTCTACAATACCACATAAAGCATTCCCTACACTAATCTACTGGCACTATCCGTGCCTATTCTTCTGATGGTGAGAACGAGTGGGATGAAAATAGTTGGCTCCAAAAGCCTTGTTTGGTGATCAGGTCTCGAGTCTGTCTAATGTATGGTTCCTAAGACAGTAAGACTTCTTGGCTTAAAGGTATTTGTTAATACTTTCCGCTGTTTGCATGCCCATCACAAAACCCAGTGCGAATATTGCACCTGGGAGAATTAGTATATAACCACCTGACCGCCGTAGACAACCAGGCACAGAGCCCCTCGGTGAGCCGATTTTCCATCTACAAAAAGACACAGCCTCGATGAAGATTAATACGCCAGAGTAACCGAGCCACCCTCACTGGGCAGGGGATTCAAGCATATCGTCTCGAACGAGAGGAATCGTCGAAAGAGTCCTAATCGTTGTGGTTTTGCGGGATTTGAGTCTAAGAATTTTCTAGGTGAGCCGGTTATGTATCGTCCGAAAGACAACGAACCCTCGAGCCTAGTGACCACACAATCCTCCTCGTAACTATAAGGCCGTCGTCGAGGACTCTCTTTGAATACTGACATTGCAGCTGAGATGAATCGCTAAGTGATATACCCAAACCCGCTCCCTTTACATGATATCCAGAACTCTTTCACAATGTCGTTGGTCTTTCTTCCTCCTCGCAGTCCTTCGATCTGAGCTACAAATCTATTTCGTTGCTCGATGGTCGTTGTCTGGAGTGCCTTCTCGCTCAGCACGCCGGCATCTTGCTTGACTGCTTCCCGGAGCACCAACTTACTCAACATAGGCTGCCTCAGAATGAACTTCTTGAGTGCGTCGGTCAAGCTTTCGATTTCCGAGCGAGCACATTCTCCACCAAGCAGACGAAGGATCATCGAAAGAACACGGGGGCCAAAGGACTGCAGCGAGCGACTAATTCTTTGGTAAGCTGCTGTCTCGATTGGGCCGCCTGGACCGGAACAATCTGCCACAGTCGCAAAGAAGGCAGATGCAGAGCGGCGCGGAAGAGTATCTGAGTCGGCCATAACCATCAATGCCAGCTCAATCGCAACTGACAATGTCGTCTCGGGTGAGTCTCCACCGGCGAACCATATTGAACCAAACTTCAATAGTGTACGAGCAAGGAAGTCGAGAGATGCCGCACTGAAGTTGTTGCTGGGGGGTTGCTGGTTGAGTTGATGCGCGGAAAGTATCCTCTGCTGATTCGTCGCAACCTCGTACAAGACTCCTTGGAGACAGTCGTGGATGTTCTCGGATTCGACAGAAGCTAGAAAGCTCGAAGCACATGCCATCGACATGTCGATACCCGGATTTGAGACGGTAATCCAAGGTACCACAATTCCAAGCGCAATTGCATCAGGAAACTTGAACGGCGACGGATGCTGCTCCGTGAACCCGGATTTGATGAAATCACAGCACGCTTCGATAAACGAAACGTCGGCTTGATCGGGTGCCTTCTGTATTACAGCCCTAAAGGTGTTAAGCACATTCAGCTGTAGATCAGCCCCAGGCCCAGTGTGCCAGAATGCTGCCTGTTCATCTACCGGAGGTTCAAGGTCAACGGGGACATCGTGCGGCGAACGAAGACCTTTTCCAACCGATGCGAGGGTCTGCACCGCATCAATGCAAAAACCGAGAAGCTCGTCCTTATCTTCTGAGTCACAGGTTAGCGCCTCCTTGAGAGTCCGAATGGATGACAGCAGCCTTCCCAAAGGCTCGATTTTATCCTCTTCGCGTGGTAATGCCTGAATAATGGCAGCAACAGCAGCATATAAGCGGTGCCGCTCGGTGGCACCAAGGTCGTTGGCGGCCATCAAGGATGCCATGAACTGTGGAAGGGCTTGGGTCAGTGTCCTCCTGTGAGAATCACACAGGCTGTAAATCGCCTTTGAAGCGGCAGACGCCGAAGATTGTAGATGAAGCGATGAAAACAGAAAATTGAGCACCAGTGCCATACTTTCGGAGTGTCGTTGTAAGTACACGACACTGTCCGCAATGAATCTGATGCAAGTTTGTCGGGCTTTATCCGGAACTGTACTCCCTGCAGTCAACACATCGCCCCAGGGATGGCTGCTCAGAACTGTTGTAATGAGCTCGTCATAAACATCTGGTTCTGAGGCCATTGTATCAGAAAATGCCGTGAGACAAAACATCGCAGCCTCGAAGATGCTCCATTCGCGCGTTGCGCCTTGGGAGACAATGGTCTTCACGATCCCTTGAACAACTCCTGCCCCGAGCACGGTGAACGCTGACTGAAAGAAGTCATGCACATCGTAGCGGAAGTCTTGGAATTTGGCTCTATCGTCAGCATCCCAGTCTGCCGTGCCATTTGACATTTGATCTTCTGGGATCTTGACCTTCAAGAGACACGCGTCACATGCGTCGGCTGCCAGCCCATAAATGAAGTCTTCAACTTGGTCTTGTTCCCAATCCGTGGAGCCCTCCACAATGTCAGTCACCTTCTCAAGGGCAATTTGACACACCGGATCCTCGATGACGGCAGTACCTTCGCATCGGAGTAGTCTTCGAAGGGTTTGAATGATATCGTCATAGCGATGAGAGTCGAGATAGACTCTTGTGCTAGTATCTACCTGGCTCATGATAGATTCCAAAAGATCCACATAGAGAATTCCATTGGGAGTAAAATCGCCACGTACCAAATCTTCAACAATTACTTTCGCCGCATGGGTGTCTGCTATTCTTGCGGGATAGTTGGGGACAGACTGTTTGAGAAGCCCTGGAGATGTCTGCTGAAGCGAGATGAGCAGCTGAAGGACATTTCCTACAGCAAAGTCTCGGTCGAAGAGATTCATCGCAATTGCGATACATCTCCTGGCGATCGCCTCGACGTTGTCCACAACATCTTTGGCTATGTGTAATCGTCCATGTTTTATCGAACCAGTCCAGAAAGGCATAGCTTGAAGAATACTGAGAAACATGTCTTCTTGTGTCAAAGAGAGCATCAAGGAGCCATCTGGCTTGTGCTCAGCTTTGATAACCCTGTGTAATGAGAATTCGAGGAGTTGCCATGCATCGAGAGAATTGGCGGCTAAGCGATCTGCAATGGTGCTTTCAACGTCTGAGGTCGAAACGCTGCTGGTGAGATCTTCAGCCATGATCCGAACAAGCATGAGAACGCCTCGCAGTTGAACGTCCGAGTATGTTAAGGCAGCTCCAAGGAGTTGTTGCATATCTGGTAGTGCTGTTTCAGGAACAAATTGTCCGCTGATGAGACATGCGAGGACGTGTCGTATAGGGATTTGCCATCCTGAGTCCGGTTTGGCGAAAAATGTGACGAGCGTAGAGCATAGCTTCTGGAGGACAAAATTCGAGTCCGGTAACGTCACCAATCGTGAATAGTGATTGACCAGAGCTTCAAGTAATTGCTCCCTCGTCTGATTAGTCTTGCCGATCCCGTCATTGTCCCTGATAACTCGTTAGAAAAGACCGGACGAAGGGATCCGACCGTCATACCAGTCAGCATTAATCTTGATGGTCAAAGTGAGAGCACCATAGAACCTTATGAGGGCTTCATCATGCCGTAGAAGGTCAAGACCACCTTGCCACGCGGACTTGTCACGTTGTAGTCTTTGGATCTGTCGCTGAATATTATGAATCCGCCCCGGAGCAGCCTGGTTGCCGGGGTCGTTGAGTTCTAGGATTAGCCTCTCCATGATTGAAAGAAAGTGAAGAACCTGGAGACATGGCGCTCAGTCACCTCTTCTGGAACATTTCTTAGTTCACTCGAACCATCAACCTGGTTGAGAATTGTCTGAACCTTGTTGTCCACAAGATAGTGGTCCAAGATGCGAAGCTTTGAAGAACACGATAGACTTGAGCGAAACGCCGCCGGAATTATGTGGTGTCTTGAGGCGAGGTATGATCTCTCTTGCGGCTTGGATGGTTAACTTGGTTTCACTTGAACTGACCTTTTGTTTGATATAAAAAGGCTTCCTGCTGCTTTATGCCTCCAGCAACCTGCTCCCCCAGCAAGATAGATCAGCAGACAGCTCAAGACGGCGCAATTGAAGACAGCACTGATTTCGGTCTACTAAGAACTCCTCTGAAACACTCTCATATGTCTAGCACCTGCACCTTCATTTGTAAGATGTTGGGAGCCACAATGTCCAGCCTTGTCAAAAGCAGCAAGATTTCCCCAGATTGACAAGATAAACACATCCGTACACTTAGGGCGCATTGAATGCGGCCAATAAGGAATATTCGCACATGCCTTGATAGAGTGATCGTTCCCAATTTCACTACTTCCATAACGCAGTGTCCCTTCAATGCGTTGGTCATTCTTTCGTTTGCCTGTTTCACTTCGCCGCTCGTCGAGCCGAATTCGATCTCAATCGCCCTTCCAGTCCGTACGCTCCTTCTCATTCTCCAGTTCCTTACGAAACCTCGAGATGGAAACAGTAGACACCTCCAAGCGGTTGGCACATCTCCGCGATATGATGCGCCAGCATAAAGTCGATGTTTACATTGTTCCTTCAGAAGACAGCCATCAATCAGAATACATAGCCCCCTGCGACGCACGACGAGAATATATCTGCGGCTTCACAGGGTCGGCTGGCACGGCGGTGATCACGCTCGAGAAAGCCGCCCTAGCTACAGATGGGCGATATTTCAATCAGGCCTCCAAACAGCTCGATACCAATTGGCTATTGCTGAAGCAGGGCATGGAAGATGTTCCTACTTGGCAGGAATGGTACGGTTGAGCCTCGAAGATTGATGAACACGACTGAGTTGAAGACAGGACAATAGAGCAAGCCTCCGGCGGAAAGACGGTAGGAGTTGACCCAACGGTCATCACTGCAACAGAGGCTCGGAAATTGAGTGAAACCCTCAAGAAGAAATCTCGCGCGACCCTGGTAGGAGTCTCAGAAAATTTGGTTGACAAGATCTGGAAAGATAGACCAGCGAGGCCAGCAGAGAAAGTCATTGTGCTCGACGAAAAGTACGCAGGCAAATCATTCAAGGAGAAGTTGGATGATCTACGGAAGGAGCTCAAGAAGAAGAAAGCTGCTGGAATGGTCGTCTCCATGCTAGACGAAGTGGCATGGCTGTTTAACCTTCGTGGAAGTGACATCCCTTACAACCCTGTTTTCTTTTCTTACGCCGCCGTCACAAACGATTCAGCGACTTTGTATGTCGATTCCGGTAAATTGGGGCCGGAAGTCAAGGAGTATCTGGGCGAAACTGTCGAGATCAAGCCGTACAATGCTCTCTTTGACGATCTCACAAGCCTGGCCGAAGTGTCGTCTGGCGCTGTGCAGCAAGATGGAGCCACCCAATCCCACGACCCCAAACTGTTACTATCGAACAAGTCGTCTTGGGCACTGAGTCTGGGGCTGGGCGGCGAAGAAAAGGTTGAAGAAGGTCGTAGTCCTCTCTCAGATGCCAAAGCCATCAAGAATGCCACTGAGTTGGAAGGGATGCGCCAATGCCACATCCGAGACGGAGCGGCGCTCATTAAATATTTCGCATGGTTGGAGCACGAGCTGCTCAGCGGCACATGGATTGATGAAGTTCAGGGTGCGGACAAGCTCGAAGAGATTCGATCGAAGGGCGAGCATTTTATGGGATTGTCTTTTGACACGATCTCATCGACGGGCCCGAATGCCGCAGTCATTCATTACAGTCCCGAGCGCGGTAACTGTGCTGTCATCGACCCCAAACAGATCTATCTATGTGACTCTGGCGCTCAGTATCTTGATGGAACCACTGATACCACCCGGACATTACACTTCGGAGAACCTACCGAGATGGAGGTCAAGTCATATACCCTCGTTTTGAAGGGTGTCATCTCTCTTGACAGAGCAGTTTTCCCCAAAGGGACGACCGGTTTTGCGATTGACGCGCTTGCTCGACAACATTTGTGGCGCGAAGGACTCGATTACAGGCACGGTACCGGACATGGTGTGGGATCGTACCTCAATGTCCACGAAGGACCTATCGGCATTGGTACGCGCGCCGCTTACTCGGAGGTGTCGTTAAGTATTGGTAATGTCGTTTCCGACGAACCAGGATATTATGAAGATGGCAAATTTGGAATCCGGATAGAAAATATGATCATGGCACGAGAGGCCAAGACGAACCATAAATTTGGGGATAAGCCCTGGATCGGATTCGAGCACGTTACAATGGTCCCGATGTGCAGGAGATTGATTGACCCGGCTTTGCTGGACCCGGAGGAACGAGATTGGCTGAACGATTATCATAGAGAAGTGTGGGAGAAGACGAATGGCTTCTTCAAAGATGACGACCGGACAACGAATTGGCTGAAGAGAGAGACGGCACCGATATGATTGCAATTTTTGGAAGGGCTGAGCTTTAGATATCGTCAGGTTAAGCGTTGGCGACAGAGATATTGCTGAGAGGTCGTGCTTGGCTTTTTCAAGCTTCTAGATGCGTTGACGGATTGCCCGCACCGTCTAGACTTCTAGAGCATGGGATACAGGTTCACTGTCCACTTGTATTATCTCTTTGCCCATGACATCGGCAAAGAACGCAAAGGATTTCGTACGAAGTAAACCCGACAGCAGGAGACGAGAGAATAGAAGCATGGAGAAGGGAGCTCTTGCTCTTGCAACTGTCGGGTGAACATCGAGACCTCAAATGCAGACGTTGCAGGCCAGCTTCCTCATTTTGAGCCGTAAATTTCTGACATTCGTCGAGATGATCCGAGACGGAGCCGAGTACATCGGCGAACGTCTCCTGGTGAGATTCGTCCTGTGTATCAACGCTTGGTAGAAAATCCGACTTGGGTCCCAGGAAAAGCAAGAGTTCAGGATTCTCCGCGTGCTTGAGTGCACAGTCGAGATACTTCCACACCAGCCTTGGGTCTCGAGGGTATACAAATAGCCACACGTCAAAATCTGACGCTTCCTCGTAGACGGACGACGTCGATTGTACGGCACACCGCTGTCTGTGCGGGAGGTACTTGTTCGCCGCGGTTGAAGATGCGACTTCGACACCACGGAGGTCCAGCTCGAACGTGTGATGGTCTGTTACGCGTGACGTGAGAAGAGCTTCGAAGAGACCGGTGCCGGAACCTATTGATAGGCATTTAAGACGGGGCTTTGTGAGTTCTCGAGGATTTGCTACCGGTCGGGTATCCGTATGTGCTTGAAAGATGTGGAGGATGGTGTCTACGAGCGTCGTTGACAGTCCAAGGCAACAGTCGGGGTGTTGCAAGGGTGTGCTAGTAGGCGTGGGCAAGGGAAGCGGAAGCTCATCCTCGTCGTCGCTGGGCTGTCGACCGTCGGAAGATAAGACGTCCATTTCATTCGACATGTTCGGTTGATATCATCGTTCTTTTCTCATGCTGGAAACTGACGCCGAGTTCATTAGCTTTGAACAACCCAGCTTGGAGAGGAACTAGACATCATTACGAAAGCAATCTTTCGTCTTCGTATCTTGCCGATTCGTCCAGAAAGGCTTTCAAGCGGGTTCGCTTTGAGTTGGATACATTGAAGAGGGAGGCCCGTGTATGTCTCGATTTCCTTCTCCGCTGCTACCTTTCATGCTGATGTTTGCTTTTCCACCAGACTCTGACGCGCGCTGGTGTGACTATCCGCAGACCGTGTCTACAAGGGGCGCATGTATACAGTACGGTCCAACGACGGGCGACTGTCCATTCTATACGGTGTGCTTTGCCAACATGCTCTTCACAGCGGATGCACCTTTATATAAAAGTAACTTTTCGCAGGTGTTCTTCTTAACGAGAAGTACATTCATAAACAGCTGGGCCAGCGATGTTCCCGGCTACATTGGCGAACTCGCGACCTGGAGCGGCCACACCTAGATATCACTTCTGCTGCTGTCCGAACACCTTCTCGGCGCCATTATACATACAGACCGAATTCCACATTCGACTCAGTCAAGTCTATCTTCTCAAGCTAGTAAGTACACATCCTCGGTTGGCCCACGGAATGGATCCATCCTGTCTCTCATCACTAGATCCATTCTGTCTCTCCCATCACTGGATCCATTCCATGTCTCGCCGAGACACACTGATATCCATCTAGGCTCTTCACGCAACTCCGTCGACTCTCACTAGAGTGCCTTCCACTCTCCATGCGGTCGTCTTCACTCTCGCCGTGGTTCTGCAAACTCTCCTTTGGCCGAGCGCTCGCAAACAATTGTCATCTGGAACATCCCGAGGTAAGTCCTCGCCTTGTCCTGTTCGGTCCTCAGGCTCTATCCACCGCCTTTGCCATCACCAGATCCATTTCATCTACACCGACACTCACTAACATATGTCCATCAATAGTCTGTAAATCGGACATCGTCCTTGACCAAAAAGATACTGGAGGTCTTTTGGCCACACTGGCGCAGATATTATAACGAATCAGAACTGCTACCTTGGCTTATTGTGTTCACGTATAGCTAGAGCTAAAGAACTATTAGACAGATTTTGATGTAAAGAAACGTCTGCTTATTTATCATGTACCAAAGCCGGCAAGAACGGATTGTAAACTGCAAACGCTGCATGTGTGAGGAATGTAGTATGTACTCCGATTAAGCCTGTCTTCCATCGATCTTATGTCAAGAAATCGACGACGTCCATTTCCCCAGAATCCAATCTGCCGCTTCTTGGACCTGTTCACGACGCTCGTGGGCTCTTTTAAGGTGCTGGAAAAGAGAGCTAGGTGTCCCAAATCTGTCATGACAGAGAGGACATTCGTGCAACTGCCCGGTATCAATCAAACAACAGTGCCAAAGAAGGCGGCATTCCATGCTGCCTGGACGAAGATTTGAGCCACAGCCATTGGGGCATGCTTCATATGTTTTATAATCCTGGTGAGTCTCCAGGTGTGCTCTGAGGTCTTTGCTGCTCCATCCGATATAGTCATCGCAGAGCGGGCAATTGAAAATACAGGTGGTCTCTTTTTGCTGTCCACGATGTACCCGGAGATGATTTCTGAACTTTACTTCCGCCGTAAAGCGCTTCCCGCAGCCTGGCATGGGGCATAGCTTCATAGGAGGTAAGTGTAGGAGTACGTGGTCTCTAGCGCGCGACACATCGCGGCATGTGAGCTTGAATGACACCTCGTCTCCACAGAGTAAGCACTCATCAACTGCCCGACAATGGGCGACCAAATGATCACGTAGTTCCTCGAATGTCGGCAGCTCTGCCGTGCAGAACTCAAGTATGCAGAGAAACACACCGTCCTTTTTAGTGATGTCGAATTGCTGCAGCTGGGCTTTATTGGTCGTCTGTCTCCAGGTCTCACCAGCAGCAGCTCGACGTACTGTTGTATCTGCCTTGGAGTAGGTGATGATTTCCTTCTCGAACGGTTGAGAATCGACAGCGTCGATTTTGCTGGGGGAGAAAACATTGCGTCTGCCGGGCATGACTTGTCGTAGATCTCTTGTCTCAGTTACGATGGCAGTGGAGACCTTTCAGGTGAAGGGATACTGTCTCGGGCCTTGACTGTGTTGTGTACAGCACTTCGGCGACACTTGGTCTTCCAAAGGGGGTTGTTGATATGTAGAGAGTATCATACTGTTTAAAGTCATATCCAGGACTCATGTCTGTCAGAGGAGCTTATAGCTCAATGACTTGAAGATCTCCAGACAAAACCAGGGTAGATATCTTGTCATCAATACAAAACCTGGCACCGTCTGGACCGCGCCTCATACTTGGTCATGACCGATTGGTGCCCTGCTCGTCGAAAGGGAACACCCAATGAATGTATATGATACTCCATCGTAAGTAAAGTCTGTAGGTATCGCCCAGTGGCCACTCAGTTTGGCAACAACTCTTCTTAGTCCCGACGCAAAGCTCTGTGGTAGTCGCCGGACAGATTTCTGCGAGGCCGCGCAGCTTCAAGTCCCAAAACAAGCATTGGCCAGGAGAGGTGCCCCAGCAACATGGCTCGGATTTGCTACCGAGGTTGACCCGTCACTACCCAAAACAGCCTAATCGAGCTCGTACAAGTTTTAAGCTATCTCTATTTTTGAATGCAAATTTTGCCATCAAATCGCATCAGATCGCGTGAATGGTGTAGTATGTGCTTCCAGATTTCTCCAGATTTCATTTATCCTAACCATTATTAGGCGGTAACATTGTTGCCTTCCAAGCAACAGCTCAGGGTTCGACTCCCTGTTCACGCAATACATTTTTGTATCTCGTTCGTGACCTTCTTTTTTTTTTCTTTCACTCATTGTTCTGTTCTGACAATTGACTAAAATCACTTGCTTGGCAAGGGCTGTGAAGTGAGGTGGGCTACGTCACACATACCTGTAAGTGGGCGTCAGAGTCTGGATACAGCCTTGAGGCAGAGATGCGTAAACGGAGCCGAAAAGTATAAATCAGGTGATTAAGCACCGCACCGCAAAGAATTACAAGATAAAATCCTAGGGAGGAAACTGTCGAAAAAGTCTTTGCTCGTTTCTTCTAGCTCGAGCAACAAAACTGGGCTTTCGTTGTTCATCTATAAAGAATCTCAATATTCTGCTCCCGCCATCATCTATTCCAATTACTACTGACCGCCGCCCAGATAATCCCACACAGCAACAGCATGAACCTTGATTACGCTCAGAAACTCGTCGATACTGACTCTTTCATCCACGGCCGCAGCCATGGTGTCAGGACCAACACCGTACACAAACGCAGGCACGCCATGATACCTCCAGAACTTTGCGTCGGTCGCTCCAAGGCTCGGGATGGCCAGCGGTATTTTGCCCGTCACGTCTTCTGCAGCCCTGGCTAGCATTCCGACCATCTCGTGACTCACGGCACCGTAACTTGACGGATTACTCGCAGCCTCCTGCACGGCGTATTCGACGTTGACTCCCTTTTCCTCGTCCTTGAATTCTCGGTCGTCGAGCACGCGGTCGATGTAAGACAGGACGACCTCCTTCGTCAAGCCGATAGGTAACCTGATATCCACCTCGACCAGGCACCGGTCCGGGATCATGTTGACCTTGATCCCACCGTTCATGACGCCGACATTGACCGTCGGGCGGAGTATGTTCTCGCTGGCGCCTTTGCCCATGATGTCGTCGACAACGCTCCTCACCTCCGGGCGGCGCATGTGTTCGACTATCGACTCGTCCAGGTCCGGCGTGACGTCGTCTTCGATCTTGACCAACCTATTCACGAGCCTCGACGCGACCCGGTTCGCACCCTCGCTAATGTGCGTGTACGCGCCGTGCAGCCCTTTCGTCGTGACGGTGAAGGTCATGCGGAGCGTGCCCTTTTCGCCGAACCGGATCGACCGCAGCCCTCCTGGTTCCGCGTTGATCATGACGTCGCCTTTCCACCTTTCGCGGTCCGGATCTTGCTCCAGGAGCCACCGACTTCCGAACGTGCCCCCGGTTTCTTCATCGGAAACGAGGCTCAGCGCCACTGAGGAACGGGATAGTTTGAGGTGTTGTCGATGACGATATAACTGTTTATATATGATGGCGGTGGGTGTTGTTCGTCAGTTCAATTCAGTTCGGTTTGGTTCGTGAGTTCTTTTGTCTTCTTCCACAGATCAAGACCTGGATCTAGATCTAGGGCCGAGGGCGCGAGTCTTTTGATGCTTCGGGAGAGAAGAGAGGGGAGAGGAGTAACGAGTGAAAGTACTTGTAAAATGGTGATGATGAGGAGGAGGAGGAGGAGGAGGAGGAGGAGGAGGAGGAGGAGGAGGAGGAGGAGAAGCAAGTGACAGAGAAGGTAACATTAAAGCACAAGGTAAAAGAGTAGTCCCAAAAAAAACTCACATAACCAAAAGCAATAGCACTGGCCGCCGTTCCAGCCTTCATGTCAACGCCGCCCCGTCCCCAAATGTACTTGCCATCGTTATAACCCGACCACGGCCCTCGGTCATGTTTCCACTCAGCGCCACGCGACTCGTCGACGGGAAACACATCAATGTGTCCATTCATCATGACTCTCCTGCCGTTGTCGTCAATGCGTCTCGCTCTTTCGTCGTCATCACCATCGTCGCCGTCGCCGCAAGAGAATTCAGCGACAAGATTTGGTTTCGCATCGCCTTGCGGCGCGAGCACGCGGACCGCTACGCCCTGACGCTCCAGGTACGTTTTCAGAACATTCGCCGCGTCAAGTGTATCGCCAGGCGGGTTTGGCGACGGTGCCTGGACGAAGCGCTCGAGAAGCGCGACGTGGTCTTCGTGCTCCGAGGCGATCAAGTCGATGAATGCTTTTCTTTTCATTTTCGTAGCTCGGTAATTTGGTTGTTGTTCTTGGTATTATGGCTTTTGTCTCTCCTCTTCTAACAACAAGCGGTGTTCGGCGGACTACCTATACTACCAATATCCTTGTATTGTGGGAAGTACTTTGTTGTTGCAATGTTGATCTTTGGTTCGGAGCATCAGCGACAGTCAGTCAGTAAGTACCTAGTAAGAAGTACAGTGCTTGACTTGCTGAGAGTGAAGACGCAGGGACCTGACCTAGACTTGCACAGATACTGTATCACGTTTATGTCCCTACGTAGAGGTAGGTAGGTGTCCTTGAGGACTGTACTCTGTATGTAGGTTGTTCACACAGAGTCCGTGTCCAAGATAGAGTCGAACTGACTGGAGAGGCAGGCCGTGACTCATCAGCGCTACAGGTACAGAGAGGGTGTAGCATGTTGTTCGGACGAAAAAGAGTGTTGCGGATTTGTCCACTGAACGGATACAGAAACGTCGATCGCGAGCGAAGTTGTTTTTACCTCCCTTCCATCACGCAAGAAAGTGTGTCACTCACTGTTCAAGAAACTTGATTTGAGATTCTAGGAGTTACTAAGCGCAACTTCACCAGTACCCAGACATGCACGTACTGTAAATATACCCTCTGTGCAAGTACCTACCAACACGGCCCGAGCTAACGTTCATCTCGGCGCACAAATCTGTAGATACACCACGTTTGTGATATAAGCCACTCGGGACATCCGGTGGACTAATCTTCAACTCGTACTGCTCGAGGCAATGCCCAAGACCTTGTTCCGGAGAGCTGTCGGGTTATTAGCTGCAATTTCGGAACATCATGTTAGGCGGTCATCTGCAGGCGTCGGATGATTGGGCTTGTCCTTGCGCTCTCACTTTCGGCCCATCATCACACGCGCCACCAGCCCACAAACTCCACGGGAACGTGGGACGTAAACTCCGCGGGTCGAGCTCGCTCCCCTTAGAACTCCATAAAAACCCACCCCAATCGAGCGCGCCCATACTGTATGCGGACAAGTTACGATGGACAATACCTCGGTATATCGTCCTTTCTTGGGGAAGGTTGAGGCAAGCACCCATGCACTGGGGGCTCTTGTTCTCAGAAATGCCAATACTCTTTTAAGATCTTTTCCTGTTCTTTTTCCTTGTAATTTCTCCTTCCGTTTGCCAATTCGGATCTACCTCTCTGCCTTCTTTTACAACTGTGTCTCGCATTACTTTCTGTCGTCGTCCCAAATCTGAGGAGTAAAGCCGGCCAGACAGAAGGTCTTTTTTCCCCCAAATAAGGGTTCTTAATCACCTCCCGCCATCATGGTGTTTTATCCTGCGCCGTGGCTGCCGACACTGCCAGAGATCCCCGATACGGTGCCGATATGCGATTTCATGTTGGATGAGCAGTACGGGCGACGACCGTTCGCCGAGTCCTGGGACGCGTACACATGCGGTCTCACTGGCAAGAGCATCTCTGCGACGCACCAGAAAGAGAGCGTCCGAACGCTGGCACGGGCATTATCCAAAGACCTAGGATGGAAAGTGAACGAGGGCACCGAATACGACAAGGTCGTTGGTGTCTTTGCGCTCAACACGGTATGCGGGAACGCCTCCCACACTTTTAACCGTCCTTTTCTTCGACTATACGAAACTGATATGGTTCCAGATCGATATCATGACCTTGTCATGGGCCATCCACCGAATCAACGGGGTGTCGTCGCCCGCCAACGCAGCTTACAGTGCAGACGAACTACGTCACCAACTCACCAACTCGGGAGCCAAAGCCCTCTTCACGGTCATGCCTCTGTTGGAGACGGCACTAGAGGCCGCGGCCAAGGCAAACATACCCAAGGACAAGATCTACATATGCGAGATGCCAAACGATCCTCCGGTCCCCAAGGAGTTCAAGACGCTGGGCCAGCTGATAAAGGAGGGAGAGTCGTTACCAGAGCTGGAACCCATCAAATGGACCAAAGGCCAGGGCGCACGACAGGTGGCATTTCTGTGCTATTCGAGCGGTACTTCCGGTCTTCCTAAGGGTGTCATGATCAGCCACAGAAACGTAATTGCCAACACGGTCCAGATATCCCTGTACGAGAAGTCTACTCGAGACGATATTGCACCTGGCTATAAGGACGTGGTACTTGGTCTCTTGCCGCAGTCACACATCTATGGCTTGATCGTGATTTGCCATGCATCGACCTACCGTGGTGACAAAGTCATAATCCTCCCGAAATTCGACCTGCAGCACTACCTCAACTCGATCCAGACGTACAAGATCAACACACTGTACATTGTCCCACCGATCATCATCGCGATGGTTAAGCAAACGCAGATTCTGCAAAAGTTCGACTTGTCGAGCGTAAGGGGAATCTTCACGGGTGCCGCTCCGCTAGGCGAGGAGACCGCCAAGGAACTGGCCGCCCAATATCCCAAGTGGCTCATTCGACAGGGTTACGGACTTACCGAGACGTGCACGGTTGTGTGCTCGACGACCCCGGCTGATATCTGGTTCGGCTCGTCAGGATGCTTGATTCCAGGTTACGAGGCCAAGATCATGAGTATTGAAGGTAACGAGATCACGGGATATAACCAGCGTGGTGAACTCTTGGTCAAGTCACCCAGCGTGGTCTTGGGATATCTGAAGAACGAAAAATCGACCAAGGAGACGTTTGTGGATATGCCCGAAGGCCGGTTCATGCGAACCGGTGATGAAGTCGAGATCCGAGTGTCGCCAAAGGGTAACGAACATATCTGGGTCGTGGACCGAATAAAAGAGCTCATCAAAGTCAAGGTAAGACTGAGTTGCGACGGCGAGAAAACATTTGATGCTGACAATTGTAGGGTCTTCAAGTGGCACCTGCAGAGCTTGAATCGTGCCTCCTCAATCATCCTGCCGTCGCCGATTGCGCCGTTATCCCCGTGCCCGACGAGCGAGCTGGCGAGGTCCCCAAGGCTTTCGTCGTCAAGTCCAATTCGATCGGACTGGAAGAGAGCGATGCCATGGTCAAGCGCAGTATTGCCAAACATGTCGAAAAGGAAAAGGCTCGACACAAATGGCTTGCGGGCGGTATCGAGTTTATCGATGTCATTCCCAAGAGTGCATCGGGTAAGATTCTCAGACGGCTGCTCAGAGACACAGAAAGAGAGAGGCGCAAGAAGGCCGGCGCAAAGCTGTAAGACAGTGGCGCTGTACGATTGGACATAATGCTCCTTGGGGTAGATATAGACAGTGCGAGTTGGTCTCGGACATTTCGAAAGCGACAAGAGTATGATCCCTGATGGTGGAATTGCTGTCCTAACTCCATCTACTTCGTATCGTCGATGTCGTCTGGTCTAGGTTATCACAGGCGAGAAGGGGTCACTCCTTGTTTCTTTCCTTTGGATCTTGTGAAATTTGAAGTGACTACCCAGTACGATACCTTATTACTCATCAAACAGATCTGACCCAGGTTCTCAGGGTTGTGGACAGTAGCTCGAAGGCATTTCGTCGTTTGTTTACCCTCTGGTCGGCATGCGTAATCGTGGTCGTGGTAGTCGACATTGAACGCGGTTGTGGCGTTCATCTTACCACAACCAGGATGGTGAGTTTAATTTCATAACCTTTTTAAGATGTTTTTATTTATATATACATGGTGATATCAAGGGGTGAGACCTGCAATTTCACACGACAAGGCTGTGCTGCGGTGCTGCAGCCTTGGTTGGCTCGGGCGCTCAAAGTCACGTGGAGTCTGACGTAGACTCCGGTTGATCAAACGTCGCTAATTTCTCCGGGGGTCGGGATCTTCAGCACCTCGTTTCCCCCAAGATTGAGCTTTGGACATTTCGAACACCTTGGTCCCCGTGAGGCTGAACCCCGCCAAAATTACAGTGATGAAAAGGGACAAACACATGGTGATGAAATGGTGATGGGCACGTACTCCGTACAGGCGCCCTGCAACCACCTACGAGTATCATTGTCCCTTTGGGAAGGACTGCCCACTGTATTGTGATTTGTTTTGCCGGCAAAGCTAAGCTTATCTGGCCCCGCCGCCTGGGGGTTCATTCACCGTACGATAAAGCTGCGAATCTTGGGGGGGGGGGGGGGGGGAACAATTTTCGACAGTTTGCTGCTTGTTTGCCGACGGCTACCTAGTAATCGTACGGGACTGGACAGAAGTTACCGCTGAGCAAAGCCATGCACATGCACATGCACGTTGATGGTCTAAACTGGTAGATGTGAAGAGTAACCACCAGCTAAACTGCGGCGCGGAGAACATACCCTAGCGTCACTGATAAGGTAGCTTCAAATCGTCCTCAATACGGGATCTACTAGGATGGCTCGGTGAATTGATAGTAGCTTTCCTGGCATGGTCGGTAGAGGGTCTGGACCTCGTGCCCCGAGTCTGCTGCTATGCGTGGGTTTGCGCCCACAGAACCGAGAACCCCTCGTTGGATGCAACCGCATGCGGGAAAGAAAAAGTCAGGAGGCTGGTATCTGTTGCGCGATAACGAGAACATAGACGACATGGCAAAAGAAAAATGAACTGGAGAGCCAATCAATAGGCTACTGTACTCTTGCCCTTTGATCGCGCAGACGCTTATGCATGCACGTCAAAATACACCATCTCTTTGCCTAGGATGGGACGGGTAACATCTTGATTTGGTAGCGGAAAGAGAACGGGTTTGTCTACAGCGATCCACGGACCAGCGATTATTGAGCCAACCAGAGTCGTGACCGCGGAATGAGATGCAAAGGAATGGTTCTGAGTTGCTCACCATCTGAAAAGCCTGCAAGCTGTGGTTCTCTGCATTAATCCTCTGGCATGCAGCGGGAAACGTACTCGCGGGCTTCCCCCGCAATTGCGAAGAAAAGCCTTGGGCATGTGGCATGCCATTTGCTGTCCGGGTTGCATGGATTCCCCTGGACGAGAACCGACCACCCTTTCAAATGGCCAAGCTGGATCAGAAACATACCCACTGATGCTCCAGTACGAGGACAACAGATGCGCGCAAGCTTAACCACTCCGGCCAGAAGTGGTGTGAGTTGTGTCTCTCTTGCAAGGGCTAATGGGAGTCCTGATCTGGCCTTTGTCGCCCACCGTCGCACAATCAAGACGCAGATCAAGGCCGTCGTTCAGAGCCGCGCAATCTTGCACTGGTGCCATGGCAAACACGTGGGGCCCGGGGAGACGGTGAGTCAGCAAGCGTGAAGTTGTGCTCGGCACCGAGCATGTTGTGTAACCCCCAGAGCACATGAAACCTGGCGGTGAGAGATGCAAGAGGGGGCCAGATGTTGATGTGATCTGAAGACGAGATTTGGAGGCGTGTGGGATTTGATGAGAGCGCAAGGGAAATTGCTTGGGAGGGAGAACGGGCTGCACCTGTTGTTTTCTTGAAGCGAATCTGCAGCCAAGTGGTGACACCGCATGCGCCACAGCGGGAACCAATGCATGACCGCATCTGCAGGCGCATGGATTTGCAAACGACGGATCATTTCGCCGTCTTCTTTCAACACGACCGGTATCATGGCTGAAGTCGCTGGAAAGGGACTCTGCCTAGGTATAGACCCTGATACTTGAATGCCTGTATTTTTGATCATGAGAAAATCCGTCGTTGTGTACTAAGAAAATTGCGTCCTGCATGATGCTTTGAGCACGGACACGCTGTGGACCACAAGGTTGGACGCCGAGGTCCTCCGCCCGGAATAATGACGCTTGGATATGAAGTGAGCCTATTGACGGCCTAGACAATGTTGTTCGGCGGTACGGACATCCAAAACACGAGGATCAGTGAGGCCTGCATGCTGATACAACGACGAGAGGGTGGTAACAGGAGATGGTCCATTTGTCAGGACAGCCTGTCGCTGCAGGATCAATGCATCACTGAAGAGACACAAATGAGGTCGACTCCGCTTAATGCAATGTATGGGCAGACTGGGTTTCGAGGTCTACTAGTGTGCCCTGGGTCATCTATTGAATTACAGTTAACTTGTCATCAGATCGTCAGGTTGCAGAGACAGTGTACGTTCCGTAATGCCGACAGCGAATGATGTGCGCCTTTTTATTTTCCTACAGGGCTGCATCTGTCAAAACATCCGACGCAAGTACCACCTCTCCCCAGGATTGACCATGACAGGTACAGCAACATCATGTTCGGTAATCGTGTGCGGTGGTGGCCCGTCCACTGTCATCTGCTGTAGAATGGTATGGGACTGGCGGGGGTGTACGTACATGATGTTATTGCCAATCATCGTCACTTGGGTTTAAAGTTGTTGGCATCATTCAATAATGCCCGGGACATCCGACTAGGTGGAGGTGATTGAGTTTATGGATCGGGTATGGCTGATGGTTGCAGGGCAATGAACACGAGGACATACAATAGTAATAAAGTAGGTTGGCGCATGGCGGGAAGACTACAAAAGAGGAGCTGATGTTTACTCGTGTTTTCGTCTACAGAAGAGGCACTGGCACTGTACCTGTAGCATACTAATTATTTATAACTCGAAGCCTACCTGACTTGGGTAGTTGCTACTGTACTGTTGGCTCGCGCTTTGGAAAATCAAAACAACATTACCGGGCCGCACGACTTCCAGGTTGTTGTGGCGATACACCTGTACGGAGCATGGATACAGCATGTCTTCCAAGTCGCAACGATGCAGTCCTCGTGGAATCGTAGAAGAGCAGTTTCATGCCCGCATGCCGAGTAGCTTTCCAGCTCGCCTCAGGTAGTGAACTACTAGTCGTACAGTACATTACAGTCCTGCGATATCGCCTCCGACTTGGTCTTCCCGCATAAAAAACCTGATCTTTTCGTTGATCGTTGATCTTTCCAAACGGGGCTTTTGCCAATTGACACCCTGGTCCATCGTTACCCGAATCCACTAGTGCCGGTTTCGTATCTCGTAGTATCCGTACCTTGTTGGTTCGCCGTACCGCAACCCCTGGGCCGTAACCTCAGCTTTCGTGTGCTCTCAGTGCCCACTAACTAGTCTGGTCGTGTAGTCGTAGTTGTCGCCTTTCCATCAAGGCCTCTCCTCCTTCCTCCGCCGCCCACGCTGCCAATAGTACCTCGACTGCGACCACCTTTTGATATTTGCCTCCCCTCCCCTTCACCCCCCAAACCGCAATATCTGCAGGTCTTGTACTCATATTTCCTCTTTTAATTAGCTACACACCTTCACTACTGGTCGACACCTGCACTTGTTTCACGGCTCTCCCTGCCGTCACTCTCGCCATTGTTCGCGCCAAGTACCACGAGTGTAATTCACTTGACACTCCCCCAACCTCTTCACCCGTCCAGATCTGTTCTCCTACGACTTCGGCCGGAAGAAAAAGAAAGTTTCATAGCTTCAGTCTCTCTGCCTCTTGACTGAGTCGGTTACTGTCCCAAGAGATTGAAATCCACCGCAGAAGCTCCGGCTACAAGAGAGACCTCCCCGTTCGAAGCTCGATGCAATAAAACCTCACGGTCAGACCTCTTCTACTGCCAGCTCGCGTCTACGAATTTCTCACGCTGCTCGGACGGAGTATCCTTCGATGAGGAAGTAATAGTTGGAACAATCATTGCCGCTGGCTCACTCAGAGAAAAGATGCTCTCCATAGGTCTCCCGGGTCCTGGCCGGGGCGTCTTCATGCTCTACATTGCCCTTATCGCCTCGCTCTTCTCGCAGGCACATGGCTTATCCATCACTTATTGCTCACCAGACAACAACGCGGGCTCATACCCTCGATGTGAGTGTTGTCTTGGTCTTAAATGTTACTGCCAATTTCTGACCTGAAACCAGATTACAGCCAGTACATGTCAAATGGCTTGTGCCATGACCACTGCCAGGGATCATACGCCTTTGCCATCCTCCAGGGTTCTTACTGCTGGTGTTCAAACTACGTACCTACTGACCAGCAAAGCACGTACGATTGCAACGAACAATGTCCTGGTTATCCCTCGGATTGGTGTGGTTCCACCGAGGCTGGCCTTTACGGATACTACGAATTAAGTCCTGGAGCTCCTCTCGGCACTTCTGGAGGCTCTGCAAGCAACACAGCACCCCAAACCTCTTCGTCGGTTAGTACTTCTCCAGTTGAGTCCGGATCACCCTCTACTTCCACCTCTAATGCTCGGGCAACTTTTTCCTCTTCTGCCTCTTCCTCCTCATCAGTGGTAACCGTTGGATCCTCTCAGAGCTCTGACGAGGCTACTTCCGTAACATATGACACGTCAAGTACTCCCTTGACAAGCTCATCAAGTTCCATTGTATGATACACCCGTCTCTTTCACGATGTCACCCCATTGTACTGTTCCTTGTCAGACGGGTGTCTTGGTGACTGTTTCAGCCTGTGTAGTCCATGAAAACGGTTTGCTAACACGGTTTGCTGACGCGGTTTGCAGCCATCTTCTCCGTCGACCTCGCCCTCTTCCTCTGATGCCACCACCGCAGACCCAGCTACGGAAAGCACTACTTCTGCCCCCACCGAAGTCTACACCAGCGTCACTACTGTCACTGGCAAAATCACCACGATACTGGTAACCCCAACTCCCGCGGTCTCTTCTGATGCGACGTTGGGCCAATCTGCTACTGGCGGTGGCGGAGGGGGCATCAGTTCTGGGAAGGTCGCTGGCATTGTTGTTGGCGCCGCGCTCGGTGTAGGTGCTCTCATCGGTGCTGGCATGTACATTTGGTATCGACGCCGGCAGGCGAGGAACAGCAACAATAGCCAGCCTGAATCATCGTTTATTGCTCGAAGTGGCGACCAGTCCCCGTCAAACAACGTACCTTCGAGACAAGTTAGTCAGTTGTCATCCTCAGGATTGCTTGGGACTAAGACTCCCCGCATCAACACTTCCGGGATACCCAACGGCAACGGTCCAAGAAGCGCGGGCACCGGTTCTTCAGGAATTGATCGACGAAGTCTGGCTACTGACCAGAGGTTGAACCCTTATGCCCTGTATTTCCATGACGAAGGTCACGTGAGCAATGTGTCTCTTCAGGACAACCAGGACTACTCAAGGCAGCTACGGGTATGCTGATTCTTCCTTCCTATCATCTTCTCAAGTGAACCTTGCTCACATTTTATCAGGTGGCGAATCCAGATCCTTGAGACGACCTGAATGAACTTGAAATCGATGACTCTCTCCAATAATCGTGCCTCTGAAAATTTTGGGCGCGGAGGCCGTCCTTCCTAGCGATGATTCACGAACCCTCCACATACAGGAGTGACACAGCAGCCGTCATACACGAGCTCAAGTCTCGAAACCCGGTCCGCCGCGAACAGGAGATTGTACGCGTCGACGAAATGATCTTATGATGAGACGTCCCTTCTTTTCTTCAACAGCAACAATTGAGATATCCAAGCTTTTTCACTTTTGGCATAGGAAATGGAGTCCTGCCGGGGAATTGTACATTTAGCATATGACAACAGGAATTCATTACCATGGCGTGCGGGTGGGATCTATTGTCTTCGATAAGAACTTGGCGTTAGCCTTACGCAGGAAACAAGTGATCAAGCGCAATGCAGGGTGTTCGTCTGGGAGAAGGATCACAAACAGACCATTGCCCCCCAATGAGTCGACACTAATGAACATTGGTCGAGCCAGTATTGTACAGGACTCGCCAAAGTACGAGATGGTCCTTGATTAAGGACATCATGGGCTATATAGAAGAAGACAAAAGTTTGCTCCCAGACCCGTCTCCGTAGTGAGTTTTGAGTCATCCCTACTATCAGGTTGATGCCCAACTGGATGGAGAGGCAAAAGATGCAAAAGGCTTCACAGGGAACAAGTTATTAATGCCTGACGTCCATCCACAAACCCATTTGCGACTAGGCGCAACGACGATCCAGGGTTCGGCTGCACCCGTACACTGCCGAGAGTGCCTGAGAGTGCCCAGGCGAAGGGGAGAAGCACATGCTTTTTATATGGTCGTTGTTGTTGTCACTGATGAGCGGCATCAACTATGCGTGATGGTCCGAACCGAAATGAGCCTCGCCGTCAGCACATGATGATTCTGTCCTTGGTGTTGTCCAGCAGTCTTTGGACTCGCGAAGATGGCAGTGCAAGAAATGCTGCCCTTCTACAAATGCCCACCTGTATCGCGCCGGCAGCAAAGCCATGCCCGCGTCCGTTTTGAATGTGCAGGCGTGGGGATGACTGGCACAACTGGCGTGCTTAACTAGTGGCGTGCTGCAGGGTGACGTGGGTTTCTGGGTTGCTAGGCCAAGTTCTCAGCTCGACTTTGCTACCCAAATGCCCCAAAGCCAAAGCCTGGTGATCGATCCCATTTATTCAGTGAGCCCAACTCCAACTCTGCCTGCGCATATATTGCCTTGCTCACCTCATTCAACACCTCTTCCTCTCTGCCTTTGTCCAACAGCCGTCGCAGTTCTGCTATTCCTTGATTTTGTCTTGCATTTAGCGAGTTCTGCCTCCCATTATACTGCTTTAAGTAGCCTTTCCCGTGATCAACCGACACCCACCCCACCTTTTCGCTGCAATCAACGCCTCAGCAAGACCGTCGTGATCAGTCGACTGGAAACAACGAGATATCTGTGTCTGCACCGGTGATGGCCAGCCGTCGATACGTCGATGATGTCTCCGTCGACAGGTACGAAGATCGTCGGGATTACACCTCCAGAGGTGGTCGCAGGGTCTACGATGACCGTTACGCGGAGGAGGAGGTAGAGTACCGTCGTGGAAACCCAGTACGTGAGCGTGAGAGGGAACGAGAGGTTCGAGAGGTCCTCGTTCGGGACGATGTTCGAGAGAGACCCGGAAACACACCTGCTTTCCTACGAGAAGATTACGGAAGAACTACTGCTGGCCCAGTGGTCTTGCGAGCACGAGAACGGGAGGAGTTCGACTTCGTTCCCGCACGACCTCGTCGACGATCCCCATCCCCAGAGCCGGAAAGGAAGGTCGAGAAGGAAAAAATCATCATCCGGGAAAGATCAGAGTCAGAATCCCGACCTCCGCCTCGGTTCAGAGAAAAAGATCGAGAAGTGGAGCGGGAAGAGATAATCATTCGACGGGATGAAAGGGACGCAGACAGGAGACCGCCTCCGCCACCACCCGCCCCTCGCGAAAGGGAGAGGGAGGAGATTATCATTCGAAGGGAGGAGAGAGACCGTGAGGTACGCCCGCCGCCTCCGAGGGACTCTCGGGAGGAGATCATCATCCGCCGTGACGAAGACGACCGCCGCTCTCGATACGACGTGGACTTTGATGACACCCTCTCCAGGAGGAGCGATTACGTCAGACGACCAGCGAGAGAGACTGAGCGAGACGAGATTGTCATTCGGCGATCGGAACAGAATCTGGAGTCTAGTCGATACGACGATTATGCCTTGACTCGCCCCAAGTCACATGAACGGGCCAGGTCACAAGCACGACGTTCCAGCAGCGCGGGATCTAACCAAGAGATCATCATCCGACAGGAGGAGCGTGACGGCCGCACCCGTGAGCGACAAGAAATCATTATTCGTAAGAATTCGCGCTCTAGGTCGCCCAGTCCATCTGTTGTATCGGCACCGCAGGCACCACCCGAGCCGCAAGTCATCAACGCTCCTACCATCCATCAAGAGGTCATCACCCACCATCGACATATTGACCACGGCTTCGAGGTTGCCATCCCTTCAAGGCCCCGGCCGATCACTCGACCTCCATCGCCACCGAGCCCACCACTGTCTCCCCCCAACCCTCGTGCTCACTCTGAGGAGAGGATCCAGATAAGTCGAACTCAAACCAGGAATGGGCGCACCGAGAACGAGAATATTGTCATCGATCGCAACGAAGGGGCCAGAAGCGTGGGCCCCTACTCGCCGCCTGCACCGCGAGACTACTATGACGCCCCGGCTCCTCGACGCGAAGGCTATCGTGGGTCCGATCGGGATCTGCAGGAAGAGGCAGACTATTACAATAGCCGAGCCATGGAACGTGCCTACGTCGGAGAAGCGTATCGCGGCGCCACGAGGGACTGGGCAATAGTGGACGTTCCTCCTGGCACCAATCGCGTCCGCATGGATGGAGCTGGTGGTGGAGCTCAAGAAATCACGTGGCAAAGGTACAACGGGGTCCGAAGGAGCAAATTCATGCCAGACGGAGAAGAGGGATATGGGGAGATCGGAAGACCCGCTCCCCTACCAATGCCGGTACCAGCGCCAGCGCCATTACCGGCTCCAGCCTCGAATGGGGACATCGGACGGCGATATGGTAGACTGCCAGACCCCAAGGAAGGATTGTGGACAGAGATCACCAAGGATCTCGTCGTTAAGGAGGCTATTCAAGAGATGGGTTATGAGTTTGAGGAGACGGACGATTTCTATTACATCATTGCCTATCTCCGATACGTGAGTAGACCCCCGGATGTGAAGCTTGTACTGCGAGAAGATGCTGACAATGAATTAGGAGGACGTCGCCCGCCTTGTCGGACTGTCGGAGGACATCCGTAAAGAGCGCAAGAAGCGCATCAAGGAAATTTCTTGGGAAAATCGAGTCTTGCCACCACCAGTAGTGGAAGAACCTCATCGCCCGTTGATGCTAGAACCGCCACCACCGCAACGTCCGCGTCAGGACTGGGATCGAGAAGAGGAGCGGTACATTGAGCGCGAAGTTGTGTATCGAGGTGGACGACCTCCTCCACCACCAGGCTGGGTGAGACGTTGATGGTGCTGTGTTGAGGAATTGCACTTGTTTTGTTTGTCCATCAAATGGATAATTCTGAAAACCTTGCAAGCCCTAGGGGGCCACCCACATTTCACAGGAAAGGGTCTGGTCAGTGCGAGCACCGTATGTCGAGATGAGACGGTCTCTCAAGAACACAAGGACACGAAAATATACTGAGGAGTAAAGGCAGAATGTTACGGAGGCAATGTCTTTGACGGCGAAACGAAAATTTGTTTTTTTTTTTTGTTTTTTTTTTTTGCTTACATCAACGACGAGATGCCCGAAGAAGAGAATTTACGAAGCATGAATCAAATCCCCTTTTTGAAGACAGCTCAAGTCTGGCTGTCCACTCACACATTTACGACCTGTGATCTGCGAAGCGTTGATTTCAGCAAGCGAGCACTTGTAGGACTGATCGATCGGGCTTATTCGTTTTGTCTTTGAACGAAGCCAGGGACGATAATGACGGACGATAACGACGAACGGACTTTGTGACTTGTTTTTGGGGGGGGCATGTTTAGGATTCCAAGATAGATGTGTGGTAGGAGATATATACCCGTCAGTATTTTACCTGTGTAGCTGAGAGTTGAGATGTAGAACGCCTCGTACTTTTCCATCATCGCAGTTCTGTCCCTTCCATCGGGAGACAACACCGACGCTCACGGCGCGTATCAACAAAACATTTTCCCCATATTAACGAAGTCTGGATCTCATAAGCCGGCACTATTTTTGAATTTCCCTAATCGTAGACTGGGCCAGATAGACGAATGGCCTCCTGGCAGAACTCCAGATGTTATGCAGTTACGCGACGTCGTATACATACATGGAAACAAGATCTGAATTACATGGAGTTGTTGATATTGCGGCATCAAAAGTATTATCGCTCATGCCCGTCGGCCGCAACATCCGCATAATCATCTTCATCATCATCATCATCATCCTTTTTGTACAGGAAAAATTGAACAAAGATGGCCATGTCGAGCAACAGCGTGCCCAGACTACCGGCGATCCAGCTCGCGTTGACCGCAATGTATCGAAGATACAGCGACTTTTCCTCGCCGGGTTGACAGTGACCGGGACGGGCACACACAGGGGCGTACGCAAAGATGGACATGTCGTACGTGAGGTTTCCGAGACAGGCAAACAGAAAGAAAAGCAGCGACACACCCTCGGTACTTTTGCGTTTGTAGTTGAGAAGAAGCTGTGGCACTCTCGACCCGAGGTAGAGGACGGCGCAGAGGTACCCAAAGACCTGGCCCATGGTGTCAAACTCGAGCTTGTCCGGCTCGTCGTCCTTGACGCTGTGGTGACGGTGGGACTTGTGGTTGCCGATCCACCAGCCCAGAACCCCGGCGGCACAGACGAGGAGGACGGCAAAGGTGTTGAAGACGGCCGTCTGGACGGGGCTGGAAGGCTTCAGAGCACTGACGGCCGGAGGGTCGGACGGCTTGGGGGGGTCGATGAGCGGCACGACGGGCGAGAGGTGTCGTCCGTCGACGGAAGAGTGTCGACGCGCCGCCTGCGTCGTCGAGGCAGGTCCGCTCTCGTCCCGGGACGGAGGCTGCGTGACGGAGCCGCTGTGCAACAGGGGCCGAGTCTCGGCGTCCCCGTTGGACGCGGCGTGTTTGACTCCGTCGCTCAAGGTGAAGCCACGGTAGTAGAAGCACTGACACAGCAGAACGACGTCGGCCAACGTGTAGTAGACGGCCAGTATGATCATGGTGGGTAGGACGCCTTGGAGAATGGCGCCGAGGATGTTGAAGACGTCGCCGGCCAGCCAGACCACGATGAAGACGATCGACAGTCCATCGGCAGAACCTCTGCGGAAGTTCTCAATGATCTGAGGCGAAAAGACGACAACCCAGCACGCGATCGAGATGGAGCCACAAATGCCCGAAAGAGCTTCAATGTCGAGGGAGGTGCCCTGCTGCGGAGGGAACATGTTGAGCACGTGTCTTGTCTTTATAAGTCAAGGAGCTGTAGGAACGATTCTGACCAAAATGCCTCCAGAAGATACCTAGAGAAGCAGGAAAAGAAATCCACAAATGAAATGGTCTTTGTGTCCGTGAGTGAATTCGACGCAAGAATGGAAATGCCGACTGTGATGGAATGAGGCTTGAAAAAGTCCTCGGTGCACGTGATGCGCCACAGTCCGGGGAAACGGCGCCGAGCAAAGTCTCGCCGAATGTGGTACCTGCGTCAATAGCGTGATGAATTAGGTAATCCAGCCCGGCGTCTACATGTATCTGTGTAGGTAGGTAGTTATCTGTCGTATTGACTGCACAAAGTTGCAATGGTGGTGAGATCGTCTCGTCGCTAATATGTCCTACCTGTAGGTATGCTCTTCATAATCCTGTAAACGCTCAAGGTATGTGCACTGTTCCCACCCACCACCAGATCATCATCTAAGACTCTATCATCTCAACTTGCTTTCAAGATAAAACCGCCGTACAACAGTTGAGTACCTAGGTATGCAGCTGCTTCTGTCACTACTTCCTCTTTCCAGCGCAATTAAACAATGATAGAAAACCTGACGCGGCTCCATTGTTGCTCGTGGTAGACTTTGAAGCTGGTTTCTTCGACATTTCATCCTTCTCATTAAAGTCAATGGCGCTCAAGTCGTTCTTGTTCTCCTCAAGCCATTGCATGTCATGACGTACGTCTATTCCCAAGCCCGCTCCTGCACTGGTTCCAGGTCTCTGTAACCATTGCTTCAGGTCTTGAGTGGTCGACTCACTTGCTTTGTTGGCTTGCATTTTGCTCCACGCCGTAAATAGGTGATCTATTCAGACATTAGCCATCGTATTTTTCATTCTTTAGACTGTTCTTTCGAAACGTACCATATTCAGCGACTACTTTTCGCAATTCTCTCAGAACGCGCATCTTCTGTGACGAATTGTCGCCAGAGTTATCCGGTGTTGTAGGGTCTTCTAACTTGGCCAGCTCCTTCTCGAGTTGTGATATCTCATCTTGCAAGCACCGCAAAAGTTTGACATGGACATTGTCGAACCGCCTGAACACCAACATATTTTTCTCCGTCATGAAAGATGCCGTTTCCGATTTCTCGGTGGCCCGCAAGAAAGGTTCACTGGGCAAAGCGGGCGTTGAGTTTTGCGAGGCATTGTTGTCCCGAGTAGGTGGACGCCAGGCTTCGGGTGGTAACTGTGGCAGCGGGGTAGTGGGTGCTGGAGTTGGCATCTGAGCATCATATATGGCTGACCTCGTCGTTGCGCGTGAGTCGGTGGATTTTCTTGGCTTGCGCACCGACTGAGGTTTCGATGGAATCTCTGCATCGTCGGAAGTCGAGTTACGCGGAGACCGGAGCGAAATGTTGGACGGGTGAGAGTGTAAAGCACGTAGACGACGTTCGGAGGCGGACGATTTCATGGGATGGAGTTTCGGCACGCTTTCTGGCTGCTGCGGAGGAGGTGGTAGATCAGCCGGTACGAGTCTCGGGGACGGAGGAGCCTGAGATAGCGGTGTCGACGGAGTGGTGGTGGGTATGGTAGGGCCCAATCGTGGAGAGTCTTGAGGCGTTTGGGGCAGGCTCGCCGCGAACGATGGTCGCGCAACGGTAGAGACAGAAGCCACTGGCTTACGGTTGTATTTTGACGTCGGCGGGAGCACTACAGTCTTTCGGCCTGAAGGCGTTGATGGTCTCGTCCCTGTTTGACCATCATGTTGCCCTGGACGTGCGAATGGCCGCTCTTCGGCTACACTCAGACTCTCCTCCGTACTCCGTGCGCTCGTGACATCCCCTACAGGCGTATCTCTGCCCACTGAAATCTTCTCTTCTGTTGACCTCGACCCAAGCGAAGTCTTCCGGCGATGGTTTCCCCCCGCATCGCCCTGGGCCTGGTCCACTAAGCTGGAGAGTGAGGGCAGTGGCTCAACGTTATCACTGGGACTTTGTGATGTGGAATCCGATGCTGTGCTCTCAGGAGCGAGCGAGCTTTTGGAGTAGTTGTGTGACAGAGGTGGTCGAGGTTTCGGCGAGGTGGTTTGCGATTGAATCGGAAACAGAGAAAACGAGGCAGAGGGGCTAAAGGGCAAGACTTCTTTCTCTACCGATGGTGAGGGTGGTTTGTACTGTGCACCATCTAACACTGGAATCCAGTTGGGATCATGTATGTCGGGTCCTGGCGCGGGATTCAAATAGGAGCGCCTGCCCGTGGGCAATTCGATTGGTGCTATGACCGCAGCCATCGTGGTAATCGCAGACTCTGAGATGGCATGCAAAGAGGTCTTCCAGTGGTTTGCTCACGGAGGGAGAGGTGTAAACGTAAAAACCTGGGGCTCGCGTGCGGTGAACATGCGTGTTGGTAGAGTGTATGGATACTGGGTTGCTCACCTTATTTTGGAAGCGTTGACGAAGACCCAGAATCACTCAGCTTTTAGGCGAGGGAAGGGGAATCTCCCATCAACGGCCCATAGCATGCATAAGTGTTGTGACACCATGCCAGTTTGGCCATGGCTCAAGGTGAAGGAGTTTGAATGGACCCATGTCGACGGGATCAAGCGCAAAGCCACGGGGCGGAAACAGAGCAGTAGTCAGGAACACAGACGATCACCCTAGGACTAATAAGCCCTGCTAGCCCAGTTGGGCTTACTGTGCTAGGCTTCAAGGAACGGCGTGCGAGATGAGGTTGAGGAAGATCCAAGGGTCAAAGCTCACCATTGATAAACATGGCCTAGTAGGTGGGAGTTATTGTTGATAGCGCGGTGAAAGGAGCGGAAATGGGAGCTCCGAGGCACCGTTCAGGGCTCCTCTCTGTTCTCAAGTTCGTATACGGCACGAATACTTGTACGTCCAACCCATTGTAGGTTCTCGTACTGATGCGCTGGTGATACCAACCCTAAACAGGGGGAGACGCCAACATGGGCAGTCTTACAAACATAACAGGGTACTCGGTCCAGCATCCGAACAAAGTACTGTCCTTTAATTAATAGGGACGAGCAGGATTGAGGGTCGCGAAGAACACCTTTGAGCCAAGTTGTCAAGAGGAACCTTGTTGTTGTTGTTATTCTTGTCGTCGTCATCCCTTTTGTACTAGGGATGGCCAAAGCCTGTCGATCCTGTCACATCAATGTCTGTCATATGTCAAACATTCAAGCCCAAAAGCCTCAAGATGGCACGTCCTAGATTGAGATTGACAGCTCAACCTTATTACTCTATAACAAGTGGCGATTCACTAACTTGGGTCCGGATATTATTTGACTGGTAAATTGTAGATTGACCCTGCTCCACGGTCAACAACAGTAAATCCCTCCACTAAAGTCTAGGCGTAGTAGGCCGGTTAAGTGAAGCCTGGTGAGCCCACTAGCCGACTTCCAAGTCAGCGACCGCTTTGTCTATGCAGAACTAGAGATATTAGCTCGATGCATCCCTATCGTATAATGTGTGTAGGGCCCCTCTCGGCCTGGTGAGCCCGAGTTCCCTAGTATGGAATGGGTGTCTCTCAAAGGACCCCAAGGCTCCGGGCTTGCAATTTCACGCAATCTCTCCCGCGACCCCGAAGGATTTGATGGATTGAGGCTCTCAAAATTATTTAATTGCCAGCTCATGTGAGGATGCATGTGTACAATAAGCCAAGCCGAATGTGCCTTTGTCTGTTGTGCCAATACAAAATAGTACCTAAGTTCTATCACCACACAACACTTCTCCGTACCTAGCTGTTGGTCCTCATATCTGACAACCCTTTGATCTACTACTAATCCAACATCCTGGCGCCTGAAGGACAACCTCTGCAAAGCGGTTTTTGGTTCATCCATATTTACCGTTCCATTTCAATGGTCTGGGTCGTCCTCCGTCCGTCTAAAAACCAAAATGGGTATCCACAGAAGTCGTTTGTATTGTCGTCAAACCATGTGTGTCGTTTGCAGTAGCAAGTTGACCACCAAAAATTCATGCAATCCCGATATGTTCCAGTGACGAGAGTCCGGGTACCGCCTTTGAAAATCCCAAGTCCCAACACCGAGCTGTGTACAGCAAACACACTTGTAGGGGTGGGATACTGCTACAAGCGTAAAATCAAATCAACCTTGTCTCGCTATTCGCCGAATGAAAAACATTTCGATAGTGACACAAATCCACATCAATCGAGGAACGCGCAACCATCACACTCAATGATCTCGCCGCATTGGCATCAAGGAGAGGTCCCAAACCACTGTCATACAGGTTTATCGGGTCTGGCCTTGGTGGGTCTTGGCCTTGTCTTCGTCTGCGGAAGTAGAGGTGCTGGTGGCCGTCTGTACGGAATTTCGGCTGCTCGACGAGGCACTCGACGAATCTTGGTTAAGGCCAATTAGTTTCTCTATGGCAAGAACCTGCTTGCCGTAGCTTGTTTTACGGAGCTTGTCCAGATTCTCCCTCATGTCTGCAACGAGATTTGCGAGTGCCTCGCCTTGAAGTCGGTCATATACTTTTTCTGTTTTTTGGTTAGGATCCAAAGCACTTGTGACATTTGATGCATTAACTTACGCAGCACATAATTAGCATATTGGTCCTTCATGAGTTGCAGCACTGGGGTGATCCCCTGCTCGTCTGGCGCGGTCAATTTGTGAAGAATCTGCTGCCGCTGGTCTTCATCGGCGAATTCGATACTCTTTTCCACAATGTTGCTGGCGTATTTGTGCTTTGAAAACGTCAAAACTGACCGAAGTACTATGTCTATGGCGAATCGCCGATCCCGAGGTTCCCCATTCTGGATGATATGCTGCACAACGTAGTTGCCATAATTGTCGGTGATGAGCGGGACGATGTGCTCAAGCAGCTCGTCAAGAATGACCCTCTTCACCTCTGGCTCGCAATGTTCCAGCATGCGCTGTACAACCCGACATCCGTACTGATGAGTCGACATCTTCGCAGTCCGACCTTTGAAAGCATCAACGATGAATTGGATGTGCTCGCCCGGGATGCGTTCAATGGCCTTTTGTATGACATGGTTTCCGTTCTGATTTTCAACCACTTCAAGAACCTGATGGTTGGGCCCATCGAGTTCTTTCACCAGGCTCGCTTGTTGGTCGGTCAAGACATGTTCGAATGCCTTCTGGACAACCCGGCATCCATACATTTGCTGCGATAAATGCAGTACATGGCCTTTCATCTGATTGGCCAATACTTTCTTCTGGGATTGATTGCCGTGCTCGAACATCTTCTGGATCACATAGTTCCCAAAGACATCGGTCATCAACTGGAGCAAATTGGGTTGGATCTCCTTGAAGATTTGCTCCTTCTCGTCGCTGTTGGCCGTCTCCAGCTTCTGTTGGATAAACCGGGACCCGTGTTGATCACCACTGAACTCTACCACATAATTGTAAATGTCCTTCAGTTCGAATCGCTTATTGGTTTTACTGTTTAGGCGGAATTCCTCAAGCAAGGGGCTCCGCACTGTTTGGCTTTGCTCCAGGTCTCGGCTAGGAACGCGGGTTGCCTGCGGATAATGGAGCATGGCTGGATGCCCAGGCAATATGTACGAGTTTGTAAGAGGCGTCATGCGCATAGCCTGCATGGAGCCGTGCGATTCGTAGTGGTACCCGTTACAGAGTTGGTGCTGCATCGAGACTGGGAGGAACAATCTCTCTTCGAAGGGACACTGGTCGATGCTAGTAAGTTTCCGTTCCGTCAACGAGTAGTCGTAACCAGACGTGCGGCTGGAGACGCCACTAGCCGGCGTGCTTCGCATCGATAGTGGTCCGGTTGGAGATGTGCCCCTTTGTGAGCTATATGTACTGTGGCTATTGCTTCGGTATTCGCTGGCCAGAGGCGAGAGAGTACCACGACCAGTATACGATAGCCCGCCATAGTGAGGGACAGCCTGAGGATTTAACCTGGATCCGAGAAATGCATTTCCTGTGGCTATGTGGAGTTGTCGATCAACGCCACTGAGACCTTCCAACACCTGTGTCGGAGCTTGCGCCATCGCAGCTTGACCATCAGATTGATGTCGAGGAACGCCTAGGGATGAACGGCGGCCAGGTAGTGCATCCGTGGCATTCTGCATTCTGCCGAGATTCATTGCTTGAATAGATTGCAGGGCTTGCTCAAGTTCTCGAGTAGTCGCGGGGTAGGGGTGTTCGATGTGTGCATTAAGAAAGGCACGACCCGTGGGTCCATGTCGTGGTGAGATATTCCCATATCTTGAAGGCGCGAGGGCTGGCTGTTCTGATGGGCGACCAGCTCCATAACTGATTGGCATTGCAAATGGTTGAGCATTGACAGGACTTGCCGAAGATCCATTTAAGCTGCGCTCTAGGTAACGGTCATTATCGTCCAGTGATGCAAAAATGCCGTTATTGTAATTGGCGACATTGGTATTCTGGAGCTGGCTATCGAAGGGGCCTCTGCTGAAAGATACCGTCCTGGTGGGGGATTGTACGAAACGAGCGCTCTCTGTGACCGCACGCTGATTCTGACTGGGTCGACGTCGCGACAAAGGCTCATCCTCCACGTCAGGAGCGCTTCCCTCGAATAAACTCGACCCTTCCAACTCTCCATTATTTTCGTCGGGTGTGAAACTGAGTCCTTGCTGCAGTCTCTCCCTCGTGGGTGATAGCGGCTGTGCTCGGTGCCTAGAGCTGTAGCCGTTGTTGGTGGGTGCTGAGTTCCAGGGAAGTCGAGACTGCACAGGTTCTTCATTGTCTAGCTTAGAACCCATCGAGACGATCGCTGCGCGGCTGGGTCCGAAGCCCGAAGATGAGCCTTGCTGAGCCGGGGATGCTAATCTAGTGTCAGCGCATGACAATTTGCAGGCATGTTGTGTCTCTGTACGTCTTGTCACCTGCTCATCATCGTAGAGAGACCTTCCAGTTGCCCATATACGACTTGTAGAACCCCATGCTTTCTTCCCCCGATCGAATTCGGTCCCAACAGCCAACGAAGGTCTTGAGGAGGATGCTCGATCTGAAGCAGAAACGCGACCGTTGCGTATCTAGTGCTCTGTCAGCCCCAAGTTCCGGCATATATCTCAGCACAACTCACAGTTTCCAAGGAAGTACCGCTTTCCATGGTGGCTTCGGAGTGTAGCGCCGCGCACAGAACAAATGACTGAAGTGATGAGGCGGATATTCAGAATGTAAACAATGTGCAGTCACTCGGCGGTAACGTCAGTGCCTCGAAGGAGAACAAGGCCTAACTGTAACCGACGGAGAAAACCACTCTTTATATGGACTATACAAGAGATTAGTGACTCAGATGTGGAAGCGGTACAAACTCAAAGCCCACCGGCCAAGATCTAGACGTGCTACTCACCAATATTCTGAAGATATTTCGATGAAAAATGTACATCAAGCCTGATTAATAGAGGCAAATGTAGGTGCAAGAGAGAAGAAAGGAAAGTCGAGAAAATCAAACAGAGGAAGGAGTAATGAGGGCGACGCAAGGTTCGGTAGAGTCATGTACCCCTTCGTTTGCCAGCAAAGCTCATGGTACACTTTTCAGCAGGCAGCCGCAGAGCGAATAGAAGGCATGGCCCTAGACGGAAGTGGCTTTGGACGGATAGCGACAGCAGGGGAAAGCAAGGACTGAGGAACATCTGCCTGCAGACATGCGCCTCGACCACGAAGTGCGCATGGAGCAAGGGATGAGAAAGGAATGGATATCTGGGAAGGGTGGAATGCTGCGTTCGCCGGTTTTGTGCAAGGCAAGGCGCAAATCTGGCGGGCGTTGGTGGATCGTGGTGCGGTGAGGGAGAGTCTGGCAGTCGTTCGAGTGGAGCCGGATGGGAGCACCATCAAACCGCTCTGAGAGGTCGGTTACACGAGAAGGACGAGACGGAGGGGGGAAAGGGTGGATGAATCGGGACCAAACCGAAGCCCAGATGATATATCAGAAAAAAAGACACAATAGCGGTGGTGGTGTAGGGAAAAAGACGATGATGATGCGCAGGCAGAAAGCCCATCAGCGTCAAACCCCAGATCGACCAGGCGAAGTGGGCTGCAGTGGAGTTGGGAGCGTGAGTTTCAAGAGGGGGACTTTTGGGCGTGAAAGGGCACTAACTCGGCTTGCCTTAGGGCCTAAGGCTGGTCAGCGTCGAGGTTTCTGAGGGCTACCAGCCTAGCGAGCCTACTGTACAAGCATGCCAGCCCACCAGGTTAGAGTCGCAGCCTAACAGGGCCACTGGACCCATGAGGCTTCCGAAAGAAGGGTGCGTCCGGAAGTACCCAGCGGCCATTCGAACGACCGCGGATAGGCCAAGGCGCCCCGAAAGAGAATGGCCAAAGAGAAGCCGTGGCAGTGTTTCAGCCCAAACTCATTTTCCAAGATCCGATTTCTCCTTGCGCCGTGACCATCCGTGTGGCTTGCTTGCATCTCGAACTTTGCCGTTCCCTTCTTTCGCGTGATATTGGACTTGCATTAGGACTATCGCTTCTGCAAGACTGGCATCGTGGGACGGGTATCGTTGATTCCAAACATGTTTCTCAAGAGGCTGACTCAGACTATAACGCCCAGAGGGAATGCGCTCATTTCGTACCCGTAGCCTGTAAGGGCCCTAGAAGTTGGGCATTGGGCTGCGACCATGTGCTGCTGACAACGAAGAGCCACTAGCGACTCGTAGGCGAGTTGTCCGAAAGATGGAAACGAAGGGCCGCCTGGTCGGTGACAGAGCCAATGTTGGAGCAGGGAACGCCGACTGAAATCGCCCATGCGCCTTTGGCTCGTTCCAGTCCTACTATTCGATCAACTCTCACGGAGAAACTCGATCCTGAGTTCTCAGTCTTGACGTGGGTAAGCAGGGCACTGATGGACCGACAGCACACAAAAAGCTGTGGTCCGTTTCCAATCCTCGAGGTGGAGGTTCCAAGTTCCGAGTGGGCGTCTTTTCTCACATGCACAACAAGTGCATTCTGTCTTTCAACAGTGTGCCGTCACAACGGAAATCCATGAAACACGCCGTACGGAGTACCAGCGACTCGCCTCCGTATTCAGACTTCGGATAGCCTCCGGAGAGCCAGAGCCTCTCCCATCGTGATCGAGTTCTGAGATGTGTGGGAAGACTTGGGCGTTTTTGAGGCCTCAACATTTCCTGATTTCGGGAGTTAGACAGAGTTCATTTCTACACATCGATTCCATGCTTTGACTTTGTATAAACAAGCCACCTTTCTCGCTACGACATCCCAATTATATCTGGGTAGCTTTGTTGACTCTGAGGGGTCGAAACCCTTGAGAATCACGTTCGCCAAAATCAGGCTCGTCCGTGTCCTGGACATCCTCAGAGCCGAGCTTCTTCCAGTCTGATCACATTATATAATGGATGATTAGATGTCGCCGATCATACGGAGTATCTCCCACGACATCCAAAGGCTACAGTCCTGTAACTACGAGTCATCACATTTTTACTAAATATCAAGTTGGCAAGAGTCTTAGGAAATACACATGTGCACATACTGTGCACACATTACGGAGTCCGAGATACAGCTTTTGAGGCGCTGCAACTATGATACTGACACTCTGACGGGTCTGTCGTGTCAGAATCTTTACATAATATACTCCGTGTTGGTGACCTCGACATGTCGCCCGAATGACTGCCAGCCCGACATGCGACGCCCAGGACTGGCGAGCATTTCCATCGGCCACGAAGGCTTCGAACATACTCCGTATAGAGTAAGGGTTCTGTGCGAATTGATCAAGGAAAGCGATGACTAGGTCGCATTGCCACGAACCCTGAACCTGGCTGGCCAGACCGCTACTCTACGGCTAGAGAGAAAGCATCCCTCGTTTTCCCAGGCATGCTTCCCGGAGTCATTATTGCTTTTGATTTGCACATGCCTACTTCGAAGCCCGTGCTCCGAGCGGCAAGAGCCTTTCTATTATGATCCCGCCTTCTTCGATCCAGCCCTGCGGGGATCCCAACGCTTCCAACGCTTTCTTGCCCGTCGTGCTTAGCTGTGAGTGTGGTTGGCCGTAGGAGGCACTGCTGTACATGAGTGACTTAGGATCCGATGCAGCCCAAGCACAGAGACTGAGAGAGTACCTTTTCCGCTGTCCCCTTTTACTTTCGCCGGAGGTACTAGATGCCTAGGTCCTGATGTTTAGGCACTGCGGTTCCCTAATCAAACTCTTGACTAGTAAGTACTACGGAGGAGTGCTTTCGGCTGTGGCCATCTCTATTTCTACTGATAGTGTTCAGAACTCCGTATCGGTAGTCCGTAGCCTAAATGTATTGTATTTGTTTAGATTGTTTGTTGTTTTTCCTCCAAGCACGGAGAAAGAAGAAGCGTTCAAGCTCCGACTTACCGACGCTGCATGGGGGACGCGTAGAAGTCTCAGTAGATAGACTGGGTGCTACAGGGCTCTCATTGGCAGGAAAAGGCGCCCCGTGAAATTGCACTCCGTGATTGGCATTGGAGGCCCACCGACAGAGAAGCCGCATGGGCGCCAGTGCCTCTAAAAGTAGGGTGGGAGGCCTGGGTGGGTTCGAACCTCTGGGCCTTGGGCGCTGACAGCAGCCACTGGCCAGATCGGAATGGCAGGTCTCACAGCATCCATCGTGGTGCTGCCCCCTGGGTTGCCGCCAGAGTGTTTGTTGAACCCTCCGCTTCACCAGTTTCAAACTTCTCCTCTGAGGAGATCTTGGGAGGTTCTACAATTGTTGCTCTCATCACGGCTCCCTTTCGCCTTCTCCCTCTTACGCAACTTCCGTCCATCTCACCCATCGCCTTCTACATCTCTGGCAGTGTTCAGCTTCACTCCTTTGCTGGACTCTCGCCGTCCGTTCATTCTCCTCCAGCCACCAGCCACACATCGACCCGCCTGGAGCCTATCGCTGTGGTTCGCAAGCTCGTTGCTCGGACTGGGTGCAGCAAGACGGTGCATTTGGACGCGCATCCGTAGCTTCGCCAGCCCCCTTCCTACCAGCGCAAGGGGACCTTCGAGCCTTTGAGACCCCAGCATCGATTCGAGGGTTCTAGACGGGCCAACCGCACTGCATCGCTGGTCGCTGAATCCAACTCCGATCACCGACCGGCCCTCACATCAGCCTCATCCTTTAAATCTATATTCGTTTGCGCGATCTCTAGGTTTGCGTCAAAAGCCACGACTTCTGCTGGGAGGCAGTCATGGATTCAACAAAGTTTTCCCATACTCATGTTCGTCGCGATTCTTCAGATGCGTTCGACGACGACCGGCCTTCTTCAGCCACCATGGGCCACCTTCTCTTCGTCTTTTTTACTCTTCTCTTGCTGGCGTCGCTGTGCTCGCTAGCTCTATTCGTCATACGCCGTAAACGACTCGCAAAAAACCAAAGCATGCTGCCGACCTACCACCAGCCCGCCTCGCACCATCGCTCTCCATCGGTCAGCAACTTCAACACGGGCAAGAACGAATCGATCTTTGTCTACGATGAAAAGATGAACCTCATCCACAACTCATCTCCAAGTTCCGCCTCCGCTGTGCCAGAGATCCACATCACATTCCCAGACGAAGAGGGCAATGCCGGAGCCGTGCAGAAAGGCCGTGTCGTTGTTGTTCACATTACAGACTCTGGCAGTGTGGGCATGGAACCTGTAACCCAAGAAAGACTTCCACCTTACCAGCAGGAAGATCCAACCCGCTTTCAGTCGCTCGACCTCGAGAGGATAGGCGGACTAAAAGAAAAGGAGTCGTCAGATACACGATGGTCATGATCGTTTATTCTTTTTGCTTCTGCCAACGGCAGGGAGAAGATGCGGAGCTTTTTCCTTCGCGACACTTTGGCTTCTTGAATCAACTTAAATTGGAATGACGGCACATTGCTTACTACCTCATTGTAAATGGTTGCCAGTCAACTGGCGTCTTCGGGATGTCTCATGGAGCGCCACTCCACTATGGATTGTGGTAGCTTTCTAATTATGGCAGGCTTGTTTTATAGAGCCCTTTACGGGCTGGATTTGGTACATATTGTATAGTAAAAAGGTGTACATGCATCATCTTGAGCTGGTTCTTCAAGCCATCCATACCGAAGATCAACAGCTGTTCTTACTGTACGTTGCTTCCTTTTCGAGGGATAACATACAGGACGGTCTACGACGTGAAGTAGTTCTGCTCTCAGAAACCGAGCTCCTGACTTCTGCTTCCCTAGTGGACAAGACAGTACTGGGCGGAGGGGACGTTGTGTCACTCCCATTTACTCCTCTCATCGCTCAATACCTCCTCTCCTTCACACAGCACAACACTTCCGGACCTCATTCATCGTCATCGATAAGATATCCTTAAAGCATTCTCCTTTTCCACCTAATGATTTGACCGATTGGTCGACCTACACGTGTCATCCTAAACAGCAAAACCCGGTTTCCCAGGTAGGCACTGCTGACTTGGCTCTCTGCTTGGCCTGGACGTCGCTACGAGGAGCGAGACCCCACACCAAATCTGGCAGGCTGGCAGCTTTCAAGGACCAAACGCGTCAACAAGCCGCGAGCCAATCGTTGCAAATCTCCCTGGTCGAGTCCGCCTTTTCAGTGTTGATTGACAACACAACCCTGGCTGAACTCAACGGCTGCCTTCTTCATTCAATTCAGATTTCATATTTCACTACAGTCCTGAAGCTTATGTTTACCGTGCATTTGGTCCTGCCCAATCGAGGGGCGAGATGATTACGACAGCCGACAACAAACGTCCTTAAGCTGAAGACACTTCCTGCGCTCTTTTCTTTGAGCAAACATCACAGTCATGGCCACTGCGGTGATGGCTGGTCCCGATGAGGGCCTTCACAGTAGTCTTCACGCGTCAGTGAGAGACATGTCCGATCCTTTTGTTGACGACGACAATCCGCGGCAATCCAGTCATTCTCACCGCTATTCCAGTCTCGTCGACCCTGACTCGATCACCTTGGGCGCAGCTACATCGCCTTCCCAGGTCAAAAGAAGTATTATCGCGCATCTTGCAGAGACAGAGCGCCGTCTGCACGACGCGCAGAAGCTTGGAGAATCACTGTTACTGCAACAGTCGGAGCTCAACGACAAGCTGCGTGAGGTGGAGGAGCACCAGGAAGATGCCGAGATATCTCCAGAACTGCGGAAACAGCTTGCCGACTTGGAAAGAGAACACAACGATGTTGGCAAAGAAATTGCGCGAGCTCTATTAGGCCCAAAGTCGAGGGCTGTCAGCGGAGAAGAAAAGCTAGGCGTTGAGCAGTCTACATTTACGAGCCAGGCGACTGCATCGCCCACGAAAGTTACAGCTCCAAGCCGACGACAACGCAACCAGCCGAGCAATCGCGCTGGCGATTTGCAATTTGCGGCAGATATTTCCACTTCGCTTCTAGCGCAAGTGAGAAGCCTACAGAGCGCAGTGGCTGAACGGGATGATCTTTTGAAGCAGGCCAATGCTGACAGAGATCGATTAGAGCAAGAAGCCCAATTATATGTGCAGCGTTTACGAGCCCAGGATGAAAGTGAGCAAAAGTACAAAGATGAGAATTGGAATCTGGAAACCCAGACGCACGAGTTGTTGGCGGCAGCTCGCGAAGCTGCTGACCGAGAAAAGAGACTAAACACAAGTCTCGCCGCTGCGGTAGCGGAGAAGAGTAGACTTCAGAGTGAGATGGACGAGATTAGGGTTGCACACGAAAAGCTGACCGATGAACACACTACGGCAAAGAAAGCTTACGATTCCGAATTGCACACACTCAAGCGTGGCATGGACGTCGGAGAAGGCGAGAGAGCTGCCTTACAAAACAAAGTTGATGAGTTGACTGCGCAAAACCATGAGCTGGCGCGAGCAGTTGCGGCACGCTTACGAGGACAGCATCCTGATGCAGAGGCTTCCGCAGGTCGAGCTTACGATGAAGAATTCCAAGACCTGGAGTCCCCGGAACATTCGCCCCCTGCTTCTCCCACAAAAGCAACCCCACGGCATGGCGGGCTGGAGTCGGAGACACTTCGCAGCTCGTTACATCATGCTCATAGGATGATCCAGAACCTCAAGAACAATATTCATAGGGAAAAGACAGAAAAGATCGAGCTCAAGCGTATGCTACAAGATGCCCGAGATGAACTAGAGCAGCGTCGAGGCGACGTATCCCTCGGTAGCGGCAATAAACGACAAAAGACAAAGTCGGATACTTTCAAAAAACCAGCTCGGCCCGATATGCTAGGAGGGAGTCGGAGGGCTCGAACTGATATTGAGCTCGAAGACGACGATTGGGAGGATAACACAGTTGACTCGCCTACTAAATCGCACACTCAGGGGCAGTTAGCAGTACCAGTTGCTGCCGGAAGTCACACCACTGATCTGAGTGATGCATATCAGACCGCAAACGAGACCGAAGGTGCTTTTGAAACTGCAGATGAGCGACACGCCACAGAGAGCGAAGACTTCCAGACTGGTGCCGAAAGCCTTGCTGGTGATAGCACAGATGACCTCACCGAAACTGAAGATACTGCGGCTCAACTGCGGCGGAAAGGCATATCCCGGACAAATAGGCCATCTCTCGCCTTCAAACCTGCTGGGGACCGGCAATCATACATGAGCACCGCCTCTACTTCAGCTGGTGAAGATGAAGACGAACTCAAAACGCCAGTCCTGAGTCAGCCGCAAAAGTTCCGGCTCAAAAACGGCCGGACTTCATTCGCTAGACAGTCGAGAGTCCCCCCGGATGGCACTCCCACAACCGTGTACTCGGAAAGCGCACAGCAGGACTCGCCAGCTACGATCGGTAGTGAGCGAAGCGTGCCTGGCGCTGAGCGTAGTCTTTTCGCAGAGCTAGGTGGTATGGATGACAGCTCCAACTTTGGTACCCCCGGCAGAGCTAGCATTGCCTCAGCAGCCTCAACCCCTGGTGTCCCTGCCTATACCCCCAGCAAGCAACCAGCACCGCAACCGGAACCGGTTAGCCTTGTCAAGGCGGCAATGGTCGACTGTGCAACGATGACTGATCCCTGGAAGCCAGACCAAGCTTGGCCTACGAGCATTGTCGAGTTTGATGATGTCGACGGATCTCATACACCGTTCCACGAGCAATCACTCTCCCCGATTGCTTCCCAGTTTCCGCTACCTCCAACTGTGCCAGTATCACCCATCAAAAACATCGACAATGGCACCCAATACACCCCACAGAGAACGCTGCAAGAAAGCCCGATCAGGAATACTGCATTCATCACTCCTCCCAAGACCGTATGGGATGAAGCACAAAGCCCCCAGCAAGGGGAACCCGTCGCTGAACTCATGCCCCAGCCCCTGGCCCTGGAACGCCTCAACTATTCTGGTCTATTGATGCTGGACACCATGCCAGTAACGCCCGAGAAAGCGACCGCAATTGCGGCTTCGTTGCCTGAACCGCTGACACTTTCAAGCATTTACGCTCAAGTCACTGAGCCTGTGCGAACCCCCCAGAAGAAACGGGCCCCTGGTGTAACGGCTTCCACCCAAGTCGAAGACTCTCCGAGCAGGCCTCATACTACTGAAAAGGTGGCAGCGTCAGGACTACTCGCTTCAGCAGCTGCTGCTTTGGGCCTGTCTAAAGCAAAGAACGACCGTGCGCCGTTGATTGCCGAGGACGAGACAAGCGAACAAACAGGCACTGCTTCAGAGATGCCGGCGAATATGCCCTTGAGGGATGTCTCTGGTAATAGCATTCCGGTCAAGCATGTCCTTGCCGGCAAATCTGACTATGTACAAGAGCAGCCGGAGTCTCCTTCAACCATCAGTCAGGATCAAGGCTCCCAGACGCTTCTTACCGCACAACAGATCGAAGAAGCTTTGCGAACGCAGCTTACTTTGCCGTTGCCATTGCCAGAGGGCCAAAAGCAAGTGGAGTCTGTCACTAGTCCACTCGGCCCTGTCACACCGGCTGAGGCTCTTGACCGGCAGGAAGTTGACATTCCCGGTGAAATCGTGCCTGGCATACCCATTGGCCAGGCAATTCCTCTTCCCTCGCCCACGAAGAGGCCATCAAGTTCAATGAGCCGCCGTTTGTCCAACAGCCATCCACCCCTTCCTCCCGACCACAAAGCCGCCATTGCTAAAGCTGCGAGTCGAGTCAGTTCTCCGACTCGAGAACTCAACGCTGCGCCCCATGTACCAACTGTCATGGGTCCGCCCGCCCTTCCAGCCTCAGCTATGCGGCGCCCACGCACTCCAGGAGACTCTGTACGATCTCCCAGTCGTGACGGCACTGCCCATCGCACATCTAACGTCGGCCGTCACCAACGAGGCACCGTAACTTCGCAGTTGTCACATCGGTCGTCTGTCTCCTCGTTCGCATCTGAGTTGGATGAGCGTTTCAACATCCATCCCGCCGGACAGATGTCTGCTCATGGGTTCGGCACAGACCCCAGGATAATCCAAGCCATTACACAAACCATGATAGGAGAGTTTTTGTGGAAATACACTCGCAAGGCTGGAAGAGCCGAGATGTCGGAAACAAGGCATAGGCGGTACTTCTGGGTACACCCGTATACCAAGACTCTGTACTGGTCGGATCAGGACCCCCAAACTGCGGGCAGGAACGAGCTCAAAGCAAAGAGCGTGCTCATTGAAAGCGTTAAAGTTATACCTGATGACAATCCTATGCCCCCTGGACTCCATCGGAAGAGTCTTGAAATCATCACCCCTGGCCGGCGTGTGAGGTTTACTGCGAGCACTGGACAGAGACACGAGACATGGTTCAACGCATTGAATTATCTGCTTCTTCGTGGTGATGATGCTAGTGGCGGGACTTACCAAGCCGGCGGATCGGAGATCACCCGGGACGACGTTGACGAATTCAATGTCAATGCTGGCGGATATGGAGCTACACTGGTCCCAACTACCAGCCGTATGAGTTTGTCAAGCTACAATTCTCGAACCACTCGAGGCACCAGTGCCAACCGAGCCTCCACTACCCAAAGACCAGCCCTGGGTATCGCTACGACTGGTGCAACACGTCCGTCGCACGGGCCTACCAACGATACAACCACCCGACAAAGCCGTGTCGAGCAGTCTCAAGAAACCAATACAGAGCGTGCAGGCCGTGCTAGCAGTGTCAGTCGATTCTCACGTATGATCGGATCTGTTACGGGAAAGACTCGGGGGATAAGTGAGGCAGCAAACCGGGTTTCCGGAGCACGAAGTGAAGCTGGTAGCATCTACGACGCCAGTTTGGTGAGTGATGGGCGCAAAGACTCTGCAGAGGAGCTTCGCCGAGAGATGTTGAGGCAAGAACAAGTCGGATTTGGTGGACTGGAGAATGTCCGGGCATGCTGTGACGGTATGTACAGAACGGTGAATTTTTGAGCTCGTAACATGACTAATGTGGCTGTTTAGGCAAACATGACGTCTCGACACTGAGTCATAGTCATCGACACGGCACACCTTATGGCCACGGACACCGATCTTTGAGTATGAGTTTCCGCGGCTCTGCTAGGCGAGGAGGCACGACTTCAACGCCCGGCACAGCAGCTGCTACGCCAACCAGAGCAACGGCTGCGACAGCTGGGCCTTAGAACTTGTGTCAAGACTAGGAGAGAAGGCATGGGCGTTGAGATTAGGAGTGGTGGTTGTTGAGATGCCGTTGCAAAGGAGTGGCGGCACCAGCTTTTGGATATGTCATCTGAAAAAACGTCGTTAATGCATAATGATTAGTACATGGCAGGCACGTTGTGTTGATTCCAAGTCTATCGCGATGAAATAGATGAGTGGCATGTATGTGGTTAATGACTTTTCTTTTCTTTAAATGTCGAAGAGAGTTGGCGTGCTTCTGGGACATGGTATTTTGAATCTTTCAATGTTTGCAGCCGAGAGAGATGTTTGAGTGAGTGGTCGAGGAGATCGTCGGGCTCCAAAATAATGACCTGTTTTCTATTATAAAAATAAGGAAGTACTTTTTTTTCTTTTTAGATCACTCGCGAGACAGTGGTATGAGGGGGACCATTCTCGTATCGATATGCGAAAGGGCTCCAGGGTAGTTAGGTAGCTAGGAGGTATACAATAGGTACGCCGTACCGACTGTCTATAGACTGTAGTTGGTGAGGCTCGGGTTCATCCACTTCACCCATCCCCACAACAAGGCTTCCATGAGCTTATTTAAATGCTTGTTCGCATATGAAGGTAGGTATATAACTGACATCGGGCTCGGTCACCCATACATTTGCCATGGTTAGCTGGAGTGTAGTAGCGAAAGGCCGTCACACGAACTGATCAGTATACCAGGTATGTAAGGTACTTCACTAAGTTAGTGCCGCAACTGATCCCGATCCCAAGTTACCTTTACTGTAATAGAGGTGCCTACCTTAGCAAAGAGCCATCCGGGCTGGGCTGACTTCCCGAACACTGCCGGGGCCTCACTCAGCCACGGTTCACGTCATTCTCGAGAGACGGCGACGCGTATACTTCTCTATGTTTTTCCAAGTTCGAAAACAAGAAATCGCCTGTTGTGAAATGGTCCGTCTAAATTATACGAGGGGCCAAGGCATCACTCTCAACATCTCTATATGTATCAATTAATACCTGGCTTTCTTACCTTGTGCACCTAAACTCTCACTTTTTCTGCTTCAACTGCCGTAGACTCTCCTTGTACAAGAGCGACTCTCCCACCATGGCAGACGAAGACTACCATCCTCCTCCAGTCCCACCGCTGTCTCATCCCATCCAACAACCAGCGGAATATCCTCCACCTCCGCCTATGCCACCACGGCCAAACAACATGTCTCACACGGGCGCCGCTGACTTTCACACGTCAACGCAATACCCATCAGTGCCACAAATCAACGAACCTCCACCACCGCCACTGCCTCAGCGACATGGGAACTACGACACCGAAGCACAGATTTATCAACAACCGCCGCCACCATCGTATAGTCCAGCCGACGACGCGGGGCAGCATTCATTCCAGGCAGCCCCCCCTCAGTTTCTGCCACCACCTCAACGCATCAAACAGACATTCTCTGCTGACGATGACCCTTCCAACCCGATCCACTACATCCGGGATCCGCACAAGCTAATAGGCTACCTTGTGCCTTTCCCCAAGCCCAAGATCAACAGCGTGACGCCAGAATCTATACCGTCGCGCTTCATGATCTACACGCCTCCGCCGCCTCCACTCCAGAAACCAACCGAAGGCACAAAGGAAGGCAAACTCCACAAGGTTCAACGAAAATGGCAGGAAGAAGTTCGCTCCGCAAAGACCAGCACCGCCAAAACGGCGTCGTGGAAGGGCCTCAAGTCCAAAGCGACAAAGGGGATCGACTGGGCCATGAGCAAGACCACGTCGTCGAACCTGGACTTTCTGGGCCGCGTTTCTCCCGCCCATTCAGATGATGAGCGCAGTGACGCCGAGGGAGCAGAGACCCACAAGACAATCGGCGTCGAGGAGATGATCATGATCTACCCTCCGACCATGGGGCTCAGTGAGACGGCGATGCGCGAGGAATTCGTCAACACGATGCTGCGTACCAAGAGCAAGGCGCAGCGCGATACCATTATCGCTACAGGTTTGATGCCCGTGACATATGGAATCGACATCCTCGCCACCTTCATCTGGCCGTTTGGCGGATTGGGTGAGATCGACACGGTGTGGGCATATTCAAGTTTCCGTGGGGCCAAGACAGCGAGGAGTGTGACGAAACGTCTTTCGAGTACAGCCTCGACCCCGTCAGACGGAAGCCACGGCAAGGAGAGCGAGGGTCAACAGCAGAGCGGAAAAGACCATTTGCGGCTCACGTTCAGAGACAGTGGCAGGATCGAGGTCCTGAAGCGATACCTCGAAAGCGAGTGTCACAAGGTGGACAGCAAGCTGTTTCCCGAGTACAAGACGGGCCCTACGGAGAGTGATGTGCTCGAGGCAATTGGTTGGACACCGGCAGGGAGAGGCAGACAGAGGGCGGCAAGTCCTGGAGCAGATGGGGAAAAGGAAGCGCCACAGATTGAGATGGAGGATAGAAACTGGGAGGACGAACGGTGGGAAATGGAGGAGGTCAAGGATGATTTGAGAAATACCTTCCGCAAAGCAGCGAGGGAGTGGAGGAAATGGTGTCTCCTGCTGGAAAAGAATCCGGAAAAGGCGATGAAGAAGTGAAGTTTTTTTTTAATAGGAGCGGGCTCCATCAACGGGCTCCATCAGCGGTATTGAGCGGTTAGTTAGGTATGCATTGGCCATCACCGAGATAGACTCATTTGTTTAAGGTCGAAGGGGTCGAGGTTCGTATGATTAGATTCTACTTTACTCTTCAACGCGCTGTCCTGTTCGTGATCGTGGCGGGTGTGCTTTGGGTCAATTTCTACCGCCCCTACCAAAGCAGCGCCTAGAGTCATTGAGAAGGGAGGGTTGTTGAGTGGTTGAAAGCATTGTCATTGTCTGATTTCTGTAAGGCCAAGAACCCCCCTTTCTAGGTCTGTTCAGCCTTGTACCTCAGGAAAAAGTGGTCGACCGTAGAACGGTGGAGTACAAGACCGCTTGTCCGTCCGCGTGTCACTCCGCTTTGGGGGGGACAGATTTACTTGACGGAGAAAGCAAGTTGGAGAGACTGCGCGGCTCGTACTGCAATTACCTACCTGCGAGACATGCTTCCGTAAAGTCCTTTGCACGTTTTTTTGTTCAGCGTCGTCTTTTTCGAAATGCGGCTACTCAAGTCGCTCTCCCTTCTTTTGGTGGCTTGTGTCGGGGTGGTCTCCGCGAAGAGCGCCGTGGGTAACAGAGTGCTGGTTGTGCTGGAAGACCAGGCGCTGAAGGGACTATATTCCAAGTTCTGGGCCGATCTGGAAGGTATGTCTGCACATTTGGCGCCGTCCGATGGGACCTCGAACGATGCTGACGAGACGGTGGTCGTATAGCGCGCGACTTTCAATTGACCTTTGAATCCCCGAGGAAGGACGATGTCTCGCTCTTTCGGCACGGACAGTTGGCTTACGAGCATATCCTTCTGACACCGCCAAAGTCCAAAGGTGGGAACGAACGTCGGGATGGACACGCGGATATGAACACTGACTTACCTTTCGACAGGGTACGGACCGGCCTTGACACCGAAAATCCTCCTCGACTATGTCAACGCGGGTGGAAACGTTCTCCTTGGACTGTCTTCCGAATCTGGAACCCCTTCTGCGATTTCAGCCCTGCTTCTCGAGTTCGACATCTCCCTCCCTACCGACAAGACCTCGGTCGTCGTCGACCACTTCAACTACGACACTGTGTCCGCGGCAGAAAAGCATGATGTTTTACTACTCAACCGTCCGGGTCCATTGAGGTCCGATACGGTCAACTTCTTCGGCGGTGATGGAGTCCTGGCTGTTCCGAGAGCAGTAGGACAAACATTGGGGAACACAAGTCCTCTGATTGCGCCGATTCTGAAGGCACCAGCGACTGCCTACGCATACAACCCGAAAGAAGCGGCCGAGAGCCTAGAGGACCCATTCGCGACCGGTTCGCAACTATCACTGATAACAGCCATGCAGGCTCGTAACTCTGCTCGCTTTGTTGTGCTCGGGTCGCTGGAAATGCTACAAGACAAGTGGTTCGACGCTTCTGTCAAGTCGTCGTCGTCGTCTGGCAAGAACGTCAAGACGGTCAATCAGGAATTCGCGCGGCAATTGACCGAATGGGCGTTCCAGGAGGTGGGTGTGTTGAAGGTCCTGAGCGTGCAACACCAGGAGATCTTCTCGAGCAAGGTTACAGCCCCCGGCACTGGCGACACATGCCCTGCGCCTTCCACCGAGACAGAAATTACGGGCTACGGAGACTCCAATCCTGAAATCTACAGGATCAAAAATGACGTGGTACGTATAACACGGTGTCTATTTCGTGGTGTTTTCCAGGAGCTCTTTCCGCTGACGATTGCCTCTTTTTCTTTTCTTTTTGCAACAGAGATATTCGATCGAGATTTCCCAATACGCCCGGGATCACTGGGAGCCGTTTACCGTTCCGGCAAACGACGATCTCCAGCTGGAGTTCTCGATGCTCTCGCCGTTCCACCGGATTCCTCTTTCGCCTACGGCGACCACTCTGAATAGCACCGTGTTCAGCACGACCTTTACGACGCCTGACCAGCACGGCATTTTCGCCTTCAAAGTCAACTACAAGCGGCCTTTCCTGACTCCGATCGAGGAGAAGAACCAAGTCACGGTGCGCCACTTTGCACATGACGAGTGGCCGCGATCTTGGGCCATCTCGGGCGCGTGGCCTTGGATCGGAGGTCTGTGGAGCGTCATTGTCGGATTCATCTGTTTCACAGTCCTCTGGTTGTACTGTGAACCTCCCAAGGAGGAGCTTGAGAGGAGACGGAGATTGAGTGTGAGCTCGTCAAAATGAGTTGAGCTGAGCCGAGCCGAACCGAACCGAGCTGGCTTTTGATGTGCACAACAAAACGTGAAGTGTTCAAGGGGTTAGATCGTTGGGGAAGAAAATGTACTTATATAAAAAGTATTGATCAAAAAGAAGAACGGATATAGACCCTTTCCTGGTTATGCTACGCTTGCCTCTCTTTTCTTTCTGCACACTTTTTGATACAAATATGCTCTGACATCTAGGGAACTGACACTCTCCCCCTTCTGTTCGGACTTCCCACCCCATCGTCTCGAGTCAAAGAGACCGGCAGTTGACGTCAAAGATGCGTCCTTTTGTCCGCTGCCCGGTTGATGAGAGCACATATCTTGCTCAAGGGGAATTCAAAGTCTGAACCTGCGGTCTCCTTTGCTTGCTCTGTTCTACTGTTACAATTTTGATTCTGTCGCCTCCACAGCGCGGATCGGAGCAGGTCCTGTGATGCCGTGTTCCGTGGTTCCCTTTCCCCAATCGTCCGAATGATTCGGTAGTGCCATCTTTGGTGAGGGTGCCGGGTTCGATGTGTTGCTTGTCCCTCGACCGTTCTAACGCGAGCATCGGCCAGCAGCCATTCAATCCCGATTGCTCGGCGGGGCGAGGCACCTCACGCGGGCAAAATGCAGCTTTGTCTCGTCCTGCTCCTCTGGCTGCTCCGGCTGGTTTCACGAGCATCTGCAGGAGCCATTACACCTTGGAAAAAGTCCGCTGGTTGAGCTAGTCCGAAGACCACGTCACACCACACCATATAATGCGCATGACAGCTCGACAGCTCAGCTTGTTGTGCATGCGGTCTCCGTGTCCCGTCGTGCTCATGTGTTCACAGCAAAGTAAACCCCCCCTCCCCCCCAAGGAATGTTCGTATATATTGATCACTTCTTTTTATGCTCGTTCTTGCTTTCTTCGTCCCGTCCCGTCCCGTCTCGTTTCGGTCCTTGTGTTGTTTTTCTTCTCGGGGAACTTTGGAAGGAAGAAAAAAACATCACAACCCTCTCGTCTTGCTCGGGTCGAATCCCAAGCCTTCAACCTCGCCTCTCGACTCCTTACTCATTCCCTCGACGACATCGAACGCCGGCTTGCCTCCGTACAGCTGCGGTGCAGACTTGCCCTCGCTTTCCAGGCCCTGCATCGAGATGGGCGCGTTGCCCCGGAACCGTTTCCTCATATCGACCAGGCCGCGGCGACATTCACCGAAACCCTTCTTGAGTTGCTGGCACTGCTCCGGGAGCGTCTCGAGGAGGGGGGACGAGAGGCATTCGACGGGTTTGTGGCGGTCCACCATTATGCAGTCGGACTTTTGGAGGCATGCGGCTAGTGCGGCGCCTGGAGATCAAATACAATACATGTATACCGTCAGGATAGGCCGTTTTGTTTTCAGGTTCATTTGCAACGAAAATGCAGTGACCAGGAGCCAGGAACTCGCAGTGGAACTGGGAGTTGGAGAGGGAGAGGGAGAGAGGGAGAGGGAGAGAGGGAGAGGGAGAGAGAGAGAGAGAGAGAGAGCATGGATGGGACGGGACGAGAAAACATACGGATATCTTTACATGAGGACGGCATCTTGTCCCTTTTGTCCCTTCGTGGTTCTGGTGAAAGCGCACTTTGCAACTTCACAAGTGGTCTTGTTTGAGGGATGCTACGAGCACAAGCAAACAAAATACTACAATATCTATCGCTGCATTTCCGCAGTTGGAGAGAGCTCCGGCGAAATTGCCGCATCGAGTGACCCGACTCTGCGATCGGCATCGCATGGTTCCAGCCTCGTGTTGCAGGCAAGGCTGCGCTAAGACTTCAGGTACCTGGACAGAGGATATCTCACTCAGCCACTGAAGAGGACAGAGTTCACAAATGCAGTTTTCGCTTCATTTGTCAAGCAGATCATGTTCATCAAATACTCATACAATGAATCTAAGGAGGAAATATTACCTCGTGTCATCGCCCTCGCTCCTCTCCAGCTCACACCTTGATCCAGATCAGTCTGTGTCTGATATCTATTTTGACCTGAAATCCCATTCCGTGCCCATGTGAATACAAAGAAAGAAAAACCATGCTGAATCAACGTCCTGGTCACATTAAACCAGCAGTTGCCGGTGCCGAGTAAATCTGAACTTCAGGTCACTTCAAGCTATAGGTTGCAGAAATCGCTCCTTCAGCAACTCGTTCGCACCAGGCCTCTTCTCGTGGTCCGCCTCAAAAGTCTGGCCCAAGAACATCTTCGCGTCTTCGCTCGCACTCTCAGGGATTGTAGGCTTCTCGTTGTTGCTCCCGACGGCAAACAGTGTTTGCAGTGTTGTCATACTGGGGAATGGCCTGGCGCCAGTGAACATCTCGACTATCAAGCAGCCAACAGACCAAATGTCAGACTTGATCGACTGTCCAGATTGCCTGACGACTTCCGGCGCCATCCAGAAAACACTACCTTGCAGGGAGGTTCTGGTTCCAGGGACCGAATTCATTCCATTAAAGTTCGTTTTCTTGGACACACCAAAATCCGAAATCTTGACAGCACCACGGTTGTCGACGAGAATATTGGCACCCTTGATATCACGATGAATGATATTCCGCGCATGCAGGTATGACAATCCTTCGAGAATTTGGCGAGTAAAATTGCGGATCAAGGGTTCTTGGAAGGTGTTGTACTGTTTGAGCATTCCCGCAATCGATCCACCAGGGACATACTCTAGGAAAATGTTCAGGTGTTCTTCATCCGACGACGTGCCAAGGTATTGTACGATGTGAGGATGGCGAAGTCCTTGCAACAGGTTGATTTCCTGCTTGAGCGCAGCAATCATGGATGTCTTCTTCTTGTCGCTTTCAGTTCCTTTGGCCACATTCGGTAGTTCGACTTGTTTGACAGCCATGAGCTCTCCAGTGACAGCGTGCAAGGCAAGATATACACTACCAAACGAGCCCTCGCCGATAAGATCACCCTTCATCCAGTTGTGCTTGTCGAAACTATTGCCTTTGAGGAAGGAAGTTAGAGCTTGATCCTCCTCCTCGCCATCCTCGGCAACAATGACGGACAAGCGCTCATTCATGACTTCGGAGCCGAGAGTCCCAGATCCATCATCAATGAAACTGCTCCTGACCAGCTCGCCTCCGAGGGCGGTGTCAGACCCACTATCGAATGAAACATAAGATTTGCGATTTGGCTCTAAGGGCGATTCCTCTTGCAAAGGATGTAGTGTCGAGGATGCAATCGAATCTCGGAAAGATGACATGGGTAGGTTGTACCTGGTCGACAATACCGACAAAGGTCGTGTTACGGGAGTTCTGGGTTGCCCTGGAGTCTGAGCTAGCCAAGATTCAGCGATGCTGGGAATGCTCGGTACTGGAGGGGCATCTTTTAGGCTGGAAGCATAGCTGACATTGCTCATGACACTCAACCGACTTGCGGCGCGGCTCATGCGCTGCGAACGACGAACCGACATGCGCATAGTCTTTTCAATGTCTTCGCGTTGATGAGCAGGGAAGTAGGTTGTCAGTTCTTGAACAATCATTTCGCTTGGAGGTCTGGCGCCGAAAAATGACCGTAGTTTGGTGTTTTGACTGCTTGTGTTGCGGTGATGCTGTTGTGCCTCTTGACGCTCGTAATCATCAGCAGTGGCCATGATGTTGCGGTTCCTGTCGGTTGTCGTGACTGGGGATATTGGAGTCTGAATGTGATGCCACGACTCGCCGGTAAGCTTCTGAAGCTTGATCTGGTTTCGCATATTGTTCGACTGAAGGGCATTATTGTGCAGGATCTGTTGTTCATCATTCGCAATCTTGGCTGCTTTGCGTAGCTCATCAAGGTCCGGGGGCCCATCATTGATCTTTCGCAAGATTAACCTGTTTCTCTCAGTCCGATTCGAGTCGCTACATATCTTCATCAGCTCCGAGTCGGGGATGCGGCGACAAGCAGAGGGATCCGGATCAAGACCAGTCAGCAGATAGAAGCAGTAGTTCCGAAAGTGAGTCTCCGGGAGAAGCAGCTTCTTCAGCACAGTCGACGTCACGTCGTCGGGAGTTTTGCAGTACTTGATGTTGACGACCTTCGTTTGTCCACCATTATGAATTATTTTTATGACGGGAGAGCCTATCGGCAAACCACCGGCAGTGAGACCATCGATACTAGAGTTTTGCCTCAGGTGATTTGATCTGGTAGGTACAGTAGCAACCTGCGGTGAGTTCTCGGGTCGTTTTCCAGATGTGGAACTAGCAGAACCTGGCTGACTGAAGTAGCCACTAGCCTGAGCTCTGCTACTATCCATCGGGCTTCCCGCAAAACGGTGTGCTCGCAAACCTGCGCTGTGTATATCGGCCAGTGGTGAACTTGGGCGTGAGCCAACCTTGAAGCCTGTGCTTGCAGAGTTGAAGTTTTGCAACGCCGAAGCATCGATCTGACGAGAGAATCTCTTGGTGCTCCCCGTTTGCGACCTTGAGGCATGGGTTCGAGGCGAATCGGACGACGAAGGTGTGCCTACCAACCCATCGAGAATGGCCAGAGAATCCCGGTTTCTTCTCGTGCGTAATAACGAAGACCTGTTCCGAAGCTGTTTGATCGCGACATTGATGCGTACTCGATCGCCGATTTTCTTGATGCCTATTTCAGACAACATCTTCTGGTCACATTCTAGAAGGCTTTCCCCTGTGAAATTGTTCGCTTGAAAGAGCGATTCGTATTGCCCACATCGGATAGTGTGTAGCCATTCCCCCACCTTCTTCTCATCCCATGCTCTTATGGAATCCAGCCCGTCATAGACATCGGAGAATTCGGAGTCGGTAGGGGAGGTGAACAATCCATCCTGAAGCGCCAGCGAGGACATTTGTGTTCTTTGTGCGGCTTCAGAGAAGTTTCGCACAGGAATCTGCTGAGTAGTGGTTGGGATAGTCGGGACCGTGTATGGCGGTTTGGAAGCCAACATTATCACAGTTGTCTTCTGATGCCCGCTGGAGAAATTGTGATACCGTCGTCCCTATATCAGCAAGACCGCATCTCGCAGCGAGCACCGCAGGCCGACAACGGACAAAGAACAGGAACAAGCTCGTAATTCGTGGACGCGGTTCGTGATATTTGTGTCGAGCACAGGACTTTTCTAATGCCGAGACTCTCAGGAACCCTTCACGGTTGAGGTTGAGCGTGGAAGCGGCTGCAGCTGCGTCAGGACACGCAGATGATAAGACTGGAAACCTGGAAGTCGTCAGGTGAGCCAGAGGCGTGCCAGTGCGAGGTCTTGCTGGATGATTGCTGTGTCACTGGCGGAGGGAACGCTTGCATCATCCTCTCTGCATCTGAAACGTCAACAGGGTGGAGGAAATGCCAGTCCCTGAAAGATTGACATGGACATGAGGCAGTGGACTGGAAGCACAGAGAAACAGGGGAGGAGAGAAGGGGGGAGAGGCAGCCAATGAGGCCGGATACATGAGCGCCGAGAGGCCTTCGAGGCTTGAAACAGGCCCAGAGAAGCCTAGTGGGAGCCTGGTGAGCTCCAAGTAACATCGGCGCACGGCCTTCCGCAGGCCTGTGTCCAAGATGCTGCCTTGCCTGTTCCAGCCTAGCAGCCTGGCTTTCTCCTTGTTATCAAGTTATCCCAGTATCTTTTTGACAGCCTGATCCTTGCCGTTGGATGCCCGTTGTCGCACCCTGTCTCTGCGATCAATTTTATTTTCATTGTATTTCAGATGCATCAGAGTGCTCACCGGACTCGCATGGGAGGCCCGCACGTGGAAATGTTCTACAATTAGCCCTCCCTTGCACTATTCTAGCGTGCATGGGCTGAACTCGAATCCCTCAGGGACAACCTACCTAGCTAGTGTGCCCTCACCGCCATGGCCAAGCGGTCGCGCGACTCTTCTCTTGTTCCCTCTGACGACGGGGACAGTTCTCAGGACGATGTCGAGTCTGCGCGTCCCTTGAAACTCATCCCTCACGACATGTCTCCCGCCAGCGCTGTGATGCAATGTTCTTTGCCCCCTCACCGCGAGGCAGTCGAATTCTCGTCTATTGAAGATTTCGAGTCCCATTATGCCAAGGACCATAGCAATCGTTGTGCTTCTTGCGGCAAGAATTTCCCTACTGCTCATTTCTTGACTTTGCATATTGACGAGAACCACAATCCTTTCCGAGAGGCCCTGCAAGCCAAAGGTGAGAAGACTTATGCTTGCTTTGTCGAAGACTGCGACAAGAAATGCTCCACGCCTCAAAAAAGGCGTCTGCATCTCGTTGACAGGCATCTCTTTCCAAAGGCGTACAACTTCCGGATTGTGGACAATGGCATAGATAAGTCGACCTCAATGCTGCGGGAAGGGCGCCGTAGAAGAGTTTCCACTGCCACGGAGCCTGCGCAAACGGGCCCTCATCAACGACAACAGTCGAGGGCCGAACAGCTGTCAACAAACAAGCTTGGCTCTTTTGTTGTGGCACCTGAAAAAGGTGGGAGGGAGTTGACCGGCAGGACACGAGATGGCAAAGCAAGCCCACATCTCAAATCGCGCGACAATGTCTCGGATGCCTCCATGAATGACCTCGAGGCGTCTATGTCATCGCTACAGTTTGTACCACACAGTGTTGCATCTCGGCAACGCAACAAAGACAAATAGGTACACTAAGAAAGGCAACTTTCCTCCACTCTACCGCTCAACCACGAGGAGTTGGGAAGCCCATCATATTGACCAACTATTTGATCACTTCGTGTGGGCCTGGGTATGTCAACGAGAGGAAGTGTTAAAACTTGAAGCCGCCGTCTTTGCGCCCAGACCTCGCCTAGACGAGTCATAGTCCGAGGTCGGACTTGGATACCTGAGCTCAGCTGCTCAGTATCACTCCAACAAAGAACTCCAAATCTGAGCAAGAGGCGAGGCTCCCGATTTTCTTTACCGTCCAGGCTGAATGTTGGCGAAAGCCGGGGCAGCATACCTCCCCTTTGTACCCCCTCATGAGATGGGATGCCGAACCCATGTGCGGGGATTTTGACAACCCTCACATCTTACAAGCATAAGGGATAATAAAAGTCTGCCGAAGGAAGTTGTGCTTTCTTTGAGCCTTGAAATCTATTAACGGAGGCAGTCAGGTGTTCTCTGAGGTGGTCTCCGATTCCGCTTTTGGCAATTGGGTTGAGATCAACGCCCGCTATATCATTGCAGGACTCGTTTGTTTAGGCAGCGCAACCAAGATCGAAGGATGGCGACTGTTACGGTACACGCACTCGGCGCGGGCCATATCACAATACCAGAGCGATTCTTCGTCGTCCCGAATGACCCGGAGGCCAGACGGACCGTACCGTCACTCTCATTCCTGATCCAACACAAAGATGCAGGCACTGGAACGGTAACACGACTGGTGTTCGACCTTGGCATAAGGAGAGATATCAGCCTCTATCCGTCCGCATTGAGGTCGCATCTCGACAGCCGACAGCCACTTACGACTCATCCCGATGTAGTAACTTCGTTGGCCTCGGGCGGTCTCAGTCAAGAGCAGATAGACTATGTGATGTTTAGCCACGTTCACTATGACCACGTTGGTCTACCCAAAGACTTTACTAGCGACAAGACAAAGTTCATTATCGGCTATGGTGCCCTTGACCTTCTGACTGGAAAGACAAAACACGACCTAGGCAAGCACATGGTGTTCGAGTCCGATCTCCTTCCACTTGAACGAACGATGGAGCTGCCTCCTCCAGACACCGCTGGAGACGCCCAGTTCTCATGGAAACCACTGGCGTTGTTCCCGCACACCATCGACTTTTTTGGTGACGGCAGTGTCTTTGTCGTGGATGCACCTGGCCATTTGCCGGGACACATCAATCTCCTGTGCAAGATCTCAGAACAGCCCACCAAATTCGTGTACTTAGCAGGAGATGCGTGTCACGACGTCAGGCTGTTGTCAGGGGAAAGGGGCATTGCGACATGGAAGGATGAAGCCGGCAAGATTTGTTGTATACATGTTGACATTCCCACAACCATGAAGACTCTGGCTCGGTTGTACGCTGCTACCAAGGAGGGGATCAAATTGGATGGCAAGGATCCCGCTTCAGTCGAGGTGGTGTTCGCGCATGACTTTGCTTGGGAGGAAGACGCGAAGAAAAATCATAGGTTCTGGCCAGGAAAATTGTGAATAGAGTACAACCAGAGCACAACCAGTGCTAATGTTTTGAGACTGCGCAACACAGCCTGGATGTGTTACAGCAAAGGTTCCAACATGCGATACAGCAAAGAATTGCAGGCCTAAGTTGTAATTATAGTAGATTGGACTATGTTTAATTAATTTAATCCTGACGTTATCGACCATAACTGATCCAAGTCCCAAAAAAACTGAACGGCAAAAAAGAAAAATGGAGCTCGTGGGAGCGAAACGAGAATTGGGGTTTTTGTTTAGATTAATGTCGAGATATCTCGAGAAAGCGAATTTATGAAGGATAAATCAATGACTTAGCGCTTTTAGAAACTTGGCAGAGATCTTTTCTGCACTGTGGGATTGTGTATGCAATCATTAGGAAGTTATGAAATACTCTGGACAATCTGCAATGACTCTACTGCAAAGACTTTAAAAATAATGGCCGGAGAGCCTCAACTGTGCCGTCGAGCAGATCGACAAGCGACTCTTTAAACTATTGATGAACTCCAGGACCCGAGTAGCCCTCTCTCCATTTTCTCGGCTGCGTGCGCTCGCTTCGCAAGGATCTTTGGCTCAGGATAGCACATAACGGTAAAATCGACGGGGTCGATTATGGTGGAAGGGCTTCTTGTCCGTGCCCCATGTTCCAGTCTCTACTTAAGCCTGTTCTTGAGTCGTTTGTGCCAAACTTGAGCTTTCTGAGTGCCCAAACTCCGCGTGTGCCTTCAATTCTTCCTCTGTCTCGAAGATTGCTTTGCAGCCTTTCTGCTTGCAATGCCACGTATAGTGAACAGTCCTCAGGTGTGTCCACATGTCGCTTTCGGTACGAGAAAGGTGATCGCATAATGCGCAGACAACGTCGGGAGGAAAATGGCGACGGAGGTGACGTATATCATTTGGTCGACTGGTTCTCCGAGCGTTTTTCTCAGTATGCTTCAAAATAATATCTGGCTTACTTGGGCACCAGGGGCATCGGCGCTGGCTTCTATCTTTGCAGTTGCTCAAGACAAGCCATATGTGTTCGCACAGTGACTTGGTGCTTTCGAAGGACTTTTTGCACCGACAGAGCCCGCATTCCGCCTCCAAAGGACACAGCAGCCAATTTTTATCGTCCCGCTGGATAGCCACTTGTCTGGTATTGCGTCGTTGGTTACCAGAGACATTGGCCTGGTCAGAAAACTTCATGAACCATTTCTGCCCGGCAGCTGAAGATCCGGATACGCCATGCCCCACAGAATGGGCAGTGGTCATTTCCAGAGAGGTAGCAGGGACGGGCTGTGAGGGGTGAGAGGTATCGATCTTATGAGGGACAAGATCATTCTGAGCTAGAGGGCTCATGAGCTTCTTGAGACTGAGAAGCGAGATGTGAGAAAAAGGATTCCCTGATGGCGCAGATTCATAAGCTCTGAAGAGTGAGCCTGACCATGACACTTGAGACTTGCTCATTGTGGCCAACTGCCGATATAAGTCTGGCAATTGCGCTAATTCCGTACGATTTCTGTCTCGAATAGCTAAGGTTAGAGCCTCATCATTCGCAGCGGCAGTTTCTCTAGACACCAAGTTCGACGAGACAGCAGCCCAGCGAATCTCAAGAGCTCTCAGATGAACATATTCGATGTGCTTGTAGACGATGGAGGCTGAGGGCATTAAAATGAAGCAGAAAGGACACTGCGCTTTTCTCTTGTCTTGCAGAAGCTTTGAGTTTGGTGGACTGAGATGTCGCAAAAGGTGATAGATGCCGTCAGCAAGATAAAGGTAATTCCATCTGGCAATACCGGCAGGGCACAGTGGACAGGAACGGTCACCAGGAGACACAGTGAGAATATTTTCGAGAAGGTGATGAACTAGTTGGTCAAGTCGCAAGTAAGTTGCTCCGCAATTCCTCTCAGGACACAGTAAAAAGCCACCTGTCTTTTCAAGACGATGCCGCTGCTCTTCTTCTTGTTTGAAGATTGGTTGAAAATCTGTACCTCCTGACCGAATAATCCGCACAACCCTGGTACTTGGGTCCATATGCGGCCTAAGCTGTGAGGAGGTAATGTCAATTATGCTAGTGTTGCGCATTTGTGTCATAAGAACGCGGACTGATAGATTACCCTCTCGCTGGTAGAGCTTGTTGTAGGCTGTGACAATCCATTGGCGAATCAATTGATCAGTGTTTGTGCCCAAATGGCTGAGGTCTTTGCCTTCCAGGACTTCACAAATCGCTTGAACGAGCTGGATCACCGAGTATTGGCGATACGATCCGAAACCTTCGTGTATTAGGTATTCTAGCCGTAACTTTTCCAAGTACGGGGCGAAGAAGTTGACAAAGCCATAGACGTTGGTCCAGAGTCCATCGATTGTGCTCACTACTATGAGTGTAGTTCCATCTTGTGATCTTTGAGTAAGGTCTTCCAGAATCTTGCGAAACGCCGTCAGCTGTATAGAGGAAGCGGTGCATTGTTCGGCATTGGTATTTGAGGAAACGCCATTGAGAAGGATGGTATGGATCTCCGGAACACAGGAGCAAAGATGAGTGTCGCGATGTGCAGCCACTGCAAACTCGGCTAAATCTTTGTTTCTGTCATCCAGTCTGTCTAGCTTCGCCTTGTCACTGTGACGGTCGCTCAATCTGCTGACGGCGATGACAGCACGAAGTCTGTCAGACTGGGAATGGGTCATCTCGAACCGAAAAGTGCATAGATGCGATCGCAAGACACCTGCATGAGACAAGGACGAGAGGGGAGAGGAGTTGTAAGGGGGCAGGAGAATCGAGTGGTTTATTGACCGGAATGTTCATAATCGACGGCGTCGATTTGAAGAAGGTGCGAACATTGTGATGATGCTTGGGTTTCGGAAGTAACATGGAATGACTGTGGTCGGGAAAGACCCACCCAACGTGCAAGATAGGCGTGGCGAGGATGTCAACTGTCGTTAGAGAGAATTGTTGATAATTTTTTTAAATTCCATCCGGCTGGGCGGCATGGCTGGTTTGACACGACTGACCGACGAGCAGGTACCAGGGTCTCGACATGGTCTCGGTCAACAGCCCGAGGGTCGATAGTTGTCGTTGAACAGTTTAAGGTCATATCCAGGACCATAGTTCCAGTGAGGTCGCTGCTTGGAAAAGTTGAAAGGATTTTGTGAGTATATAATTCACCGATGTGCAAGATGAGCGGTCAGAGCCACGCGCATTGATCTATTCAGGCAGCACTGAGGGGGTATTCAATACCTTTCGGGAAAATCATTGATCCGAGGCGTTGAAATTCTTTTCGAGTATGTTCAAGTTGATAGAGCCACCATGGCGTCGGTTCTTAAAACGTACAAGAAGTCTGAACCCGAGCGGTTCAGATATCAGTAGTACGCGCCCCCGGGCCCCTTGACAGGCCCTATTTCCAGGTGGAACGGCTGGAAGAGATGAGGAAGGAGAGGAGAGTGAGAAAATTGGACAGTTTTAAGGTCGTATCCAGGACCGTACACTTCCACTGAGATCGTTGCTTGGGACTGTGGGCAGTTTTTCGAGTATGTTCAAGTTGATAGAGCCTCCATGGTGTCGGTTCTTAAAACGTACAAGAAGTCTGAACACAGACAGTTCAGATATCAGTAGTACATGCCCCCCGGAACCCTTGACAGGACCTTATTTTGCTCCCGGGATGTCGGCGGGATAGAGATGAGGAAGGAGAAAAGAGTGAGAGAAAATGGACGATTGATGCTCGAGTAGTGGTGATTTTAACATGCAATCATTCAAAGATGTTGCCGCAAGAGGGGCTGAGCCCAACTGGATCCCGCCGAGGTACGACATCAACCGCGGGCCGTTGTTGATGAAGGGGAGATGGTGAGGAGCTGGCTCAGTTGATTCGTGCCTGCTGAGACTCACTCGTTGTAAGTGTTGAGCTACTGTTGATGCCGAGTAGTGATTGGTTTTAACATGCAATCATTCAAAGATGTTGCCGCAAGCTGGGACACCCCAACTGGATCCCGCCGAGGTACGACATCAACCGCGGGCCGTTGTTGATGAAGGGGAGATGGTGGGGAGCTGGCTCAGTTGATTCGTGCCTGCTGAGACTCACTCGTTGTAAAATGGGCAGTTTAACGTCATACCCAGGACCATGGTGAGGCCAGCTGGAGAGCTGATCGGCGGACGATGTGTGAATGTCGGGATCTTGAACGCGAGTCTGAAGGGTCGGGATGCATGCGTGGAACGCGAACAAATCTCGCCTTGAGGCCGCAATATGACTTTGCTGAGATATCTTCCGGTATGAGGCGCTAGCGAGAGGAGGAGTGAGAAGTGGGCAGCTGTGAAAAGAAGACCGCTCGATGTCATGTTGATGCAGACGCGTTGTCGGCTGAACAAGTTAGACTTGCGACACGCTTCTCGGCATAACAAGCACACTTACCATCTTTGACGAAATGAGTGGCTCATTGAACACTTTTGAAATTGGACTGTGGCCTCAAAATGCACTTCCACCCTGATTTTGAAAAAGCCATACTCAGTCCCAGCAAAAATGCTGCACACTGGGGCAAAGATTCGGAGGAGCGTTGATCTGGAATTTATGCCATTGGACACCAGTGACTCAACCGATCTGAAGATGGTTTGGATTGACGGAGTAACAATGTTGTAACGCTGCCATAGGCAGTGAGGTAATCGTCCCCGTCGTCGTCATCGTCGTCATCGTCGTCATCGTCGTCCTCGCCATCACCGCCGCCGCCGTCTTCCATGTTTGTTGAGAGCATCGGCGAGCGCAGGAACACGGTGAGATGTAACAATCATTGTTCAGACAGTGCCCTTAGAAGTGTTAAAAGGATGGATGAGCGCCGACCAAGCGCCAAGCATTCGCGCTAACCATAAATGGATGTTAAGCTACCGAAAGCGGCAAGGTCATCACGTGGCTAGTTAGAACTTGCACTAAGGTTCAATATTTTTATTTTTAATTTTCACAATTCCTTTCAACAATCACCAGCATCAGTGGTGTAAGTTTTCCGAAAAATTCGAAATTTCGAATGATTTCAGATTTCGAATATAAGCTAATCTGAAAACAGTTAGTGGTAAAGTGAGTCTTGGAATCACGTGGCCTCACATGTGGTCAGGAAGCTAACATATGATCAAGATCCATCGTTGCCAACAACTTTCGAGTTTCGAATTCGATGGGCCCCGTGTTCGAGTGAGTTGCCCTGGCACATTATCCATGTAGTAGACCATGTTCTAACAATTCCCAAGTTCACGGCTGATGCAAATCGCTATTTTCTTTTTTTTTTCTTCATGATTGTCTGGACTTGGAGTAGTCTTAAAGGTTAAGTAGAGATAAAAAACTGATTATAAGCTATATTATGGCAATTTTTTCCGTGTCTCATCTTGCGAATATTTGCTGTACTACTTGACTCACACATCTGGCTGTGTTGCCAATGTCAAAACATGGGGCAAGACAAATACTATGGATCAACATTAATCCGTGCAGTGTGCCTTGACGCAATCCGTGTGTCGACACCATCAACAAGGCAATCGGTTTCGGTTTCGACGCGGCTTGTGACGGCCACGAAGGAAGGAATCATCTGCAATGATGAAAGTAGGTGTTTCACATCTCAACTCTCAACTACGTAAGATACCAACGGTATATATCTCCTCCCACACGTCTACCTTGGAACCCTAAACTCACCCAAAAAAAACTCAGAGAAAGAGTTGTTCGTCATCATCACCCCTGACTTTGTCGAAGACAAAACGAACAAAGGCCAACCGATTCAATCAGTGTCCTACAAGTCCTCGCTTGCCGAAAGCAACGCTTCGCTGATCACAGGTCGTAAACGTGTGAGTGGACAGCTAGCTAGACGAGCGCTGTTTTCCACAAAGTCGAGCATGGATGGCAGTCAGCTATTGATAGCTATTGTAAATAGGTTATAAGACGATATAGTGTAGCAAAGATCAACCAGCACTGTCAAAAATGATGAATTTGGCCGAAACTCGACGACGGGGTGGATTGGGAAACCTCGGGACACCGTCAAAACCATCCTCATAGGGGTGTATACGCACGGAGTACAGCATGTAATTATTTCTCGTGGGTTCCTCTCGTTTTCGCAAGGCTACGGGTCATTGGAGGCCTGACTCGTAATTCCGAGATCCACCGGATTTTGGATCGAATATTCCTCCCGACGACGATCAAGCTATTTAAACACGCCGGACAATCTATCATCGAACTTCAGTGATTTAGCCCTCTTCACCTCTACTGCTTGTCGCTGTATAGACGACTCAATCAACAATTACCACGCGACCATGGCGATGCCACTCGGCCTCTCCCCAGCCACGTCCTTCGCCGCTCCGGCGGGGTTTCTCGCCTTGAACTGGTTCTATGCATACGTGGCTCTATCCAGCAGGCCGTGGAAGCAAAGCGTCGGCATCGACCACAATGGTAGCCCACGGCAAGACTTGAACAAGTACGCCGACGCCTATATTCGCGAGGGCAAGATGACTCGTGCCCAGCTCGACCGCATTTACCGCATCGAAGCTGCCAGTGCAAATTCCACGGACGGCTTTGCCTTCTTTGCGGCGTCGGGTGAGTTCTTTTCCCCCGGACTTTGAGGCGTAGCATCGTTCTGTGCGTGTTTGCTGCATCATCTTTGACTGACATCTTGCGTACGTAGTCCTCTTCGCACTCGTCGCCGGCGTTCCTGAATCGTCACTCATAAAGGGATGCACTACGTACACCGTCGCAAGGCTGGTGTATGGAGCCGTGTACGTGTTCGTACCCCATGATGTCTACAGTCAGCTCCGCGGAATTGCTTGGTGGACGTCGAATTTTTCTTGTCTGTACCTATTGTGGAAGGGTGGGCGCGGGTGAGGGTGTCACACATGGTGCCTAGGAGGATGCCATCTCAAACTGCAATGGCTCTATTGGCTTTCCTATCAAGTTCCTCGCCGTTTCTAGAATGAAGATTGAAGAGAAACCGACGTCTATGGAACCAAGGGGTTTCCTCACCTTTTCTTGGCTCTTTGGGCGCGGCAGAATGAACCCTTCAGAGGTGGTGTAGTCACACGGTCACACACACTCTATCCTATCATATCCCTCCCCCCATTCATCAGATCATCGCCCTCGAAGATGGAAAGACTCACGCCAACTTCAGAAACTCACTCCAGTTTATATGTAGCATTGTTCAAGGCCGTCGCCCCAGTACTTGTGTAACACGCCGAGAGGAGGAAATATTCTTGGTGACTGTATCAGGAGAATGTTATGGCCGTCTCTGAGGGAGAAGAGGAAGAGACGGATCTAAAGTGAGTAACTGAAAGTGCCTTCTTTGAAAACTCATCCAAGCCCAACAGGTGACAACCCGCCCCCAGCTGTAAAAATCGACTGTCCTCGGTTAAAAACAAAACACTACGGATCATGCGGGTAGAATCAATCAAGCAAAGCAACAACAGGAGAGAGATTTCTCCAACCCCATCCGGTCACCATGCCGTATCCGAACTGACAGTAGGTTGAGTCTCGTCCTTTCCAGCCTGGTCCCACGTGGTACCACCACCATATTCTTCCCACTTCTCCTCCTTGTCTCCGTCTGCTTTGGCGATAACGCCCTCGAAATCAATAACGGCAGGCTCGTAGTATTTAGACTGTCTCATCCGAACGAGACCAAACCGACCCTCAATCGAAGGATCCACCACCTGTACGCCATACTTTTTCTCGCCGAGGGCACGGGCGAAAGAACGGGGGACGTCGACGGATTTTGCGTGGAACAACTGGAGGCGATCAACCATCCAAATGCTGATGGATTTGGCTCGACTGCTTGCAACCACAGAACGATTTCGCAAACCCAGAAATCCGGCCTTACAGCCCAAGGTTACGTCCACGATGACGATGTCATAGCCTTTGTTCCATCAGCCTTGACGATAATGAGCTTAGGCCGCTTCGGGTCGTCAAGTATCATCTTGTCCTTCATGGCAAGATACACGATGTATTGAGCGCTGTAGAAACATACAATCGCTACTGTCAGGTCGGGGAATTGCTCAAGGCACGTTATCGCTGTATTGAGGCCCACACATACCATAATGACAAGCGCCATTCTTGTAGGATTCGATGGGCAGGCTGTTTGCACTCTGCAAAGGTAAACTTGACTCCACCTAGGAGCACTATGTCATTTCGAACTTTGATGATGCCGGGATTGCGCCTGTAGAGCTCGTACTTGTAGTGACTTTTCATTTTCGTCTCGGCCGCTTGGACCACCGCCAAAGCGGCAAAGAAGTCTGGAGTCACTTTGGGTAGGGTGGTGTCTTCGCTGGCAAGCTTTAATTCTAAGCAATTCACCTGGCGGACACCAGACCGACATCGCACTCAAAGTTTTGGGTTGTACCACTGGTTTCCACCGCATGCAAGTAAGGATAAGGATATTCGCCGAAGCGATATAAGTAATGCCTCTCATCCACTGCAATTCGTCCGAGTGGACCGCCATAGCCTCCTGCAATTAAAACTCCACGCGAAATGACGGAAGATCATCTCCTGTCTTGAGCCTGTTCATCTACTTGTGATCGAAGACCTCCATATAGTCTGCTCGCTGGTGCTGGTGACCATGTGTTAAGTCCCCTTCCCGGGCCAAGTTTATAGAGACGAAGTGCATAGAGATGGAGTCCTCCATGGTGGGAGACATCGAGTATCCGAGACTAGGTGTACCAGCAGCAAGCAATTGAGCGTCTTCGGCGAAATCCAGAATTATGTCCCTTCGCTTATGAGCTTTGGTAGTGCTTGTACAACTGAGGATTGTCGTTGAAGGTTTCGCTGCAGTAATCACACTCGTATGCGTTGTCCTTGGTTTTATTTCGAGCCGGCAATGATCAGCGAGGTGCTGTTTCATGAAAGTGCTGTTGATCTTGCTGCCGCATTGTTCGCATGTCACAACTCCAGACTTGTCGTATGATTTCATGTGCTGAGCCAAATCGCTTTTGGTGAAAGGAAACTTGTCATAGTCACTCTCTCCGCAGAGATATGTGGGAGGCAGATGCCGTTGGATGAAATCCACCCAATTCCTGGTAGCTCGCCATTGGAAGTCGCGCGGTTGCACCGGGCAAGTGACACACTTCTTCTCTCTCTTACAGTGGTCGAGAATATGTTGATGCAATAGCTCCAAAGTTGTAAAATCCGGACCGAGTTCCCGGCTGGTGTGAACAAGACTGACTGACGAGCAGGTACCAGGCTTTCAACGAGGTCTCGGTCAATAATGCGAGGGTCGATAGTTGTCAAGGTCCATGGATTCGCAGAGAGAAGATAGAAGCAAAGCAGGATTTAGTAGAGAGGAGAGGCGGCCCCATCAAGGTGTTTGGATTGCTATTTCATCGCTTTGTTGATACATTTTCTAATTCCATCCGACTCGGCGGCATGGCTGGTGTTAATACGACTGACTGACGAGTAGGTACCAGGGATTCGACGTGGTCTCAATAATCACTGAGACCGTCGAGTTGTCTTTAGACATTTTAACTTCATACCCAGACGGCGACGAGGCTAGGAGAAGGAATCTCCAGGAGGGAAAATGGACGATATTTAGACAATATTCGAATGCAACAATCTCCGAGAGAAGTGAAGTTTGCCCCTAGATATGACGGATCTAGAGCGAACAGAGGGAAGAATCCGTTTGTTGAGTGAGGTTCCAATCCATGTGAGCAGCAAGATCTGATGACGATTGGTCGGGTCAAGATTGTCTGCTCTAACAGCCTCTGTGGCAGGAAGAAAATCTTTCATGGGATGGAGAGAGTACTTCTGACCACTTTCAAAACCCACCACTGTGACGGGGATGTCGACATAGTCATGTCGATAACCACAATGTCGAACATTGATGCATGTATTCAGTCCGTCTGACCGATAACGAGTGAGCGTTGTGGCAAATCAAGGAGATATGGTGCGTTGTAGAAGCATACAGTGGAAACAAAGGTGCGTCGGTCGAACTCAGCAACCTATTGCATGATCAGTCGGATTTCCGTTCGTGTCGACTCATGCAGGACAAGTTCCTCATATGCTGTCTTATTCAGGATCTCCATAATGTCTGGATCCATACGGTATTGAACCGTAAGAAGGACCGCTTCTGTCCCATTTGCTATAAGACGCGTCTGTAGAGGTAGACTAAATTGTGTTGACAGATGGGACATATGCACCACAGTAGGTGGTGATTGTGAAGGATCTCCGCACAAAATCTTGCCGACAGCATTTGGGTACTCATTGGGGATAAGTTGTCCATGTTCCTCATGATTCCAGGGTCCATATGAAGCACCGATACTCTCTGGTCAGCATAGCTGAAGAGGTATCACTGCCATTCAAGCGAGCCTAGAACGTACAGATTTCGGTATCATGCTGCTGGGAGATGGTTGTGATTTCCTTCCCCTTCTGAATCTACCTCGAAATCCAGAGAAGGCCGAGGGGAATGCGACACGAGTCCAATGGAATATTGATATATATATTTGGCGAGAATTGATGATGGGATTGTCAAGGTCCGAGTCGAGGCAGGGGAATTTGCTCCTGCCCCTCTCGAAGTAGGTCAACTCTGACTGCTGGATGAAGACAACAAAAGTGAGAGAGCGAGGACGGGGGATGGGTGGTTTAAATAGGGTACAGAATGCAGCAAAGTAGAATGATCCGGCTGAGCGTCCGGTTGGTGTGACAAACAGGCACCAGGGTTTCCCCAGGTGTCAGAAATCATGGTGAAGCTGGCTTATTGTCTCGGGAAAAGAATGTAGAAGAAAGAAAGAATGAATGAATGAATGTATGTCGAACAATAGAGATCGAATCACGGTGAAGGTCTCAAGCAGAGCGGGCGGTTTCAGATCGTTTGCGGTGGGACCTCGGACCAACCTTTGTCACTCCAAATACTGAACGGAAGTTCAGTGTTACTACTCGATACTGCCACTTGAAGGTGGAGAGGAGCGATGTAACTGGACTGCAATAGTTATGCGTTGTTGGTCAAGTGTTTGGCCGCCTGTGAAGAGAGAGGCGTGAACTGTGAGACACCAGAGTCCGGCGGACGATTAAAAATTAAAGACCTGAGCCGAGGGACATGGGCCTTCTTCCATCCCTGGCAACTCAGCCGACGTCAAGTTACAAAACTCCAGTCAAGTAAAGCGAAACCCGTTTATGCCCGGTGCTGGCCACGTCTGTTCTTTTCCTTTTCCTCTGACCATTACTGTAAAGTCTATCTACATTCAAGAAATCAAACGCCCGTTTCTCTAAGTCAGGGCTCAGAGGAACGGCTGGTCGGTACTAGTTGCTTCACCACTCTCCCATTACTTCCTCTTTTCGTTTGTGCCTGCGCCGTTTTGTCTCTCATCGTCAAGCGACCGAGGTGATGAGCAGGCAACCGTTCAGACACTATTATTGACGACGTCCTGCTGTTGAAGCATTGGTTCAGGTGAAGGTTCACTCCCTTTGCCGCTGCCTCAAGCCCATTTTCCGAGCAACGCCATGAGTCCAGCACCGAGCAGGACACAGATGAGCATGAACACCAACCTCTTGTTATCCTTCGTGCGCAAGGGATTGAACAAGAAGTCCCGGGCCAACAACTCCACCAAGCCAGTATAGATCAGAATACCGGCGGACATAGAGTCCAAGACTCCCGAGACTACGTTCGCGGTGAAACTGTTGGGGTTGTACGTCGTTCGAACACCGAGACCGATGGCGATGGCGATGGGCGTGGTCAGGCCATAAGCCGTACACAGGGCCCACGGCAACCAGCTCCCTTTCCGGAAGGGGATGGCCGACATCCTCGCGCCAATACCCAGACCTTCAAAGGACTGGTGGAACACGAGCACAGGGTACAACGTATTGAACTCGTCTCCCACGACACCGAGGTTCAACCCAATCACGACAGAGTGGAAGATGACACCGAACTCCAGGATCAGAAACGCCGCGATCTGCTGTCTGAACGAGTTCTTGCGGTACTCCGAGTCGGCGTCGCTGTCCTGCTCTTCGAAATCCTCCAAGAACCGCTTCTCGTACATGCTCATCTTGCGTCTCTCGTCGATACCGGCGGCGTCTCCTGTTTCTGCGTCCTGAGAGGGCTGCGCATGGCCGTTGGGGTGTCCGTCGACATGGCCCGTGACTGCCTCCTGCAGATCCGGGTCGCTCTCGAAGCCATATTTGACTTCGACATAGCGCTCGGCGCCAAAGTCGAGCAGAAAGATCATGACGACGCTCGTCAGCACAATGGCCGGACACCACGAGTAGTCGGCCCATGCGCCCGTCATGCCGACGCACGTGTTGGGTCCGATCTCGCCGTAGGCCGGGTCGAGAAGGTGGATGAAGGCGGTGGCCACGATGACGCCGGCGCCAAAATACCGCGCGAAGAGGTAAACGTACAGCGGGATGTGGAGGCGGGGGGACCGTTTGGCGATGACGGGGAAGAAGGTCGCGGCCGTCGAGACGACGAGGATGACGAAGAGCGCAGAGATACGTGCGCCCAGTTTGCCGTTGTATTCGTTGCCGGAGGCGGCGAGCGCGCAGACGACATCTCTGGGGTCGGCGGTCGAGAGGTTGACGTTCTCGGGGTTGAACGCCAACGTCACGCTGTTGGTGGCCATGCTGATCCCGGTCTTTGGTTTGCGTGTTTCCTTTGTCTTTTGTTCTCCTTGGTCGAAGGCAAGGCGACGCGATATCAGGGTACGTGAACTTTCGGTATCAAAAAGTATCTCCGGGGGCCAAGTAAAAGTCAAGCAACGGCCAAGCTCGTCAAGTATACTTATACTTTTCTTTTTGTCTTCGTATTCGGAGATCGGGAAATGCGAAAACGTGCAATCTTATATGCATCCAAGACGCCAAGGTGAAAAGAATGGGAAAAATCAAAACGTGGATGCCAGGGGGGCCCTGCATTGACTGCGTTTGTACCCTTTGCGTTGGTACAGTAGCAGTAGTACTCGCAACTCAAAAAAAAGTGAGGACCTTAAGCAGGGCACATACACTCGCTGCTCCCACAGAGAGTTGGGGTTCCACTTTCTCACGCGAATTGGTGTCCGACCACTGAGAGAGTTTCTTAGTTTTTGAGAACCTTAGCCGTAGCAAGGACGCTATCCGCATTGACTTCGAACCAGGGTGTATTGCGCATGTCCACCCTGCCGTGTGATGTTGCTTTGAGTGAATACGGCACGAGGCACGCAACTGAGGACAAGCCGTGAAGCCGAGCGCGGAAATTCACTTACCTGTAATCGGTGGGGATGGAGAGGGTCCTCTCTCCGAAACACATCGAGTAATTCCATCAACTTTACCGCGCTGATGGGAAGCGCTATCGGCAAGGTGTTACGTAGCAGAGACAACTGCAGTTACGAGAGACATAGTCCTCGTCGGACGTCGATATGAAGATGACGTTGTTTCGCCGTGTGCAAGAAGAGTTGTGGTGGCGCCCATGAGAAACATTAAGCACCAAACATAAGCATCACTTCCCCGTTGCTTAATTGGTCCCGCCAAGCCCCTACCGAAAGGGGGCGTTCAGCCTCGTTGAACCGCGCGCGCGGCCGGCAAAGCAAAGCCATTCTTTTACCAAATTCCAACCCCTGGGTACGAAGTACTTTTCCACAGTACAAACAGTAGCCTATCGACTTATTTATTACCTCTTGGACCGACATTTCTCTGCGCCGCATACGCACTTGAGGTTCATGTTTGTGAAGTATCCCTCCCCGTAGTCCGACGTCACCTCCTCCCCAAAGTTGATGTCCCTTAGCGCTTGAATCAGGATTACCTGCCGTTGGCCGATCGTGGCAAATGTGTACGCGGCGTTTGGCTCGCAGCTGTGGTTGATGTATCGTGTCCAGTTGCCATAGATTGCCGGATCAACGATCAGATTGACAGGACCTCCTCCGGCGTCGCCGTTCTGCCCGGCGCCTTTCCTCCTCTTCGTTTGACGCCTCTGGCCCACCTCCATCCCAAACACATACATCTCTGTCCTGTACCGGGACACGTCTCGCAATGGGTATATCTCTCCGATGTACTCGCCCAGCATTGCACCCTTCCTCAACGCCTGCAGGGCACGGACACCGGTGCCCAGCTTCTCGGTGTCGAACAGTTCGACCAACGCGTCAGGTTGGCCGTTGTGCCTTTCGTAATAGTCCGACATTGTGCAGGAGCAATTCGCCGTCTTGTCGCAGGAGTAACATCTGCCCTGCGCATTGAAGCGCGGGTCTCCGTTCGCTTCATCCGACAGCTTTGGCCAGTCGTAAGTGTCCAGCACTCTCGACTCGGCCATGTCGACCTGCCACGCCAGTTGACGGTCGCCAGTCGTCGGCCGCCCTCCTCCATTGAGGCGGCCGGGGACCCTCCGCCCGTAAAAGTCCTCCTTGTCGAGGTCGGAGTTGTATTGGTATTCAAATTGACATCGTCTGGCGGGCTCTTTCCTCTTGGGGAGCACCCAATGGTGAGGGACGAGGTCGGTGGGATGGTGAAGCTGGTCCAAGTCACTTGCGCCAATGCCAAAGTTGTGCAGATCGATGTTGTTGCGAACGTGCTGGTTGCCTTTGAAACAGCATTTGATGAGGCGGTCGTAGTCGGCTTCAGACGCCCTCGACGCCCTCCCCCAGTCTAGCTTCCTTGTCTTGGCCACCAACTCTAAGCTGGATGAGAACTTTTTGATCTTGAGGAGCACGTCGCCCCATTTCGGCAGTCCTTCGGTTTTGCTGTCGGCATTGTCCCTTTGGATGGCCGCCCGAAAGCTTCGCGAGTGACAACAGATACTTAGCACAACGAGGTTGGGCGACTTCATGAAATTGACTAGCCTTTCGGGATGGCTTACCTGAAGATCGTCGATTGCACGATGAACCGCCTCCTTGTCTCGCTTGCGGGAAGGCTGGACTTCTTTAGGGTTCCTTTGAGTTCATCAGCAATGTCTTTGGGGTAGAGGTCAAAGAATCGCAAGGTTCTTGCTTGCCGGATCAAGTCTTGAATCTCAGTACGCTCCAGGGGGCCGCCGGGGGAAACAGCAGCACCAACTATCTCGGCATATAGTTGGATCATGAACTTGTCAACGGCCTCAGCGGTGTCCGAACCTTGTTTTGACCTGCGATGACCTTTCAGGCTGTTCTGATAGTCGATGTAGCGTTCCGTGGGTTTCGAGCGTCGTGTTCCTCGACGCGGGCCATTGCGAAGTGCCTGGTCGGAAATGACGTGGTTCTCGTTTCTGCTTGTGGTCTTTTTGGTCTGTCCTCGGGTTGTTGGGGCCATTGTGAGAGTCTTTCAGATCTTCCTAGATTTGTGAGTGTAAAAGGGTAGAGCGCACCATGTGTGATGAACAACGAGGATTGAGGGCGGACGGCCAGACGTTTAAGGATATAGGCCGGCACGCCAGAAATACGACTCGAAAGGCTGTATTGAACGGCCATTGTGAAAAGTGGTCCAAAAATACCTTGAACTCTGTGGGGAACAATAAATGTATGTATGAATAGGTGCGGTACAAAGGGAAATGAAGAAAGAATGAACTGAACTCATTGTTTATTCACCCGCCGGCCTAATGATCAGCAAACTTGGAAGTGACAACCGTAAGAGGTTCGGCAGAAACATTCGTTGTGGAACGAGTATGAAAATGTCATTACCAGATGGGTATCTTAAACAGTCTCGATATACCTCCTAACCTCCCAATCGGTCACGGCTTCATCCCATAATCTGCATTCATGTTCTCTCGTACCTCCGTAGTGTTCGACGAATTCGTCCCCGAAGACTTCCCGGGCCACACTGTCTTTGGCCATAAATCTTGCGGTACTGTCTCTGAGGTTTTTTGGCAATCTCTCGCCTTTGTCGCTGCTACCTCCAACATCCTCCCCTTTACTGAGAGGAGGAAGCGGGATTTCCATCTTCTTCTCGATACCTCTCCAACCCAGAGCAACAATTGTGGCAAGCACCAGGGAAGGGTTTGAATCAGCACCACAGACTCTGATTTCAAATCTTGTTGCCTTTGCTGATGCCGTGGGAGGTGCAATAAGTCTGATTGATGCTGCTCGATGCTCTAGACCCCAGGAGACGGTGACTGGAGCCCAGAAATTCTCCACCAGCCGCTTGTATGAGTTTACTGTCGGCGCGATCAATGGCATCACATCGGCGAGACCGTCCAGCAGTCCAGCGAGGAATTGTCGACCTAGATCTGAGACGTATTCGAGGTCTTTGTACGGTGGATTTGGGTCCTTCTCGCCCCGGTAAAACAAATTCTTTCCCGACTTGTCGACAATTGAACAATGTACGTGCCCGCTGTTGCCCGGAAGACCCTGCTTGGGCTTCGCCATGAACGTCGGAGTGATGCCATATTTGCTGCCCATTGCCTTGACAACGTATTTGAAGAGACTTGCTCTGTCCGCCATCTCGGTAATTTCACCAAACTCGAGCGCAGCCTCGAACACCCCAGGCCCAGACTCTGTGTGCCAACCTTCGACATTGCATTTGAACTTTTCACAAGCGTCAAAGATGCTGTAGAACCAGTCTTGGTTGTGGATCGGATCGGTCAGTGAGTAACCGAACATGCCCTGGGTGAGGTGTGGGAGAGCCTCGACGGGGTTGGTCTGAAGGTAGGGAGCTGTGGTTGCAGATGATAGATGAGTCGATTGTATCGAGGGGTCTTTAGGAGCTCTGAACGTGAAGAACTCATACTCGGCGCCAGCCATGGCTCCATAGCCAGCCTTGTGTAGCTTCTGGACCGCAGTCCGCAAAAGACTCCTGGGACACGCGCTGATAGGTTGGTTCGTGTCGGGATCGTAGAAGCTGACGAGGAAGAAAGGCACGTTGTCCTCCCATGGGATGCGCCGGTAACTGCTGAGGTCTATCTTTGCGACCAGATCTTTGTATCCATTCTCTTTATTGCTTATCTTCAACTCCCGGAAGTAAGTCAGATCGTGCATATCCCAACCGAAGACGACACTGCAAAATCCAAACCCATCTTTCGCGACCGAGAGGAACTTCTTCTTCGAGACCAGCTTACCCCGAAGGATTCCTGTTTCAACGTCAGCAGCCGTATGCTATTCAAAGAAAGCTGTGTCATACCATCTATGTCAATGCCTGCGAGCTTGATCTTGGTATCAGAAGCCAGAGCAGTCTCCAGATCGTCCAAGGTCAGGAGTTCTTTGTTGCTCTGGCCGGCCATTGTGAAGGATACCGAGTACGAAGCTCTAGGACCACCAACAGCTTTCTCTTCGCGGAAAGCTGGTGTTGGCACATAAAGAGAGCACGGACAAAGGCGCAGTTGCGAGGTGGGGGACTGGCACGAGAGTACCGAAGCGAGGATGATGGTGACGGGGTTACAAGCACAACCCTACGGCCACAAGTTACGTAGCGAGTGGAGTGAGTGGCTGATAAGGCCTGGTAAGTCCAAGCGATGCCACGGCAATAATTCGTGGCAAGGCTGTGTTAGGTATTGGATTCCGGGGACTTCGGGGGCTAACTGGGCCTGTAAATCGCTGGACACTGCCTATAACTCCTATTGTCCGGGGGTGTGCCTGGTAGCCTGAGCAAGGGTCGTTGTTCCGCGAGGCCAATATGAACACCGGGATGTAGAGAAGCACCGTCCCTCTGGGGATTGACGTTCCTGAATATCACTGTCCCAAGCCTCGAGAAGCCACCAACGGCGCCTGCAGCAGCTTCCGCTCCAGGTGGATATCATTCCCGTAGCCTCACGGATCGTACTACTTATACAAGCAAAGCTCAGATCATGGGATCCAGCCAAGCGGTCACAGTTCGGGATCTATGGTATGCATGTTTCCACACCCGGCAAACCGTCAAATCTTTTATCTACACTCTATCTCGCGCCCTTCGATTGCCGACCTACGTTCAGGTGATCTTCTCGTGAACAGCGGCTGATTGCGACAGACTGGCAAGAGACACTACCAGGAACACGTCATTGGCATAGTCCGTACAGACACGCGAGGCACAAGTTTACGAAATTTCGTTGAATCCACGATAATCACAAATCCCAGCGGACATGGCCGAATCACGTCAAGGTCGTCTTGCCGGCAAGAATGCTATCATCACCGGTGCCGCTGGTGGCATCGGTCTCGAAACCACCATTCTCTTTGCCCGTGAGGGCGCTTCGGTGCTCATGGCCGACATTTCCGAGCCCGCACTTGAGCGCGCCCTGGCCAAGGTCAAAGAACTCGTCCCCAACGCTCCACGCCTGGAGACGATCAAGTGTGATGTTTCCAAGGAATCCGACGTGGCCGCAGCCGTCGACTCTCAAGATGCCCACGGCGGTATCGATATCATGTTCAACAACGCGGGCATTATGCACGCCAAGGACGACGACGCCGTCAACACGCCAGAAGCCATCTGGGACCTCACCCAAGCCATCAATGTCAAGGGTGTCTGGTACGGCAGCAAGCATGCTGTGCTCAGTATGCGACGACACAAAAAGGCCGCCGGGAGTGTCATCAACACCGCCAGTTTCGTGGCGTTGATGGGCGCCGCAACCCCTCAGCTCGCCTACACTGCTTCCAAGGGCGCTGTGCTCGCCATGACGAGGGAACTGGCTATCGTGCACGCACGAGAGAACATTAGATTCAATTCCCTGTGCCCCGGCCCACTAAACACCCCGCTGCTGCAGGACTGGTTGGGCGACGATGTGCACAAGAGACACAGACGTGAAGTTCACTTCCCGAGTGGTCGCTTTGGAGAGGCCGTTGAGCAGGCTCAAGCTGTGCTCTTCTTGGCCAGTGACGAGAGTAGCTTTGTCAATGCGACCGAGTTTGTCGTCGATGGCGGTTTGAGCAGAGCTTATGTTACAGCTGAAGGACCCGCCCCACCAGCTCCCTTGAACAATGTTCGTTAGAATGCAAGTCTCAGTGGTCGGGAGGCAATCTCATCGGCGAGGATCATTGTTGTGAGGATATGTTAAGGGAATAAGATTTCTCTGGTTTACATTAGACTAGTTTTACAGATGGCGTTGCTACCAAGAACTCGCAACTCTTGTTACGCCCGTCCTTTATGACAGGTGCTTCTGATAACGGCATGACATCTCAAGAAATATCAGCCTCCCTTCATGGAGTTTCGTAGATCAGAGCTCCAAACGGATAGTACCGATAGAGTCCCTCCACCTTGGACCACCTCTTCCAGATGGGACCGACATACCTGGTTAGGTGGCTGAGCAAATCAATCATGCCCGTGAAACGGTTTGGGAGCCACTTAGGAAATGTTGTTCGTAGCAGTGAACACCGAGTAGTCGACCAAAATTGCTGGTGATGTCTCGGCCTGAGGATGTTCAGCCATAGGTTTTTATGCTAGAAGAGCTGTCTTCCCATTAACGAAGACTTCACCAAACTCGGGAGTCTTCGTCGCCTGATCGAGGCAGTGCGATCTTGGTGAAGTCAAGGCTTCTGTGCCGAACAATGACTCCAGAAAGACCTGGCTGCGGTCTGCAAAGCGTAAAATTCAGGCTCTTGATGATCGATTACGCCCGAAGACATCGTACCACACTTTTCTGATGATTTGCGTAACTTGTTCCATATTCATCGTCCTCATCCCACGGGATGCTGAGACCACACAGGTTGCCTAGGGATTGAAGTCCATAAATTGATCAGTGTCGACATGATACCCAGCCTTGTCTGTTGTAGGGTCCAACAATGAGTTCAACAAGCTCATTATCAGTCTCATAAAATAATGGTCCCCAGTCTTTCAATATCTTCTCCACCATTGGAGAACGTACCATGAGAGTCAAATTTGACTTTGGGGCCATTCTCCTTCAAAGACGCATTTATTATTCCTTCCAAGGTCATGAGTTGCCTGGTGGCAGCGAAAGGATAATAGAATGCTCGGCTGATACCTCGGCCTAGAAATGAGAACACCCCCCTGCGTGTGGTGTCGCTCTCCTGTACGAACTCTGGTATTTCCAACTCATGAACCCATGTGCGATCTACACGCAGCTCGTGAGGAGCGATGATATACTGCTTCGGTCGTAGGAAAGGTAGAGGCCGTCGTACCTGTACTAATAGTTTGACACCGGTGTCGGAGTTGATGAGCCTCATCGATTTGACCAAGTTCAGAGGCCGCAGGAGGGCTATGCCTCCGACAGCTGTGAATGTGATTATACCAAGTCGGTGTCCGACTCTGACGACCGTTGGAAGATCCGAGTCCGGGTCATATAACCACAGATTGCCAAAGGCCAAAGCCGCCGAAGTCACAAAACATGACCCCGCAATAAACCAAGAAGCACCGAGAAGAGCGGTATGCGAGGGTGCCTGGTATATCATCTGCTGCCCAGCAGCTAACAGTTTTGCGCCATAGTATTGTTTGTTCGCCTGTTCCGGAGTCAAGGAAGGGTCTATTGATCGTTGCTGACGTTGCGGCAGAGACGAGGGCTTTCGAGAAGGAGGAGGTATTTGCGTGGCTCTAGTCCGAGGAGAGCTGGCGAAGTGACGAAGAGTGCCAGATCCTGCAAAGCAAGAACGGGAGAAAGGACGACTGAGGTGGGCAGGCATGGGTAAGGATTGCGACGGAGCGGATGCGCATGTGATTTAGTCCGAAAGAAGGGAGGATCTGGCGAATGGAGATATCGAAGTTGCAAGAAGTAATTGTACAATACCAACAACGAAACGAAGAGCGACAAATCGTACACCAGCAGAACTCCTGGTTTCCTTACACAATGTGTATGCTTGTGGTGCTCCGATGCTCGTAACTTTTTTTTGGAGAGCTTGAATGCGTGTTTTGCGGAGGGAAAGTGAAGCGAGCGAGGAACACCATCGTAGTTCAACCATCTGAAATCAGGAAGCTGAATTTTTCCTCAGCCTCAAAAGAACCAAAAGATACTAAATCCCTCATATTACAGAGTCAGACGACACCAAAGTGCATTGCCTTCGACAAGGATCGAGATTGCGACCCTGGCATCTACCGGACCTAGATCTTTACATAATATACGCGTATTAATAAGGATGATCTGCAGTACTGAATACGCGGTCCCTAGTCTGCAAGGTATCGCAAACAGAACTAATAAAGGGAGTGAGGGAGTGATGTGACTTGGGTGTTGAACGCTTGCCAACTTGACTCGACAAAGTCACATAGTCTTACGACAGAGATCTTACTGACACGCACTATTTATGATGCCAGACACAAAAATCAAAGCCGTCTTCTTCGATTTCATGGGAACATGTCTAGACTGGCACAGCGGCACAATCCAAGTGTTCCCCTCATCCATCAGTCAAAGCGAGAGGTCGAAGCTCGCTTTAGAATGGCGCCACGACTATTTCGATGCCAACGCAGCTCGACTGGCCGCTGAACAACCCCCAGAAGACATTGATATTACGCTTCGTACGACTCTGAATGCATTGCTTGAGAAACACTCAGAGTATAAGATCAGGTTTGACGAACAGACCAAAGACCGATGTATCACCGCGTGGCATTCGATGCCAGCTTGGCCAGATGTAGCTCCGGCCATCGACAAACTTAAAGCTGCAGGGTATGAGATATTCGTCTTTGCGAACGGAACGCCGCGGTTACAGCTCGATTTGTGCAAGACATCGGGATTGAAGTTTGATATGCTGTTCTCTAGTGAACTATTGGGGGTGTATAAGCCTTCGCCAGAAAGCTACCGCAAAACACTAGACTTGGTCAAAGTGAAGCCACAGGCTGCTGTCATGGTCGCTGCGCATGCCTATGATACCCGAGGGGCCAAGGAAGCTGGGATGAAGACGGTCTACATTCATAGATGGACCGATGACATAAATGAGGACATGGAAGTCGTTAGACGGGAAAATGACTTCTTCCTGGAAGACATGACGGATCTCCCGGCTGTCATTTCACAGATGTCAATACTTCGTCATGAGCAGTGATGCCTGCGAGTATTTGCACAGAATAGTCAGGGGGACAAAGTAACCGGCGGGAGCAAGCTCGATTCACCACACTGAGAGCGTTGACCCTTCAGACAATCATGGAGCTCCACGTCTTCCAATGTTACAAGCTACACGGCTTGACTTTCTTCCGACCAGGTCGTTACGTGGTATTGTCCAAGAATTTTTACAGCTTTTCAAGCCGTAGGCCCGAAAATGTGGATCTGACAAGCTCATTCTCAAAGATGCATGCCGTTCTCTTCGTCTACCTTCGCAGGATCAATGCCCGCTTCGTGCTGAAGAGCCTCCAACATCCGTGGAGGGACACTCTGAGGGTTGCCTTGTTGGATCACGCCAAGAAGCTTCATGAAGAAATCTTGTCTGAGTACCTCCATCAAAATATCTCGTTGATCGATCATATGAGACGCAGCATAACGTAGTAAGCCACCGTAAGGCTGATCATCGGCGCCTCCGTCCGCGAATTTCGCTTCAACCGCAGGTAACGTGGTAGTAGATATTGCAGCCCAATCGTAGTTCGCCAGTCTTGCAATGCAGTCGAAAAGTCTAGCCTGTGATATTGTTACAAGCTGCATCCCCTTCTTCGTCTTGACATCCCGCTTTGAAACCCGGAGGGACGTCCACTCAAACAGGATTGAATAGACCTGGGGATCTGTAAATATCCGTCGCCACAGGAGGCCTTGCCCCTGCACCTCTGCCACAGATTCCCTTGTCGCTAGTACTGTAAAGCTGGTATGGCTGTCCACGGCGAGGAGGGCCTCGATGGCTTCCAGACAGCGCTCCGCAACCTCCGTGTTTTCCGACGACAGCCATGTGGTCAGCAAGCATTGAACTAGTGGGGAACTCGCGGCAACAAATGAAGCACCGCTTGGAGAGTCGGCTGCTTTCCGCAGATACGCCAGACACAAGAGCTGTACAGATATGGAAGAGGAGGTCAGGCCTTCCTGGAGCTTTTCGGCGGAAATTGTATTCTTCAGTTCATCGAAGGGAAGTAGGGAAACAGTGCGTTCTAGTAGTCGAGTAAGAGGTCTGGGTTCCTGTTGCAACGTTTGAAGAAGCCTTTCGCCTGTTGCTAGAAGTCGCCATAAGAGGTCTCTTGAAGTTGACGCGTCAAGCGATCGTTCCGCTCGCCTCAGCAGTTCTTCATCCAGAACGACAGTGGCAGGCTGTGCCTCAACCTCGGAGAGGTGAGAAAAGACCTGAGGAAACAGGACGTCCTTGTTCTCACTTATAGTATCCATGATGTTGTGTCGTAAGAGAAGACTGAGCCTGGCCAGCGTCTGCAGAACATGGCACTGTTTTCAATACTTCGACTCCGTAGGGCAGTGCCTAGGCAACAAACGCTGATGCACGTTTCTTGCCACGACTTGAAATGACGCTTCAGCCAATACATCGCGTATCGGAATTAACGCTGGCTCGGCGAAGCTTCCAATCCGAGGGTAAACTTCGGGGTATCTCTTCAGTTCATGGAGATCAAACATCTACGTCAGGCTGCGAATTGTGGACGAGGAAGATCGTCTGCATATTCCACGGGGGCCCATAATCACTGACCTCGACTCAGCTTGACCTCAGTGACACAAGCTGATGACACCATGGCCGAACCACCCAAGAACGAACTGATATCCTCGAAACCCTCTGATTCTGGCCTCACCGTGTCTCTTCATCCCCTGGTCCTCCTCACAATCTCCGACCATGTCACTCGACACTCGGTGCGAAATCAGAAGGGCCCAGTTGCGGGCGCACTTCTCGGGCAACAGACAGGGCGAGAGATTACAGCCGAGCATGCATATCCAACCGATCTAGTCCAGAACCTTGAAGGAGAATGGGAGTTCAACATATTATGGATGGAGTCAAGAACTCAGCAGTGTGAGTCTTCCAGGCCGTGATCTGTCGATGCAAAGGAGCTGACAACAAGACCAGACAGGGATGTCCACAAAGACCCTGCGCTAGACTTTGTCGGATGGTACACGCTGGCTCCGGAGTCTGGCCCACTGCCCGACTTTCTGCGTCTTCAACAGCAAGCCATGACCTTCTCCGGTGACACCACGATTCTGCTCGTATTGCACCCTGAAGCCGTGGAGGCGGACGGTGCAACAAGTGGAAAACTCCCGGTGACAGTCTACGAGAGCGCATTTGAGGCCGAACCCCCGAAGGACGACGGCTCGATGCAGGTCGACGGTCAAGAGAACACGTACCTCCGCTTCAAACCATTACCTTACAGCATCGAGACCGACGAGACAGAAATGATTGCAATTGACTATGTGGCCAAAGGGGCAGGCAGCGCCGCCGCGGTGGACGACTCCAAGGGCCCAAATTCTTCGGCGGGGTCATCTGAGACGAAATCAAACGACAAGAAGGGGAAGAGACGCGCAGATGCGGTCGAGGTCAACGGGAGCGGTGCAGAAGACGGCCTCGACGCCCTCACGCCCGAGGAACAAGACCAGATCGCCAACATGACGACTCGGCTGAACAGCGTCAAGATGCTGCAATCGCGCATCTCCCTGATGCGCAGCTTCGTCGAATCCCTGCCCCCTTCGTACCTCACCGACCAGGAATCAGCCCCCATCACTTCCGACTCTCCCGACGCCGCCCACCTCCCACACCTGCGCAACATCCAAGCTCTGATCACGCGCCTCTCGCTTCTCACTCCCATGGACAGCGCGGCGTCGTCCCAGCCCCTGGCGGAAGCGACGCAGGCACAGGCCAACGACGTGGCGATGGCGAAACTGCTCTCCTTACTGAACCAAGACGTCCAGGCTCTTCAAGACCTGGGCCGCAAGCACGCCACCATCGAAGGCGCCAGGAACGCCGGGCGAGCCAAGCATACCGCCGGAGGACAAAAAGCCTACGACGCTCTCGCAGAGGGAGACGGCCAATTCAGTAGAATGGTCATGTGAAGTGACGGCCCGTCGTTATCACCAAGCTTCGAGACAGTAGGATGCCTCTCTTGGTGGGACCGAGAGGGATATGCACTGGGTTGTCGTAGCGCCGGAGATTGCACGCTGTGGCAGACCTTGTGTAGCGGTTTTGCACACCCCGTGCAACTACGTGGACCTTAGCCGACGTGAATGTAACGGCCAGCGACGAGAGCACGTAATAAGAAAACGAGAGGAATGATGCGTGACTTGACAGAGATGAGATGCAGCATAGCGACGGCGTTCTGGGTGCAAAAATATGCTGACAGGGAAGGGATCGAGTAGACATAGGCTTGCACGCAGGGCATTATAACCACATAGAGCGGCCACCACGGAGAGAACCAGATCCACAAAGTTGAACCCAACCTGAAGCAGTTGAATTGTCGTGGGAATGTGTACCTCTCGTCAACACTCCTGTTGACATGTCGAGCAGCACTAGATGACCAAAAATGCAACACCGCCACCAAGGATGAAATTACATTAGTTCACATCATCCCGAGTAAGCATGAGGTTAGGGTCTGCTTTGATGGTTGGCCTTGTGTTGTGCAAAGTACATGTTTCCACAGACCTTTACCAACCCAACTATGGGAATGGTTTCTTGTGCATAGCGAGACGTTAATGCACAGCACAACCCAACGCCCTCTCCAGCATTCGCTATTCTTCGGTCGTAAGCTGCACGCCCGTTCCAAAGCATCGTCTAGATTCGTAGAGAGATTCGTAGAGAGGGGGGAGGGTGGTTTAGTGCATTTGTGACGAACAGGACCGATCCATGATTGACGAAGCTGCAGACTCGGTAATCCGAGACACCTATGGACACCCTTTGATGAGATCCTGCCTCGGGAATCGTCAAAATCTCGGTACGCCGCATCTGAAACCTTCGCTCACGCTCCTCCTACCGCATCGGAAATAGTCTGTGTTCTCTTATGACGACCGCGGAAGAAACTTCACACTTCTTTCCACTGCCACCACCCGGCTCGTTTCACCCTCCCTTCCCGCAACTAAGACGACTTCCGGCAGACAAGGCACACTCTCCTCCATGTGCTTACAAAAAATATCAAATTGCTGATCTTTGATGTCGTATCCCGAGGTCGTAAAAAGTCTGATCATTGTTAAAACACTTCATTTTGGCATAAAAAAGCCCAACAAAAATACTTTTTGCGTGTAATCGTGCGCGTGTAATCGTGCGCGTGTAATCGTGTGTAATGTGGCTGCCCGCTGAATCGAAAAACCCTAACTGAAGGGTAATATTTTATGAGGTACAATCCTGAACGCCGGCGCTTCCCGCTTTCATGAGCAAAGTGATCAAGTGTGTGGCGAAAGAAGAAGTGTTCTCAAGTAACCAGGATATCGGTAGGCCTTTGCCTTCGTGAAAACAAACGAAGTCGAAATCGTTTTTTAGGAATACTTTCGGTCTGAACTTGCACGGGAGCTTGTCGTGCTGCTGGAGTGCATGATATCTTTTCCTTGGCAGAAGCTGGGTTGGAATCCAAGTTGGGCCCAGACGGTGCCGATGCAGTCGAAAAGCTTCTATTTTCCGTAGTCGGGCTCTTCTTCTTGCGGATAGTCTTCATTAATCGGCTGATGTGAGGCTGTGCCTCATCATCTGTCTGAACTTGCTCTGGAGGAGGTGGGGGCAGCTCTTTGTTCAAGTCTGGGGCGGAAAACCTCGAGTCGCGAGGAACGTCCATGGATTTAACGGCTCTCGTCCGTAATGGTGAAGAGTCTGAAGGAACAATTCGGAGGTTGCGTCTCACAGTATCCGCGTCAGGTGACAATGTACTCAGCTCGGCCGTTCTCTGTAGACCAGAGCTCGATGTTTTCCGACTCTTCATCACTCCCAAAGTCTCGTTGCGCAGGCTGCTCCCGGCTCGCTTTGCACTTACGGCGGACTTTCGTGTGGTGTCAGAAAATCGTCGTGTGGTCTCCACAGGTGTGAATCCTGCGCTGGTCAACGGCGTCGAGTAATCGTCTGCGCTCGAAAAGGTGTCGCGATGGGAAACCTTGGAGGAGAGTGCAGAGTCGATATGAAGATCCAGAATCTCCTGTGTGACGTTTGTATCTTGCCGTTGTGATGCCTCGGACCTTGGTACTTGTTTAACTTTATCTGGGGGTGGATTGCCTTCGTGAATCTGGGCTGCGATGTATTTGAGGGGGTCGTCCGACATGTCGTCCGAGTGTTGTACATTGGCGAGCATTAATGAGCACATGCGCTTCAATTCGGCCTCCTCTTGTTCGGTTAAAACCTGCCTCTCAATCAATGGAGAGTCGGGTATAAAGTGAGGATCATCGGCTTCTCCGCGATACTTTTTCGGAATCAAGGACTAGTCATGGTTAGAAGAGAACGACCAGGCCGGGCTGTGAACTAACCAAGGAATCTGTTTGTAGATGGATCTGCTTAACCATGCTGGAGGTCGTCATTGTGCTCAATACTGCCCGAGACACCAGGTGCACGGATGTTCAGCTGGTAGCAGACAAGGACGTCGATGCCGAGCACTGGCTGTCTTGTGATATGAGTCTGCTCCAGTTCGTGCCCTTGCTGTTTGAGGCTGTGCTGCACACCGCGGTTAGGAATTTGTCTTGCTGTGCTCCTTGAGAGGCGGGCTGGCAAGTGGCAGGTTCGTTAAACCACGTCCCTCGGCTTTTGGAGACTTTTGGGAAGAACAGGAGATACGGGCAAGAAAGAACGAAGCAGCATATCAAAACATGAGCAGGCTGCGGCCGCCGGTCATAAAAACGACGGCCATGGTGGTCGAGTGGTCAGCAACGTTTCACCTTGAGAGAAAGCTGAACTCATGAAGGCCGTATCTCAAGTGGGCCGGAAGTGAGCATAGTGAGCACGGCAGCAAGGGAGTGCGGCGACCACAGTGGTGGCTTTCCCGACCAACGGGCTGGCAAAGCCGACAAAGGACCTATCCCATCCCCCATCCAGCGTTCAGGACTGTGAAAGAAGCTAAGCGAAGCTGGACTCCTGGGCGACTGTGGTAGAGAAGGCAAAGACTGGTGTGATGGGTTGAGCAGTGATTGGCAGTGGAAATTGTGAAGAAATTGCCATGGCGGGCACCGAGGCCGAACTAGCGCGCAGCTCAAGCACCAAGCAAGCGAGGCGAGATGGAAACGATTGGCACCGACAGGGGGCCCTGCTTAGTCGTATCCGTAGATTATTCTCACTTCAGATCCAGCTCTCCGAACATGTTCTCTAAAAGCCTGACGCCGTTGGTCTTTGGCGTTTGCCGGCCACACTTTACCTACAACACGGAGTAGCGAGACGGCGCAGGGGTATGTACTGTGACAGCCATATTCCGCAATGCCCTTTTCGCCTGCGAGACCAGACGCTGGAATTCTCCTTTTTGAAGCCCGGTCGAATATCGCACTCTTTCGCTGTTCCTCGGCCAGACCCTTCCTGTCGAGAATCTCCACTACGTCGCACCAAATCTCCGTTCCCGCGGATCTGGTACGCATCTTGGGTGCTACAACAGACTCACTGTTGTGAGACCGGCACTGCAGCAGGAAGAAAATACAAGATGCCGAACTCACGCTTGATCCCAGTTCATCCCATGTTTGTATGACTACATGTCAGCGATGATCTTGGTCAGCCTGACGGCAAGTTGCACTTCCGAATACGAGTACAAGTTTTTCGAATCAAAGCAAATCCGCAAGTAAACCTGGCCGAATCATCGTCGCTATAGGTCTAGCGATCATTACGAAGCAACCGTCTGACACAGCGGAACATGGCACCCTTCACTCTTCAGCGGCTAGAGCTACCGAAGTACTAAGGTTTCGCCCAAGCTATGATCTTTGTGGACCCCCCTTTCATTATCCAAGATGTGACTCCTTGCTTGACGAGCCTCGCTGGCTCTACGGGAAATGCCACACATCTTTGACAGCATCTCTGCAGAAAATACCTGCCATCTTTAACAATATCTCGAGGCGTTGGACTGAAGAGTCAGCGCTGCCACAAATTTCTCCCTCCAGACGATAGAACCCGATGCCCGGACTCGAGAGATTTTGCTTCCTCGTGTTTCCTCTATCGGTTAGCGTAACCCCACAGCCACATGCAAAAAACGAAGCCCTTAGAAATGTTCCACCTCTCACCACCACACAAACAATCACAAAAAAAGGCAAAAACAATCAACAATCAGGATTCCCACCTGGTCACCCACGGTAGTACTAACTGATCGGCTTGTGGCTTAAGTACGGCTGAGCGGACGGGAAGCCCTGTTCTCCACAACCTGTGGTCGATTGCGAAAGGAATTGTTGATGCATAATATATCAACCTACAGATTGTTTGACAAGGAAGCGATGGAAGCATGGGCCAAAACAATCAACCATCCCTGGTTATCCATGGCAGTACTAACTGATCGGCTTGTGACATAAATGTGGCCGGGCAAACGGGCAGCCTTGCTACTTCTTCACCGACTACCTACGGCGGTGTGTTCTAGGGGCATCTTTTACGCACTCCCTCTACCTTACTCGAGCGCAACAGCAACCCCAGCTTGCTCTGGCCCACCTCGTGTCGCATTCTGTTTCGTATGCAGAAGCGCACTCACAAGGCTGATTTGTTCCATCTGCAGAGTCTTACCCTGATCACACAGAGCTCGAACAATGAGATGAGCATGGCGAATCCAGCCACTGTCCCAATGTCCCAAAGCGCAGTTTTGAAGGAAGAACGTTTCGAATCCCTAGTATGAAGTCTGACGGTACCTGGAGTCAAGATTAGTGAACTTCCTCTTTCATCAGTCAGCAATGTTATGATGATTACTTATCGGTCATCAGGGTTTCGCTGTCGAGATATAATGGATGGAAGCAGACTTTAAGGGAGCAAGCGTTTATTCTCAAGGCGAAAGTTTGCGTAATTCGATATTCTCTGAGATCGAAGCTGTGCCTGTGTTCCTCGAATCTGGATACTGACGTGACTAAATGACATTCTTTAAGCCGACAGAAAGAATCAGAGTTGTTGTATTTGGGGGAACTGGCTCACAGGGGTTGAGCGTTGTCAAAGGTATCGTACACTTATCCTTTCTCCGTAACGACCTTCAGGCCATCTAATCAATACTGCAGCCTTGGCATCGAGTGAGAAATATGTGACCACGGTACTTACGAGAGACAACAAATCCAAGAATGCCACTGAAATCGCGACCTTGTATGGTGTCAAGCTTGTACAAGGTTCTTACACCACAGAGGAAGGCTTGCGAGCCGCTTTCAACGAGCAGGATGTGGCCTATGTCAATTTTGACAGCTTTGGAATAGGCGAACCGGCGGAATACTTCTGGACATTCCGAGCATACGAAATAGCCATCCAAAGCGGCTTGAAATTGTTCATTTACCCAGGAGCTCCCGATCGATATGCACAACACAACTTCGTCGAGGATTATCGGAACAGCCACAACATAGTAGCAGCAAGACTGAGCAACTGGCTCACAAATCAGCCAACGGAAAGGTTGCCGTGGACGATCCTGACTGGTGGGGTATATGCGTCGATGTTGAATAGCATACTGAGGCCCATCAAAGATGATGATGGCGTAACCTTCGCTGTGCCCATGGCGGAAGACAGCGTCATTCCGCTGATACCCCTGGAAAACTACGGTCTGAGGATCAAGTGGATACTGGAAAATGCCGAAGAGGCCGTTGGCAAGTTCGTTTCCGCGGCGCCATACCATGTTACGTTTCCTGAGATTGCGAAAGCATTCGAGAAAGTGAACGGGATCAAGGCTTCGTTCCGACCGATTACCGTCGAGCAATGGATAGAAGGGGCGTCGGCATTCATTGACGTGGACAAGACATTGCCTCGAGGTTCGACCAGCGAGGATCCCACCACCTTTACTTTCAGGAAAAGTTTCAGCGCATGGTGGAGGCTATGGCGGGACAGTGTGGAGGACCAGGAGAGGAACAAGGAGGCAAGAAGATGGATCAGTGCTTACCATCCTTCAAGTCCCAAAAATATTGAAGAATGGATGACGGTGACCAGATACGGGTCCCAACTGCTGTAAATTTCTGCAAAGAGCCTTTGATATTCTCAGAATATCCGAAAAAGAAAGGAGTCCGACGCCTATGGGATGTCTGGATCTTGCAATGGACATGATCTGCAAACCCAAAGTACAACAGGTATGGTTTTTGCAATCTCCACCTCACATTCTGTTCAATAATCGAGGTCGCAAGTCAACAACAGTTCGCAGCTTCAAAGCTGCTCCGACCTTAATGCAAGGAAACAAACAATCACGAATAAAAAAGGCAAAAAAGGCAAAAACAATCAACAATCAGGATTCCCACCTGGTCACCCACGGTAGTACTAACTGATCGGCTTGTGGCTTAAGTACGGCTGAGCGGACGGGAAGCCCTGTTCTCCACAACCTATGGTCGATTGCGGAAGGAAATCTATCGCTTTATATGATATACTTTTGAATTTCGACATCAGTCACTGTTTTGGTGGTCCCAAGAGTTCACTTGCTTCTAGACAACCTCTGGTAATGGGGCAAACCTTAACTCTACCACCTCTCGTTGTCATACTGAAACTTTTCGTCTCCCACCATAAATGTTGCTTGCTCTCCGTCCTTCTTGGTCTCTCTGAATGCTATGCAACTAGGAGTAGTTCACACAGTTGAACAAAGCTCGTCACCCAGGTAGCATTGCGATTGCGTCTGCGCTCGAAAGGGGCATGGATGGACTGTGAGAGCCTCACATACCTTGTTGAGTGACCTTTTCTGGACTGTCACTGACATTCTCAGAGGACAATCTCGTGGTACCTTCAAGCCTCGCTCCCTCCTTAGGTTTGTCCCTGATATCCTTCCATTCAATACCAAATGCGAGGGCGAATCCTAAAATTGTAGCTGCCACAGAAGCATACTACCGAAATGACCCAAATGTCAGTTCGTGTTCACACAAAAGCCGAGAGCATCGCGTGGCGGTGATGAAGGGCTCTCACAAATACAGTAGTTATCGCCTTGTTATAAGACCACAGAACCGACTCTAGCTTCTCAGGAAAGCTGGTCTCCGTCACCTTTCGGGCATGGCCGGTCCCAGCACTCAGTAGTGCTTGCAGCTGCTCGGTCCTGAGACCTGCATGCTGCTTGAGAGATTTCACCAGCTGATTCTGGAAGATTGCTAATCCAATGCTCTGAAAAACCGAACCTCCGAAATACTGGAAGAATGTTGTGGTGGATAAGCCTATAGGAATCAACCGCGGAGACGAGGCTAGGCTTGCTTGGACGGAGAGAAGCGGCGCCTGCAATGCGGTACCGCCAATGCCTGCGAACACTATGTATGTGATCCATTTAGCATGCGGAGTCGACGTGGTGAGCGTAGTATAAAGCCCGGAGGCGATAGCCATGAAGCCAAGACCAATGAAGAACCAAGGGTTATAGTAACCCGTACGGTTGACTGACGACGGATGCCAATTAGCGTTCTGACCTTCAGGCGCAGTTAGATACACTTACTGAGTAAACCTGCCGAAATCGAAGCCACGATCTGGGTACACACCATGGGCAGTGTCATGACACCACTGTGAAGCGGACTGGCGCCTTTGACGACTTGAAACCACTCAGGTATATAGTAGTTGTTGAGTAGGTAGGCACCAAACATCAAAGCACTGAATAGACAGCTGAGAAGGATTGAGCGCTGTAGCAGGATCGAGAAGGGAATCATGGCTTTGTCGCCTTGGTGGTGTTCCCAGAGGAGGAATATAGCGGCGAGGCCGGCGGAGCCGCAGAATAGTCCTATCACCGTGGCCGATTTCCAGGGATACTTTTGACCGCCCCATTGCAGTGCCAGAAGAATCATAACAATTGTTGGTATGAATATTGCGCACCCGACAATATCAATCTGCCGTACCTTCTGTATGAGAGGCATCTTGTCTGACGCTCTTTCGGGTGGTCTGAAGAGCAACGCCAGTGCGAGCAGTGTCACTGCTCCGACAGGAAGGTTGATGTAAAAGCACCATCTCCAGGACGCCTCCGTTGTCAATGCACCTCCGATAATTGGTCCGGTGATGGTAGCAACCCCAAACAGAGAGCCTAGTGCAGATGTGTATAGAGGCCGTTGGGAAAGGGGAGCGACAACAGCGAGGATGGAGAGTCCCCCAGAGAAGATTCCAGCTGCTCCAGCACCGGAAACGGCTCTGCCGAGAATAAACATCTGAGGTACGTTAGTGAATAAGACTTGTCAGAGAAACACAGTGTTAAGGCTCACCAGGGAACTGACGGCTGTACCGCAAAGCACGGAGCCAAATAGGAAAATGCTCGTGAAGCCGAAAAAGGTCCATTTCAGAGAAAGATTGGTGTACAGTTTTCCAGCCATGGGTTGCAATGAACACATGCACAGAGGGTAAGCAGCGCCGTACCAGCCGATATCTGTGGTAGAGTTGAATCGTGCTGTGATATAGGGAATGGCCTGCAATAGAACTCAGTGACGGGGGAGCGACCACGTAAGATGAGATTGGAGAGCAGTCATACCGTCGCGACGACCGAAATATCAAGAGCAAATAGGTAGATTGCCAGACCTATCCCGGCAATGACAAGATAAAGCCTTGAGCCAGTCAAATAGTGATCACTGTCTGGGCTTGTGGCATCCGTAGTTGCTTGACTCGTTTGGACAGGGTCGACGTTGGCATCAGGAACCAAATCAGCCGTTTGGGCGTGTGGGCGTTGTTTATTGAGCCAGACCATAGCTTTGGGCGGCATTTTCTTAAACGAAAACGAGCAAGCAAGGAAAGACGAACGGCTTCGCAACGAGAAGGCCAAGAGCAGTCGAAGGGAATAAATACTGGTTAGTGGAACGAATAAAGGGGTACTGAAGGCGAAGCAGGGTATATCAACGTTTTATCTCTCAAAGACACCAGGTCCATGGTGGGTAAACTGTAAACACGCCAAAGGAGAGTTGTCAGTGGTAGCATTAGCATTTTTCAGGCGTCGACTATCATCAGAGCAATTTCCAGGTGCCATTATGGACACGGGAACGGCATCGTGGTCTGAAAGTGGGCACAGAGCGATATAGGCCTTGTGCTGCAAGAGTAAAGAGAATGCTGTACGGAGACGGAGGACGTCCATTTTAGCAGAAGGTCCAGCATGGTATCGGCCAACGGGGGCAAGTTGCCCGGTTATTTTCCTGGAATGGGCAGGTGAAGCGAGTGCAGCGAAGGAGATCCAGAATTTGAATGAAGAGATGATTGACATGATTGGTTTACCTGCAGAGAGCCGGGAGAATGTCCACCCCGTTCCCGTGTCGAAGACGGCGCCGCATATGTTCAAGCCGTCCTCCGCCCCTTGGTTTCCTGTACCTGGACACTCCGTTGTCTTCCACATTCCGAGAGCAGCCATCACACTGCTGCTGTCATGAGCGAACCGGAAAACCATCGGGCGAAGCGACGAGCATGCACGCGGTGCGCAAAAGCCAAGGTGAAATGTTGCTTCAGTGCTGCGCAGAGTGGCTGCGAACGTTGCAGGAGGCTGAGACGCGATTGTGTTCTTCTCGGGGAAGCAGTACGAAGCCAAAAGAAAAAGCCATCAACGTATGTTCATTCTCATTCGGATGACTTATCATGCTCGTGTGTTTGAGCCTTTGGCATGCAAACTGAAGGAGTGTTGTTTCATATGGCTTCTGCAGACGAACCCTTCCGGCATGGACTGCCATGTGAATCGGACTACGGGAAATGCCTTCGGATCCACGTCTGTTTTCAGAATCTGGCAACGGTCTGCGACACCCTTGTACTCGATCGCACATTGCGAGGAAGCTGGTCTCTATCGGCACCATTCTTTCTTCGAGTCCATGCTTTCCTGTAGTGTTTTTTTTTCTTTGATTGACTCGTCTTGAACAAGTTCACCGTCTGACTGAATGACAGGAGACTCAAATCCCTGGAAGAGAAAGTCAACAGCCTCACTGCGTTACTTAGCTCCCAGCGCCGCGATGCTGGGCAAGCGGACGTCCTTCTGTCACCACCACCGACCGTGGCTAATAACACCGAAACACCGGCCCTGAAGCCGACGCGATGTGTCCCATCCACCGAGGAAGGGACTCTGCAATGCGAAGTAGCTGGCAGCGAACTTCTAACATCAGCCATGGCCGAAGTGCTCCTCGAAACTTTCAAACAGATCCATTCCAAATATCTCCCATTTGTGATAGTCGACCAGCGCATTGATGCAACTACTTTACGCAGAACTTCTCCGGTTCTTTTTCTGGCCATAGCTGCAACATCTGCTAGGGACGACAACTTACTTCAAAAGAGACTAGGGGCTGAACTGAAGAAGATTCTATGTGAGCGTGTTTTGGTGAATAATGAACGAAGCCTTGAACTATTGCAAGCGTTGCTTGTATACCTGACCTGGGTTCATTACCAATTCAATCCAAACACCAAGCAGACATCCATGCTTCTTCACATGGCGCTGGGACTCGTCACAGACCTTGACCTTGACAGATGTCCCGCCCATCGAGATCAGACAATCGGCAGCAATACTTGTAGCATGACTACGCAGAACGGTATGCTGCCAACCCAATGTCAAAGGACGACAAATGAGATCCGTACGCTTCTGGGTTGCTTTTATCTTTCATCTACGTAAGTCACATCCTTCTGGCGTACCTTCAACTATGCTTACGATATCAGAATGGCAATGACTCGCAAGGAATTAGCCATGAAGTACACCGACTGGGTTGAGCGTTGCTGTCTAATTCTCAAAGAGAAGCAGGAGTTTCCCTCAGACATATCCCTGGTAATTTTAGTCGAAGCTAAATCTTTAGCACAACACATCAGCGAGAAGTTCTCCTATCATGATCAAACCTTCATGCGATGTCAATGTGACACGGCCATTCAGATGGCCATGAATACTTTTGAGGACCGGGTAGCTGAACTAGAAGCAAAGTATGTCTCATCGCTGCAGGAAAATTGTAAGTGAGAAGACTCGTCATTTTACCTGCTTGCTGGCCAAGGGTCCTCTGTCGACATTGACATAGAGCCTCTGCTGACTGAACTACAAGATGCGCTACTGGCGGAACTGAAAGCCTTGCGAATAACAGTCTACGAGGTTGCATTGTATCGTGAGCCTGTGACTGCAGCCGAGTCTAATGCGTACACCTTCCACCTCTGGAATTTATTGAGTTCATCTCGCGATTTTTTGGAGTATCTCTTCAGTATTCCAAAAGAGGTTGTAAAAGATCTTCCTGCAGGATGTTTTACTCTATTCTCATATGCACTCATTGTACTCCTGATTGTCGCCCGCCTGCCATCCATGGCAGGCTGGGACAGCTCGATTGCGAAGCAAGAAGCAAATTTGATTGGTCGTCTACAGCATGCCCAAAAGACATTTGGAGATGGGCTCACGCAGACAGGAGATGCCATGAGTTTAGAGCAGAGAGATGTCTGGGCATTCTTCTCTCGGGGTATTGGGGCCTTGATAGTGTTGCACCAAAAGTCGGGGCATCAAAGCGAAAACGGCACAGATTGTCATGTCCCAATGAGTTCTACTATCGCGCCGTGTGTTACAAGATGCTCCGTTTCGGATCTCATGACTGCTTTCGGTGCGTTGAGGGTCAGGAAACCTAACGAGTCAATCAGCTTCGGCGAGCACACAGAAGCAGCGAGGGGGACCGGAAGTTTACAAACCCAGCCAGAGACAGTGATGGACCTCTGGAGTGATGAGACATGGCAGTCCATCTTGGACGAGTTTTCCATGTTTTCTACAGTGACAGGGTTTCCTTCTTGAACGCAAGGATAGAAGTCAATGCACTCTATGTTCCATCACTCACCAAATATATGCATCCTCTATACGCGAATTTCTGCAATGATTTATGTATCTAATGCCTCCTGGATTTGCAGTATCGCAGAAAGCAAATTCTGCATTACGCCCGCTTCCACAGGCCTACGGCGACGCCTGTCCTCACCCTTGATGCGCAGAGCCGGCGGTATCACCCGTGTCGCCTCTCTCGCCAATACCCGAGGTATTGCAGAATGATCATCAAATCAGTCGGAATGGTTCGGGGCACCAAGTTCGGCACCAAGTTGGTGCCGCACCAACTTCGGCTAATTATGTAATAGGGGTCTCTAGGCCCCTCACACCCTATAATTTAGGCCCCTAACACCTATAGTTTAGGCACTTCAGCCCTATAGACGTCGCTGTCGGTCTCAGCATAAGGACACCAACCACCGCGGAACGACCTAGGCCACGAAGAGAACCCTCGCCTAAGCCGCAGGCCGATATATGTCTAGAGCCTTCTATCACCTCCGAGTACGAGCTTCCTCTTTCCACTACCCCGCCAAATTTAGGTCGAGAGAAGAGGAAGGAGAGCTTCCACAAGGAGGTTTCAGGAGAGGCGAGAAACAGGCCAAATCAAGGGAATGACTAGTCTGGGATGAGATATCATCAACACCATGAAAATCTATACAAGGTCAGCCTTGCGCAGCCTCGCTACAGCCGAGGAAGGAGTGATAGTTAGCAATAGAAGCTGGTGCAAGTGCATCAGTAAGGTATACAATGGTTATATGGTGTTCCCCATACTACCTGTACGTATGTACAGTACCGGGCGCTAAGTTCTCGCCCCGCGACGCGTTTTTTGCATGTTCGCGTTCACGCGTCTTCAACCTTACAACTTTCCAACCACCATGAGTACTCCACGACGGCCTCTAGGAGAGATATCTAGCAATATCCGACGAGGTAAAGACCTCACTCCCACTCAGAGAGCAACTATATATGGAATGCGCCTCGCCGGGGCCTCATATTCTAAGATATCAACCACGCTCGCTCAGCCGCGCTCCACCGTCCGTTCAACCATTAAATTGATCGAGAAAAGAGTCGATCATGTCTCACAGAAACGCTCCGGAAGACCTCTTTCCTATACTCCTAGGCAGGAGAGACAACTCCTGCACCTTGCGCGACTCAATCCGAAGTGGACCTATCGTAGGATCATGAGAGAACTCACAGTGCCTATGAAGAAGTCAGTTGTGAGTCGTATCCTTGCTAAGAGTGGAATTAAGAAGTGGATAGCCGCGAAAAAGCCTCTCCTTAAGCCTGAACACGCTAGAAAGCGTCTTACCTTCACAACTGAGCATAAAGACTGGGATGAGAACGACTGGGGGAGAGTTATATTCAGTGATGAGTGCTCTCTCGAACGAGGCCGCGGGGCCCACCCAACATGGGTCTTTCGAACACCAACCCAGAAATATGATATCGACAAAATTGAGCCGCGTAAAAAGGGCAAGGATATCTCTATTATGTGCTGGGCTGCTATCTGGATTGGTGGAAGGTCAGATTTATATATTATGCGACGAGATGAGACTACAAAGAATTATGAGTATACCACTCGCTCCTATCTCGAGGTTCTCGAGGATCAACTACCTTGTTGTTGGTCTCCGGGGCTGATTTTTATGCAGGACAATGTCTCAATTCATACCACTAATACTGTGAAAGATTGGTTCATTAAGCGAGGAATTCCTCTCATGGATTGGCCACCGTACTCACCGGATCTCAACCCTATTAAGCATGTTTGGGCTATGCTAAAAGCGGAACTTCTAGCACAATACCCTCACCTTTCGGAGGTTGGGAAGTCTCAGGAGGCCATCGACGCATTTATAGATGCAATTGTGAAGGTCTGGAATGGCCTAGATCAAGAGAAGATCGATGGGATTATAAGGAGCATGACAACAAGGGTGAATTCGGTCCTAGACGCTGAAGCATGGTACACCAGGTTCTAGGGTGCTAAAAATAGATCAAAACAGGCATCATTTTATAGCCTAGGAAGCGCTCTGTCTGGTGCAACAAGTGGATTGTAAATAGGATAACTATGCATAGAGTAATAGTAAAATATATGGGGGGGTGCATAGTGATGGGGGGGCTGGGAATAGTCGCTGGGCAAGAACTTTTAGCTTAAAATTGTATGCCGAACTTGGCGCGAACTTGGGGCGACACCAACTTGGTGACGAACTTGTTGGTGCCCTGGACCATCCCGAAATCAGTCAAGCAGCCAACTTTTCCATGCCTATGTCTCCATTTGACAAAAAGACCCTCCTAGGAGCTTAACTAAAGCTTAGTACATTCAAGCTTCTCCCCTGCCTTAAGATCAGGAATCTTTGTCATATTGTATCCTGTGGGTAGCTCAGCCAGTGTCCGCATGCCAGAAAATGCATCTCGCCTCAGCACAAAATGCCGTGTAGCCACTGGGTTGGTTTCGACTCGGAATTAGCCAATGCCTACGTGTTCGACGGTCGAATCCCATATCACCTAGGCTCCTCAGCTCGTGCTCTCGAGGGCGGCCTGCGAGGTCATGCATACGAGGAACGCTACGGCTTGCTTATGTTCAACCCACCAACTGGACTTTTTGACTGCCTTTGCTTGGTGCTAGAGCAAAAAGGGTACATACACTAATCTAAATGAGCAAGTCCTAGGCCCGCCACGGGGACGTTCTGGAAGCCGCTAATACCGCGACTTGTCAAATCACGCATCGCGCTTTGCAGACTACGGTCTAACAGATTGTTGTAGGAACAGCGTGGGCTGCAATATTCATGGCTTGCCTTTTCCAAAAGTAGTCTCAACGTCAGTCTTTACCTGTCAATACGTGCCGGTCTATGCAAGCAGCTACCTCCATGGACTGCGTCAACAGAGGCGATGCCTGCCAGTATACACTGTCGACTGTGGCGGCGGGAGCCCCCTTCGGCTCACGGCTTTATCAGCGAATATGTGAAGTACTGCGGTTGCGGTTTCAGAAGTGTGCTGCTTCTCTGATAATGCTCTCCGTCCTCCCGTCGCCCGTCTCGTGTTGGCAGTATGGCTGGCGGAAATCCAACGTTCATAAATGTGTCCCAAAGAGAGTACAGCGAGCAAAGCTGGCGCGGCCGACAATTAGCGGTGGTTCAGTCGCACTCTGCCTCATTACGACACGGGCGCCGAAACCAACAGGCTTTGAACGATCTTACAGCTGCGCCTCTCGAAATAGCTGCAGCGCTTCGACCACATGGTAAAACTGTGCAGCACCCGCAATGCCTTTCAGCAGATTCACTAGAAGTGCGCCATACCCAGCGACAGCTTCAGCGCATAGCGTTACATGATGGCTCGACACAAGATGACTCTGTATTTGAGAACACGGAACAGGAGGATTTGTCGTTTGAGGACTTGAATAAAATCTTCCAGCTGGACGGAAATGTCAGTGAGCGCGAATGCTCACGCACCATCTGCAACGCAGAACCGACCGAGACGTTACCAGTGTTGATGGAACGGCCGTACGACATCCACCAGCGTTTGCCACAACGAAATGTACCCCTCAGGTCGTCAACGGCGACAAAATGTACCACGAGACCAAGTCGCCCACAAATTTGGGCGTCCCAGGCCGCGATACTGCAAGGCACTGATAATGATCACGGTCCTCGGCCTACAGATGGGCAGGGCAGCGCACATTATATTTTTCCGGCAATTTCAGAGATCACATCATCCTTAGATCCTTTTATTCGACTCCCTGTACAAGTGTCCGAATCGGACAAAAGTCTTCTCCATTTCTGTAAGTCGACAGATTGTATACACTGTTCCCACTCGCCTGACAAGGTATAGTTTTCAATCACGGTCGATGTTGGCTGTGGGGGACTTCTCAGACACCGAGATACTGCACAGCATTGTATACCCTCCAAACGCTCATTGAAGATCCGATTTATGTTTTAGTCGCCCTTGTACTTGGTGAAAACATACTCAATCAGTCAACTCTACGAAATCCACCCCCTCGATATTATCATCGGCGCGCCCAAATATACAAGATGGCAAACTTACTGCTCTCTGATGAAATAGCTTCTTTCCCTCGAAAAGCACTTACCATCATGTATCTAGCGATGCTAGAGTATGTCAGTGGGCGACAAGATCTCCAGGAGATGCATATCCAGGCTTTGGATGATTTCGTCGAATCCAATGGTGGTGTGGCAATTTTCCGAACCCGGAGTGAAAGTCCCGAGATCCTCCTCTGCAGTGCAAGATCGTATGTGACTCAATTCGTTCGAGCTGAAGTGTGCCTTCCGACGATATCGCGTCTCCAGTCTACCGTCAGTCGCTATCTTGATAGTTTGGCTCAAGTCCATCGCTGGGCGTCGAACTTCAGGGCACAGCTATCTTCAGAAGCTGTGTCTCTTCCCCACTACCGCCTGAGACTTCGGCCGCTGATTGACTATCTTGGGCACCTAGGTCAGATCAGAACCTCAGTTGAAAGCACGAGAGTTTGGGACGCAGCATCAGGAGCGCATTTCTGCGTTTATTCTCTTGTGATCACTCTGGTTGAATTTACTCATTCACCTGAGAAAGTTTTCGAATTCCTGGAACAAGTTCAAGAATGCATGATGGCAAGTGTTGACAAAGGCCTGCAAAATGAAAGCGACCTCGATGGTCTCCATCCTTTCTCCACAGGTCAAATGATAGGTTACGTTCGTACACTGATGTTCCGCGATGTCGGCGATGTGAAAGAGATTCGTATTTGTCGGGCGCAGGCAGATGCACAGAAGGTATTCGCTCTTTTAAGCCAGGGCCGCAGAGATGAACTCGTTTCATACTTTGTGGGCAGCGTACTCGCATTGGACAGAACGTCCCGGACAATAGGAGACAGGGACGTAGCTGCCAGTGCGACAAGTCGACAGAAGTTGAGCGCCGAGATTCTGAAAGCCTGGGCACTGCAGCAGAGGATGCACCAGGAGTGATGTGCGTCTGCAAAGTCAGTGCTCGGTCAGTTTGCGTGCTCCGACCATCGGGTACAGTTAGGAGATCGAAGCTGTGGGTGCCAACGTATCCTACGGGTAAATGAAGTAGGGAAGCTAAGCCAAATAAGGTAACAGCACTATGATTGATTAAGTCAAGGGCTTTAGACCTCTAGACTATGGCCGGCTTAATCAGTGCCACTGAATTCCATACGCATAGTTCTCTGGGAGTCGGCAGCTCCTCCCGCCGAACACAACATTGCTCGTCTTCAAATCAGAGGTGTTAAATCCCGCGATAAACCTGACCTTACTTTCTTCGCATTGCATGATCGGAGAGAGCACACTCGGGTCTCGTACCGGACCATTAGATTGCTGATTTGTCTTGATTGTGAGTGAGCTGCTCCCACAGCGCAATTTCTCTTTACTTCCTTTCTTCACTTCCCCTGCGGTCTCGTTTGTGTTGCCTGGCTCACATAATGTCACAGTCTGCGGGGACTGCGAGGCAAGATCGACGCTTGCTTCAAGTTCCTAAAGAGAGAGTTTCTCCGAGATCCCAGAAACGAAGCCTGCGTTCAACTCCCATTCCGGAGAATGATGCCAAACACGACGGTATTTCGTCCGCGTACGCCGAGAAGCTCGAAGAGCATGCCATTGATCTGTCCACCGAAGCGCACAGAACAGCAGCAGCAAGGCGCAATGGGCGTCAGATGGAGCGCCGCTCCAATCCTGAGTTACGTCTCCTCACAGGCAGTCCCATCTTGACGCAGCGACACCTCTTCTTGATACAGAATTGTGAGACTAGCCCCTGCAACCATCTTCTCACTGCATCGCTGATCCTCTGAAGGGCTCACAAACGTCGTGCCTATGACTTGGGGCTCGAGAGGTACTCAGTATGTAAGTATCTTCCCCAGACATTAATGAGCTCCTGCGACACGACTTCTGCATAGCTTTGACTCCGATGAAGGCTGAAGAAAATCACTCAGTTCGGAGCCACTTTCATACTACGGCAGTGCCTGCAGCACTCTGATGTGGCTGCGTTATGGCTGGCGATCATGAGTGAAGAGTCAATTTTCAGGTTAAGTGGCCAGCCGAGGACGAAGGAAATGATGCTTCAGAAGGCGGCAGGTCGTCGTGCCCTGATGTCTTCACTCCAAGAAGCACGCTCCAACTTCGGGGGCGCCGTGCTCGCGCTTACGAAAGCAGCGCAAGTGGCGCTATGGTATGGTGATCAGCAAGCTCATGCTGTGTACAGTGCCACCGCGGATCTACTCTTCAGCAGCGTTGGAGGGCTTTCTCATGCTTGTGCACTGGCACCCGAGATCGAGCCGCATTATCTAGTTGCACTGTTCCACTGGACAGCACCCAGGATTGCTAATGCAGGCATACTCGAGCATACTGCACGGCGCCTTCTAGTCTCAATACAAAACTTCCTCCAGCTTCCTCGGCCTGAGCATCTGTCTATGCTTCGCGATGAGGAAGAAGGCACTAGCTCAGACACCCACCATTATCACACTTTACACGCTGAGATTATACGTCTCTTCGCAAAAGTCACAGCTCCGACAGCCAACTCCACGACAGCCTCGCGTATCTTGCAGGTTGTACTCCTGACACACCTGTGCGGTATACATCAAGACTTCCAAGATAACTATCATGTCCAATTGGAAGCATTTCAGACGATTCGGTACCACTTTTTCAGCACCTTCAAGGCTCAGTCAGCTTTGGAACAGAGCCATTCTGTCCAGTCAATGTCCGGGCTAGCATGCTATGTGCGAAGACAACTGTTGACGAAATATATCCCTGAGCAGCGCTTTGCATGTGAACTACGATATGCGCAAACGTTGCTCGATATAGCAAAGGTGTTTCCGTACTTGAGTCCGGGCAGTCAGGTCCTGATTCTGGGCAGGCTGCATGCTTCGTTCTGCGGTGAACCCACGGGTTCGATGATCCTGAGCTATGGCGAGATCGACGGAATTGTGACAGACGCTGTTCAGAATTGGACTGCTCAACAGAGACAACACGGCGCAACTGGTGCAATGCCAATGCGAAATTGAAGGTGGAGGTGACTGGCCTGGGGGCCAGCTGGCTTTGAGAGATAGACGCCCTGGAATGAAAATGTGGGACTGACATAGTCTACCTCAATCTTGTCATCTCGTTGAACTTCAGTGCCTGTAACGCGGGTGGAGGTTGGCAAAGAACCATTCGGCTACAGTAAAGATAGCATTAACAGACGGCCTCGGCTTTGGCTCAGCTCTCTCGAGCTGCGGGTGGCTGGTTGGGGATGTAAAACCGGAGAAAAGCTTTCACCATGATCAGGTCGGGAGCAGGGATACCCGTGCCTAAGCATCAGCTACGGGCTGCACGGTCGTCTGGTCAAGGGAGTCCTTCTCGCTCGTGATCGTCTCTCATCAATTTCGGGTGCCAGCTGTACCGCAATATCAGGGTCGACGGTCTTCGTTGTATCAAAAACACACCCGTTCCCTCCCCGAACTTGATAAACTTCCGCGTGAGCTCCTCTAGTGTATCCATTTGCCTCTGCTTAAGACTATCATTTCTCTGCAGCAGTATGTTGTCCCCGTATATCAGGACGATATCAGGAGGAGACAAGGAGGAGCAGAGAGAGCAAATTAGCGACGTCTTGCAGAGCATGAACAGCCAGAAAGGGCAAAGAGAGAGTTCGCAGAGGACGATCCGCGAAGGAGAATTTCAGGGTGAACGTCAAACAGCCCGGGTAGACTCGAATCTAGGCTCCATTATGTACTTCACGAGAACGGACCTGCGAGGGAGATGAGAGGAAGAAAAGGGTTGTTCAGCGGTAGGGACCCAAGGACAGGACCTGGACCCAAGGAACCCAGAAACCGGCCACGTCCACTGTGTGACGCGCCGACATGACCGTAGAACGAATTATGTGAGGACGACGTCGAGAATGAGGAGTGAACGCAGACACCTCAAGTGACTCATGAGATAGACGGATTTAAGAGCGGCACAGTCACGGGTGATCCCTAGATACCTTGGCACCCCGCTGTCTCCAACTCCATCATCCAGAATTTTGGTCGTCCAACAAACAATTGAGAGGACCTCACAAGCTACGTCCCGGCAGCGGCGTCCGATTGACACACACAGTCTCACTACATGGATTATGGGGGACACCTCGCATTCCAACTCCCCAGAGGCTTTGGGAGCCCAGATCGCCGCTCTCAAGAGCAGCTCTACCAATCTACGCACCGAAGTTTTGCGGAAACTACTGCATGAGATACAAGGCTGGGGGACGCCGACTATAGACGCCACAGTTGACAGGACTCTGGATGACGAGACAGCATTTACCCACGCCTCAAAGATACTCCCTATCCTGCTTGCGACTTACCCGCGTTACGTTGACCGGAAATCCCGTCGCGCAGTTCAGTCATGCCTCCGAGCCTATCTTCATATCCCTTCTTCGGCCGACACCACATACCCTGTCGTCACTAGCTTCTTGCTGCAAGGGAGCCAGAAGGCTGCGATCGCCCCCACGAGTGCTTTTGTACTACTAGAATGGGGATGCATTGCCCAGCAAGAAATCTTAAACAACAAGAAAGCATTCGACTTATTCTTCGCGAAGATATGCGTGGCTTCCGCCCGACTTGTCGACAAATGCGAAGATCGAGACGTTCGGGGTGGAGTACAGCATTCTGCTGTGACAATAGCCAGAAGAGGACTACGGGACGTGCTAAAGAATGAGAAATTTGGGGGGGCAGCCCTCGACATCGCTCTCAAACATGTCGTTGGTGCAACTGATGCGAGTGCTAGCTACGCACCGTACGTGGGAATCATTGCAGGTGTAAGTTCCCGCATTCCCGAACGGCATGCGCAGCTCCAGGCCTCGAGCAAGCAGATACTGGACTTTTACGTCAAATGTATCATTGGATCCAAAACCCCTGTGCCCGCGCATGAAGCTTTGGGAATTGCAGACTTCTTCATGGATTATGCCACCGAGAAAGACATGAGTGAGACAGTGGTGCCTGCCATTGAGAAGGGTATACTTCGCTCCCCCGAAGCCATTCTCCAGGGCCCAATCGAAGCGCTTGCGTCGTATCTCCCAAAGAAGATAGATATCTCAGGTCTTCTTGCATCGAAGCTCGTCAAACCTCTTATTTCCGCCATGACTTCCACAAATGCAACTATTCGTGAAGGTGCTGGAAGGGCATTGTTGGCTCTGGTCAGAAGGGGTGGGAGTCCTGATGCCTACCACAAGACCGCAATGGAACTGTCAGCAGCTCTGAAGTCTTCGAAGGCTGCAAATTTCGAAATGCGCGGAATAATTTCTGAAGTCCTGGAAATCGTGCCTCCAGAGCAGAAAACTTCACCTGTTATTGCTCAGGCTCTCACCGTTGCTGCGGCAAAAGAAGCGAACGAAGGCGCACTGAGGAAAGAGCTCACAGCGATTGCTCCCCATCTGCAAGCTATCTTGACATTATCGACGATCGATAAGGCTCTCTCAGAACCCATTCTGAAAGGCTGCGCTGAGAAACGCCTCAACTTTCGCAAATCTTGGATCTTGTTCATCGCCAATGTGCTCAAGGGATTGGAACATGCTCCCGTGGATGACAGGTCGCAGGAGTTCGTTCACTCAGCGTTGAAGGTGCTGAAAAATGTTCATGATGAAATTGCTCCTAACCCAATGCCTGCAGTCCAGAATGGCTATGTTGCCGCAGCATTTGGCCTTCCTGCGCTGCTAGACGCGCCACTTTTGCGCACGGATGTTTACCGGTCGAAATCCTACGATGATCTGAGACAACATCTACTTGATTTTGAGCCGAAGATTTCGCTGTTGCTGAATCCCAAGGTCTACATGAAACTTTCCTCCGTCGACGAAAGTCGCTGGGCGTTGGCTGCTCTTGTTACCGCAGCTCCAGAGCTGGAGAACGCCTCGGAGGAAGCAAAGACTGCATGGGCTAGGGCGATCCTACACCTCTTGCTCACACCCGACGTTGACAACAACGTACGCAAAGAGACCGGAGCTGCGCTATCAAGAGTGTACCTCAACAAACCCGCTTCAGTGGGGCAAAGCATCGTGTTGGGTATTTGGGACATCCTCAAGTCCCGTTCATCGGACTTAATCGCCAAATATGAAGAGGGTGTGCCCTTGAGTGATAATCGTATACTTCAAGCCATCAAATGCATATCTCCGGCCAAAGCCAAGACCCCAGAGCAAAATGTACCGCTCGAAATCTTGGAGCAGCAATCAATATCCACAACTGTCCTCCTTCGCCCGGAGTTGATTGCGAAGGCAGACTGGATTGCAACATGTCTCGGTATTGGCGTTGATCCTGGCAAGTTGGTTGAGCAACATCAGGATGCTTTCTTTGCAGAACTTCTTTCACACTTCATGAGCACCCAATTTGCACCTCTAAATGTTTTCGAACTTGCTGCTTGCAATACTGCAGCTACACTAGCATTTGTCGCTCCAGAAACATTTACCCCTGCATTGATCGAACAGTTCCGGCAAGATCTCTCCACCGACGATCTTGAGAACACAGGCCCTACGGAAGCGCTGATTGCCAGATCTCCAGAAGGAACTTTGGTTGTAGACGTTCTCGGACAGCAATCGAATGCCGCTTTGGAAAATAAGAACCAGAAGGATTACGATGTTCTGAAGTGGGAAGAGGAAATACGCCAACAGTTAGCCAAGAAGAAAGGCGCTCCTCAGAAGAAACTGACTCCAGATCAGCAAGCCAAAGTCGATGCTCAGCTTTCGTATGAAAAGGCTGTCCGGACCAAGCTGAGGTCGGTCTCTCATAGAATCAGAAGAGGTGCAAAATTCATTGAAGGCCTGGCTCGGGGTCCACCCACTGATGCACGGCTTTGGATGGCCCCAGCCATTACCACCTTGACGCGTGCGCTCGAAGCTGGTGCGCCTCTCATCGTGGATGATGAACTTGTCACTGCCTATCTGGCCTGCTCTACCAAAGTCTCGGATCGGCTAGGATCACTGCGTCAATTCATTGGCGTAGCCACGCTGAGATCTCTTCGAAGTAGCAATGTTCCGGAGCACCTTTGCGTAGAGCCTCTCGCAGAGTTAGGTACTAGGGTCTTATACAGACTGAGGTTTGCAGCAGAGCAACGACCTTTTGATACGGCAAGCACCGCATATGCTCTGCCACTTATTTTCCAAGTCCTGGATAATGGTCGAGTTGGCGATGTAACTGGAGAGGATGCTGATGCACAAGTTCTTCTTGCCTTGGAATTCTTATCATTCCAGATGGGTTCTGGGGCAGATGAGCAGCTTCCCAGAGCCGATATTCTGCGCCATCTAATCAAAGCAATGCAGACATATACCCAGCATTACCGAATCATCAAAGACTGTCTACTCGATTTTTGTCGATCCATTTCGGAAAATCTTACTGCAGAGGAAAGAGACATCCTTCTATCATCAGTAACATTACCTCAATCTTCTGTCCGTGCTGCCGTTCTGCAAGCAATACAGTCAGAGATTGATCTTTCCGAGATCGAATTTTCGGCCCACATATGGATCTCGTGTCAGGATGAAGAAGATGAAAATGCAGAAACAGCTCTGGCTATCTGGCAGGAGCACGATTTTACAGTCACTGAGGTCATGATCGATCAAATACCTCCGTTCTTATTCTCTACCGCGCGATCAACCAGACTTGCCGCATCGAAAGCGCTGGCACAAGCACTTCTTCAAGCGCCATCCAAGATAGAACCCATACTCAATAGTCTGGAGGAATCCTATCGTGTTGAAGCGCAACCCTTGGTGCCAAAACGTGACAAGTTTGGAATAGTCCAGCGAGGAGATCTAGTCGATCAGTGGGAAAGACGCAGCGGAATTGCTCTCGCCTTCAAGGAGTTCAGTAGTGTTCTGAACAAAAGCGCTCTTGTCCCTTTCATGCAATTTCTGGTATCTGAAGGTGCACTAGCTGACCGCCACCCTATTGTGCGCTCGGAGATGGTCGATGCTGGGACGGCCCTAGTTGCGGCACGAGGTAAAGAGTGCTTGGAGCCTCTCATGCACATCTTCGAGGAGGGTTTGGAAGGCCCTGATAAAGCAACGCAAGAAGCTGACTGGGTTAACGAAGCTGTTATCGTTCTTTATGGCTCGCTGGCACAACATCTTCCCGATGGGGACAAACGAACTCAAAATGTCATACAAAAGCTGCTGGAGACACTCAGCACTCCATCGGAGTCTGTCCAGTACGCTGTTGCAAATTGCTTGCCACCTCTAGTCCGACCAAGTACTGTCGACGTTGCTCCTTACATAGCTACCTTGCTCGATACCCTCTTGAATTCGAAGAAGTATGCAGCACGCAGAGGCGCCGCATATGGTTTGGCTGGCGTCATAAAGGGCAAAGGTGTGGTAGCTTTGCGACAGCATAGAGTAATGTCTGCCCTCCGGAGTGCATCGGAGAACAAGAAAAGCCCAGATCAACGCCAAGGTGCAATGATGGCTTACGAGCTTATGTCACTGCTCCTAGGACGCACTTTCGAGCCTTACGTGATCGAAGTACTTCCTCAAATGCTGACATGCTTCGGCGATCCTGCAGCCTCTGTGCGTGAAGCCACTCTAGACACAGCAAAAACCTGCTTTGCCAGTTTGAGCTCTTTTGGAGTCAGGCGCGTGCTGCCTCAACTGTTGGACGGTTTGGACGAGACGCAATGGCGAAGCAAAAAGGGAGCATGCGACCTGCTTGGCGCGATGGCATACCTGGATCCTCAGCAATTGGCCACAAGCTTGCCAGAGATCATTCCGCCACTGACAGCTGTACTGACAGACAGCCACAAAGAAGTACGCGCTGCTGCCAACAGTAGTTTGAAGAGATTTGGCGAGGTCATCACTAACCCTGAAGTCAAGAGCCTTGTTGATGTACTGCTCAAAGCCCTTAGTGATCCCACAAAGTATACAGAAGAGGCGCTGGATGGTCTTATCAAGGTCAACTTCATTCACTACATTGACTCGCCGTCACTGGCTCTTGTTGTAAGGATTCTTGAACGAGGGTTGAACGATCGCTCCGCCACGAAACGGAAAGCAGCGCAAATCATTGGCAGTCTTGCTCATCTTACGGAGAAACGAGACATTGTCACACACCTCCCAGTTCTCGTAACGGGCCTACGCCTCGCTTCTGTTGACCCTGTTCCAGCAACCAGAGCGACGGGTGCCAAGGCTTTGGGAAGTCTGGTTGAGAAGCTGGGTGAAGACGCTTTCCCTGATCTCATACCTAGTCTCATGTCCTCACTACGCACTGATACTGGCGCAAGTGATCGTCTTGGATCTGCCCAAGCTCTCAGTGAAGTTCTGGCCGGACTTGGGACAGCTCGCCTGGAAGAGACGCTTCCAACAATCTTGCAGAACGTCGCCAGCCCACGAGCGACGGTCAGGGAAGGCTTCATGACGCTCTTCATATTCTTACCGGCATGCTTCGGCAACAGCTTTGCCAACTATCTGGCACAAATTATACCATCCATCCTGGCTGGTTTGGCTGACGACGTGGAGGCCATTCGGGAGACATCACTTCGAGCAGGAAGATTGCTCGTCAAAAATTTCGCAAGCAAATCGATCGATCTGCTGCTACCGGAGCTACAGCGTGGTTTGGCTGACGACAGTTACCGCATCCGTCTCAGTTCAGTCGAATTGGTTGGCGATCTTCTGTTCAATCTCACTGGCATTACAGGTCAGACAGACGCCGAGGAAGAGGACGAGAAGGCGACGCAAGCAGGTCAATCTCTTCTCGAGGTTTTGGGAGAGGAAAGACGAAACAGAGTGCTTTCTTCCTTATATATTTGCCGGTGCGATACTTCAGGCCAAGTTCGAGCTGCTGCTATTGCTGTTTGGAAGGCACTCGTTGCTACGCCGAGAACCCTGCGCGAGTTGGTGCCGACTCTCACTCAAATTATCATTGCCCGCCTGGCTTCCTCGAACATGGAGCACAAAGTTATCGCCGCCAACGCTCTTGGAGAGGTCATTCGCAAAGCCGGTGAAGGCGTCCTCGGGTCATTGTTACCATCACTGGAAGACGGTCTTCAGAGTTCAACCGATGCTGACAAGCGACAAGGCATTTGCATTGCCCTCCGTGAAATTGTCAACGCTGCTTCACCAGAGTCCCTCGAAGATCATGAGAAGAAGTTGATCTCTATAGTTCGACTAGCATTAACGGACTCGGACCCAGAAGTGCGTGAGGCTGCTGCAGAGTCATTTGATTCTTTGCAACAAACATTCGGCAAACGAGCCGTTGACCAGGTTCTACCGCATCTGCTCAACCTCCTTCGCAGCGAGGGAGAAGCCGAACATGCTCTGTCTGCCTTGCTCACGTTGCTTACTGAAGCAACAAGAGCCAACGTTATTCTACCGAACCTGATTCCAACACTCTTGACCAACCCTATCACCGCTTTCAATGCACGAGCACTTGCCTCGTTAGCCAAAGTTGGCGGTGGCAGCATGACTCGTAGATTACCCGCCATCCTCAACAATTTAGCAGACAACATAGTCTCGTGCAAGGATGAAGAGGTCTTGGAGGAATTGAACGAGGCATTCGATGCTGTCTTGTCTTCGGTGGATGAGTATGATGGTCTCAACACTGCAATGAGCGTCATGTTAGCAATGATCAAGCACGACGACCATCGCAAACGAGCAGTGGCTGCTACCCATCTGGCTTCGTTCTTCGCAAGCGCCACTGTCGACTACTCTCGATACAATCAAGACCTCATACGCGTTCTCGTCATTTCTTTTGGAGATAGAGACCAAGCTGTTGTCAAGGCTGCTTGGTCCGCTCTCAGTCAATTACAGTCCCACCTTCGCAAAGAAGAGATGGAGACACTGGTTGGCTCAACACGGCAGGTCCTGCAACAGGCCGGTACTGCTGGCTCTGTCCTCCCCGGCTTCGCCCTTCCAAAGGGTATCCTGCCTGTTCTACAAATATTCCTGCAAGGGTTGATGAATGGTACCACCGAACAGCGAGTCCAGTCCGCAATGGGTATTTCCGACATCATTGACCGCAGCGGACCAGACTCACTGAAGCCATTCGTGACCCAGATCACAGGTCCGCTTATCCGTGTGGTCGGTGAACGTTCAATGGACGTCAAATGTGCTATTCTTTCCACCTTGAACCAGCTACTCGAAAAGATACCAACATTCCTACGACCCTTCCTCCCTCAATTGCAAAGAACATTCACAAAGTCCATTGCTGATCCGACAAGCGATGTCCTCCGCACGCGGGCCACAAAAGCTCTCAGCACGCTCATCACATTAACACCTCGAGTTGACCCGTTGATCGCCGAACTGGTCACGGGCGCCAAAACTCCCGAGGCTGGTGTACGCAACGCCATGCTCAAAGCTCTGCAGGAAGTCGTCAGTAAAGTTGGATCGAACATGAGTGACGGATCGCGCGAATCTATTCTCGGTCTGATGGACACGCAAATCGAAGGTCACGACGACAACATGATGGTCACCAATGCGCGACTCCTGGGAGCCATGATCAAGGTCCTTCCTGCCGAGAAAGCTGGGTCGTTGATCAAAACGCGTGTCCTGGTCCAACCGTCGACCAACGCTTCGATCCTCGCTCTCAACGCCGTCTTACTCGAGAGCTCGAGTACGATTCTGTCGGCGTACGCTGAAGAGACGAGAGCCGTTCTCCTTTCCGGCCTCTCCGGCAGAAGCACTTTCGTGCAGCAGAACTCTGTGCTCGCACTAGGCAAGTACCTCCTGTCCGAGTCGACCATCGCCGACGAAGAAGCGTGCCAGCCCCTTATCGAAGCGCTCGCGTCCGTGGTCGCACCAGGAGCGGACATCGACTCACGCCGCCTCGCCCTGGTCGTGGAACGGACGGTCGCAAGACACCATCCTGACGAGATGCGCGCCTTCCTGGGCGTCCTCGTCCCGTCCGTGTTCGCGAGCGTGCGCGATCCCGTCATCCCGGTCAAGCTCGCGGCCGAAGCGGCATTCCTGGAGCTTTTCGGCGTCGTCGACGAGGAATCCGCCGTCTGGGAGAAGTACATGGCCGGTCCGGGCAAGGCCTTGTCCCCCGGACAGGCGCGGCCCATGGGCGACTACTTCAAGCGTGTCGCGCTCAGACTGGGTGCCCAGGCCAGGGAACGACGTGAGGCCGAAGGCGGGGCCGGTGGTCTCGGCCTGAGTTCCGACGAACAAGAGGACGAGCGAGAAGTGTGGAGTGTCGGACGCGTGGATCTGGGCGAGGGAGGCGCTGACGACGAATAAATAAATAAATAATAGAGGGTGTTGAACAACCGCAGCAACAGCCACCCACAGGGGGATGTAGATACCGTGGATGGATGGGTTTAGGTAGACGTTAGAAATTACCGAGAACCAAAACAAAAGTGAAAGAAAGAGAAAAAAAAGGCCCCTACTCTTGACAAGCGCGAGGACGACGATTCATGACAGGGCATAGCGAAGGTTCCTTTTGAGAACACAAGATCAAAAAAAAAGTTGCGATTCTTTCCATACCATCCCGTCCCTCCACCACGTTTTTCTTTGTAGGTGGGATTCCAGTATCTCCTACTCAAACAGTACCTACGCCGCTGCGATGCATTTTTTTTTCTCGCATAGCTATGTATATGCTCGCTCGCTCATGTGGCAAAGCATGACAGACAGAACGACATTGTACACGAGGCGGAAACGACGTGTGGAAATTAGGTATATATACACGGAAGATGTCCCCCTCCCCCTCCTCTTTACACCTCAAGAAACAACGACATCCGGAGTTGCGCATTGGGGACCATCTTGTTCACGGGCCAGGCGACCCAAGAAATCAGGCGAGGAGCTCGAAACATCGGGACGATAGAGCTGTCTATCTGTCTGTCTTGTAAGACGAGTGATGTCGTCAGGCCGGTTTTCCCAGGTGTCTCCCTCAAGGCTACCGAGGTGGTGTAGAGCAAGCCGCGATACCCTGTCGACGGCGGACGTGCTCACGACTCGAGGGCGCCAAGCATGTAGAGTGGGCGGAAAGTGCTCAGAACATGTGGGAGTCGGGTCGATCAATGCGCTTGAACGCAGGTGCAGGAGTTCCAGGCAAAGGCTCGTCTGCAGCCGGGCCTTCTTGTTCGGTTGGTGGCGGCGGTCTGTACGTAGCAAGTCAGCACGAGCGAGGCCAAAGCTTTGAGGTAGTCATCAATCAGGATACTTACGGTGCGCTCTTCCCCCCTCTGTTGTCAAAGTACTTGTGGAAATCACCCTGGTCCTCGAACGGTCTGGGCCCAAGAATTCTGACCAGGTCGTCCCTCACAAGCACCTCCTTTTTCAACAGTTCTTCCGCGACCGCCTGGAGTTGTTCTTTCTTCTCTAACAGAAGATCCTTGCACTGTTTGTATGCATCGTCGACGATCCTGCGGACTTCCAGGTCGATTTGCCGCGCGGTCTCCTCCGAGAAAGGCTTGTGTAGTCTCTGTTCGTCGTCCTTGTAGTGAAGGTATCCAATCTTTGAGGACATGCCCCACTCAGTCACCATCGCCGTGGCCATCCGCGTAACCTTGTTGAAGTCGTCAGAGGCTCCGCTCGTCACGGTATCGAACCAGATTTCTTCACTGACTCGACCGCCGAGTGTCATGGCCATACGATCCATGAGTTGCTTGACGCTCATCAAATACACATCGTTACCACCTGCAGGGAGGTATTGGGCGTAACCGAGAGCACCTTGGCCACGTGGGATGATCGAAACCTTGAGTAGAGGATCAGCATACTTGAAGAACCAGCCGCAAATAGCGTGGCCAGCCTCATGGTAAGCGACTGTTTTCTTCTCTTCGGGTGAGAGGACCAAAGATTTCTTCTCGAGACCACCGATGACACGCTCGATAGCTTGTTCGAAATGGTCCATCTCCACCGATGGGGCATTTGCACGAGCAGCAATCAATGCAGCCTCGTTGACACAGTTGGCAATGTCGGCACCCGAGAAACCAGGTGTCAAAGCTGACAGTCGACCGGTCAGATACTCCAAGTCGACTTTAGTCACGATCTTTTTGAGATGGACTTGGAAGATCTGCTTTCGGCCGTCCATGGTTGGTCGATCGATGGCGATATGTCTATCAAAACGACCTGGACGCATCAAAGCCTTGTCCAGGACGTCGGGTCTGTTCGTGCCGGCCAAGACCACCACTTGTTCTGAAGTATTGAAGCCATCCATTTCTGTCAAAATCTGGTTGAGGGTGGATTCTCGCTCGTCGTTGCCACCACCAAAATTCGATTTCGCCCTTGATTTTCCAATCGCATCGATTTCGTCGATGAAGATAATACAAGGGGCATTCTTTCTGGCGTTCGAGAAAAGATCTCGTACACGAGAGGGACCTACACCGACGAACATTTCCACGAACTCGGAACCGGAAACTGAATAGAAAGGTACACCGGACTCGCCTGCCGTTGCCTTGGCAAGTAAAGTCTTACCGGTACCCGGAGGACCGGATAGGATAGCACCTCGGGGGATCTTAGCACCCAGTTTTTGATACCTTGAAGGGTCTTTCAAGAACGACACAAATTCCATGATTTCGAGCTTGGCCTCATCCATGCCAGCAACATCGGCGAATTTTGTTTTAACGTCGGTTTCATGATTGAAGCGCTTAGCCCGAGATTTGCCAATGCCGAAGATGCCACTATTTCCCCCAGCTCCGGACGCTGCTCTTCTTGATAGCCAAAAGAGGGCGCCAATAAAGAGGATGGTAGGACCAAAGGAGAAGAGAGCAGCACTCAGAGGCACCTCGTCAGAATAGGCTACGGGGATTCTCTCGGAACTAGGAATGCCGAGCTCTTGATGCGCCTCATCCAATTTTCTCTCGAAAGCCTCGACAGACCCAATGTTGAAGTAGTAGTAGAAGTTGGGCCTAGCTGCGGGAGAATCGGGGTATATGTTCGCCACGGCCGAGCGATGAAGCTCAACTCTGACGCGATTGCGATTGATGACTGTCAGTTTGTCCACGAGACCCTTGTCGAAGAACGTCGTGCGGAACTCCTGCCATGTAATGTCCCTTGAATTCTCTCCGGGGAACAGGCTGCGATAGGTATAATAGCTCAGAAAAGCGGCCATGATAGCAGTACCGGCGTCGAGCCTGAGCTCGAATTTTGTTCCTTTTGGATCCTTTTGTTGTCCATCATTTTGCTTGCGTTTCTGCTTGCCATCCTGGTTCTTGTTGGATTGCTCGAAAAGAGGCGTCTCCTCAGACGACTCTGACTTATCAGAACGTGCATTCACACCATACTTTTCTCGAACCTCCTCGGGAGTCATCCGGGACATTTTTGTGAAGACCGACACCAACCGAACTACTGTTGCCAGAGATATGTGATGTTTTGGATCTTTTCTACGAGCCTCGAGGACTTCTTGGATCTCCTTGGGTACTCCGCCCTTCTTCATGAGCTCGACAGCTTCGTCGATGGCGGCAGCCTGGGATTTCGGCAGGCCCATTTTCATCATGTTTGCGAGATCTTGGATCTGCTTGGTTTCCTCCTCACTGAGATGCACAAAATCTTGTTTTGACGCCTCTTGCGACTCCGCGCCTCCATTTTGTGATTTGGTCGATTCTGTTCCCTTTTCTGAAGAGCCGGAAGAATTCTTGTCGCTTTTGTCCTTCTTCTCCGGATCCTTTTCCGGCGGCTTTGGATCTCCCGGATTGATAGTGGCATATGACCTAGAGAGGGGTTGTCGTATGCTACTCTGTAGGCGTATTCGGGAGAATTGACTCGTCCGGCGTTGTGCGCAGAGAGCGCACTCAAAGGCAGCTTGGGAGGACCGCAATAACTGCGGCCTCAGTAACCTGGTCGCCATACCGACGGAAGGAGTCTAGAGGGGAGCTGTCGCAGAACAGAGTCAAAATCTGTTCGCGGAGGAGAGAGGGGAGGGAGGACACGAGAGAGGTCGTAAGCCAGGGAGGATTGCAGCTCAAGGTGGTGGCTAGAGAAGTAGTTGACGCGGGCAGTATTTGCCTGCGGTGCGGAATTAATCAATTCTCAAATGGCCGATGTCATGACTTGAGGTACTTCCTCCTTAATGCTCCACCGTAGAATGTGCACATCGAGGTGCTGCAACGGACAAATGCAAGGAGCACCTCTACGACCCGGTTACCACACACTACTTGCAAGCAAAATCCGAATCACGTATCTGACGCCGGCTGGAGTCGTTTGGCTCCCCTCAAGGTACCTGGTATTCTTCCCACTGCTCGTGGGGCTTGGCGATGGCGACGCTGCATCAGTGGACACCTTGTTACGTTGATTATGCTCATATTAGCTGCCTCATCCATGTTTTGTCAATTAAACAGCCTTCATCCTTGCCTTTCGAACCGAAAGCCTCTGCCCCTTCCCGGCTCGATCACAAACGGCGGCGTCCATACAGTTCATGACGATGCTTCCATTCCTCTTCAGGCTTCGGTTTGAGGATATCCTTACTTGCTGGCCGAAACCTGGGATCTCGGGCAATGCGGCTGGGAGCATTGTAGAATCCGTCAGTTTCTTCCTCAAAGAAGCTTGAGTTCGATGCAACGCCTGTAACGAGTCGAGATCTCTCCACTGCATACTCCGGCGCAGGTTTGTATGCCCACACAGATCTCTCATCGGCGCCATGCGAGCTCAGAAGCTCCGGACTACTGTAGGACGTCAGGTTTGCCCAGATATTGCCCACCGCACATATTGCGGCGCATTCAATCTCTGCGCTAGCAACTAGATCATTATAGACCTTGTCACCGGCTGACAAGTTGGATAAACGGTTGTTGCGATGTTCCCTGGCAATCTGGTTAACTAAAGCTCGGGCGGCTTGATTGTCTTGGCTGTCCGCCTCCAACCACTTGCGGATCGACTCTTGCCTATCGGTAGGGATACGCAGCGGTCCAGTCTTGGGAGGCACTGGATTGTCCGTGTTGGCAATAGATCGCATGACTTTGGTCATCTTGGCGCGCTCGTTCTTGCCAATGGCTTTAAGCTCGAACCATTCTTCCATTCCAACATCGAATTCCTGTTGAAGAATTTCGTCCTCTGGACTAAGGATATTTTCAAGCTCAAAGTCTCTGAGGATTCTGCCCTGACCTGCAAATGCTTCGAAGCCGGGTGGGGGTTCAACCGCTAATTGTGGATTCGAGATTTGTGATTCTCCGTTGCCGAAACCATAAGGGTCTTGCTCGGAGGCCATTGTGCTACCAGCGGCAGATGACGGGCTTGCCCCTTCGCTCTCTCTCAGGCGTTGCAAGTCTGGATTCCGTAGCACTGTCTTTCCGGTCCTCGCTAACGCTTGTTGCTCTGCCACAAAGCTTTGCATCTTAGTGTTGCGGTCATATGGTTCATTGACAGGTGTTGTCACTGGCCGTCGCTGGTCATCTTGAAGGTTCTCAGACATCATCTCACTATTTGATGTGAGCTGCTCAACGACAGCACCATCAGAGTCAGAATATGTGAAGTGGTGGCGGATTATCGACGGAGGTACAGGGAGTACGCTCGCAACAAAACCATCGGATTCTGCATGTGATACGATGAGACGATCTGCGTCGTCTGGTGCAAAAGGACCGGTATACCGAGTTTGATTCCACAATGCAGGTACGTTGGTGTATTGAGTAGCTGAATGAGAATATAGGATCGAGCTGCAGACCATGCTCGAATTTTCCGATGATGGGTGAGGTAGTGGCGCGGGGAGACTAGTGGACAAGTCTGCGTGTTCCCTAGCCAAAGATTCGAATTTGTGCTCTTGTTTCGTAGGGCTGATATCCGAAGGGATCATCACCAATGGGTTACGTTGAATTGGGATTGCTGTGTGCATAGAGTTCTGACCTGTCAGAGACATATTCTGTTAGTACACTGGCGACAGAGATGTACAGAGTCCGGGGGATCACTCATACCTGTCATTCCGAGCATATTATTCGGGGAGGATTGAACAGTGACCGTATCTCGCTGAGATCGCCCTAATATAGGGTGCTGCTGAAGACGCGGGGGGGTCGGATTAAGAATCGCGGACGATCTATCACATGCTACCATCATAGCCCTAGGCGCTGCTGGAATGGCAAAGTTTGGCAGATTGGTCCGAAGAGCCTGGTGGTCTCGAGGACCTAATGGGGTTCCTTGCGTTTGCAGAATAGGACCGCTGAAATCGGCGTTGTCTGTCTGTCGCAGTGGAGTGGTAGGTATGACACGAGTTTCCTCCAAATCAGCATCGATCGAATCATCCTCAAGTGTATCCTCAGGTGTGTCCTCCAAAACCAAGGGGATCCAAGCCTTGTTGCCCTTGTTACGGTTGAGTTGTGGGTTTTTGGTGAAGGCACTGAGTGAGACCGGAGCCGGCGTTGGGGGCAATTTCTGTTCTTCGGCTTCACGAGAGGCTTGCCTTGCGTTCGCAGCCTTGAACGCATGGTACTCAGCCGCTCTAGCCCTAGCACCCAGCATGGTGGAGAGGTTCGTGAGTAGAAGGTGACTATGAGTACGTGTTTCAGTTTCAGATCTTGATCTCGGACAGAAGATATGCTTTCTTACCGTGATCAAGAAAGTCTGTCTACCATGTCCTCCAGCCTTTCGGAGCTCCCACTCTTTCACCGGCCCGCGTAAAGTCACACTGTTGCCCACAGGTCGTTCGATGGTTGCCAGCTTGACCGGGATAGGTTAGCCATGGAAGGGAGGCGGTTCAAAGAAGGAGATTTACATACCAGATGGTTTTAAAATGGTAGACACGGTACGCTGGGATCTGTCAATGGTCACTTGTGATGGCAGAGTTTCTCGAATATTGTCCATGGGTGAATTTCAGCAGCTGGAGATTCAGTCAAAATGAAGGTGAGGTGAAAACATAGTCGCCGAGCACTGCAAATCCGCCACAGTATGCTCACCGCCTTGGTCGTGTACTTCCTTTGGCACTCAGCTCATGGCAACAAAAGCTGGAAGAAGACTTGTCAGAGAAGAAGGTTCGTTGTGGAAAATACAATAAGTCTGTGAAAGGAAGGTGCAAGAAGCAGGCATTCACTGCATGACAAGACAAGGGGATACCAGGGCCTAGACTACCTCTTTTTCTTCGTTGAATACAGAACAATAAGCTGTCACCAAGATGCACCACGCTTCGTATGTCTGCATGTTCGCTTTGTGTGGACTTTTGTACTGAAAGGCTTCTTTGACGAAGTTATTAGGGCCACGCTGTGTCGTAAGTACATCAACAACAATACAAATCCAGAGCATGTTATCACGGGTCTCATCACTTAATGTCCTTACTCTCTCGAAACATTGCTCTCAGTTGAACTTAGTTTGCAGTTCCCATTCTAAAGCTTTGGCTACGCTGGTTAGAAGGTTAGAACGAGTGCTTGAGGAGTACTGTAGAAAAGATACTAAGAATGCCTCCAGCGGGAATTTTATGGGGTCGTACAAATTCCAAGATCAACAGCCGGATGAAAATCTCCGACTTGGATCCCTCGCTGCGACCACGATAATCCGTCTCAGAACATTTGTTAATCAACCATTTCATCGAGAATGACCGTGTGAACAGCCTGGATGATTCCGGGTTACACGTTTGAGGGACGAAAAGCCTCTCATCACTTCTTCGCTGTTTCAGGCTGCTCACGGCCGCTATGAAAGTCGGTCACGGCGGGTATCGAGGGTCAGAAGTACCTCTGCCAGTTGAGGTTCTCAATCTCATCCTCTCGTATACGTCAACGTTACAAGATGACGAAACGCAATATACGCTGTGGGCATGCTGTCTGGTGTCTAGGTCCTGGTACGCCGCCTCAATCAGCCACCTCTACGCTCACCCACTTCTTGGGAACCGCAATTTCGACAAATTCGCTCGCACAATATGCCCGCCTGTGAGTGCGCATAAACCTAAGATAGGTTTAGAGAACTTTATAACGCGACTGGATATGTCTGGCCTCGCGTACGAAAGCTCGAAGAGTCTCACGGCCCGACTTCTGCGCAGGACACGGAACTCATTGGAAAGCTTCGCGGCGCCGGCAGTCACCTTTTCAATCGCATGTCTTGCGCCGTTAAGCAAATGCGCGCATCTAAAACTGTTGGATCTCTCTTGTGACTCATATGAAATGACCCTGCCGCAGCTTCTCGACTCAATTGGCCATCTCTCCCATTTGGTCACTCTCAAACTGCCCCGGAATGCACTTCGTGGTCGCTGCAGCCTCAGCTCCAAGTCCCACTGGCCAGTGCACCTCCGAAACTTGCAGGTAAGGTAGAACCTATGAAGCCAGATGTGGGATGAATGAGTGTGTTGATGATATGAATGAGTCTAGGTAAGCGACTTCCTTTACGACGACCTCGAGTCTTGGGCCACTCTCTTCGAAAGTTGGCCCAGCAGCATTCGAAGTTTCAAGATTGCCGAATGCAAAGGCTACGGGTCACTGCACTGCTTGGAGCCAAGTTTCCTTGCCGTGGATTCCATTACGTCTTTCGAGATAGGGATCTCGTGGCACGAGGACGCATTTCCTTTCCATCGCCTCCTCAAGACATTTCCAAATATTGTCAGACTCACTCTACCGGCCTATCAGGCAGAACAACTAGCAAAGTCCACCGGTGTTGATGAGTTCATGAGCGACCTCCAAAGTGGTGCATATCTTCAAGATGCGGACCATGAGAGTTCTGTAGAGGTCCTGATCTTGACGGGACAACAACCACCTGCAACCGTCCCTCCGGCCTTGAGTGCCGAAATTCTCGGAAGATATGTCCACAAATTCCCTCGACTGAGACGACTAGAGATCCCGGAGCCATATGCTCGTCCGGGTGGAGCGACAAGGGAGTATGAACTACTAAACGATGAGCTGGAGAGAAGGGGAAATGCAGAAAATAGAGCAACATCTGGATTGTATCTGTGCTGAGTCTCGAAATGACCAGGTCGGGCCTATATCATTGGGTCTGTTGCGTGTAAAAGACCCCGGCTGCGGCCCCCACGCCATCAGAGGCCTTGGAGAATGTTGCAGACAGGCGCCTGGTGAGGGTTTCGAGTTGAGCTCTTGCGGTGCCTGTTGAATTTCCCAAAATAACCATGTAATCGTCTGGCTTCGAGCAAGACAAGGATCAGATCTCGATTCTGATCGTGGTAGGAAACATCGTGCACCGCAATGGCTCTGCCTGGAGCGTCTCGATTCAGCCTCCCAGCGATCTGTCTAATTGCCCTCGGTACAATATCACAGCTGCCGAATATACAGCCCCAAGCCTCGCTGTGTGACAGATTTGTAAATGATTTGGAATATGCATGCCTAGACTGTCTCGCCATGAGTCTCCTTGTGCGACGACGGGAAGAGTCATAAGGCGAGTGATCTGAGACATTCCGCCATCACGAATCGGAAGCGCACGTCGGAGCGTCCTTGCAGGTATAGGGGGCTCTCCACGCCATCAAGGGTCTGATGAGGAGAGGTCGTCTCGTGGGGAGCTGCATGGCACGGAATGTAGAGTGTCAACGGCATCGAATGGCAGGCGGACGGCTTTTCGAACAGTCGGCTGTTGAAAAGAGAAATTGCTGATTCGTTGCTCATTTGCCCGTGGGGACGCCACCTGTTTACTTAGAGCAGGACTGATCTCCCGGAAAGACTCGTCGGGGAAATAATTCCTTGGGTGAAGAGCTGGCAGCAGTGGCGAAGAGGTCCGTAATCGTACACGTTGCACGAGCAGTGCTCAGAAGCCCCTAATATTGTCAAGTATAGGCGGAGATCGCAGCCACTACGAGGGGTGTTTGAGGTGGTCGCAGCCTGAGAACAGGCCTAATAGTGAGCCCCGGCAAGAGTGGAGGGCGCAGGATTCTTACCTAACCTTGTACTCACCGAGGCGATAGGCCAATAGCCTCCAGGAAGCGATTCCATTCCCCTCCCCTGGCGGCAACCTGGCCCATGATCCCGCACTGATCGAGAAACTAACAAAGAATGATATAACCAGGCGGCGGATGGATGAGTACATGGTCTATCCGCATATCCAGTATCCAGCAGACATTGTGAACTCGACCACCTCACGTGGACGAGCCATGCTGTGTCTTGAGTCTGCAACTGTCGGCTAGATAGGTCAACGACCAGATTGCTGCTGATGCGACGCGAGGAGGAACAACCTTTTGCCTCGCTACGGATCTCGCGTATCTCTGGCCCCAGAATTTCGAACGGTCAACTGATAAGGACCTGGAGCCAAACAGGAACAGGGTCTGCTCGTTTTTCTGGCTTACGATTCAGGCCCATTGACTGGCTGGGTATTGATCTGCTGGACATTCCCGCCGACTGCCAACTTCATCCTTGCCGTCGTTACTGGCCTGGTCGCTCCGAGTCGCCAGCCTTCAGCGCCCGCACCCGCAATCCGCACCGTCTACTGCACTGCAGCTGCGGCCACACGCACACTATCTGCCATCCTCGTTCTTCCTATCTCCATTTCACACCTCCGCTGTTCTTTTTCTTCCTTCAGTTAATCACGTCGTTGTTGACTTTTATCAGGGTTGTTGAAGGACCCTGTATCTCTGTATCTCGTTGGTATCAGCTCGCTAGCTTCCCGGGATCCAACGCTTGACCCCTCCACTTCCACACGAAGCCACCACTTCCCACCGGTTGCTTGCTGTATCTGGCGGACTGTTGACTGGTGTCCATGTCTCGTTACCCGGCCTCAGTCGCATGGATATCCAGATTCCCTCCCCCTCCGTCTTTCTGAAGAAGTCACCCATCCTGACACCCGCCCCTACTGTTCCACCAAAGCGGCCAGCCGTTGCGAAACCCAAGGGCAATGTCACCTCCAAGCCCTCCAACAAATCAGCGCTGGCAGTTCAAGATGCGGCAATAACAAAACCTAAACAAAGCAAGAGTAGAAATGGTATGTCGTTGTGAAGGCGGAGAAGCCGATGTTGTTGCAACTAATCCGGGAACCCTCGCTGACCAAGTTCCCTAGGTTGCATGACCTGCAAGAAGAAGCGGTTAAAATGCGACGAGACCAAGCCGTCGTGCGCCCAGTGTCAGAAGAGGAATGTCGTCTGCGAAGGGTACAAGAAAGACTACAAGTGGAGAACGTTCGAGGAAACCACCTTTAGCACCAAGTCGAGCTCGAAGAAGAAGGCATCCCGATCGAACTCCTTCAACGTCGACCATTATGGAACTCAACCACTCAATATTTCCAAGGGCGGCAGATCAAATCCCAACGATCCAGCACACGAGGATGTCCAGCCTCCACAAACATGGTCTCCTGGTCTGCATACTGCCTTTACCTCGGCCACCACTGCTTTCAGAGGTTATCCTCAAGGCTCACCAAGCCCGGAGTTACAGAATGAGCGTCTGTCAGAGAAGCGACGATCGCAATATCCCAATCAAAGTCCTGATTCCGTTTTCATGCCAGCATTCGACGCTGAAACCATCTCACCAGGCCTCGCGTTCGGCGAACATACCGACCCTTTTAACTTCCGCGCATCAGCAGCCGATTCCGCGACAGAGAACAACAGTGCCAGATCATTTTCGTCTGGATCTCCACAGTTGCTCGATCTTCTCCTACCGGGGACAGACCTGACCCAGCCTCCTGATCCATCAGAATCACGGCCACCAATGTCACCTTTGCCTTATCAACCGGAGCCCAACTTGCCAAATGAAGACGCATATGATGAGGAAATTATCCGCTCAGATACCTTACCAACTACAGGTGGACCGTTTGCTGTACCTGCTGCAGCGACCTGGCAAACCTTCCGCACGTCTTCACCCACCCCTAGCGAGGCGTCGACTACCTCTTCCAAGTCTGACCTTACTATCCTCGCCCAACCATCGCTTGATGCTTCGTCTCCTGAGATGCTGATGCTTCGGTTCGACAAGCAGACTTGTGGTATCTTGTCCGTTAAAGATGGTCCTACCGAGAACCCATGGCGCACACTCATATGGCCGTTGGCTCGTGAATCTCCTGCTCTATACCATGCCATCTCGTCGATGACAGCGTTTCACGGTGCGCATGAGGTTCCAATGTTGCACACTCCAGGAATGGCCCACATGACAAAGGCAATCAAGCGTCTTGCCTTCGACATTCAGAACATGAGAATTGACTCAGCTCTTGCCACCACATTGGCTCTGGCCTTCAGCGAAGGTTGGGACAGTCATGTCAGTACGGGGGTACAGCACCTACGTGGCGCGAAGCTTATGGTCAATAATGCCATGGTCAAACATCGACGCGACATGCAACTCGGCCAAATGACGACACAAGATGCCAGCCGCCTAAAGTTTCTTTGTAATACCTTTGTCTACATGGATGTCATTGCCCGCCTGACATCCTTGGAAGAGGCATCGGAATTGAACTTTGAAGAGATTCTTTCCACAGTCAACGCACCATTCGGAGATCAGGTCGAAGTTGATCCTCTAATGGGCTGTGCGACGACATTGTTTCCCTTGCTCGGTCGCGTCGCCAACCTTATTCAGCGTGTTCGCAAGACTGAGACGAATTCATTGACTCTGGTGTCTACCGCCATGGAGCTCAAGGAGCAGTTACAACAATGGCAAGTGCCCAGTGCCATGATGGTCGAGCGTCCAGAAGATCCGAACTCCGAGGTCCAGCATTCCATCCAAACGGCAGAAGCATACCGTTATGCAACGCTCCTATATCTGCACCAAGCCGTCCCGGAGATTCCAAGCGATCCTGCCTCAACGCTGGCCAAGAAAGTGCTTCTGACCCTCGCATCTGTTCCCTTGTCCTCACGCACAACTATAATCCAGATATTTCCCCTGTTCGCCGCGAGCTGCGAGGTCACGGACGCAGATGACCGCAACTGGGTCATGCAACGCTGGGGAGCGATGATGGCCCGTCTGAAGATCGGCAACGTCAGTGCCTGCTGGAGCGTCATCCAAGAGGTCTGGAACCGCCGCGACGCCTACGAGAGTGAAAAGGCGAATCGCCTACTGCGGCGCTATAACTCTCGTGGAGTGCTCGGCGGCAACTTCGTGCCTCCAGTCTTGACCATGCCGCCCGGACTGAAGCGCAAGGCATACACAGTAGACAACGTGAATGATGCCTCTGGAGTCTTTGTTGGTCAAGGACCAGGACCAGCACAAGCACAGTCATCACACGATAATCTGGACCCCGCGGAATCGAGCGCTTTAGAGACGGTAGATCGACAACTCGAGCCTGGCGGACGGCCTATCAAACGTCGCGTGACATTCGATACTATGAACGGCGGTCTGCCTTCGAATATGCCTGGGACAGGGGCGTTCTCAATGCCTGGTTCGACCTCTGGAACGAATTTTTCACGTCGTCCGATGGGTGGCATTACCTCACCCGACCAACTTGAGCATGAGTATACGGTGCGAGGACAGCTGCATTGGCTAGGGGTCATGGCAGATCGTCAATGGGAAGGTACGTTCTCTCTTTTTGTTTTCTCCGATTCCTTTCATTTCATTTCTGTCGTCATGGATCATTATTCATGTAAAAGTTTTGCGTAATGCTGCTGGTGTCCTAGCCCTCCAATCAACAAACCATGATGTTTATATGCCTCTTTTGCCCTCATCCATGGTAATGCGGCATGTATATGATGACCTTGTTCCTATGGTATAAAAAGCAAACATGGAAAAATGGCTAACCAAGTAAACTTATGTGCAGTCTTTTTGGGATGACCGAACTCCCAACGATTGCAGATGCAGTTGACTCCGACGTGTGTATGAGATATGCTTCTTCTTTACGCCCTCGATCCCAGGACTAATGGATCGATTTTCCCGTTGCCGATGCTGGTGAAGATGATGCCGACTGTCCTTCGAAAGGCCGACACTGGGAGAACCAGGCTGGTTTAACTGCTTCGTTCTCAAACTTTTCGGTAGTCCGTTGGTGTTGGGAAGCCTGTTCAGGTCCACTGCTCCGTGCGCCCTCCGCACAGCGGCCAGGTCCATCCACTGAAACTCGGGGGATTTCTCCCTGTCGCTCCCGCTGCTGTCCACATTGCTATTGCTGGAGACAGACTCGGAGCGGCGGTCTCTCGTGGACTGACACCGGCTGTTTTCCACACCAGCTAGATAATTCCGCATACTAGCTGTGTACTCGTCCAGCTCGGCGCTTTGGGATATTTTGGACATTGACGCTGGTGGGCCCACCATGCCCTTTGGATTGGGCCCGTTGGCTATGCCCCGGGTTTTGAGCCGGTTGCTAATAGCCGACGGCTCAGTCGATGATGTTGATGCCGTCATGATGTTATGTCTCCAGACGTTTGTTTTGTCTTGGGTTTTGGATTAGTACTTGCCGAAGGCTTTACAGCAACGCGATGACTTTTTCCGTGGTCGCGGGCGTGCTGTTAGGATTTGAAGTTTTGTTTGGGCTGAAGAGTGAGAGGAGCGGCCGGGAAAATTTTTGAGAATTTGATGATGTTGATGATGATGACGGGTGAGATTGAGCAATTGGCTTTTTTTGTTTTCAAGACTGTCGTTGCCAAAACCTGATTTTGATCGATGGGTATTTGTGACGGATTGAGATAACTAGCAAGGCGTTGATTGAATGCGGGCAAGGTGTCGTTTTGGGGCGCGTTTACATCCGCCTGCTGCTAGGAATCTTTGTTATTTGGTGTTGCGTAAGGGTGAAGTGATGGAATGGAATAATTCGCGTCGCTTTGAGGCCGAGATGGTGGATTTTGTCGGCACTGCACGCGGGCAAAGAAGTTCACGTACTTTTAAAACGAGATCTCTGGAGATTGGCGCGTACGGTTAAATTGTGGTTGTGGTTGTGGTTGTGGTTGTGGTTGTGGCTGGTCCGAACGAAGTAAAGGTTCTGAACGACGGAAAAAAAAGTACCCAATGTGAGGTGCGGTCGCCTAGGGGGGGTATTGTAGGTTAGGTTGAGGATAGAGAAGTTAAGAAACGGTACTTTATCGCTTTAGGTCCTGGATCCATCGAGTGCTAGTAGTTTAAAGTGCTTGGTGTTTTCGCTTCCTGGGGTCCCTTGGGTCCCTGGGGTTCCTGGCAGACGCAGCGACGCCCGGGGGAGGGGCTCGGTCTATCTCCTTGGTTTTTGAAACTGCTTACGGAAGGTCGCGGCGACGTGCAGATTCAGATGTCTTAAGTCCTCACGCCTTTCCTGGGGGGAAAAAAGGGGGGGGTTGGACACCTTTTTTTGTTGCGTATGGCTTGCAAGACGAGAGGGAGAGGGCCCCAGAGCGTTTTGACGAGCAGATGATGATATGGTAGAGTTGATGATATCAGGTGCCTACTGAATGCCTGAATGCCTGAATGCCTGACTGACTGACTGGCTGGCTGGCTGGCTGGCTGGCTGGCTGACGGACGATGGATGATGGATGATGTCGTATGTATGTAGGTAGATAAGTAGGTACTTGTATGTGGTACCTGTACCTAGTCCAGAGGTCGGCACGGGGAAATTATGGCGACTCCCTTTCTCCCTGGTTGTATGTATGGGCCGCAGTGGTCTTGGCGGCGGTACTAATCGTGAGAAAAGAGATGGAGAAAAAGAGCACGAGTTCAGAAGCGGACTGTAGCGACCACGACGCCCTGCGCGCAGTTATCAGCCAAAGAGAGCGCGTGGAATGCGGATACGGATCGACGATTGATCCAGAGGAGACGAGCCGGTCGCCGGTCGGACCTTGGTGCAGTGGGGATGGAGAGGTCCGAAGAAGATGATGCTGGAGATGCTGGAGATGTCGTCGGGTTGGTCTTGGTCCAAAAGAGGCGGCCAACGACTTTGGTGCGAACGACTCCTGTCGACAGGGAGGCGAGGTGACGAAAAATGGATGCAGTAGGTGTGATGAGGCTGAAGATCCTGGGTGCCTGGGTCCCGAAGCGTCGCGTGGGGGAACAGGGGGAGAGATCGATTCCAAAGCCCTGAACAGGCGTCCAATGGACCAATGGAGACGAGGGCGACAAAGTTGTTGCGTTGGGGCTTGCGATGAGCCGACGATGTTTGACTCTGAAGGTGGCTCGTAGGAGGAGAAAGAGAAGAGTTGTTGCGTAGGGCGCCGTTGAGCGATGAGTCCGAGGTCAGGATCAAGGTCAAGCGTAGGCGTAGTCGTGAGAGGAGGAAGAGGAGGAGGAGGAGGAGCAATGGAGGTAGAAGTAGTGGTGGTGGTAGTAGCGACGATCAATTGAAAATATTAGACGGAAGAGCTGAACCTGAACCTGAACCTGAACCTGGAGCAAGTGGTGTGTCATGTCATAATTCCCATGCTTTGTAACAATGTCATTCGAGGATTTATGGGCTTTGTGGTGCTGGAAGGTATCGTTGCTGAGAAATGTCGACCTGTCCTTCTTCTCTGTCGGGCGTGTTCGCTCACTCACTCACTCCACCGGATTCTTCTTCTGAACCATAAGAGGAAGTGAAAACGAGCAGCCGGAAAGGGGGACGAAGAGGAGGAGAAAAACCACGAAATTATGGAGCACTCGCTTGAAGGGGTCATGGAAAAATGGCATCTAGAGTCCCTCCGTCGGATTGCTCCCTTTTTCTTGATTTATTTAGGTCAGATCGATCAAGAAGAGGGGCCTCTCTGTCGCATGGGGCGTATGGGCGGGTAGAACGGGGTGCGCTGTGGGTGGGATGCGTGTTTGCACAATAGAAACTGTACCATAGCAATAACCGTGACTCGAATGTTGTATGTAAGAGGTTGAGAAGAGCAGGTGGGAAAAACGGAGAGAGGAAAAAGTTGCAAGGATGTTTTGGGGGAGTTTGAAGGCCCTGGAGAAAGCGAGTGGATCATGGATCGAGGCGTCCTACAAATGAGAACGAGGGAGGGACAAAACCCTCGGGCGCGCGGGAGGCGAAAAGTAAGAAACAAGGCAGAGAGGGCAAACATGAATGTACGAACGAGTACGGACAACAATGATAATCCCCGTTAGATTAAAGTCAAAGTCACGCACTCACTCTCACACGCACCCACAGTCAGGTCAGGTGTCGAGCGAGTACCGAGAAGTTAGAACCGAGTACGAGTCCTCGTAGGGGGGGATGGGAAACTGGCGATTGCGTGAGCGCCAGATGGAAATCAGGCAATGCGCCTCAGCCTCAAGTTCAATGATAACGAAGTGGGTTGTTGAGAACCACCGTCTCCAATGTGTCTTGGGTTTTAGCTTTGGCGCTGGAGGGGTGAATTTGCCTACAATAGCTGGTCTACTTCGCATCTCCGAGTCTCATCAATGTATTGTGCGGATACAGGCACGATGGCATCATCATCGCAACACAGCAGGCTGAATTCACCTCGTACAGAACCCCACGGCTCAGCATGGACGCGGTGTCAGGTGGGCTGAGGGCAGAGGGCAGATGAGAACGTGCATCTTCTCTCGACAGGATGGCGTGCTGACCCTGAGGCTCGCATTGCCCAGAGCGAGGGACCCGTCCGTCACTTCTCCCTCGACATTGGCCATACGGAGGTCGCCGTCGGACAATCGATGAGGGGGGAGAGGCGGCATGGTCCAGAAAAGGACCGATCTTAGAGGTCACAGCTTGCGCGCTTGGAGAAATTTCGCGTAGAGAAACGGTGGATGATGGACAGGGCGGGTCAGAGGACAGGCAGAGAAAGGAATCGAAATGGGAAGGAAAGGGATATCTTTGCATTTAAATGCAGCTTTGTCCCTGGGGCCGAATCTGATATGGGTCCAAGAGCACGAGTTTCCGTACCGATTAGGGGACTACTGTAGGTTGTAGGTAGGGCATTGTAGATGGGGGCCACAGATCCAATGCGAGTTTATCTAGATGTACAAAGATACCTGATCTTTCAGCCTGTTATTCGTCTCTCGTAGGTAGTACGGAGATGGATCCCGGCAAAGCAGGAATCAATGTGAGAGGAGCCATCGTCGCCGTTCGTTGATGCGTCAATGCAAGGGCGACGAGATGCCGGTGCCTGGACATAACTTCTCCGTGCTGTACGGTGAACAAACAACTCGTGCTCGCGGGCTGATACCGATCAGTAGTCCTAAACGGATAAAAAAAGTCATCGGGCTGCCTGAAAGGGCAAAGGATGCGGTTGGCACGGAGTTGGGTCTTTTACTGGGTCAGCGAACAACCAGCCCTTTCTACTCGTAGATGGTCGCCAACACCGCAGAGACGTGTGGGGAAAATGCGTTGGTGATGTGAAGATAGGGAATTGTTTGCTTGATTGAGCCTGGCGTCGAATTATTGTGAAAAGCAACACCAACGCGGATGCCGAGGTCCATTCACATCCATTGTCCCCATATGATGATATAACCTGAAGAAGATGCCATACGGATAAAGATCGGTGTCTGATGAATTCGCCTAAACGTTACGACGAGAGATCTTGTCGCTGTACAGGTATGGGTGATTTGGTAATGGAGACGTCTAACTAGTCCAAGCGATAGAGGGAGGCAGCTCATAGACTTTTACAGCCGTGATAGTTGTTATTGTAAAAATAACGGTTTTTGGTCAGACACACGGACGAAGATGATGACGGCCACCAGATCAACACCAGCTACCTTTGTCATGACATTCAATATATCAGCCATCTACGCTTCCGTCTTGCCCGCGCTGTACTAAGATAATCTCCAACAAACTGTTTACATACAGGTAGATAGGATCGAACCGTCGTATCACACTGAACTACCACCTTGATCCTTCGCGTCTCATCCCATTCGTCTAGGTACTAGGTAGCAACTGACGCTGAGGGACCAACTACCACGAAGAGTACGAGTAACTTATAATAGCATGCCTGACAGACACGACTTTCTGTCATCATCAATTCCCATTCCACTTTTCGACGAGGGACCCGGAAAATCTAAAGATCCGAAAGGTGAGGGAAGGCGGAGAATCGTCCGCTCTTCCTTCTTATCTTCTTATCTGTCTCTCTCTGTGTGTGTCTCTCCCCAGCTCGCGGTCAACTGCCAGTCCACCACTTCTTTCTTCTACGGTACGACCACTTTCCCTTCTCTGGCATCCTATCCCGCCTGCCATCAACTGCTATCACTGGTTGCTCAGTAGCAAATCCCGATACTTCAATAACGGACACGGGGGCCCAACTCTTTTCCACCTGTCCATACACGTCGCAGGATTCATGCCGGTTCGGTCTGCGCGGGCTGACTTGCGGCGGGGGAGGAAGGCAGACCCTGAAGTTCGAAAACCCAGTTGCGGCGAGCCTAGTCAGTGAGCCCAAGGCGCGAATAGAGGGATGACAACGAAGGCTGACGAGAATAATGATTACGGCGGGGGACACTTTTATCTTTCGTGACACGGTGGGTGTTGCTCAGGAACTATCTACCCACCTAGTATAATAAATCTACATTCGTATATATATACCCAAGACATTCTCTCCCCCCCTCGCCCTCAATCTCACTCTCGCTCTCGCCATCTGTCCCTCTCTGCCAAACAAGAAGAAACCAGAACACCGAATTTCGGGTTTGATCGTCGTCGAAGACCCTCCGTCCAACTTTCACGAACCACATCTTCACACACATACACACACGCCCGCAACCATGAGCTCACCCCCGTTCAAGCACTTCGCAAAGGCCCAAACCGAGTTCAAGCCTCCTCTAATTGCCAATGAGAACGCATACCTGGGCGACGTCGTCTCCAGCACCGACGCTGAGAAGCCCATCAGCGCCGGTTTCTACAGACTCGAGAAAGGTACTCCTCTGGTCTACACCTACACCTACGACGAAATGAAGATCATCGTCGAAGGTGAATTCGATATCACAGACGAGACGGGCCAATCTGTTCATGTAGGTTGCCGGAGACGTGGGTTTGAAGATTTTATAGGCCCCGAGATTGCTGACATTTGCCATCATCATACAGGCTACCCCCGGTGACGTCTTCTATTTCCCCAAGGGTAGCAAAATCACCTTCACGACTGAGTCGTACGGTTTGGGTTTCTATTGCGGTCAGCGCAAGGAGGGCACTGCTTAGATATGAGGATACTTTGTAAAAGTGGAAACCCTTCGTTGTTGAATACCCCAACGCATTTCAAGATCTTGCACTGTTTCTTCCTCATGCGCAAATCAAAACAGATGGTCTATGATTACCTCGCTTTTCGCGCTCGACGCCGCCATCTAACCAAGCCGACCATGGCAAGAACTGCCAACAACGTGAAAGCGATCGACACGATCCAGCTCCGATCATATTGGGCCTCTTGATGTCCGTCTAGTCAGAGAGACTCGTTGACTGGTTGCAGACACTCCTTGATAAACTTTTCCAGGTCGTCAATCTCTTGGGGATCTGCAGAGTGAGGAAGTCCTCTTGAGATCTATTGTCAGCCAGGCACTGCCTTCCTCCCACAGGTATGCCACAAGTATGCATGACTGACCGATACGTCTTGAATTCTACTTTGTGTCCCATCTCCTTCCGTAGAAATTCTGCCGTCTGTTGTCCCCATTTGTACTTGACCACTTGATCACTATCGCCGTGACCCATAAAGAAGGGTGTGTCCTTGTTAGCATCCCCAGCCTCTTTTGCAAAATCTTTGATCTTGTCCGCCAAAACAAGGTAGCAGGACAGTCCGAAGACGCCTCCTAGCTTATGCGGTGTCGTGGCGCCTGTGAATAGGGACATGGCACCGCCCTGCGAGAAACCGCCCAGTATGATTCGGTTCGACGGGATGCCGGCTCCAATCTCGTCGGCGATGAGTTTGTTGAAGGTGGCTCGACTACGGAGGATGCCAGTCTCATCTTGCTGCTGGTTGAGGTCGGAGAAATCTGTCTGTTCGTTTTCCCAGAGTCTATTAGAGCCTGCGTTGTTGAACGTCCGGTGGAGGGGAGAGGGGGAGGAGGGGGCTGGCAAACATCGTCGCGGCGTCTTACGATATCATACCAACCGGGCATGCTCATACCCATGTTCTGGTTTCAGCCATCAGCAAATGGGACTTCTTCTGAGGAGTCTATCCCGTAGGTTCATGCTCACCACTGTGATAGGGATGTTCGGCGCATTGGGAAAGACGAATTTGACATCCTCGAACTTGCCCCGTCTCCGCCAACTCTCGGCGAGAGAGATCCTTCCCCATTTATAAGCTGTCGCCCCGTGTATTGATCAAAAAGACCCTGAGACTCACCAGCCCGCACCACTAAAGAGAGCCAGAAGTCAGTCTGTGCATGTACATGCCATCGTAGGGAGTGAATGGAGAACCGCACCTGTCTCCCAGGCCATGCGCCATGATCACGGTCGCTGAGTGCCTCTTCAGCGCAGGCACAACTAGTGCTTGCCTTCCAGCCATTTTAGGATCTCTAGGGGAAGAATGAAGAAGGAAAAGGAGTATGGCGATATCTGTCTAACAGACCCTTTCACTGTCTAAGAAAACACAATTCGCCTGCGAAGAGACAAGACGCACTCAACTTCACCTGTTTCATTCGGACCACAATGCGGGCAATTATTTGGCGACCTGTGGTCCCCGCATAAATATCGGCCTTCGGCATCCGGCAGCTGGATGCTGTGGACCAGACCACGTGATATTATCGGGTCAATCTTCTTATCTTATGGGCTCTTCATGCCCACTAGGATAGGCGTCAATGCCTACAAAGTCTCTCCATCCGCCGCCTAGACTTTAAGTGCCCTTATAGACACTTACCCTCCAGTATTTGGGCCTTACCCCATTTTCGGTCTGAGACCTTGCGTTCGAATACATTCTCTGTTAAATTGTTAGCTATCATTCTCAGCATCTGTGTTGTGTCGCAGTCTAGCCCTCTTATATAGCAGGACTTCGTGATCAACTCCGGCAGGCAGGGTCAATGATCAGACGCCTGGCTGCGAAAGATGTTGAATATGGAGGTCGAACGGGCTCACCATTGAGATCAGAATTTCCCCTTAAGTGATGACAACTTGATTCTCGAGGCTCAGTGAAGTGTGATTGATATTGGAGTGCGTGTGTGCCCGCTTGGTGAGAGTAAAGGTCAGGTAATATCGGCTGACTGTTGGCCATTGAGCATTCCAAAGCAATCGAAAGTCGTCCCAAGTTCAGGTCGCAAAGTGAGGCCGACCAGGGTCATTTGGACTGCTCAAGAAGCTCAAGCAAACAACAGCTTGATCTTTTTATCCCAGCAGTGACGTACCCACGCGGATTGCTGTGGCCGATCCTCGCACGTCTGACCAAGCGACGTCGGCTCTAGGGACCATATCTGCTCTTCCAATGTTACAAGGCACTTCTCAACATTCTTCATGCGTTGTCGTTGATAGACTGCCCTAAGGAAGCCAGTAACAAAGTCACGCCAGCTGTTAGCACCATCATCGACAGGGCTTTCGCACCCCAGTACCCATATCGGCCATAGCATTATTGTGACGACACTGTGATCGAGAGAAACCTGGCCCAGACACTGTAGGAGACGATAGCAAAGCGCTTTGATTCGAGGCGAGTCTGAAGTGTGATCCGTAGCGCGCAAAAGGAATATTCGAGTGGCAAGACCATGACAGATGGCAGCTGTTATGCAAACATTGTGAGCCTCCGCCGGGTCGGTTCTGTCAGCTTCTATCAGGCAATCGGTCTGGGTGTCCACATTGGGCGGCGTGTTGGTTCTAGGATTGACCGGAGAAGGTAGCTGGCTCATCGCCTCGTCAAGCCGCAAATCTAGATCAAGTTGTATATGGATGAAGTCTTCCTCGGAAGCGCTTTCTGTGAAAAGATTATGGACGGCAGTCTCGCAATCGCCAAGCAGAGAAAGTAACTGGGCACAGTATCCAAGGTCGTTTTGGGGTCGCAGCTGCCGAGCACTTTCCTGGCATGCTTTGACGGCGTCCTCAAGCCAGTATTTCTTGTCCAATATGGGGATGCTTGCGCACGGAACACACGACATAATGTCCGTCCACGCCAATGACAGTACTACAGATTGAAATAAAGGGCTGTCGAGCTTATAGTGTGGATCCATTCTTGAGGGATGGACGCACCCGCACTGACACTCGAAATATCTGTGTCGCTCAAGCATAAGGGTGTACGTGCCTTGAGTAAGATATTGAACCCTGGCGACGCCATAGTTATCATCAGGTTGGATGATTTCGTCGCCAATCAACAGTAAAGAACCGACAATCGTATCATCGTCCAGAGACGGAAGCGGCATATGATGACTATTGGACGACATTTTGCCGTCCAGGGTCGTATTCGACTCTGCAGTCAAATTATTCAGTGAACACCGCAGAGCTTTGAACGCCTTTCGCTGCACGATGGCAAAGGTCGAGCCAGAAATCTTCCCGAGGGACAGCAGGTGGCCGGCCGAGTTGGTTAGCATTGCCCGTAGCGTGACTGACCCGTCTTTGGTGGTGAGCTGATAGTACATTCGACCAAGATCCTGCGAAGCGGCGGGATCTAGGCAGACCAGCTCAAAGGTCATCTTCATCCAGTGGTCGAAAAGGGCTCGGTCAAGAGCATCGAGCGGATGAACCGTTGATACGATTCTCAAAGTCTGCCGCAGATATGAAACCTCATACTCAGTTCGGTTTCCGTCTTGCCGCTTCCGATACACAGGATTCGGGCGTTGCTTCTTAGTTGAGGTTGAATCTCCTATCGTATGTGTGTCGCCTACCCATCGCAACGGCTTCACATAGCCTTTACAAGCCACACCACGATCTGCACATCGGCGACATCCTGGCTTTGCCTCGTCGCATTTGGTGCGGATAGCTCGGCAGTTTACGCAACCTTGAGATGGATTAACATTTCGCACACGTCTTTTCAGGGCTTGAATTTGCAAAATCACCTGTTCTGGATCGCCTGTAATATGTCGCCATTGTTCACGACGGAACTCGGAACTCGGGCCTTCAAATACTCGTAGACCACCTACAGTGACGAAGGAGCTTCGAACAGATCATGGCTATATCTGCCGGAGAAATCCTTGACTGCGGTTGGGATGTGATGAAGCTTTCTCAAAGTGCAATTCCATAGAACAGGTTCAAATAGAAGTTCGCGGAACTGTAGGAAATGCTCGGAACAAACGCCTCGGGAAGATAGGGTTTTTGGTATCTTGTCGTCGTATTATCTGCCGCTGAAACGACGATAGTGTCATCAGTGGTGCCAAGGCAGGGAGAGGACGAGGCCTACACACAAGCAACTCTCGTCTGGGGCTGGGTTAGGCTGCCCATTGGTCGGCAGGCGAAGTGCAACCAGAAGACTCTTCCCCTACATCTACTCGTATGTAGGTACAGTGCAGTTAAAAGCATCACTAGTCAGATCAATGCGCAATCGGTGACAGGGGTACGGGCAATCAGCTCCTGATAAGGTAAAGCGCTTCTTGGCACCTCTACCTGCGATTCGAGTAGTGATTAACGTGGGGATCGGAGATACTTCTTTCCGACTGCCACGTAAGGAATACGTGACCGAAATATAGCAGGGTATATCAGCTATCCTGAGATCCCTTCGCAAGAGCCTGCAGGAGTTTCAAATTGAGAATTCACCCCTCCTTTTTTGCTGAACACTGTTGGTATTGATCCCGATTTTGTGGACTCCTTTCTATGACGGCAAAGCGCAACGAGTTCCGTCTCAACCAGCGAAGCTCGACTTCAATTAGTGGCGTACTGCTAATGAAACCTCCAAAGCATGCCACCGTCCGTCACTAGCCCCGTGCAATTCTTCCAATGCTCGAGTATCTTCGCCTTCAGAACCTTCTTCTGGTAACCTCAACCTTCCAAATGGTAAAGGATGTATACCGTCAGCAACCAGTGCCGGAAGAACAAGGGAGGAGGCGAGGACCAGCAGAGGCCATCGAGTTGTTCCTGCGATGAGCAACGTGCACTACAAGTCTCGCCAATCGCCGCCCACTCTCAAATCTAGCCAAATGAGCCCAGCAAGTTTCCGTAGTGTCTCGCCAACACCATACAGAGCATTGTCCTCATCGATTCAGCATCAGGACGTACTCATGGCACCACCCGTGGAGTACCGGAAGTTCTTCGACGCCGACCCAATGGTTGAAGAGGACCTTGTGGTGCGGAATAACTTAGGAATGCACCGCTATACTCACGCGGAGGACATTCACAACGCCCTCATGGCCTAAAGCTCATTCAAGTACGAGCGTATAATGTTTGCGCCACAAAAGTGGAGCAACGCTGAGCTGGCAGTTGATCTTACAAAAGCCGTCATATACCAAGAAGGTGAAGACGGGAGTATCGTTATCCTGGCCGACTACGGGGCAAACCAGCGGCCATGCTGAGCGTCGTCCGCGCAGGATCAACTTGTTCAGGTGTTTGAAGATCCAAAATCTGCAGCGTAGTGCACCAGTCAACGACCCTCCGCCGCTCAAACGAGTCTGGAAGCTGCATGGAGCGGGGCGAGCAACATGAAACCAAAGTACGGCGACAGCAATCGTGGACCGACGGGGGTCGTCAGGAGGTGGTACGGAGCGCAGCACGTTGGAGGATTTTTGACCGAGGTAACTAGGTACTAACTAGGTACTCGGAGAATACTGTAGCTGTATGTTGATAGAGGTTAGAGCGGCACTGTGCGTGACCGTATAGTCACGTGCTGCTGGCGTAGATTTGTTAGCAATGCGTTAACCGCCAAGGCTTTTTGTATGCACAAACCGACTGCGGACCGGAGTGGACGACTGCATCTCGTCAATCCACAGCTTTCCCAGCTTCGACATTACCGCCTCGTCTACATCTACCTTACCTGCACCAAGCTTGGACGGAAGAACGACCGTCTCCTTGTTCCTCTCCTGAACCCTTCTCTCTCCTTCGAATTTCGCCGGTTACTTGGACTGCGGAACTCGAAGCTGCAGATCCCCGCACACAGAAGCGCCATCAACTCGGACTCGAGATTTAGGGAAATTCACATTCTGAGCTGAGGTGCCCAGAAGCGACTTACTCGCCACCATGGATCAGGAGAAGCTTAAGCGCATGCAGGCGCAGGTGCGAATTGGTACGTCTGGCTCGAGTGCTGAATTTTGAACACCAATTTGTGCGCAGGTCACCATTGAACTAACGAAGTGTGCGAATAGGGTACGTTGTTTCTGATTCCTTGAGCGTCTCCTACGCCCTCTGCTCTCCCTCCGACCGGACATCTGGCACTGTCTTCCTCAGCGGTACGCGAAGCATCTGGACGAGTTGCTGACATCGTTATCTTTGTAGAGGCAAAGGCACACCCCGCAGAAAGACGAAGAAGGTCCACAAATCCTCAGGCACAGACGACAAGAAGCTACAGACGTCGCTGAAGAAGCTGAACGTCCAGCCCATCCAGGCGATCGAGGAGGTCAATATGTTCAAGGAGGACGGAAACGTCATTCACTTTGCCGCACCAAAGGGTATGTCTTGTTCTCCACCACACGTAGAAGTTTACCGGCACGGAAGCGCCCGTCAAAACGAGCGAGAGCGGTGGCGGCGGCGGCTGCTCTGGGAGATCTTGAATGGGCGCTACAGAAGCTGACAACACTTTTCACTTTCTGCAGTTCACGCGGCTGTTCCCTCCAACACATTTGCCATCTACGGCAACGGCGAGGACAAGGAACTCACCGAACTCGTACCCGGTATCCTCAACCAACTCGGCCCCGACTCACTTGCTTCCCTGCGCCGTCTCGCCGAGTCTTACCAGAGCCTGCAGAAGAAGGAGGGCGGAGAGACCAAGGAGGGAGATGACGACGACGATGAGATCCCGGACCTGGTCGAAGGCGAGAACTTCGAAGGCAAGGTCGAGTAGGGTAAACCTCTTGTATTAGAGGTTTCGGCTTCCGGTGGAGGAGGTGAAGAGGAGCAGCGGTGAAGAAAAAGTACTACCGCCACGTCGGTGAACCCAAGACCCAAGATGCATGCATATTCATTGTACGAGATGATGACGCAGGGGGGCTTCTCAGAACCAGCCGCAGAGGAGCAAGACCGAGTTCTTCTTTTTTTTTGTTTCTCTGAACTTCAAAAGGGAAAGATGGCAAAAACGTTTTTCATGGCGGCCCGAAAAGAACAAATAACTCTTCCGTCTCATCCATTACGTGTGAGACCATCCAAATGCACAATGTAACTCATACGATAAAGGGGACACTCTCTTGCATCCACCAGGTGAAACCGCATGAACCTGGCCGACCATCTGGGCATCCTAGATAACGTGTGCCAGTACTCTTACAGGGGAAACTTGCACGTCTCTTCGCAGGGGAGACTTGTAGGTTTCTTTACAGGGGAAACTTTTAGATCCCTCTACGTGGGACTATGATATGATACCTCTTCGTTTCCAGGATAACGGGATCTGTGCCAGGCTCGTCTGTCTGTCGCTACAAGCGGAGCTGTACGGCTGTACAATGCGCTGTATGCTGTGCTAAGTAGGTAGTCACTGTGGGAAACCGCTCGTTCGTTCCTCATGGTTCATGCTTGTGTGTCCCATTAAACCATGTGCAACACCCAAACGTTGCTAGACCTGCTCGCTATATGCAAAGACCAGACTCATCTACGTGTACGAACGAGGACATTACTCTCAACGAAACCAACGCCATGCTTTTCCCCCCCATCAGCGTTCGACCGGTACAATCTCCGACGTGGAACACATTCATTGAGTCCATGAAAATGGGAGTGCGAGAAAAGGGAGAAAAGAGGGAAAATAAAAGAAAAGCCACTCAGTCGTCCTTGATCCCACACATGTCCGTGCCGAAGCAATCGTCTATCCGTCGCCAAAACGACCAGTACCAGCCATTAGCTGGATCCCAAGAACCGTCTTCTCTGATCAACGGACCCTCGACTCCCAGGAGCGTCCCGGCTGTCGGATGCAACCCGACCTGCTTGTTGTTTGCCGCTACGCCCCCCCCTCCTCCTGCGCCGCCCCCCACGAGCGAGCCTACGACAGGTATACCTCTGATGGCGCGCTCTGCAAACGATGGCTGCGGCGGGAGGGCCTCGGAGATGGGCCGCAGCACCGCCTTCTTCACCTTAATGTGCGTCATGTACTCGGACCGACCGGGCTGGTGGCTTGTGATGTCCTGGCTGGCGAGATTGGGCACGGAGCGCGAACGCAGGCTGCTCGTACTACTCGAGCCTATCGTTGGGGAAAGGAGAGGCTCGAGTTGGTGGTCGTGATGGTCGACCGCGGTGGCTGTTGCCGAGCTCGCTGTCGTTGAAGATGCTGATTCGTCCTCGGGCTGGCCGTACTGCGTATCCTGCACCGTGTGGCCTCGCGGTAACGTCTGCATGGCGCGCTCGAACCCTGCTAGTGCCGAATCCCTGCCCGTTGCGGCGCTGAATGTGCGTGCTCTGCCTCCTTGATTGAGACCTGCGCCTTCGCCCGTCGCGAGCAGTCCAGCCCCGACATGCTCTTGACCTGCAGGACCTCTCGGCAGGGCTACGTCCGCACCCGGTCCTTTGCCCTGCCACATCTCGCAGTGCACCATATACCCGTCGATCTCTAGCGGGGAGTAAAAGCACGCCCTCTCGGCGGCCTGGTAGCTGTCAAACGTGACTTTGATCCAGTGTGCCCCGCCGCTGTAGATCCTGCTCTTGCGAATGGCTTCTCTGGACAGGTTTTCGCGGCGCGCAACCACAGACGGACTCCCCAGGCGGCCCATGGGGGAGTTGGACGAGAGAAACAGCGTCGTGTCTTCGCGCGGGTAGTCTTCGACAATGTACCCCGGCGACACGACTGATTCGAACTTGCTCAGCACCTTCCATTCCGAGCGTTTGCCAGCGTAGCCGTAGAGGAGGCATTCCGTGGGCACAGCCTCCGGCTCGCCTATCCGCGTTGTGTCGACCGTACTGCCTGTTGTGCCTGTGCCTGTGCCTCCCGCGGTTGTCTTTGTTCGCTCCTCTTCTTTCGCTTGCTCTCGTGCAAATAGCCTCCCGAACTCTGCAACCGCGGTATTCTCCTTTTGTCGCACCGGCGTGGTGCCCGTGCGTGCGCGCGGTGTGCGTGATCCCGTCGTTCTGAGACTGCGGTTTCGACCGAATGGGCCACTTTCTTCAGGCTGCCGGACGTTTCGTGCGGAGCTGTATTGTCTTAGCGCTGTTTTATGGCCGTGTAGAACAGGATTAAAATGAACAATGGTGTAAAGGTGAGCTTACTCTGGATATCGATAGCCCCAGGGTAGTGTGTCGCCCTTGGGGTCTCTCACCCGTTCCTCAGGGAGAACCGAATGGATCTCCATGGCGGACGAAACAAACCACAGGGTCCAGTTGTGTTGACGTTCTGAACTAAAGCTGAAAAAAGCAAAGACGAGGCTAGAGCGACCTTGGATTCAATGAGAGTCCCGGTGGGCTTGAATGCGAAGCAGGGCAGGTGGTATGGGTTGTTTCGACTGGTAAAAATGGTGTTGACGAAGAGCAAAGCGTAAAGCGCATGAATGGATTGGGGTCGAATAAACACACAAAAACTTCCCCCACAGCCTTGTGGGTCATTGACATATTCCTCAGCCTCTCAGCCTTGTTCAGCTATTGCAAGTCGCTGGCTACAGGTACCTACTGGGCCACTTCTCTTTCTTGGTGGTGTTCGTAAGGTCCCTACAAGACTTCTGCATTCATTACCAGCATTATATTCCGTCTGATCTCGTCTAACGAGTACAATCTGCCTAGGAGACATCCTCATCCGCGACGAGATCTGCTCCGACAATTTGGGCATTCACATTGCTTCTCCTTTCAAACTTGCTACACCGGCTATGCGCCATTGGCTGAGATTGCGGTCCTCTCGACAAGTTTCTTGCTCTTCTCCCCCAGCTCTTCGTGTTTGGTCTTTAACTCACCAATCTTGGTCTCGGCGAGTTTGCCCGCATCTATGCCCATAGCCTTCATCCAGGCCGGGTCAATAGCCTCGACGTTAAGATACGGCGAAGGGTCCTCCTTGTTGACGAGCGCCTTCACGGTGCCCATGCCCAAGAATGCCCACATGTTTTTCTTTCCTGGTCCGAGGTATTCAATATCGTAATCCTCCCATCGTGGGGTTTGGATTAGCTCGATATAATGCAGTGAGCTGCCAGGCCATACGGCGTTGACCCGACCAGTCTCGTTGTTCTTGTACCTGGACATTGGTAACAAGGTGAGTATTGAAACTTTTTATGCTGCGAGAAAATAGTTCATGCGGTCGCATCGGATGGGAAACTCTGGTTGTAAGGATGATGAAAGAAAACCTACCAGGATCGACATTCCTCTACCCAGACGGTATGCTTCATCCACTCTTGGCAATGATCGTTGAATGCGTCCGTCACATCCTGTGAGACAGCAGTGTCAGATCCTCAACTTGATGAGCACCACACACGGAGAAAGAAAGAGCATACCTGCTTCGGAGACAGACTGCATATGTACTGGGTCTGAATCTTCTTGATCATCTCAAGTGCGTAATACGACACATACAGCAACGGACCCATGACGCTTCCGTTCTCAACAGGCCAGTTTGGCCCGATGAAGGTGAGGAAATTGGGGAATCCAGGAATACCAAGGCCGAGATATCCTTCCGGACAGACCTTCCACTTGTCGGCAAGGTCGATGCCATTTTGTCCCACGATAGGGAAGCGAGGACGGTAAGACACGTCGAAGCCCGTGGCGCATACAATTGTATCGACTTCACGATGGATGCCATCTTCCCCAATGACGCCGGTCTCGTCGATCTTGGTCACTGGGGTGAAGTGCACATCAACGTTTTCTTTCTGAATCGCCCTAGGTGCTTGATCAATTCCTCTGCTCGTCATCGGGACATTACAATACTCACTCCATATAAGGGTCGCCAGGAGTAACTCTGCGGCAGCCAATGCCGAACTTGGGAGTGAATCCCTCAAGCAATCTCTTGTCCTTGATGAAATCGGCCATTCGTGCCTTCATCGCAGCCTGTCCTTGTGCCTGGGCTTGGGAATTTTTATAGAACATTCCCCACAACCCACTGTATTCCGTCAGAGAGCTGCAAATTATACAAGAGCAAGGGCAAGCTTGATCGCCCGCGTATCGAGCACACTTGCCAGGACAGTAAAAGCTAACTTACTTGACTTGGTCCTCGATTGACTTCGCATGCTCAACGAGCTTGTATGGGTCACGGAAGTCAGTCCTTTGCTCGCTCGTATATTCTGCAGATGTATTAGTATCCGCCTCGACTTCGTAAACACCACACGCCGCAGAAATCACTCACCGTGATTGGCGCCAAAGTTGTTGGCGATTTGGACAAACCAGACACCTATCGTCAAAGTCAGCAGGCAAACGATGTACGGGCGTGAAATCTCTTACCCGTCCTGACAAAGATATCGAGATGTTTAGCGTGAGGTTGCATGGTTGGCACCGTTTGGATACTTGAGGCCTGCCGGTTGTCAGTCTGCTCGTGCTCGACACCGTGGTACCAGATGGACTCACTCCGGATCCAATGATGGCGACTCTGTCCTTCTTCCATTCATCAGCCTGATAGTCCTTTGGCCACCGGGCGGTATGAATGATGCGGCCCTTGAATTTCTCCATGCCCTCTATATTGGGCCACTTGAAGTTGTTCAAGATTCCCGTGCCGTGAAGTAGTACGTTGCACCTGTCTTCAAACAGCCTGGTTGTGCCGTCGGCATTCGTCTGCTTCAGCTTGACGAGCCACTCTCCAGTCTCCTGTTGCCAGTAACATCCGACCACCTCGGTCTTGAAGGTCATGTACTTCCGCAGTCCAAAAACCTCGCAGACTTTGTCCAGATACTTCCAAATGTCGGGAGAATACGAAAAGAACCGGGGCCATTCGGGCTGTGGTTATTTCATCAGCGGAGGAACCTGCGAGGTCAACTTATTCCCACTTACATTCAAGGCGAACGGAAACGTATATGCGTGGGACGGAATGTCACTTGTCGAGGTCAACGATGTTAACCACACTCATCTCATTTTGCAAGAACAAAGGAAAAACGAGGTGCATACCAAGCACATCCGGGATACCTGTTTTCCAACCAAGTTCCTCCAATGTCTTCATTCTTCTCATAGATTACATGCTCGACATTCTCGAGATGTTTCTGGATATGGTAGGCACTGAGAGCCGTCAGTCAATCTCTCCCTTGAGAGCGTATGATGGCCTACTTCATGATTCCAGTTACACCTGCACCAATTGAAAGAACACGAACTTTGCGGGTGTATGGCCCATCAAGAACAATGTCTAGTTGACCCTGTTCAGCAAATGTCCAGATGATCAAAGGCGGCGCGGAGCCGTTGGTCGTCCAGGGTCCCATGAGCCAAGATACTACCTACCTGGGATCTCGTAGTCACCCCGAGGTACTCCATTGTTTGGATATCCGTCGGTTGACCAATTGGCCAGCTGGTTGATATCAGGCGCCATGTTGAGTCAATCACGTGAACGCAGGTGGAGTGAGGTTCAGATGGAAGAGGAGCCAGCAAGAGCAACAAGCAGTCGACGGCAAGCTGGTTTACACAAGAGGGTGATACGAATGGACAAGATGTGAGGACATGGAAACGAAAGAAATCGGAGAGCTTTAATACCTGTTTCTAGCTTTAGCTTACACTTGCTGGCCTTTACCTCGGCCGCTTTGTGAGGGAGTACTCAAAATGCAGTCTTGTGTCGATGCGGGTCCTAAAGATGAGACCCCAACAAATGTACGCTCGTTTCTCCATCATCTGTTGTGATCTCAGATTCTCACGCAGCGTATCAGTCAGACCAGAGGTGTGGTGGTCTTACCCCCAGTGAGAGCAGCGGCCCAGACTGGATGAGGGCACTGACATATGCGGGGAAGTAGCCTCGCTTGTTCCGACACGGAGTGTTCGGTTACTTTGTTGCGCTGACTCGTATGGTCTTGCGTTGCATGCCCTAGCGCGATCGTCTGGTACATGACCCTGAAGTTTAACATTCGCAATGCCTCGCATTCCTGTCGGTCCCACTCGATGCTGACACTGAGGTATACGAGTCAGAAACGTTCTTCAGAACTTCCCCTGTAAAGGAAGATCTTGCGAACTCCGGCCAACCAAGATCTTGAACGTTCCGTCTGGCATGATCCAATTTTGCTGTACGACTGACCAGTAGCTCAGATCTTTACGGGTCAGAGTGAGATTAACCACCTGAGAGTCTCCGGCCTCGAGTTCCACTTTGGTGAAATTCCGAAGAACTTTCACGGGTGTTTCGACAAGTTCTCCTGTTGATGGTTCCTGTATCGATGGAGGGAAGGTGACGTATATCTGAACGACCTCCTTTCCTTTCCGGGGTCCGATGTTCTCAAGTTTTACTTGAACACTGACATATTCTTCAAACAAGGCAGGGTTGCCTCCCTCGCCTCCTCCAGCTTGACTTGGTTGCCGCTTCAGCTCGTACCCATCAGGATATGGGTAGTTCCCTTTCCTAACTTGGCCGGTACTCGAGATATATGGATAGATGAACTTCTTTAGCTTCGAGAACCCCGGGGGAAAGATTGCACTCTCAGCTTCGGGTATCTCTTCATTCATGGCAGGCGGCGCAAGCGATTCGGGCTTTGGCGAGGGTCGCGGAGATTTGGCCTTCAAGCTCGTGACCTTCAGGTCTGCGAACTGAAAAGTAGTATATGAGAGACCATGGCCAAACGGGTATCGTGGTTCGATGTTATGCTTGTCGAAATGGCGATAGTCAATGAAGAGACCTTCCTTGAAATCAACCTGTGGTATGATGGCATTTGGGTAATAGAGCACCGGAGCACCAGGACCATAGTCGTCAAGGCTTTTGCCTAAAGTGTAGGGAAGTCGCCCAGAAGCATCCGCACGGCCAAAAAGCACGTCGGCGAGAGCATTGCCACTTTCTTGTCCGGGTAAGTTGGCAAACAAAATGGCCTTGACAGAAGGCAGGTCGGCGACTCCCTCAACCAAGACAGGTCCAACGGAATGAATCACAACAATGACTGGACCACCACAAGCTTCGGCAACGTTCTTGATCAGTGTACCTGCCCCTTTCTGCATCTCAAGATCATTTCTGTCCGCTCGCTGAGATGCCCAAATGCGATGTCCCTCGCCAGAATCGGCGTTTCCAAACACAATACACAAATCCTGCTCTCCAAGGGTGGTTTGGAGCCGCGAGGACACACTATTTGTCAGGGAAACGGTGATGTCAACAGCAGACTTGTCAAAACTTGCGTTGAGTGCTGACAGTGGGTCGACGAGATAGGTAAACTCGGTGGCCCCAGAACCCCAGCCAACGGCAAGAGTACCTTGATTACAAGCTCGATCCTCACAATAGTTCGCTCCCTTGCCAGGCCCAGCATCCTCGCCAACGATGGCAACTTTCCTCTTGCCAGAGGTACCGAGTTCCTCAAGCCTGGGGCTCAGAGGCAACAGTGAATCTTCATTCTTGAGCAGAACAGTGCCCTCGATCGCGACTTGACGAGCAATGTTGCGGCTCTCATCATCTTCGGTCTCGATGAATTGATTGACGACGACCTTAGGCTGCGTTGTACTACTTCCGTGGTGGAGTAGCCCATACTTGTCATCGGTCCACGATGAGAAGTTCGGCAAAGCCGGCGGCCACAAATCTTGGCCCAATTGGTACCACGCTGCAACCACTCGGAGCACCATATCATTCAATCTTGACATTGGCACTGATCCGTTCAATACCGCGATGGTGAGCTGATCGCCGAATAGTGCCTTCCCATTCTGCCAGTATAGTCCGTCACCAGGCATTGACATATCGAGACCAGCGAGCGCACTGGCGACACCGCTTCTCTGAGCCAGCCAATCGGACTGAACGAAGCCCTGGAATCCCATCTCATCTTTCAGGATCCCATTCATAAGCTTACTGTTCGCGCATGCGTATGAATTGTTGACCATTTGATAGGAGCACATGACCGACGCAACCCCTGCACGAATGCTCTCCGCAAACGGCCAAGCATAGAGCTCATGGAGAGTTCTATCATCGATATTAGAAGATAATGCTTCCGGTAACCCCCATTCAAAGGATTTGCGGAAATGTTCTTGTTCGTTTCCAACAAAGTGTTTAGCCGTCGCGATGACGCCTTGAGACTGAATTCCCCGGATCGTCTCGGATGCAGCTACTCCCTGCAAGACGGGATCAGAGCCAAAGCCTTCCCATACCCTTCCGCCAGCAGGGTTCCTTCCCAGAGGACCCATGGAAGGCCCCAGGAGGATATTCACTCCTTTGAGCTTGGCTTGGCGTGCATGGGCAGCACCACGTCGACGCATGAGGTCGCGATTGAAAGTTGCGCCCACAGTCAGGCCTGCAGGAAATGATGTCGCATGGTCAGTGAAGCGGATACCCAGAGGCCCGTCCTGGAGACAGAGTCCGGGGAAACCGGCATTGATGGCAGGGGCAGTGTTGCCGACACAAAGATCCATAGACCATCCTGTACCAGTAGTGATATTGACCTTCTCGACTAGGCTCATGCGATCAACAAGTTTTCGTGCTTTCTCGTAGCTGTCCTTCCATGACGGAAGGGTGCCTCCTCGGGGGGTTGGATACCATGGAGGCGACTGACCGTTGATCTGACCGGTACTATAGATCCAATAACCACCACCACCAATAACAGAGGTGAAGACTGCGACGACAAGGACAGAGATGGCAATGTATGTCTTGGTCAATTTTCGGCCACCGCAAATTCGGCTGCTGACTGATTTTGATGAGTATCTTGATGACTTGCCGGTGCTGGCGCCCGCAGGATCGAGGAGGTGTCCATCGCTACGAGAATGAGGCTTCACATCTTCGTCCGACAGATCTCCGTCACCCAACCTCGCGCCAGAGTCGTTGTTCTGGAGAGGCTGATATCGGGGTTTGACGGGCGACATTCCCAACAGTCTGATGATGTCCAGGGGACTCTAGAATTTTAGACAGCACAATAGACCAATCAGTCGGCGAGGCAGAAGGTCGAACGGAGGAGCTAAAGGCAGTTAAAGAGGAGTAAACCGCGGTGTCGGAGATGGCTGAAGGACCCAGAGTCACTAGGAGTCACTAGGCGCGCCACGGACCAGATGCCGAGGCAAACAGACAAATCGGCAGACGGTCGGGGGGAGGGAGGAGAATAGGACAGCTCCGATGTGGCCAGAGGAGGCGAACAGGATCGGAGGTTGGAAGCAAAGCTGATGAAATAGTATATGAAGAGCAGGAGCTGGGATGCTTGTGTAGCAAAAGGCCGGTCCGACGAGCAATTGTTCGAGTGAGAAGTTTTGTGTCGCAGGTCGAGCTTGTGGTTTTTATTCTGTGCTGGCTCCCGTCTCTGTTTTCTTTCACTCTTCCACTCGTCGCTTCTTCCAACTCTTGTCTGATCAGTCGGTGAGGTATAACGCCCAGTTGCTGTTGATCTCCGCCAGTAACTCGCCCCGGCTCAGCCATTCTGCAGCCCGCAACGAGACGCCTCGTCCGTTTGTTTGCTGCCCCTCCCCACTCAACCACCTTTCTGTCCCACGCCCTTGACACAAAACATGCTGGCTTCCTCTGCCTTCAAGAGACTCCCAGTGCGAAGATTGGCTGCCGGTGCTTTGGCTGTACGAGCACCGTCCTCAGCACTCCGCCCGTCACCGAAGTTCTCCCAACGAGTCCCCCGAGCTGTGCCCGCCATGGCATCATCCTTTTCAACCTCGGCCGCAAAGGGCTCGTCTCTGCCCAGCAAGGCTCCAGAGGCCGCCTATGATCCTGAGATCACAGACATTGCGTCTTATGTCCACAACTTCAAGATTGATTCAGACCTTGCCCTCGATACCTCCCGCTACATCCTCCTCGACACCATCGGCTGCGGTCTCGAGGCGCTCCGCTTCCCTCAATGCTCAGCTCTTCTGGGCCCGACCGTCGAAGGAACAACAGTTCCCAATGGCTCTCGGGTCCCCGGTACACCATTTGTACTTGACCCGGTCAATGGCGCTTTCAACATTGGTGCCATGATCCGATGGCTCGATTACAACGATTGTTGGTTGGCTGCCGAATGGGGCCATCCGTCCGACAATCTGGGAGCTATTCTGGCAGTGGCAGATTGGATTGCGAGAACCAACCGGGCTGGTGGTAACGTGGGCAATGGAAAGATTCCTACAATCCGAGATGTTTTGGAGGGCATGATCAAGGCACATGAAATCCAGGGATGCTTGGCTCTGGAGAACTCGTTCAACCGTGTCGGTTTGGACCATGTATTGCTCGTCAAGGTTGCCTCTGCGGCTGTCGTGAGTAAGATGCTTGGTCTGAGCGAGTCAGAAACAGCGGCCGCCGTATCCCAGGCCTTCGTCGATGGTCAGGCTCTGCGAACCTACCGACACTCGCCCAACACCATGTCTCGTAAGTCTTGGGCTGCTGGCGATGCTTGCCAGAGAGCCGTCAACTTGGCTTTCAAGGTTCAGAAGGGTCAATCTGGCGTCCCCACGGTCCTGTCTGCTCCCGTATGGGGATTCTACGATGTCCTTTTCAAGGGCAAGAAGTTCGAATTCCAACGTCCATACGGCTCCTATGTCATGGAGAACGTTCTGTTCAAGGTTTCCTACCCTGCTGAATTTCATTCTCAGACCGCGGTGGAGGCTGCTCAGAAAATATACAAGATCCTTGCGGACATGGGTAAATCGGCGGCAGACATCAAGGAGGTCACCAACCGCACCCACGAAGCATGCATCCGCATCATCGACAAGCAATTCAAGCCTATGGACAACTTTGCTGACAGAGACCACTGTGTTCAATACATGGTTTCAACAATGTTGGTCTTCAACCGCCTGGAAGCAACGGACTATCTCGACGGTAGCGAGGCGGCAACGTCTCCCTTGGTAGAGAGTCTGCGTCAGAAGATCAAGTGTGTTGAGGATCCTCAGTTCACCAAGGACTACCACGACCCATCCTTGAGAACCATCTCCAACGCTCTGACTGTCACCTTGAACGACGGCACTGTGCTGGACGAGGTGGTTGTCGAAGCACCACTCGGCCACCGACTCCGACGTGACGAGGCCAAGCCAGAAATCCTATCCAAATTCAAGAGACATCTAAGCCACCACTTCCCTGAAGCCAAGATCAACGAATTGATCCAATTGTCGACTGACCCGTCGAAGCTTGACTCGCTAGAGGTCGACAAGTACATGGATCTCTATGTCAAGGAAAAGATGGAGTGGTAAAAAGCAAGATAGATATATGATATTGCGTGCATGACTAGGATTACCAAAATTAGCGAACATCAAAGGTGCTTTTGATGCGCAACGGTTAAGAGGCAGTTGTTATATGTAGATACACAATTTTGATGCGAACTTGGTCTCGTTTTTACCACATCCGTGATTTGCAGTACGATGATGCTTGTGGTTCTTACGGCTTGTTATGGCTTACTGATGTCTGCAAATTCTCTCTTGGGCAGGACCTTTTCATGGGCTCCTCTCCCGGCCCAGGTTCTCTTCCAGGCCCAGGCCTCGTCTTTTATAGGGCCGTTCGACTTACCATCGAGAACGTTGACCACGTACCTTCCGATGTTGGGCAGGAACTTCCAGCTGTGGAAAGAGCCTGCGGTGGCCAGAAACAAGTTTGACAGCGTCGAGACCGGATGTCGCGTGATCAACTGGTTCTGGTCCGGCGACACAGCGTCCCAGCAGATTCGCCAGTCGTCCGGGACACGGCCATTGTGCAGTATCGCAGGCACGCGCCGTCTTATGACGTCGATTGATTCACTCCTCAACGCTGACGGGACGGCTCTCTGGTCGGGCGCGGGCACCGAGATCAATTGGCCCGTGTCCGGGTGAAGGGTCGTGTTGAGGAACGTGTTCGAGTTTGTGAACTTGAAGAAGAAAAAGCGCTCCCCTTGAGCCTTGTCGTCGTCGTTCGCGGTGGTGGTGGTGGTGGCGGCGGTGGGAGGCATGACCTCTCCTTTGCTGCCGTAGATCAGCACCGGCATGCACGAGTAATGCTCTGCTTCCGCCTCGGAGAGCTGGAACGCCGCGACACACACGCCCGCCGCCTGTATCTGTCGGTGTATGCTGTCTTCCTCCGGGATGTGCAGGGCTTTTTCTAGGGGGCTCATGAGCCACGGCGTCCAGGCGCCCGTCGCGAGGAGGATCCTGTCCCCCGTGAAGAAGCGTCCGTCTGCGGTCCGCACGCCGCTGAGTCTGCGTCTGTCGACGTCAGCGACCAGCTCGACGGCTTCGCCTACCTCGTAGTGCACGCCGGCCTGGACCGCCCCGGCCATCATGGCTTCGACGGCAGAACTCGCGTCGGCCCAGCCGGCGCTCGAGTTCGTGTAGGCCTTGTCGTACCCTGTCGTGTCTATCCCCGCGAGCACGCCGTCCCAGCGTGTCTTGACCTCGTCCAGCGTGATGTCCGCCGACGCGTCGGCCCGCCCGCTCTCGCGGAAGTTCTTGCGTATCCGTGTCGACAGGTCGCTGTCTTTCTCGTCCAGTGCCACCCAGCCCGTCTGGTGGAAGAAGCGAGACATCAACGGACTGTCCGTCCAGTACTGCATTGCCTCGTACGCGAGGTCCATGTAGAACGGGACGCTGTAGTCGGCGCGGACGATCTTGTTGATATCGGAAGATGCGGCCCAGGGAGACGGGGCCGGCGCGCGGTCGAGCACCGTGACTCGTAACGAGGCATGGCTTTGGGACAGGTGATACGCCGTGCTGGTGCCGAAGACGCCTGACCCCACGATGAGGATGTCACTGTGCTGCGATGTTGGAGAGTCATTTGCGGGTTCCATGGCCAGACAGCCTTAGGTATCCTATCCTTGACTTGAGGATCTTGTGGACATGCCCGCTACGGACTCGAACATAAGATCACTCGCCGGTTCATTCACATCGTACGAGGAACCTGTGGCGGTCTTTCACGGATTTGCGTACTTTTGTTTCAACGCGGCGATAAGCTTGCAACATGAGTCTAGTAGATCTCCGCACCCTGGAGAGCCCCTAAGCTGGTCGGCTAATTAAGGTGGTTCTTATTAACTAGCGAGACCTCCCCCCTTCTCCACGTCCTGTGAGATATGGAGAACAATGGGCCGTCGACCTCGGTAACTTGGGATGTCTGGTTATGAGCTCGGGTACGTACCGCTTGACGAGGGACAGTACCCTCGGAGTGGTCAGCATGGCTGGGAGAGGATGACACTTGGGTCTTAGAGGGTCCATCAACTTGTTGAAAATCAGTTTTTGGTTGTTGCCGTCGTTGTTTCGGTCTAGAGAACTTGCACATCCCCATTGCCCTTCAAGAGCATCCGGCGAGATAGAGAGGGTATAGAACTTCGTTTGGTCGGCGGTGTTAACAAGCATGGCTCTCGGTAAGACTCTGGCTTCACGAAGTCACACAAAAAGAAATGCCTTCACTAACGAGAAACCACCGCAGCAACCGCAGCAGCAGTCGCCGCAGGCAGCTGGGCGACCGCAGCCTACCTCGATGCCAAATTCCACCTCCGCAAGGACTATGACAACATAGCCCGCATGAGCCAAGGAGCGAAAGAGTACGCCCGCGCCGTGAAAGAAGACCGAGTCAGCTTCTGGTACGTTCTCGAGGAGAGGTGCAAGCAATATGAGAGTCGCCGGGCGATATGGTGGCGCGAGCGGTCATACACTTTCGGTGAACTGCACGACGAGACGCTGCGCATTGCACAGTGGATGCTAGAGCAGGGCGTGAGACCGGGGGAACTGGTGGCGCTGTACCTGACGAACTCGCCGCACTTTATGTTTTCGTGGTTCGCGTGTCTGGCGATCGGTGCCGCCCCAGCGTTCATCAACTACAATCTGGAAGGCAAGGCGCTGTTGCACTGTCTGGACGTGGCGCAGACGAAACTACTGGTCGTCGATGACGAGCCGGGATGCCAGGCACGAATCGAAGGAAGCCGAACCGACATCGAGAGCAGGGGAATGAGGATTGCCGTGCTCGACGATGCGCTCAAGCAGAGCATCTCCTCAAGACCGGTCGTAAGACCAGGCGATGAGCTCCGCGCGGGAACCAAGGGCGAGTTCCCTTATTGCCTGATATACACCAGGTACGTCCACCTCCTTCTGCGTACATTTTTGTCCCCCTTGAACTCCCACCTTGCTCCTGCGACGGCCCAGATCGTTGACGCATGACCTGGAATGTAATAGTGGCACGACGGGTCTTCCGAAAGGTTGCGCCTTCACACACTCTCGAGTCTGGCTGATGTGCGGCCACTCCATGCCCATTTGCGACGGCAAACCCGGCGTGGACCGGTGGTACAACAGCATGCCTCTGTACCACGGCACCGGCGGTATCTCGAGTTCGACCTCTCTCCTCCAGGGCCTTAGCCTAGCCCTCGCGCCCAAGTTCTCCGTGTCACGGTTCTGGAACGACATCCACGACAGCGAGAGTACCTTCTTCATCTACGTGGGCGAAACAGCGCGGTACCTGCTGAATGCCCCGGCTCATCCTCTGGAGCGAGACCACAAGCTGCGCGTCGCGTACGGAAACGGCCTGCGCCCGGACGTGTGGGCCAAGTTCCAGGAACGCTTCAACGTTCCAGAGATCGGCGAGTTCTTCAACTCCACGGAAGGCATGTTTTCATTGTTCAACTACGACAAGGGTCCGTTTCTGCAGGGGTGCGTAGGCCATCACGGACTGCTCCTCCGCACGATGCTGCGCAACGTCTACATCCCCGTCAAGATCGACCACGACACCGGCGACATCTGGCGAGACCCCAAGACCGGCTTCGCCCAGCGGACGCCGTACGAAGAAGGCGGCGAGATGCTCGTCGCCGTGCCGAACAAGGAGGCTTTCCAGGGCTATTGGCGCTCGCAGGCCGCGACGGACAAGAAGTTCTGCGTCGACGTTTTCAAGAAGGGCGACGTCTACTACCGGTCCGGCGATGCGCTGAAGCGAGACGCCGACGGGCGCTGGCACTTCCTAGATCGACTGGGGGACACGTTCCGGTGGAAGAGCGAGAACGTGTCGACGGCCGAGGTGGCCTTGACCATTGGCCAGTACCCCGGCATCGCCGAGGCGAACGTCTACGGAGTACTGGTGCCGAACCACGAAGGACGGGCGGGCTGTGCGGCGATCCATCTCGATCCGAACCACCAGGGGCCGCCTGTGAATTGGGACGATCTGCTCAAGTTTACGAGAGCGAGGCTGCCTCGATACGCCGTGCCGGTGTTCCTCAGGGTCGTGAAAGCGAGTACCCACATCCACAACCACAAGCAGAACAAGGTCCCGCTGAGGAAGGAGGGTGTCGATCCGAACCTTGTGGGAACCGAGGCGAAGGAGGGCAAGGACGACGTCTTCCTGTGGGTTCCGCCGAAAGGGGACTCCTACGTTCCTTTTACGAGACAGGACTGGGAGAAGCTGGAGAATAAGGAGGCGAGGTTATAGGACCGCATCTGCCCGGCCAATCCTTCCTCTACCAACTCGTTCTGTCGTAAGGTTATCGAACAAGAAATTAGAGACAGCCCGCGATATGAATACGAGAGCGCAGCGATATGTAGGAACAGGAATAACACCGTTTCGTCTGATCTGGTTGGAAAGCGGACTAGATGTCTTCAGAGATGGACGTTAGATGTTTCATGCGTGTGTGCTCACGCGGTGTATCTGCTGAGCAAGATATACAGAGCTACTCAGATATACTACCTGTAGTTCCTGAACCTGTTGGACATGTACCGTGTTCATGCACCTTGTACAATCTTCGGACACGTCTCCAACTTGACTTTGTCCAACCCACGCCAATCAGGCCCGTGGATATTGTCGTCTGTTATTACTCACCAACCCGTCGTGACTCTCCTCTCGTCCCCTCGCCTCGTCCTCTCGTCTCTGCTGCACATCGGCGTGACCGACGTGCTTTTCCGGATCGAACACGTAAATAGGCCACTCGATGCCGACGGTGCGCTTCACCATCCTGGGCAGCCTAACCCACACCCCCGGCGGCAAGGGAACGAGAATGCTCGTCCTGTCCAGCCAGGCCTTGTGCCTCGTCCAGCATTCCCCGCCCGGGCCGTCCCTTTCAAACATCTTCTTCGCGCCCGGGCGCTCCTGCAGCGTCAGTCCGGACACGAAGAGCAACAAGAGCGTCAAGAGGACGGCCCCGGCGACGCTCGCGTGCTGTGCCGCGTACGGGCCCGAGCCCGAGGGCACGTAGCCGTACGCACTGGGCGAGACGGCCATCGTGAAGACGGCGAACTGCACGACGATCTCGCCAAAGTAGTTGGGATGCCTGGACCACGCGAACAGGCCGGTGTCGCAGGTCGCCGCGCGCTCGTTCCCGGCGTCGCGGCGGAACCGGTACTTTTGGACGTCGGCCGCGGCCTCGAGCAGGAACCCGGCCGCGAACATGACGACGCCGGCAACGTCCGCGGGCGTGCCGAACGGAGGCTGCGCGGACGCCGTGACGCGGGGCGAGTTGAGGATCGTCACGGGCAGACTGACAGTCCACACCCACAGGGCCTGCAACGTCCAGAAGGCCAGGAACGGGAGGAAGCGGGACCGTCTGTCGTCGAAGCGCGTGTCGGAACCCGTCTTGAGGATGCGGAAGAACAAAAACCCGGAGAGCCGCAACGCCCAGACTGCGAGACACAGCGAACTCAGGATCTGGCGCGCCGTGTGCGTGGCAGACAGCGAGAGTGTCAGGACGGAGAGGATGACGAAGTTGGTGCCTCCTGCGAAGTCTGGTTCGGTTGTGTCGTCAGAAGATGCGTCTTCACGTACGTATCTCGGGAGCAAAAGGAAATGAACAAAATACTGCGCTGCAACTGAAGAACTCGACGGCCAGGTACGGAATACGCACCTGTCAACTTGTCGAATTGGCACGTGTATGCTATGCAGAAGCCGACGAGCTGGTACGCCACGGTTATCAGCAGCGTGATGGCGAGGTAGTAGTCGTCAAGGACGTGATGGACAGCCATCCTGCTTTTGAGTCGGCGGAGAATGAACTCCGAGAAACCTTGGTTTCTTCTTCTTCAGGTCTTGTCGTCTCCCAGCTTTGGTTATATAACGTCGAGGCTGGGATGTTATGAAACCGAAACACGGTGTGCACGTGGAGTGTAGCAGGTTTTGATCCGTTCTTTTTCACATACCTTGAGGCACAAATGGACATGTAATAAGGAGGACGCTCCCCGTCATGTCGCACACACAGACCTACCTGATATCGTACCAGATGTCACCGCATGCGCCTGTCCGGTGATTGTTTCACTATTCGAGATCTTGAGCCTGGATCAACATTCGTTGTGCTGCGAATCTGTCGGTGGACATGACGTCGTTGATTCTGGCGGGAGATCGACACCGGAACAACGTTACCCCGGAGAGCCCAAAGCGCCAGTCTCTCGAGCCTCACAGCCTCGTTGTGTGTGAGTCCGAGTTCGAGGTAGCAGCTGCAGTTATCAAAAGGGGTGGACATTGACGAGGTAAGTATAAAGCAATCATACACCGGTTCGGCTGAGGAGTGGCCGGGGTATCATTCCATTCTGCAGGCTATTCAAAATATCACTGCCGCTTATACTCCGTCCAACCAAACCACACACGCGACACAAATCATTGGTTCATTCGTTTGTACAGGACGGCGCAGCAAAATGATCCTCCGCTTCAGCATACAATAACCTAGTAGCCGGCCTTCTTGAGTTCTTGTTCCGTCCACTCCCAAAGTTTCTTGCCTGCCTCGGCGTCCGTGGCCCATTTGTTGTTCTGTGCCTTTCCGACGGGGGTGTAGTACTGTCCATTCTTGAGCGCTTCCTTCTTCGCACCGGCCGCCAGCCACAAAGTGTTCAATGCTCCCCCCGCAACGGACGTGAAAATCAGTGGACCAACCAGCTTGGTTCCGTATCTGACGAGCGGATTCGTCTGGAAGTTCGGTGCATATAGACCCGTATGGATCATACCGGGATGCAGAGACACGCTCGTGAAGGCCGGATACCGACGTGCAAATTCCGCTGCGAACAAGATGTTTGCGACCTTCGATGCCCCATAGCGAGCCCATGGGCCCTGGGCGTAGAGCTTGTCCGTGGACAGGATGGTGTCGAGTTTGGGAGAAAAGTTGTATGCCTCGGACGACAGCGAAACAACTCGGACGTCGGGGTTGTACTGGCTTGCTGTCTTTTGGAGCGTTGGGAGAAGCAGCTTGGTCAACAGAAAGTGGCCGACGTGGTTGGTGCCCAGCTGGATCTCCTGTCCAGCAGCGGTTTTTTCCGCCGGCACCGCCATGATCCCGGCATTGAGAATCAAGATGTCAAGCCTGTTCGTGCGACTGACGACTTGGTCTGCCGCTTTGTGGATCGACGGCAAGGACGCGAGGTCGAGCGGTAGAAACTCGATGTCCACATCTTGTGAAATGCTGGCTTTAACGGAAGCAATCGCCTCGTTGGCCTTGGCTTCACTTCGCGAAGCTAGGAAGATCTTGTGCGGATTGTGCCTTGCGAGTTGGAGGACGGTTTCTTTGCCCAGGCCAGCATTGCCTCCCGTGACAAGGATGACTTTGTCCGAGAGGCTGGGGAGATCCTTCTCCGGTTTGAACGACGGGCTGCTGCTAAATGGCCACATGTTGACAAGACTAGGAACAAAGGTGTCAATGGCAGTTAGAGGGTGGGTCGCGTATGTCAAGGCTAGGCCTGTAGCGAGGTAGAAGAAATCTTGGAGGTTCGAGAGGCTTGGAAGAATGAGGTTATTCCTGATGCTGGGAGTTCGAGTTTGGTCGCTGGGCTGGTCGTTCCTTTGTATGTCCTCGATCTCGCTGTCTTCCACATCTTCTGACAATGAAGGGGGCGCCATTGGCGCACGAATATTTCCCCGTTGCCCGTCGCGAGGCTACGTAGAGACACTCTGAGATACATCTAGGTAGTTACGTACCTCTCCAGGTACCTGAGCAGAAGCGAGAGTCGGAGGAACAGGGGACGAGACCCGCCGTTACTAACCCGGCTCTGATTGGGTCGAACCACGTTACGGCCGCAGCACTGGCCTACTCATCTAATCCAGCAACGACCTGGTTTATCGACACCGGCGACCACGGGAGATATTGATTAGTGGTGCCATCAAATGCAAGATACAAATCAATAAATGTTTTGCTGTAAAGTTCTCAGTTCATGGGTATCATCAGAATATGTAGTCCTTTGTCAGAACTCCCACCGCTATGCTAGAATAACACACACCACGCTGTAACCGCTGCTCTCTAATAACCAAAGCCCTCTACGTGAAGATATATCCCTTGCGCGCCAGTTCCCTTATGTACCGCTCGTTCATCTGATAATGCGACCACGCTTCGTCGCACATCGTCCTGTAAGCCCTGTGGCCCGCAAACCACCACTGCGCTTTCTCCCTCTGCCTCCTCCAGGACTTTGCGGATGATACTTCGTGGCTTCGGCCGACCACCCACCAGCTTGAGGCGTTGTGTAGAAGTATTTGCTTCAGTGGAGCCTTTCTCATCGAGGGACGACATGGACGAGGATTCTGCACTTGATGTGGGAGCACAGCAACAACAAGTTTTGGGTTCTCCAACCTCGTCAACGGTATTCCTGCAGCAGCAACTTCCGTCTGGACCGCAACCATCTTGGCTGTTGTCTTTGGACGCCACCGATCGAACGTCAACGGTTTCCTCCGTGACTTTTGGGCCTGTTCCAGCCTGTTTGGTCTCAATAGCGGCTATCTCAGCCGTGCCATGTGCCAGTTGCTCAGATCTAAATTCGGTAGTGGATGCTTCCAATTTATCGTCACAAGTCACATAGATGCTGAGGTCCAGTTCCTTGTCAGAATGACCATCGTGTTGCCGGACTTCGTCAACGTCCATTAACGCGCTCTCCAACTCTTTCCGAAACCAGGACACTCGATCGCGAGCCTTCACCACCCATACAAACCGGACGCGCTTCGTGACGATGCCAGCACCAGAAACGCTAGTCTTCCACCGGTGTATGATGTCGCGCATCAGGGGCACTGTGAAAGAAGCGCCAGTACTTCCAGCAAAGAAACAGATGCTGTCAAATTGTCGCAATGGCCTGATTTGGCCGTAGGGACCTTCAATTCCGACGAGCTTACGTCGGCGCACAGCGAGATCTCCCTGACTCGGTAGGCCCAAATTCTTCTGGGCAAACCGATGGAACCGTTTTGTGCCACCGCTTTGTGCTTGAACCAGAAATTCCAACTTTTCATCGGACTGGATCGAGGTGATGCTGAATGGATGACTCTGCAAAGGAACCACCGTATGGCACGAAAGAAAGACGTGCTGTCCCGCATTCCACCTCAGGACTGGCTTGTCAATTGTAATCCGCGTGACGTTTCCTGGCAGGGGGGTCAAGGTTGCTCTGTTTGCCCAAAGCCAATCTCTTCCCGGCACTCTTCGATGGAAGATTGAGAAGTTGGCGAAAAGAGTGATGGCAAATCTGAGGACCCGATCGAAGAAGAAGATTGCAACACACGCCCAGACGTAGCCCGGTCCATAGTCAACGTGTATCACAACACATCCAATGAATCCAGAGAAAAGGATAAGGTGCAGAACGAGAAAAACCTCGTAGCTCAAGCGTCGCATCGGTGCAAAGGAGGTAGCCACAACGGCGGTCAAGATGCACCAAGCAGCGAAGCCGGTCTGGGTCATATTATCCGTAGTAAGCATCACTTTGATGTAATCGTAGCGAGCCCAGCTTCGGAAAAAAAAACCCATGTGGAAAGTAGCAGTCAGCCACAGAACCCGGGCAACCCATCGATGTAACCAAGAAAGTCGTTCGTAGCCGACGCCGGACAAAAAGCCGATGATGTTTTGCTTACCCGCGAGGAGGAAGATTAGAGGTAGTTGTGTTTGAGCCACACATCCACACCGGTACGCGATGTTCTCCCAGCTCCATTGATCTTCAGTGTCGTATTTGTAGAAGCAAAACACACAGACGGTGGTGAGGTATGCCAGAACCACAATGACTTTGCCCAAGGGAGGCGAGCGGAACTTCAACCACCCAAATTGATAGGTGGGAAGAGAGGAAGCATTGATTTCGCGGCTGATGGCTGTTGCTGTCGCATAGAAGCTCCAGAGAAAAGACTTTGGCTTCGCGTCGAGGCTTCGCTGCCGTTGCCAGAGGAGGATATGGTCAAGGACATTCAGCAGGGCTGCGAAAGCAATGACGGAACCGATAACCACCCAGAACATTCTCTGCATGTAGAAGTAACCTGGAACATGGTTCCCCGGGCTCATGCTTCCCATATCCATATCCATACCCGGCATGTCCCCATCATCATCATGTCTCGCGAAAAGAGCCATGGCAAACCAGCAGTAGACGAGCAGAATTCTAGACGTTCGCTTAAGGTGTGGTGAATAAAAGTACCGGCGTGGCACAAGAGCAATCACGACAATGAAACTTTGCTGCTTAGTGCCATAGATGCAGTCGAGTACTTGGTATTTGTCCGTCGAACATATGCCAGAGACAGCTGGGTTGGTTCGGCCTCAGGGTGTGATAAAGTCGTGAACAAAAACCGGAGGCGGCGTAAGATACAACTGTGTGATGTTCTGTTCTTGAAAAGAAACCTCCAAAGGCCCAGGATCTGCCAGGGAAAACGTGCTCTCGGGATAAAAGGATCGGTCGGGACCAAGGGAGTCCACCTGATTAGCACTGGAGCACGTTAGGAGAAACAAAGGAAACATGCTCAACAAGGCGCGACGTGCACCGGGGCGGTGTACTGTACGAGGTACAGACGGTACGGAGACGGCGACAAAGGGGAAAAGACGTTCACTGGCGAACTGTGCCGAAAGCGGATTGTGCATGCGCCTCAACCGCAGCTAAAAGTGTGAAGCCGACAAACTTGCTCGCCAAGAACTTGCTCAACACGGGTCTTTCCCACGCCCTCAGCAGCCTCACTGGCCCACGCAGTCAGATCAGTCAAATCAAGCTCACGCTGGCCTCGATCACCGACCCAGAATCATGCGTCTTGTCGATAGCAACGTGGTGGACTCGGATGCCCACTAGAATGTCATGCTGCTCACCTCGCCGGTGAACGAAGACGCGGCCCATTTTCTGTAACATGCTCAACCTCTGACTCTGTCGCGCATCATTAAACCTACAGCTTTGCACCCTTTGGAATTGCAGAACTCCAGCAACTCTACAGTTCGCTGTATACGCGTATCAGATCCAGAGCCAGTACTTTTCAAGGCAGCAAAACTACGCCTTCTCCCACCTCGATTACAGCGTCGCACCCAGAACATCTCCCATCATGTCTCATTCGATGTCTGATTCGATGTCCGGCATGAGCCATATGGACATGACATTCTTCACCGGCCACACCACTCCTCTTTACTCGAATTCATGGACACCGTCGTCAATAGGAGGCTACGCCGGCACCTGTATCTTCCTGATCATTCTCGCCATCATGTTACGACTTCTCTTTGCAGGAAAGGCTCTTTGTGAACAGAGGTGGTTGACTGCTGCCCAAAATCGACGCTTTGTGCTTGTACGAGGGCGGCAAACGGAAGCTGGTAGGATTGATCAGGATCCGGACGCCAAAACCGGTTCGCTGGTCACAGCGAACGGTGTGGAGGAGAACATCAAAGTTGTACAAGCATCGACCGGAGCAGTGGTCCCTTTCCGACTCTCTGTCGATGTACCTCGTGCTTGTCTGACCACCCTTATTGCCGGTATCGCATATTTACTGTAAGTTGGATCAATTTCCTCTACGAGGTTTCGAGCAGGACCTGACCTCTGACAGCATGTTGGCCGTTATGACTATGAACGTGGGCTACTTTCTCTCGGTGCTGGCTGGTGTTTTTGTCGGCGAACTGGCAGTGGGCAGATATGCTCAGATTGACGAACATTTGCATTGAGCGACGTTTAATGATACCCCTATATTTTATAGCCAAAAGCTTGACCTATCGCCCGCCCTCAACAAACTGTCGATAGGAGGTCGTTGGACGGCAGAGGGACGTTCAGGGCTCGTCTTATTTCGTTAGAGTCGGTACAGCTGGGCATTGGCAATTCCGATTGATGATTGTATGATATACATCGAACTGAAGCTTCAGACTCAGAAACGGCTGCTCTAGACCGCTTACCTCGTGGTGGTGCTCATATGCTCGTACCACTTGTGCCACCACACGCGCCCATGACCAGCCCTTACAAAAGGAACGTGAATGCGATTGTGGGACTCCATCGACTCGTCCAATACGAGTTGCCCCTTGTTCTCCCCCTCGGAATCCCTTAGCGATCCTCGAGCCCCTGTCCCGCGCTGCGAAGGCTGGGCTAACAAAAAAGTGAGCATGTTTTCGCTCTCCACCACAAATGTGCTCTTTCCAACCAACGAGGTATTCTACGTGCGTGCCTTCACCAATGCTTGAATCAAGCAAGGTCAGGTAAGCTCAACAAGCAAGCGAAGCTCCGGCGCGATCATAAAACAAGCTACAAAGTGGGTGGTCTAAAGGGCACCTTGAGTTCCACTGCAGGAGCCGACATATTTGGACCGTGGCTCACGACCTGCTGTACATTCTTCCTGTCACTTCATCCTGTGCTTGCCGCCCTCCTCGCTCCTCCATCTGCCCTGGCTCGTCCCTCTTTTTCTACGTTCTGATCGTCTTCGTGTTGCCCTGACCACTCAAGTCTACCAATTCCTGGATCTCATCTACCGACACAATGGTTCCTCAATCGCTCCTTGCAGTCCTCTCGCTGCCTCTGTTGGCCACTGCTCACTTCCACATGCTCTACCCAACACCGCGCAGCGATGTCGATGACACAGAGCCCACTTCCCCCTGTGGCGGCTTTCCAATCTCGGCGAACCGCACTTCCGTCTCGAATTCGGCTTTCCCTGTAGCTTTGGAAATGGAGCACGATCGAACTGTCGTCCAGATGCTGCTCGCATTGGGCAACCAGCCTGGCGACAGCTTCGACATCACCCTCGAACAGACCTTCCAGCAGCAGGGCTTGGGCGATTTCTGTCTGCCTACGGTCAAGATCCCTGCCGGCTTGAACATCACCGACGGCACCAATGGTACTTTGCAGGTGATCACAGATAACGAGGCTGGTGGCGGCTTGTATATAGTACGTTATCGCTCTGGGCGCATTGTTCGAGTTGCTGTTGACTAACATACTTGTCTAGTGTGCCGATCTCACGTTCACATCTGATCCAACAATTCAATCCCTGCCAAGTGCTTGTAAGAACGGGACTGGCGTCACAGCCTTCCCACTGTCGGCGATTGTCAATGCCAATGCAACCAATGGAGATGGGTCGCCCCAGGGCGGCTCCGGATCTGGCCCAGCCTCATCTTCAAGCACCTCAACGCCAAGTGCAACGGCGAGCGGTTCATCGAGCTCTCAGACTAGCAACAGCGCGGTTGTACTTACTGCTGGCTGGGGCGCGTTGGGTGCTGCGGTCTTGGGGGTGGCCGCCATGCTGTAAGATGGTGAAGACTCAAAAAAAATATCCTTCAAGCTCGCGAGCAGTATTGAGGTCACGAACACTGTTCACAATCAGATGATGCTCAAAAGTGATAACTCTGCTGATTTGAGATGTAAACACTTTGAGAATGCATTCAATTACGAAGCATTAAGTTTGCCAACAAGTATCGATTTTCATAATCGGTTGCCCTTAGATTAAACACCATGCGTTAGGGCCATGTCTCAACCAGATTCCACTCGCCTATAGTTTCACTCGGCTGTCTTCCGCCTGGTCCACCAACTTCTTCTGCCAAAGTCCAAATTTGTCTTTTTGCGTTGGCTGGATCACTCAGATCCACTGCCTCAACCTGCTCAGGCGTGATGATGCAGACGCGGAAGTTTTTTCTGGCCAGTGGTTCGTCGGAAAGATGGCCTCCCTTTTGGCCCAGTCCCTCCCCTGCTTCTTCGTCCTTGCCCAGATCTACTGCTTTGCCGGGCTCGGGGTTCTTAAAGGAGCCTCTCATCATGGGAGAGAGGTTCTCAAAGTAATTTTCAACCTCGCGCTTCCATGACCAATCCTTGTTCTTCTCCGCGTGATGCTCTTTCGTTCGCATGTACCGACCGACCTCGGCCTTGACGGTGACGGTGCCGGAATTCTGTGCTTCTTCGCCGTCTTCGATGTCGTCGGGTCCCACGATCCAGCATTTGCCGCGTACACGCCACTGGGTCATCGTGTCCTTGACCCAGTAAACTGCCTCCACGGGCCCGCCGCCTCCAGAGCCCGATCGAGATTGTGCGAGATCGCCTTTGCCCTTGCCGGTTGCGAATATGTCAAACGTCTTGCCCATCCGTGCATCCGTGGTGAAAGTCGGACAGTCGGATTCGTAGATGGCCGGGTTTTTGGGGAGTTTGTTATACTCATTCTCTGGCAACGTGGCCCAGAAGCCACGGAAGATACAGGTCCGCACGCGGGGTAGACCGTCCTTGGTGACTGTCGCAAGCATGAACTCGACGCCCGACCCACGATTGCCAGCACTCTCCGCGAGATGCTCCTGGAATAATCGCTTCCACGGGGCCGCGGTGGTGGTGGTGGGATGCGACATGGTGGAAGCGAGGCGGCTCAAACGACTCACTGTTCTGGATGCCAGGGTGAAGAAGACTTGGAATGTGTTTGGGGGAATCCTTTCTTCATCTATAGCAGGTCACCTCATCCGTCCCATGCCTGATCTAGAGTCCTGATGTTGATGGTCCATGACGCGCTGATTCTAAGATTGAATTCATTGCCCTATGATAATGACGTCGGGCAGCAAAACTGCACGCCTTGTGTACTTGTAGTGGCGCGCGGAACGGCTGTGGCTCGAGGGCTTCGACCTGGCTTGTGGGCTTATCAAGCGGAAGCCTAAGGTAGTGCAGCCGTAGCCTTGTCCCGCCCGGCGCCCCCTGTGCTCGTTGGCTGTAGCGCGTTCCTGGTGAGGCTGAAGGCAAACTGTGGCTAGTGCTTTATCTCTTGGTTGCCCGGAAACACCAGGGCAGTAAATTGAGGCTAGCGAGGCCACGCAAGATGCATTGTATTGTAGTCAACCCTAGCAGGGCATATTCTCCTCCTCTTAGCTGACTGCTAGTCCTGATCTCGTCCTCATGCGCAGCTGGGTTCCAGGGCACTTGCACTGTATTTGTCTTCACTAGCCACCGGGTTGGTGTTCTGAAGGTGTCGGTCACAAGAAGCAACCTTTGCCCTTCACCGTGCGGAAAGGGCTAGCGAGGCCTCCGCCAAACACCCTACAATACCAGTCCCCAAAACATAACCTCACCCAGGACACGCATGGCCGTTGCTAACCCACCACTCTCTCCAACCTCACAAAAAGACCTCAAGATGGTCATGCCTATGCCTCCTCCTCTCTTGCACACTCGTTCGGGCAATGAGCTGTACGATCGTCCTCAAACACCGACAACACCTGGTGGAAATCATGGTTTCACCAGCCCGGTCCAGACACCGCAGGGCAGTCCAAGCAAGAAACAACTTCCTCCCGGCGCCAATGACTTGCCAAACGTCTTTGAGAATGCTATGAAATTGGCTCCTGCATCGCCTACCAAGACTCAGCCGTTGTCACCTACGAAACAAGGTCTTTCGGTTGGCACCGACAATGTCAACAGGGACCCCTTTACTGATCACAACAACCATCACTATGGCCGTTCTGAGAGTCCTACCCGTCAGTCAAACAAGGAAAACGCACCAGCCATCAGATATGGCAAGGACGTCCAGCAAAACCACGCTGCGTTGTCGAGACAAGAGCAATACCAGCCAACCGAGTCGAGGAAAACAATCACACGTGGCTTGACCACCGAAGAGATGCAGAGACTGCAACTCCCCAAAGTCAAGCGCCTCGCAAATGTGACTCAACTGTGTAAGTGTTCATGGCAAAAGACATGCTGGTCTGTCTCTGACTGGATTAGACTTCCTCGACTACTACTTCGACCTCCTTTCCTACGTGCACAACCGTCAATCTCGAGAAAGTGCGTTCAAGGCTTCTTTCCCAGAACCACCGGAGACCCCGAAAGAAGAATACGATGCTGCCTTGCACAAGTATCTTGGGCGTGAACGTGCTAATCTGCGGAAACGTCGCACTCGTCTCCGCCACGGCGACTTCCAGATCTTGACACAAGTTGGTCAAGGCGGTTATGGTCAGGTCTACCTGGCTCAAAAGAAGGACACACGCGAAGTCTGCGCACTCAAGGTTATGAGAAAGAAATTGCTGTTCAAGCTGGACGAAGTCCGACATATCCTGACCGAGAGAGATATTCTGACTGCTGCCAAGTCTGACTGGCTTGTGAAACTGCTCTATTCGTTCCAGGACGACGAACAGATCTACCTTGCCATGGAATATGTTCCAGGTGGTGATTTCAGAACACTCCTGAATAACACTGGCGTGCTCCATAACAGACATGCTCGATTCTACATTGCCGAGATGTTTGCATGTGTTGATGCTCTTCACACCTTAGGCTACATCCACAGAGACCTGAAGCCGGAGAACTTCTTGATCGATGCTACTGGCCACGTCAAGCTCACCGATTTTGGTCTTGCAGCTGGTATGTTGAGCCCCATCAAAATTGAAAGCATGAGAATCAAGCTTGAAGAGGTCGGAAATACCCCGGTGCCTTTCGGCATCACACCAGTTGAAGATCGATCAGCCGATCAGCGACGTGAGGGCTACCGTTCTCTGCGAAAGAAGGACATCAACTATGCCAAGTCCATCGTCGGCTCTCCCGACTACATGGCGCCTGAGGTGCTCAAAGGTGAGCAGTACGACTTTACCGTCGACTACTGGTCCCTTGGATGCATGTTGTTTGAGGCACTTGCCGGTTATCCACCTTTTGCTGGCGCTACGGTCGATGAGACCTGGCAGAACTTGAAGAGATGGCAACGTGTTCTGCGAAAGCCAATCTACGACGATCCGAACTATTTTCTCAGCAAGCGCACATGGGATCTGATCACTCGCCTCGTCGCCGCCAAGGACAACCGTTTCAAGAACATTTCAGAAATCCACAAGCATGAGTACTTTGCCGAGGTTGATTTCAATGCACTGCGAGAGCAAAAGGCGCCTTTTGTGCCTGAGCTTGACTCTGAGACCGACGCTGGATACTTTGACGACTTTAGCAACGAGGCAGACATGGCTAAGTACAAGGAGGTGCATGACAAGCAACGAGCTCTCGAAGACATGGCTGAGAGAGACGAGAAGATGGGCAAGAGTTTGTTTGTCGGTTTCACTTTCAGGTAATTATGTTCAACCCTCTCACGGTATATCAAATGCTAACCTTCACTACACAGACATCGTAAGCCAGATACAGAGGGGAGCCCGCGAAAGCGGATCGAGACGGACGGCACATTCGGTACCATGTTTTAGTAGCTTGAGGGAGGGAGCTTAAAGCATCAGGACGAGGATTCGAGGAACTAGAGCCAAGACGGATTTCGGTTACCAGAATCAAGGAATCGTATGCATACGACAGTCACGGAAAGTTCTTCTTGATGGATTGGAGAACGGCGTTGGGATTGTATCTTGAAGTTGAGCAGACCACGACTTTAGGGTTTTCAGTTGCGGTTGTGTTTGTGCATGTGCATGTAATGTGGGATGACAGAAATGATGCCCATGGCACGCAGACAGAGATTGTTGGCACGGGATGCGGATTGGACCTTGGAGTTGATCTTGGTTGCGGACGATGGAGATCAAAAGCGTGAGGAGTAGTAAGGCGAGTAGTTATTGTCATGGTCAAGTCAGAGCAAATCAATTATTGGGCTGTTTGTTTATTGGGTTGATTGATGTTAGAAATGTAGAGGCTGATGATTCTCCTTCCGGGAATTGTGTTGCGTATGTTCACTTTGTGGAAGTGATGGGGGCCTTTTTCGTATTATGTCGTAGACTCGAATTGAGTGTGTGCCTCGATTTGTTAACGTGGATAGATGAAGGAGAATACTGAATGCTTCTGAGTAGTCACCTGGGTCGTGAGTGATGTTGAGTGAGTGGTTTCTGTCACTTCTTCTCTTCGTCTCTGGGGGGGTCTATGGAAGAAGAGCCATTACATAGAATAGATATCTAGATATATATATATATCTCAACCCTATCAAAAGCCCCCTCTCCCTCCCTCTCTCTCCCTCTCCCTCTCTCTCTCTCTCCCTCTCCCTCTCTCTCTCTCTCCCTCTCCCTCTCTCTCCCTCTCCCTCTCCCTCTCTCCCTCTCTCACCCTCTCTGTGGATGGTCCTCGCTGGATTGGCATCTTGGTCTTCTGACATCGCCAGTTGTGGCCGACATCACAGGTGAGTATGGTCAGCGAGCGTGTGTGGAGTCAAGGTAATGAATGAGGAAACAAACAAAAATGGAGAATTTCATGTTTCCATGTAGGTATATATAAAGACTCGCCGTGTATAAATATCTCTCTCGTGTCTCTGTCTCTGTCTCTCTAAAGCTAATCTCACTTTGTTTTTTTCTTTCGTCTTTTGGTATCTCTCTATCGGTATCGGCATCTCTATCCACTCTACGGTCTCCATCTCTCACTGCTTGAAATTCTTCGCGTGACCGGGCCACTGCTTCTCAAAGGCGTCGACGGTGTCCAAGATGGACCTGTCGTAGGAGATGAAGCCGTCGACGCCGAGGGCGTCGAGGGCCTTTGTCGAGACCATGCTGGGCTCGCCGTCGACGAAGGCGTAGTCCGGGGTGTACCCCTCGCCGGGGTTCCCGACGACGATGTCGCGGTCGGGGAACCTCTCGCGCAGCAGGTCCGCGGCGGCCTGCGGGGGCGCCTTGCCGTTCGCGACGAGGTAGCGCTGGCCGTCGCTCCGGGCGGGGTGCTCCATGGCCCAGACGTGCAGGCGGGCGACGTCGCGAACGTCGATGTATCCCGCGCTGCCGATCTGCGCGGGCACCGTCTTGTCGCCGCTCCAGATGCGCCAGACGGGGAGGAGCGTCTCGTTGAGCGCCTCGGGCGTCTTGGGGAACGAGGCCGGCGGGCCCGTCACCACGGACGGGTTGATGGCGGCGACGGCGAACGGCGGCTTGTGCGCCGACGTCCAGTCCCAGACCGCCCTCTCGGCCGCCGCCTTGGACGCGCCGTAGGCCACGCCGGGCGAGAAGGTCTCGCGCGCCACCGCCTCGCCGCTCGTGTTCCAGTCGGCCTCGGTGTACGCGTGGCCGGGCGGCTGCTTCCACCGGTCGACGACGGCGGCGACCGACGACGTGACCACGAAGGACTTGAGCGTCGACGACGCGTGCGCGAGCGCCGAGTCGAGGATCGACAGGTTGCCGCCGACCGCGGGGCCGTAGAAGGCCTCGAGCGTCGTGAGCGAGAAGTCGACCGGCGACGCCGTGTGGATGATGGCGTGCACGCCGCGCACCGCCGAGTCGAACGCCCCCGCCGCCGTGATGTCCGGGACCACGACGTGCTCGTACTGCGACTCGTAGCCCTCGAACGCCCCCGAGAGGAGGTGCGCGTGCGCCGTCGACGACCGCGACGTCCCGCGCACCGTGTACCCCTTCTGCAGGAGCTGCAGGCCGATGTGGCCGGCGATGTACCCGTTTATGCCGGTCACGAGGACGATTTTGTCCTTGTTCGCTGCTGCTGTTGCTGCTGCTGCATCAGGACCGGCGGAGTCGAGCGCTGATGACGGCGGTGGTCCTGCCATCATCAGCGGAGACGGAGGCAGTGGGGATGACGGCGATGAGAGAATGGGAGATCGGGACTGGCTCCTGCTCCTGCTTCGGCTGAGTGAGCGTAGGTAGAGGTGCGAAAGTCTCTTTGAAGTCTCTATTTTGGCGACTTTTGTGTGCTGGAAGGGGGGATATGTGGTGGGTTTTTATATGTACACCCTCGGTGGGCCAGATACGCCGATAAGGTGTGTTGTGCGTGTGTATGTGTGTGTGTGGACACAAGTGTATATGGATCGAGGGAGCACTTCAGGGTGGATCCCTCTCTAGCTCCCTAGGCGGGCACCTGGAGTCAGGTAAAGGGGGTTTCGAATGCTGGTCTGTAGACAGATTGCCGCGGTTATGCGCTCATTGGTGTTTTGTCTATCCTTTAGGGTTGTTTTGTTTGTAAGCTGTGGGCTCAATATGTCGTGTCGAGTTGAGTGAAACAGCTCTTGGTGACAAATTAAAGCGTTGAGCTGTTTAGAATAAAAGATTAATAATAAGCAGGCTGACGACCGGTCACCGGCTGTGAATAGCGGCGTTATCACTGTATCTCCACTTTGGAAGATGCAATGGTCCCGTGTACAGATTGACTAGAACTAAAAGTCCCAAAGTCTTGAACGGTGGCACAGGACGAAGAAAGTCCGAAGGTGACGTCGAGGTTGGTGGAAAAAGGACAATTGTAGTTCCCGTCTTTGGGTCGAGATGACACTTTATTATATGAGCTTGCGAGATGCCGCAGGAAGTGAATTGTGGCTGTGGCTGATCGATGCTCGTATTTATTGTCGGCCTTGTCCTCAGAATGGCATGTCAAGGCGATAGTTTCATAAGCAACGAGCGGCGAGTCACGTCGAGAGCGACCCAATGATGATCGATTTGCTGAGAGATTGGCCACAGACCGGAGAATTGACCGGGGTGCACGAATTTATATTTCCACGGACTATACGAGTTCTCCGTATCAAGTACTACAAGAGCCTACCTGACCTACCTGAGTAGATAATTATCTGGTGGTGAAGAAGACCACAAACTGGACAAGAGCGTTGATTTTTGGTGGCCTCAAATTGACGTTATCCGCACACTATGCCAGACGAAATCAAAGTGGCCATTTTAGCTGTAGCTTCTTCCTCCGCAGCCTCGTCAGACCGCCAGCCTTATCTTCTCTCTGTCTTTTTCGTTGGACTCACCATGTTACACCGTAACACAGACTACTTCATGTTTGAGCGCTGTTTAGACCAAATTCGATGCTGCCACGGGTCCGGAGTTGTTTGAACAGCAGAATTGTCAACATTCAACGATCTTCTGCATTGCGAACAGATTACACTTTCTTGGGCGGTAGGGAGTCATTCGATGTGACCTAATGATGATACTGACTCATTTGATGTAGGCCCCCAATTCTATGCATCGACTGATAAATCCCCGTCAGCACCACAGAATCCTGGATCGGCTCGCTTCAATTACGTGACAATGGCTGAGAGCAAACCGCTGAGGTATGCCGACGTGCGTGGATAGGCAGGCCCCTTCATTACGTGGCATCAATGACTGACGAGAAGCAGATCGGCATCAATCTAGGAGATCCCGTCTTTCGCGGGGTATACCACGGTAAAAAGGCACACGAAGATGATCTCGACGCCGTGATTGAACGAGCCTTGAATGTCGGCTGCACAAAATTCATGGTCACCGGATCAAGCTTGGAAGAGTCTCGACATGCGGTGGAAATCGCAAAGCAATACCGTAGGTGAAACCTTGAGGACGGAGAATTAGTATTCTGTGACTGAAAAACACCCAGCTGGCAAGTGTTACGCGACCGTCGGAATACATCCCTGCTCGACGAAAGACTTCGACCACTATCCAAAAGGGTCTGAGGCATTGATTCAAGACCTTCGAGCACTTGCCATCCAAGCAAAGGACAGTGGACATGCAGTCGCTTTTGGGGAGATCGGTCTAGACTACGATCGGCTCTTTCTATCGCCCAAAGATGTCCAACTCAAGTATTTTGAACTTCAACTCGACCTGGCCGAAGAGCTGCAAATGCCGCTCTTTCTGCACTCAAGGGCATGTAGCGAGGATTTTGAGAGGATTCTCTCGGCACGACTGGACAAACTCCCCAAGCGAGGACTGGTACATAGCTTCACCGGCACTGTGCCCGAGATGGAGTCGTTGTTGAAGCTTGGATTCGATATTGGGATCAACGGCTGCAGCATGAAGACAGAAGAAAACCTGCAGGCGGTCAAGATGGTCCCTCTGGATAGACTACAGATCGAGACAGATGGTCCATGGTGCGAGATCAGAGCGTCACATGCGTCGTCACAGTACCTGAAGGACGGCGGCCCGGCGGTTCCCAAAGCGGTGAAGAAGGAAAAGTGGCAGAAGGGGCTGATGGTCAAGGGTCGCAACGAACCAGCTACCATCATCCAAGTAGCGCATGTGATTGCAAGGGTCAAAGGCGTCTCGGTGGAAGAAGTGTGCGAGGCGGCGTGGAAGAACTCAACCGAGATGTTCGGCCTGGGGATCGGCAACCCCTAGTTAGTCCCGAGACATTGTCGATTTCAGTAGTCGTACCCGTAGATATTAGAGGTCATCTGAGGGAGGGAGGGCACCGAGTAATGGATTTGTGAGGCAACCGTAACGAGGCGAATGTACCTCGTATCGAGTGTTTTGCCTCTTCCAAACGGATCATTTCGGACGCTGATGATGGCGGTGGTGATGAATGATGAAGGGCGCTTAGTCATGGCCGATTTATTTCTCGACGCGTAAAGTGACGTGGCACGATGAGTTCGCGTGGGAAAGCTCTGGAGCAAAGGTTTCTTACCCGTACCCTATTCATATTCGTACCAGCAACTGCCCGGTCGCTACGGAGGCGTGCACAAAATGTAGAGTCAGAACGCTACGCTATCACTAAATCAGTACCAGTGCTGTAATTCGGAAGACCTGACAAAAGACGAGAAGCTTTTCAGTCTTGTGGGTAAGAAGGTGCCTAGCAACAACTATAACCGCCGCGCCAGTCTTAGGCAAATTCCAGGAAAGCCTCACAAGCCCGAGCGGCTCAACTAGATACCATTTACCTGAAAGGCCTGGAAGTCTGACTTGTTCCTTGAGAAGGTCTTTCAACTTACAGTACCGCTCAAGTTCACAGAGGCTTATCTGGAACAGATGTTTGCTGAGGGGTAGGTTTTACTGATCACTCCCGGGCCTAGATTAATAGTCCCCCTCATGTCTCATATGATGCTCATTGGTCAGTTAAGCTCCTTACAAAACAGAGGGAGCAAACTTCAGAGTTCTGAGTCAGTATGACGAAACGGCTCCTGTTGAGGCGATTCAACAGCAGATTAAAGGATTTTCAGTCAGGGGCAAGTGCCGGCTCCAGAGTCGGACTCGACACAGATCAAGATCTTCGAACGACGGCAGATTGCGGAAGCCGCCATGAGCGACCCGGCGATATTCACTGGTCCCAAGGCATTATCCCGACACATAAAATGTTCCGTCTCGATGATCGCACTGTGTCGACGACGTGAAAGACGATCGACGAGAGAGATACCTTTAGCTAGCGAACAGGATACTCGAGGCCTATCACCGTCACCAACCTTGAAGTGTATATCCCCGTTGACGTATCAGAAACATCAATGTCTTTTCTGCCTGTGCAGTGATCTACCCCAAGAAGATCGGGAGAAACGGTATGCCGGTAAGCACTCACTCCAGCGACACGCCGAACGCTGTCGCCTCCGGCACTTCCAAGAGAAGGACCGAATTCCTTGCCCCGACAATGTGGCTTGCCGTGGAATGGTTTTCGAAGGAAAATCGCATTTCAAGAACCACGCCGTTTCGGTACATCTCTTCATCCTTTGAGTTGTCAAGAAGCTGTAGAGCTCGCAGGTATGTACGTACGATCGATCCTCTGTTGATCATATCTATAACGCAACCTCCCGCCGCCAAATCAGCCTATTGAGTAGCGTTGCATGTGCGCGCATTTTTCCGAGCATACGGTGGCCACTCCCTATAGACCCATTAGTCCCGCCCTCTACGAGACGGCCCTGCTAACGTTCAATCTCCCCTTATGTTAATTTTAAAATGATAGGGGTTGTGACGTGTACTGTTTCAGTGGACCATATTCATCACAGATGATGTGAGTCGAAATACCGGAATAGCTAATGTCTGCGCTCCAAAATCCGCTGTGCTGTTGTTCACAATAGGCTTTCCTTCGCACCGACACCGCTACTACCAATGGTAACAGAGATGTTTACTGCTTTCCTGAAATTTTTGGGTTTTCTTCGCATCATGGCTATGTAAGACGAACTCTTCTCGGCCCACCTCATTGAGACTCACGATCTAAGGAGAGTATCTTACTGAGGAGACGGAAAAGGAAGTCACTGCTTGGTATCAATCCTATGTCTCTTCTGGCACCCTGCATGTGTGTTCTGGCCAAAGGAAGAGCCACGCAGTGTTCTGGTTATGACTGACATTAACGATCTATCGGCCGTTTGCGAGTTCCCGGATAGTCCAAGCAGCTCACTTTAACAGCGTCAATATCTAGCACCTATACCGAACTAGACGCTACTGGCAGAAAGTTGTTGATGCCCATTTGATACTGTGCAAGCAATAGAGTTTGCAGGCTCCTTGCTCAATTGAGATCGTGAACAATCATCCTTAGATGCGTGCATTCTGCGGCTACCACCACTCTGTCCACCCTAGTCCTTCCATCCACATCGGTGGGCGTGCGAATGGACCAAGATTAAGTGGTTGTGCAGAGTCAATTTGGCCGGTGCGCGTACAATTTGTTGGTGCATAGTCCTTCTGACCAACTGCGTTGAACGAGGTGATTGCGTCAATCGGGTATGAGCGCTGAGCGAGGCCCTCCTGCGGCGACAGATTATGATTCGATATCGTTCTTATCTGGTTGATCCCCGTAGTCATCTGTATAGATGGTAGGGGCTCAGGAACATTCTTCAAGCTCAGTCCGTCCGCTGCAATGAGCTCTTGTAAAGGCGGATTCAACTTTTCTCGATATCCGTTCTTCTTGGTTCTCCTTCTCTGCTTATCGTCTTGAAGAGATGATGTCATTTTATGCCTGAGGCCGAGCTGAGCTCTTCTCTCCACATTTATATGTGCTGCTGATATTCTGCCTTGTGTCTTAGACGGGATCGGAGGTGAATCAAGTCTTGGCACCGGTGATGTTACTGTCGCACCATGGGATATGATCGAAATATCTCCCATTTGCCCTGCCATGAGCAACCTGATATGTCTCAGGAGTATTTTCAAAGTTGTAATTGCGCAGGGGGCGATGCCAGATCCTGGACAACTCGCAGAACGACATCGAAAGACGTCAAGAGCTCGTTCCACGCGAAACACGTCTTCGTCCAGCACCGTTTCCCGTCGCAGTCGGGACATGGCCAGCATAAGCGCTGCGCAAAAGAGCCCAAAACATCGCGGCCAGGACGAGACAGCAATGCTTGTGTCAATGTCATATATGTAAGCAAAGGTGTCGCAAACTACTCGCGCCGACTGTAATAGGTTACTAACCATGCTTCTCACTTTGTTGTCGTCTGAGGAGTGAGGGTTTCTCCCTTGGGCGGCTTCCTTATCTCCAGCCGTCGGGGCAACTGAGAAGCATCGAACCAAACCACAGCGAATGATAATCTCAAATAACTGAACCTCAATTTGATGGTCAGCAATAGCAACCAACAACGGAATCGTTTTGTGAGCTCCCTGTTGCAACAGAGGGAGTTGAGCTTGATGTTGAATGACCCGCAGTAAATACTCTTCCAGACTCTGCATATAGGTGTCGTGTGTCTGCGATTCCTCCGATTTGGCAAGTTCCATGGCCTCCAGCACTAATGATGAAAAGTCTCGGATGTTTCGACGGAACGTCTTCTCCTTATCGGGTAGACCCTCGAGCGACGGCTGCGGTATCTCTTTCTGGATAGCTGTGCGTGGTGGCCGGCCTAGCATCAAGCTCAATTGAGCGTCGAGGTCTTTGAGAAGCCACCACATACAACGTGGATACTCCACCAATCCATCAACGGTATCGTCTTGGTTCACTGGACATCATCAGCAACAAACACTTCTACGGGAATGACGACGGCCTGACACCTAATCACTTCATCTATACCAATCAAGCTAGACAGTCCTATCCAGGCCTCTATGACCTTCCCCTCCTCGAGAAGCCGCCGTAGAGACATGAATTCACCATACATGTGGCGAAGAGGATTCGGAAGCTGAATTTTTGAGTCTGGAGAGATGATGAAGCAAAGTCCTCCCGGGCTATTAGACTGCTCGGGACCCATCTTCTGCGGAGGAAGTGTACTATTATCATCTCCTGGATATAGCCCAAAGGTTTGAATGATATTGATCGAGGCAATGGCACTGGGTGAGTCCGCTCTCGCGGATTTCAGCGTTTTGAACTACCAATTACGCGTAAGTCCCCATCAAGAGGTGTAGGCGGAAGAAAATACCACGTCAACGGCCCGAACCAGCGACAAACCCCCGTAGAAAGACAGTGACGGCACAAAAGAATGGTGATCATCATCGATATTGTCATTGCGCCCATGGTCAAGCGACTCCTGTCGTACAGGGCAGGTGGATCCGTCCGGCTGGTTTAGTTCGAACAGGGGCGTCAAAGCAGCCTATCGCGTCAGCCATTCGTCACAATCGCTGAGAGACAGGGACTACCCACCCCATCAGAATAACTGTTTCCTGATGATTCGGCGGTGTAAATACAAGTAGGCCGGCTTCGCTTCCGCTGACATGTCAAACAAGGTATACCACCAGAGCACTTACTATTTTGTTAGTATCATCATTCGTTCGAAGGGTTCGGCTTGGTCACTCAACCTTTGACTTGCTCAGGCGACAGGGTACGCAGGAGTTTTTACGCCGCGGGCCGACTTTTGGCATCTCTGCAGAGGATGAACCAGGTTCACGGGGGGCTGTTATCATATCATCTAGAGGCGGGGTTTAGGGCGTCAATAAGAGGGTTTGCTGCGTGAAGGCAGGTGAAGATTATATCTAGTATCTTTCTTCGGTCGGTGGGCGCGCTACTACATGGGATTTTCTTCGGTGACGAAATGCTGCCGGAAGGTATACATGGTAATCGGAAGCCATTGAAAGCTACCGACAAAAAAAGTTCCTGTGTTGGTGAGCTACGGAAAGCTTGAAATGCACGGCCTTTGGACGCCTGCCTTCCTCTGAGGGCAGCGATTGCTCGAATCGACCTGCACTGGTCTTTCTGCGTGGTGACTTAGGTTCTCGGACTTAGTTTGAGAGGCTCCTGATTCGGTCCATTTTGAGGATATGTGCAGCGCGATGGGCGTGTGAATGATTAGGGTGGGCGATGATCAACCGCTCGCTAGTCAGGGGATGGATTTATGCTCAAGCAGCCAGTCAAGATAGTACTGTATCTTTCCGCTTGTTCATACTCTGAGACCGGATAGTGTAGATCAACCGCGGGAAAGCCTCGACCCGCCGCGAATGGCAAAGCTTCAAAGGCGAAATATTCCAGTTTACGCTTGACTGGCGACAGCCACATCCCGTTGTACGGCCCCCTGCCGAGTTGAAGTCGCTAGCAGACGGTCCTCATTTGCCGTTCGGCCAGCCCCCGAAAACCCAGCACCAATGGGGCGAAGCTCCACCACACACTACATCCGCTGTCCAAGTGGAAAAGTGATTACTACACGCTTGGTAAGTGGTCTAGGCAGCCTAAATCAAAGGTTAATCTGCTGGTCAGGCCTATCGTCGCCTTTGAATGTTCGGTTATTGGATCTTTTTGCTCGTTGCAGTCCAAACGTGAAAGTACAGTATGATATGTCGTTGGCGTTGAACTTACGTGGATCATGCAGGGGGTGCCCCGCAAGGTTGCCGTGATCAGCTTGTTATCGTGATTGAAGATCATCATATCGTAGGGCGATCTGGATTAGCCCGGCCAGGAGCTAGTAGTCACGATCGGTGAGCTGGTCTATTGTACTTATCATTTGCCTAAAGAATGTGCGTGTGAGTATCCCTTCCAGGTAGATCACCACTTTGCATGTCTCCGTGGCAATGCGCGTCAACCGAATGATCCGCGCCCCTAATGCTTTTTCGGAAACTCACAGGTGGTGGGGCAACAGCCAGTTGTCGCAACCATCAAGGCTCGCATGAACCGAGGTTTCTTGGCTGGAAACTACTGTATACCGCAAAGCTTACCGGGTGGTGTCGATACAAAGGGCAAAGAGAGAGCAGACCAAGAGGGGCAGGGTTTGGTGCCTACTCTTTCCAAGCATACGTTCAATGATAAGAAACTCGGGCGCTTCCTCGGAGCAGGCTTGCATAGGTACGTATCCCTTTCTATGGTTGGGGCATAACGGTCAGAGTCGGCAGCAAACACTGGCCGGGGACATATTCCGGGCAATCTATGCTTTATAGGTTGCATCGCGCTCTAGAGGCTTGGGCCAATATCGCAAGCTTGTGGATCGACTCCACTGTCTCAAAATCGTCTTCCCCTAATACACTCTTGCGTAATTCCACGACCTTTTGCATGAGTGAAAGCGCCTCACTGTATCGGTTGTGCTGGCTGTATTCGATTGCTAGCTCATACATCGATTCGATGGTCTCCGGATCATCTTCTCCAAGCTGCTGTCTTCGGATTTCCACCACTTCGCTCATCCGTCGTAACGCTTCTCCATGTTGCCCACTCCCGCTGTAGAACATCGCAAGCTCATGCATGGACTCCAGCGTCTCGCGGTGGTCGCCTCCAAGGATCCGTTTGCGCTGGCTCACCACATAGTCCATGAGGTACAGTGCCTCCTCACATCGCCCAGCGTCGTTGTAATCCACCGCCAGCTCATGCATTGTTGTCAATGTAAGAGGATGGTTGTGTCCTAGTTTCGTTTGTTGTGCTTCCAACAAATTCTCCATGAGCCTAACGGCTTCTGTATGCCGACCAATATCGTTGAACTCAATCGCCAGTTCGTGCAACCATCTCCATGATTCGGCACAGCCAAGAGTGTGTTCAGCCATCTTCGCGAGCTGAGACGGAGTGGATGCTAAACCCTTGCGTCTGGAAGGGTTATCACGGCCGAAGCTGTGTATATTTCAACAATATTGCGGAAGATGCAACAACATTATGCATCGGCTTGTGGCCGGCTAGAAATGGCCCTGTGAAAGATCTCAGACAGTCCGGGAGAGGGTTTCTTTATACAAGTGGGTCATCCAGCAATGCGCCGACAACGCGAAAGGGACATCGACGCAGAGAAAAGCGCGTCGGCACATCAGAGAAACAGCCCCACTGATGTCAAATATGCAGCATAAGTGACTCGGACGTAGCTAGATGGCTCTGGATTCTTTGCAGCGCTCCTGACAGCTCCTTAGCTTGCGCACTTTATCACCACTCATATATTCGCGGTGGACCAAGCGAAGAGTCTCATCAAGTAGAGATCGTGCACTGCCCTAGTTCCCAGGCTAAGTCGAATCTGTTCTGATGTCTGCGGCTTCAGGGTCGACTCTTTCCTCCCACCTTGCACTAAGCTTAGTCCGTTTCCACAGATGCCGGGGTGAGAGTTACCATTGACGTGGCCAAGAACCAGACAAAATATCTCTGTCCGTCCCTTAGACATTGATAAAATTGTAGATCAGTACGAGTCAACGAATTCTTAAAGGCATTGCCACAGTATAGGTAGAGACATTGGCCATTCTCTACACACACATAACCGAATCTGGACATGTTGTTAGATTGTGCCAGGGCGGAGGTCTGCGATGCACGTGACGGTCCATGGATGAGTATCTAATGTGGCTGGGAGGATAAGGCTCCCTGTCTCCTGTTTACCACTGTGTTCTTGGGACATTTGATCCCTAATATGACATCGTACTCGGTCGGCATGATATCATGGTCGACCCATTATCGGTCACGTCTTATTCATAACCACGCCTGGTACCCTGAAGCATAGAATAAAGGGAGAAAAAAGCGAACGTACGAAGGAGCCAAGCTGGTTACGGAGCGTAGAAGATACTCTACTGCTCTTTCGATAATCCCAAAAACGATCGAATTCAGAGATCAAGGTAGACCGTGGTCGTTGCTCTAGACTCTGCTGTCTCACTAAAGATTGCCCTGCAAACTCGAGGAGAGATGCTATGGTCTTTTACGTGAACGCCGCGTGAACTTTCTTGGCCAGATTGACGAGATTTGGCCTAGAAGCCAGGAAGAGGGCAAAGCAAAAATTGGAAGGCGAAAGATATGGTTTCTGGTTGTGGTTGCTAATTTGAGGAGGAGCCCGGTGATAGACGTAGAGTGCCAGCCTCAATCTATGACTCAAGACGTTGAAGAGAACATACAAATCACTGTGTGTAATGTCAAGTGAATAACCTGAATACCAGGGCTCGTCAGCGCTCTGGTGGCATTCGTCTAATGTTGTGACGGTTCAAGCATCGAGAGCATGTGCTCACTATCCCAATATCTCGACACAGCTTCGCGTGCCATTTGTTTTGTAGCTCTAGCATTGCCCTGTGATAGTGGTGAATTCGGCTAAGAGTCAAGTTATAGCTGTCCGGCTAGCTCTGGATATAGTGCCACATCCGACGCAAGGAGAGCTCCAAGATGCGGAAAATCATAGGCTCGATGCAGCCACTCTCAGTATTAGGCAATCTGAATGGCCTTCCGGGTCGTGATCTTCATGGTAGGGGACATTATTGGGCGCATGCCGAATGGGAGCTTAGAGGGCAACTCATTTCCATAGGGGTAAAGTGGCGAAGGGTAGGAAGTTTGTGAAATGTCACTCGAAGTTAAGCAGCACGGCAACTACCTTGGCAGCCTTCACTTAACCTTAGATTACTACAGTGCTGATAATGTGCAGAGTGACTCCACTGGATGTTGACTTTACCAGATTATTAACTAATGAATATCTTAAGTGAAATCAATGACCAAGCTTATAACTATTATAACAGGGATAGAGAGGGAAGCACCAGGTGCACAGGGCTGTCATCAATCAAGCAACATGAGTCGGGAGATAAGAGGTGTTGAACTAGGCTGTGTTGCGGGCGCTGTGAGCACTGTCTTTACAGCACAACGCAGGTTGCAGGGAAAATTTCCGCCGAATTTGGCGGCCTGCGCCGCCGCTTTTGAAGGGTTTCTTCCCTCGATGCCAAGACCAGGTCCCCTGCATGCTCCCCACCCTTCGCCATGTCTCAGTCTATCGACATCATCCCCCCTTCCGTTTCTCACGCTGAGCTGTTCCATGCACCACGCGAACATGCAACCATCGATGGGGACCAGAAATAGTCCCCCTTTAGCACCAGCAAGCGAGCTATCCCGCTCTTCGAGAACGAGAGTCGCCTTCGACTTCTCTACCCTGACCATGACATCTCGAGGACCCGACGAGGATGGTCCCTTTCTAAGATTTCCTAAAACCATAGCGAGAAACTTTGTTAATTAACGCAGACCTATTTCCCTCCGTTCATAAATTTCAGCGACTCTCCCCAAACTTTTGATGTCTAGAGCCGACGTCGAGAAGTCTAATCAATTTACTGCCTATGACTAATTTCCCTTCTGACCTTCTCTTGCTTGTCAGTGGCGGGCTCGTATTATCTACTTCCCTGAGATAGTATAGTTGTATAACCTTAGAGACAAGCTGCTCAGTATTCGGCCGAGCACTATCGACAATATCGCCAACAACTCGCCGAGAAGGGTACTATGAAGAAGTCATATACAGACTCCACGAAGGAAAATATTTGGGGAGTGATGAAGAAGTGGACATGGTAAGTGGGATGCAGTCTATAGGGCACCTAGAGAGAGAAGACATTACTGACAATCTAACCAGTCATTGTGAGTTGCTAGGAGAAGACAGACTTCGCTTCCTTATACACACCAGTAAAGAAGACATTATGATCTTTCTTAAATAGATATTGAACTTTTATACTAAAGTCTAGAAAAGAAGTACTTTAGATAAATACTAAAGAGTGTGATGTATACTATACCGCAAGTCGATTAGAAAGAGTTTACATGCTAAAGTTATAGAGGAGATCCATAACATAAAAAGAAAGTTAAGTTTATTGCTCTAGAGTAATTAACTAATCTGGGATAGTATATCGATGGATACCTAATCATTGAGTATAATCTCGATATATCCGTGCGAGAAAAGCTAGTCATGAACGTTGACGATGTGTATCTTGTTCTTCATTATCTCTAGGTTCTAAATATATCAGTCTTTCTAGACAAATAACAACGACTCTAGCTCGCTTTCTTAATTCTTCTTTCCGTGTACATAGTAATAAGACTAGGCGCTTTAGTGTATAAAGCGACTAATTTAAGTAAGTAAAGAGAGCACTACCTTGGATAGGAAAATAATGAGCATAATAACAACAAGAAAATAGATCTAGATTGAAAAGATATCAAGACTCTCTACTATAAGGATATAACACTTCTGATACTTTCGAATTCAGAGAGAAAGCGAGATCTTCTCGCAATGGAGGTCACTCTAAAGTACACCAAAGAATGAAAGAAAAGACTGAATCCGTAAGTACCTTATAAGATTTCATGTATTTAGCACTTACTCTATTGACTTTTTAACAGAAAAACCTATATCTTTACTGAGGTTAATACTCTTGTTTTCGATGCAATCCTTCTCATAATTACTATCGCTATTCTCGACAATGCTTTCGAGTCTAAGGTGATGTCAATAGAGGATATCTTGCGGATTCGAGTCTGTTCGCCAAGATGTAGTTTGGAATTCAGATAGTGTGTGTAGATAATAAAGAGTTTAATCTTTTGTCAAGCTAAGCGCACTTTCACTAGTATTTAAATATCGCCTATAAAAGTGTTATATTACTATATCTATCTCTATGTTACGTTTCGCTCCACCAGGGGTGTCACTGCACGTATCGTTCCTTGATAAGTGAGAAGTATAGGAGGCGAGGTCGCTGAGAATGGAGTACTTGAGCGAGTACTAAAGCGAAGTGATCACAGTCCAAAACGTATAGGTATGATCGTGAACGAAGTTGACTATATAGTAAAGCTATGAAATGACCGTGTATATATATTCCTGCGTGCTCAGCGTTACTCAGTATTGCTCAGTGCTGCTTAGTCCTAAGCGTACTGATCCCTACTGATCCACACTAAGCGAGGTTACCTGGTATCCACGTGACTATCCGCACCGTGATCTCTGTCCCGTGGCTTACCCTCAAGTAACCTGCCTCTTAAGTGATTTGCTGTCGTCACAGCTTTGTATGCAGCTTACTCGCAGGCCTGGTTCGTAACACTTTCCCCCTTCTAAATTCGTTTGTTGTCTATAACATACATAAGATAAGCGCTTCCCCTTGTCCCTCCTCGTTTCTTTTCTCATGGCTGACTATGCCTTAGTTTCGCGTGTCAAAAAGTAGCTGTTTCTTCACTTCTCATCGTTATATTATAGTTGTCTAAATAGAGACCCTAGGTCGCCAAAGATTCGCAATGAGTCGTTACACTTCTTGTTAAAACTTAGATTTATTGTGCTTTATATTGAATGGCTATATAAAGTGCTCTTTATGCACTAAAAAGAGAGTGAAAGAATGTGATAGAACTTTCTTAGCTAAGAAGTTTAATATATTAACTACGTAATATAATCGCCTAATTAAGGTGTCTTAGCGTAAGAATAAAGAGATTTAATGTATATTAGTTAAGGCTACACGAATATAACTAGCCCTTTTCAAAGCCAACGCTAAGCGCGAGCGTCTCTAGCGTGAGGCCGATAATTTATTAGAAAAATAAAAGAAAATATTAGTGTAAGAGCTAGAGTTCTTAGACGAATTAGACCACATTAATTCTTCTTCTATAGTGTTGTCCACTATTTTTATGAGAATAAATAATGCCTAATTAGAGCAAATATTTAAACTAAAGCCTAAGTCTATATTTAATTTTCTTGGCCTTATTCTCATTAATTATCCGTTATAGACATCATATACTGTTAGTGAGCTATTTTCTCCGTTTCTCTCTCTGATATCGCCTGATCATGTCGCTTGGGAGATATTTCGTTGGTTTCTAAGTGTTTTCC